ATAGCCTATAGTGTTTTCTATAGTCTTAATAAGGTAATCCTTATTTATATGATTTAACCTCTTATATAGTAAATCTATATTAAGATTCTTAATACTAGAATCTACTTTATAAACTAGATTTTCTAGTTTATTATAGTCTATACTTAAGTCTAAGTAGTAAGCGTTACTATTCTACTTAGCTAGTATAGTAATATCTTTATTAGATATATAAGTAATATTCTTATTAAACTCTACTTTCTAACCTTTAGAGGTTAGAACTCTAGTAGATAATAAGGTAGACTTAAGACTAGGAACGTAGTTAACTTCGGTAACTAGTATTTCTGTTTTAATCTTATTATTAGCTATAACCGGTATTTTGCCTATACCTAGTAAAGGTAATCGGTCACTGTTAGCTATAGTAATATATCTATTACTAACTGGCTTATAGTCTATTAGCTAGTCTTTATTAGGGGTAAAGTGCTTAGTAGCCCTAGAATCTAATATTATAGTATTATTACTATAGAAATTAGATATAGAATAAGAAATAGAGTTATTTTTACTAGTATCTATAGTACTAGCTTGCATTAAGACTAAGTCCTTAGAACTAGTCTTATTTAGACTAAGCTTATTTTTCTTATTATTAGTCTTAACTAATATAAGGGTTTTATTAGATTCTTTAGTAGAATTACTAGTATTACTAGTATTCTTATTTTTCTTAGAATCCTTATTCTTATTCTTATTCTTATAGTTAGTAGTATTACTACTATTAGAGTTATTTCTTAACTCGGGGTACTTTATAAAACACTTAGATTCTATATGCCCGTCCTTTTTATAGTGTTTACAATAAGACTTATTATTATTCTTATTATATACTTTATTAGCCTCTAGATTAGAGTTTATTTTAGCTTCTTCGGATATTAGCTTAGATATTAACTTATTTAAGTCTATATCACTTAAATCTTCGCTTATATCTTCGTATTTTCTAGAAGCTAAGGAATCGAAAGAACTAGGTAATCCCTTAAATATAAGCTAGGCTATAAAAGGTTTAGGTATAGCGTACCCTAGTTCGCTTAGATATATACTAGCGGATTATATAGTACTAGTATATTCGTCTATATTTTTATAAGAGCTGTATTTAGCCTCTATTAATTGATTTAAATAGCGGCCTATTAGCTTAAAACTACTATTACCGTAAGTATTATTAATAGCTTACTATAAGCTACTAGCGGTAGTTTTATCCTTAAAGCGTTCTATATTGTCTATAGATATAATAGACTTTATAGCGCCTATAGCCTTATTATTATTACGAATAAAGTCACTTATTCTTTCTTTGTATTTAACCCCTAACTCCGGGGTTCTAGGCTCGTTATTGTCGTTATAATATAAAGATTTATTAGGACGAGTTATAGTTTCGTCTATATAAGATATAAAACTATTTATTTCTAAATATAGCTTAGCTTCGTTAAGCCACTCTATATAATTAGATTTGCCTATTAGCTTTTGTCCCTTAAAAGAAGACATCTTTACTTAATAGGTCTTAAATAACTTAAGTTTTTACTTAAGGTAACCTTAGGGATTTTCTAAGGGATTTTTCTAAGAGATTTATACTTAAGCTAAAGCTTAAGTTCTTCTTAGATATCTTAAGTTAATAACTTAAGTTCTACTACTATAGTTTTAAGTTTTTTAATACTTAAATTAGCTTTTACTTAAGTTATACTTTATAACTTAAGTTCTAAATCTTAGATTTAGTTAAGTAGTAGTTATTTAGTTTAGAATTAGTATTTTATCTAAACTAATCGTTTTAATTATTCTTAGTATTTAAGAATAACTTATATACTATATCTTATAAGATTATAGTATATATACCTAACAGCTTATATTAAGTCTATATAGGTTTTCTTAACTATCCTTTTGCCTTAATTACTTAAGATAAGTATTTTAAGGTCTTTAGTAGTATTTTACTACTTATTACTTTTCCTTAGTTTTACTAAGTACTAGGTAACTTTTCTTATACTAATAAAAATATAAATTATATCTTATTCCTCTCCGAGGATAGCTTTTTATAAGATATATAGATATTAGATTAGTTATAAGACAAACTAATAGAACAGCCACTTCCTTCTATATTTATATATATTACTCTATTAGTAATATATATAGTATATATAGGCTTGGGCACCTTAGTTTAAGAAGATAATTATAATACCCGCTATAGGTCGCGTAATCGCTTCTTATAATCGCAAGTATCTTAAGCTTATTCCCTCGCTTAAGGCTTGTCTCAGGGACGCAGGTCTCAGGTTCTACTATAATAGTTTATATATATAATATATAATTATATATATTAGCCGAATCGAGTATATCGAATTCGTAGTCGGATAGTTATAAATATAGAGTATTATAACTCTATTCGTAACGATATAATACCGGAAGTAATCGTATTCGAAGATAATTAGGCTACCGGGCTCATAACCTATTAGGATAGAGTATAAAGTATATATAGATATAACGTAGGGAGAATAGCGGTAATTATCGTAGTCGCGAGACTTAAGGTTCGAATATAAAAGACTTAAATTACTTAGAGAGAGAAGCTATCTACTTAGAACTAAAGAACCCTTATATAGTAGAAACCTTAACTCTAGAAGATTCTATTTATTAGAAATCAACTAGTTACTATTATTAATATTAATAAGAATATTAGTAATATCCTTATTCTAGAATATTCGCTTAGAAATTAACTTTACTATCTTAGTAATATATCTTTCTAGAACATTCTATACTTACTATAGACTCTTTATAAGTACTATAGTATAATATAAGTATTTATTACCTAATACTTATAATAATCTAGTTACTTAACTTTAGTTATATTTAATATAGTCTAGCTAAAGTTTCTATAATATTCTTTTATCTAGATATTAAGTTATTAAGTAGTAGTAATCTAAGTTTACTTAGTAGTATATTATACTTATTTAGTACTTATAATCTAGACTATTAGTTCTTTAACTCTATTTTTATTTAACTAGTTATTTATTACTAGTTAATTAAAGATAGTTTAAATATTATTCTTATAAATAATAGTACTACTAGTTTTTCTAAATATTATTCTTATAAATAATAGTACTACTAGTTTTTCTAAATATTATTCTTATAAATAATAGTACTACTAGTTTTTCTAAAGAGTCTTCTTTTAAGTTATTTTCTATATTATATATTCTTTCTTTTATTACTTCTTTATTACTATTATAGTAATAATCTATAAATCTATAAAAACTCTTATTAAGCTTTTTAATATTTACTACTATAAAGTTCTTTCTTCTATTATTTATAATTTTTAAATAGATAAATAACTTTTAAGTAAAAACTTTAATTTTACTAAATTTACTATATAATCTTAATAACTTTTATTTTATAGTTAAGATTTTTTTACTTTACTTATATTCTAAGTAATATACTAGCTACTTAAATATTATACTACTATTAATAAGTTAATTAAGCTTCTTATTTAATTATTATTATTAAGTATAAAATAACTATTATAGTTTTTATATTTCTAATTTTTATATTTCTAAACTTATATACTATTATATATTCTATAATTATAAAATAAAAGTAAGTAATTATATTATTATTAACTAAATCTTTAGTTAAAGTAGTATAGTTATTTATAATAGTTTATAATTACTAAGAAAGAAAGAGAGATAGAGCTATAGCTCTCTATATATAGATAAGATAAGTTATAAAGAGAAAGTTAACTATCTTCTCTTTAAGTTTATATATAGTATTATACTAATTTACTTAAGCATATTTAGATATAAGTCTATTTACTATACTAGTAAAATCTAGAAATATTATATAGAAGAGTTTAGCTTACTTCTTAATTTCTATAAGTTATAAGATAATAGTCTTTATTACTAAGTTACTAGTATATATACTACTATCTAGATTAAGAGAAAAATAAGAATAATTATCTAGATTTCTTCTTCTTTTTAAAGTTTTATACTAGTTAAAGTTAGATAGTAAGTATATATTCTAAGTTTAAGTAAAGTTATTATTAACTAAGATAATACTCTAGAAGTATAATAGAGTAGAACTTAATATTTTTTAGTAAGATAATCTTTATAACTAATATAAGAAATTCTAGAAAATATATAGTTATTTAGAATATAATAAATAATAAAATAATAAGAGATAATATAATAAGTTAGATTTAAACTAAAGAATCTCTTAGATATAAAAAATAATATAAAGATAAGTATATATATATATAAACTAAATAAAGAAGAATAGTTTAGAATTATACTATAATTATAATCTTAACTAGTAATAATATAGAATAATCTATAACTATATTAACTAGACTAAAAATAAAACTAGTTAATTACTAAAGTTAATACCTTATATATATCTTTTAATAAATTTATTACTTAATTTATACTAAACTATATACTTAATAATATATCTTCTATTTATCTATAGTCTTATAAGTTATTAATTTAACTATAATAAAATAACTCTAATTAAAATAAATAAAATAAAATAAATAAATAAATAAACTAAGAGGCTATTATAAGTAAGTATAGTAGTATAATCTATCTAATATAGCTTTAAAGAAAAGAGAAGTATAAAAGTAGTTTTTATATAAGATATTATAAATAATATATATTTTAATAACTAAAAGTATCTTCTTTATACTAGTAACTACTATAGTATATATTATATAATATTATAGATTAAGTAGTAGATAATATAAAGAAACTTAATATATAGCTTAGTTCACTATTTCTTAATTTTCTCTTAATACTATATTTACTATAATTAGATAAATAGTTTATACTATACTAAGAAATAAGAAATACTCTTACTAATTATACTCTATACCTAGCGGGGTAGTAAAAATAACCGAGGTCTATTCGGCGAACGGTTACGTATACCCTAACTCGTTTAGATTTGTCGTAAAGTCCGAACATTAGAGAATCTTTCACTTATTTCTAAGGGCTAATTCCTATTTCTTTAAAGCAACTATGAAAACATCTGCCAAAGAGATTTTAACGGGAGACACTGTTGGAGACCTCTCTGATGAACCTTTGATTGATACAACAGCAGCTCTCTCGTTGCATTCCAAGCGCACCGAGCGACGACAGAAGAAACGCCACCGCAAGGCGTCAAAACAGCAGGCATCCTTTCTCGATCTTCCGTCTGAAATCATCCTCGAGGTCATATTTCTCTTGAGACCGAGCGATATCTTCAATCTCGCAAGGAGTTCCAAGGGGATTCAACAATTCATCAATGGAGAACCCGAGCGAATCGCTGGAAACGTCATCGCATTACGATACCCAGTCCTTACACAATGTTTCCCTCTCCCCATCCTTCTCAAAAATGTCGATAAAGAAGCTTATGCAGCTCTTATGGACGATGAGAGGCAAACCAAGCATCTGCATATCCATAAGAAACCCTACCAACACGTTTTACCACCAGATCCAAGCAGGATATGCACGTGCTTGACCTGTATTCTCGCGTGGAACAATCTTTGCTTAATTATCGATTTTGCTTTCTGGCAGAATAATCTGGAGAAAGGAGAGCCGATTTCGATGATAGCTAGAGGAAAAGTTCCTCGATGGAATCAGAAACTTATTACCGCCAATGCATCGATCGTTCAGAAGGCTCTGCGTGACCCGTTGTGGTATGCCAGGATACTAGAGCAGCATCTCAAGACCACGGTGAGATCGATCCGCCGACAAGGGAACAACTCCGGAAACAAACGAAGACGATTTAGAATGGCGCCTGAAGATGTTGCTGCAGAAAATGACGAATTCTTGAAAAGAAGTGGACCTCCTACTCTGGATTTCCCGTTTCATAGAGATAATTACTACATGCTAGAAGCGTATTTGCCAAATCGAGGGTGGAATTCAGAGGCGGGGGAGTGGAGGTATATGCCTTCGACACAGCATGATAGGGATATCGAGTATGTGAAAGCTTGGGCAAATAGGCAGGAAGAGATAAGAAAGGGACTGTGTAATAGGGAATCGAAAGATTAGATATAGACGTCATAAAATAAGAATACAAATAGCTCTTTTGATTTATTTCACTTATTTAAAAACGTTAATTATTTACAAATTAACGATAAATTAATGTAAGCAAATGCGGCCTAATACGAATATTTAGGTAATCTTCGACGCATAAACTCGGCAGCCCCCATTGCCGCAACTACTTCAGTATTCGTGGAGATAAGTTTAGGAAGTTTACCCAGATAATCAGACATAGTACTCTTCAAAAAATCCACCAAATACCCGTCCGTCATAATCCCGGTGACAATGATCAGTTGCGGCTTGGTGAACAGGGGGTATTCTTCCATAGTCTGTAGTAGAGTCCCTCTGACGTCGGCCCAATATTCGTTTAAACTTGAATATCCAGAAATGGCGTTGCTCCCGAGAGTAAAATTCTCGACCCGCCGATAGTTTGGCTCCCACGTAGAGAATACTGTTTGAATTTCGGCTAGCGATACGGTGAGCGCATTCTGGCTGTAGTGTACCGATAGGACTGTTGTATCTGGTAACTTCAAATCCTCATCCCTGCATCTGTCCTCGTCTTGCCAATGTTTACACATGCCAAACCCGTGCCCTGCATACGCAGCTGCCGTTTCCCAGAAAATTGGCTGCCATTGATACCGTGGAGTGATGTATTTGATACCAACATTGACTGCAATATCTTCCATGTCGTCCTGGTATAGTGCGAGGAGATGCGAGGAGGTAAAAACTGCCTCGGAAATGCTAATACTGAAGTCGGACTCTAATTGGGACCGTAGGTGCCTGATAGTTTGAGCGAGAACGCCAACCTCAACTGAAGCCGGCAGGCCAGAAGTCCTGAGAAGCATACGTGCAGTCTGCCTGGGCATGTCGGCATAAAATTCCCCGTCATCATTGTACGGCGGTCTTAAGCACAGTAAATTAGCACTCAATTTAGGGCATGATCCACAGAATACATACGCAAGGTGTCGCGAAGATTGCAAAGATAACCTCTCCATCACCTGCTGATACAGTATCCCTGGCTCGTATACTCGCGTGTGTGTTTCTAAACTCCCATCGGCGCTTTCGAAAATGATAGCCGCTGCTCCATAAGAGCTTTGAAGACTAAACCCAACGCTGAAATATGATTCCATGTAGGAGCGGAGCGGCTGTTGCTGGGGATTCTTGGTGGTGAATGCGCTCGCGATCTTGGTAAGAGAAGCCAGGCCTACAACAGTAATTATCGATTTGAAATAATTTCGTGGAGACATTGCTTCGTATACTTGATTGATCTGTGCTTTGGTATATTGTTTATCACGATTGATGTGGTTATGGACAAGGAAACTTGAATGAGCTGAAGTTGTTCGGGTAGAACACTAATAAATGTTGTTGGTGGTAGTTGGCTGCACTGCCCTTACATGTTGTCATGATGAAACGCTATTGCGAGACTCAGCTCAACCGCGACCATCTCTCGTTACGCGCCCCATGAGTAAGCAGCGTTGGACATGTTGGTTTGATATTTGACGTTGTTGGCTTGTAGCCCGTTGACCGGCCTAGAGCAACCTTGTCAACGAACGTCCTTCATGCCGATATATTTATATCATGCATGCTGTATGAGGCAATGGAATTTAAGTCGATGACAGAGAATCTTGGAAGACGGCCAGGGGAAGTGTCCTAAATCCTCCTGGTCTCATTAAATGACTGATCCATAAGCTGATGTCAACGGACGACATGGATTTCAACACATCTCCTTCGCCATGTGGGACTATGTTGTTTTGATACTTGAACTTGAAGGACTATAGGATTATAGGCCGTTTACCGCTCAGCTTATTCTAGTCAGAACCATACAGCTTCGCCATGTTAGCAACATTTGGTTGGTAGTTGGTACAAATATCTGACCTTCGTGGGCTATGGACAGTTCGCCGGCCAAGGTCATTCTTGCCAACATCCTTCTATGGTTCTACTTCGCCATGTTGAAAAACTCGGTTATTGTTTGACCTTGTGGTATGGACTATTGGCTGGCTTGAAGGTTGGATTAAAGGCCCATCTTCAACATGATTTTAAAGCGCTATGGTAAAAGGATTGGGTTGATATTCGACCTCAAAGGATTGCAGACCGACGGCCTTGCTGAGGTCCTTGGCCATTGTCGGCCGATTTAAATCATGTACACCTATACGGGTTTAAGCCACGTCCAACTAGCTGGGTGCTTTAGCGTTTCATCTTCTCCATGGAAGAGTACGATCCTATCAGCCGCGCCGCGGTGCAAACATGTGGAAACAGACCTTGGTCATGAAATATCTGTATAAGTGAGTCTCAATCGTACTAAAGCAGAACTACAGAGTTTCGAAATATTCTGCATACTTTCTTTGTTCTCTGAAATTCAAAAGAGTTCAATCGTTTCGCGATCTTTTCAACAAGCTACAAATTTCCGTTGTGTGAGGTGTAGCCGAAATGAGATTCGTTTACCCAAGACGAGCATTGCTGATATTTCTCGCCCTCTTGGGATCAGTTTTGTCGCTTCCACAACCCATTAAACTCCGGGACAACTCAAAAAACAAAGCCCACTCGGGGGGTGTATCTTTGGAATGGGCTGTTATTGGAGATTCTTGGGCATCTGGCGTGGCCTACAACTCAAGCAACGTCTATCAACCTACCGATGCAGAGAACTGTTTCCGCACCACTGAATCCTGGGGGGCGCAGATGGCGCAGGATAGCTCATGGTCTCGTGATCCTCAAGTGCTGAACTTCGCAGCCTGTGGCGGCACATTAATGGATGATCTTAAGCGTCAAATGGAAGAAAAGGCCGGAAACCCGCAGCTTGTCTGGGGAATGTTTGGAGGCAACAACGCGTACTTCGGCGCAATTGCAAGAGCTTGTATCTACCAGCCTCTTGATCCCGGTCATCCATTTGGCTGGGGCAAAGCCTGGGATGAGGATGAGGATGGAACGGGTGTGTGTAAGCAAAATCTCCAGATGGCCAAAGAGTATCTAGACAAACCCAGTTCTATGCGCAAAGCTTTTACAAATGCGTTGGATGATATTCTCAATGTTGCTCAAGGCAACAGGGCATTGGATTATTCCTTCGACCTTTACGTTAGCTCCTATGTACGTTTCTTCGATGACACCACAGATGATTGTGATGAGTGGACCTTTGCTCACAACAGGCTGAGTGTCGGTCGGCCAAAGCTTGTCAAGGGCCTCAGGAAGACTATCAATGAGAAAATCCTGCAACTAAATAACATCCAGGCCGATGTTATACAGAACTATAAGCCACCTGCTACTGATCCAAAGCTCGTTAATGTCAACATAAAGAATTTCCAGCCTGACTATCTTTTTGATGGACACCGCTTTTGCGAGAAGGGTCGTTCGTTGGAGGATCAGTATTACCATAAGGACCTGTGGCTCTGGAACCTACAGTACAACGACGACAAGACCGGGGAGGAAGGTGGCGCCGTGACTGGGAATGACGGCGTCAAGCAAATGGCCTCCACTTCCTCAGCTGGTGTTAACGTGACTGAAGGTTTCCAAACGGTTCTGGGCGCGGACACGAATCCGGATGCTATCATTCCACCAGATCAGGATGCACATACACAGCAATATGGATTTGGCTGGACTGCTCGGCCGTTCCATCCTAAGTTTGACGGTCATACAGCTCTCAAAGACGCTTTCATCAAGAAAATGCAGGACGACAGGGTCCCCGGAATCGTACTACCAGATGTAGCACCACCACCTGAAGTTCCTGAACTTGTAGCTCCAACGCCACCTCCACCGCCTAACATCGACAAAAAATGCTGGGGCGTCGGGACTGGAAAGTTTTTGAGTCGCGAAATGCTCGCTACTCTTATCGAGACGGAATTCTGTCCCACAGCGGTGAAGCAAGGCGTTTTGGACGTTGGCGCTGGCTCGCTAAGCCGTCGGTACAACGAGGGCTCGATGGAGGATGTCACTATCGCGATCGAATGGGTCCCTGGCCTGCCGTTTCAGCCAAATATGAAAGATTGCGTAGATCGCCTGCTCGGCGACCTCACCGACGGTTGCGATGGCAACGACCCGAACAACATCGATAACTCTAAAGCCGGTGGTTTGGTAAAGGTCGGGGAGGTTACATATCGGATCGATCCGCAAACCTCACGTCAGTCAGCAACACTTACTAGATGGGCGGGCTGTGACTCTGTATATAAAGCGCTCTTTAATGATAATAACGTCTGGGGTCGCGGCTTTGCTAATGCGGATTTTGGGGCTGATTTGAAGCAGACAGTAGCGGATAGATGTGCTCTTTTCCCAGATACCTGGTCCTTTTCGTATGGCTTAGGTCCCGATGGTCGGGAATGGGAGGCCAAGTTCCGAACAGGTATTTGGCAGAACAAGTGTTTAGGACACTTGGTTTCGGATGTTAGTGGTACGGGTGTTGATTGTCAGGGTAGAGGATAAGCTAGAAGGGATTTAAGCGATTTTTTCTTCTTCTTTGAAACTGTTACCGGCAGAGTTTGGTATGAAAAAACAATATATATAAACTCTACAACAACGAGTCTTGTAAATCTAATATTAATAATTAGTGCTTAACTAATAAATGTCTTTACTGTTATGAATACAACCTAAAAGGAGCCACCAACTGCGTCCTACGTTCCAGCCCTCAACATCAGGATCCAGTCTTGCGAACAGCCCAACCTTTTCTCCCCAATCCATCAATAGAACAATTTCCCATCGTTCGAGAACAGGATTCAAAGCGGCTGTGATGCACTCGGTAGTAATTCCTGCCCGCTGAGCCACAGTTTGACTCACAACATTAACAGCCATTCTCCAAATTTCTGGGTTGAGACTTCCAGTAATGCTAGTCCACGCCGGGAGAGCACTTCCTTTATAAGTAAGAGGTGGCGATGAAAGTTTGAGCTTTGTTAGAAGTGGATCAGCCGTGTTGAATGAATAAAACGGGGTTGGATATAGATCCACATCAAAGTGAGCACTCCTCGACGATTTGACTACATCGTTGCCACTATCAGCGCCGAACGTCTCATCGACTGTTTGATCAAGTGGTAAGGTTCGGAGTTGACTGGATGCCTGCAAGCTGGTGATACACATCATCATTCCATCGCTAGCATTCTTAGGGACTTGGATGGGTTTGCTGTTTTGTGAGAGCATAAGATCGAGTTGTTGCTTATAATTCCATGCATCCACAAATCGTTTGAGGGGAATCGGCCGGTCGAACTTGCTCTTGAAGAAATCGGTACAAGCGTAAGCGCGACCTGGTATCGATCTACCTTTAGCACGATGCACGAGGATCCTTTCCTCGACAAGGGATTCACATGCTTGTTCAACTAGCTCAAGTGAGAGAGTCCCTAACTTTGCTGCTGCAAACGACTGGTCCCAGTCCGCGTGTGGTGTTAGAGCTGTTGCTCTGACCCAGGTTCTAGCAATGCTGAGCTCATTGATGTCAAATGTTGTACCAACTCCTATTTGTGGTACTGTCAGCGATTTAGCTCCGGTTGCCAAACAAGCCCAACGGTGGGAATCGGTCAGTCTTCTGTCGAATAACATATCCTTCTGCTTTTCTGTCTTGTCGGGATATCCTTCTGTCAATTGGAAGTTATCATGGATCAGCGCCCTCTTGCTAGGAAAATCCACTAGCTTTTTTGTCAAGTTTAAGTTTAATTTCTCCATCATCCACATGACCAAGGCATCCCAATCATAATCAAGAAGGCAGTTGTAATTTATGATTGGAATCTCGCCGGCCTCGTAGGCTGCAGAGAAGAGACATTGAAATTCTTGTATCATCGAGCTTATCGCTGCACTGTTTGTTGCTTGCAGATTTTCCCAACGTTTCCGAAGAAAAGCGACATCGAACTCAGGAAAGATTCTGTTTACTAACAAAAAGTCGATTTCACTCTCCAGGCCTCCAGCTAAAACGAGTACAGCGATGCAGGTGGCACTGAATCGTCGTTCAAAATCATGATTCATTCGCGCTAGGACGTGTGCAGTATTGGATCCTGCTGGGCCCAGGCGATTCCGTGTAACCTCGACAACGAACCGTGAACTCGCTTCACCAGAACGATCCAGGATGCCATCAAAGTCTTCCGGAGCAGCTGTTTGCACTCGTTTCATCGAGAATTTCATTTCGGTAGAACACGCGTGTGTCTTCGACCGAAGCGGATTTTCATTCTGTGAACCACCTTTGTGACGAGGACTCAGCGAGTCTTCGATTATTTCATCGCAATCTATCAATTCCTCATAGGGAATAGTTTCCATAGTCCAGTTGTGCTTCTTGCTCCATTTGACATTAAAATTCCTCCCGCACGGGATTGACCACCCATCGAATTCCCAAGAGCATTCATCAAGGTGGCTACTTCCTGTTGTCTTGCGTGATGCCGAAAATTGAACTGAATCATACCTAGATGGGCAGTCGGATATTACAGTGTCATTTAATGGTACCGAGAATCCTAGACCAAACCACGGGGGTAAAGACCTAAGACCTGGATTCTCAGCTTTCAAATCCGCCCGTTCCTTTACGGAGCCGGTAGCTTGCAATTTCCTTGCCGGAAATGTATTTGGCTGCAGCGATTTCGTGCCCAGGAGGGGATTGCCCAGAAAGTTAACGTCTGTTTTAATCGAGGCAGGTTCTTCGGGTTCACTTCGAATTTTCTTTCGCTTGTGGGTCCACGCAAGCTGCTCGCTTGCCTCTGGATGGTATGATATATTGCTGCTGTTGATCATTGGGTTTAGAGGCGAGCTTATGGCCGATGACTGAGGACGAAGGATTCGTTTTGGATACGCTGGGTCGTTTTCTTGCTGTTTGTTCGAGGACCCAAAGGGTAAATGATTTCCGCCCGTCTGGTTCGTGGAAGTGGCAGGGCGTAGTCTTCTTCCGCCGATGTGGCTATCTATTTCCAGGCTGGAGGGGACGAAACCGGCGCCGTGGCCGGGGGGCTTTGCCGACCAAGTCCCATCGATTGCCTGGAGAATAGTCAGAGGCTCAGGCAGCCTTATTATCCCTGTATCCTTCAGATTGCTAGCAAGCATTGGGGGCCTATCACTGGATTCTATCTGTGTGGCCCAGGGCCATACAGTTTTAACTGGATCAAGGGCATTCATGATTGAGAGGTCCGGAGCTTCTCGACTTGCAGGTAGCTGCGTTGGCTTTCGTGGTCTATACCCGTTTTCGAATCCTATCTTCCTTGTTGGTGCATTTCTAATGCGCTTCGGTTTAAAATCTGGCCCTCGATCGGGGTGAAGAGAATTGAGCCCTTGGGCGCGAGCGGAATCCCACCTTGCTTTTAGTATTGCCGCTGCAGCCGCCTTGAAAGATGCGCTTCTTGGGCGTCTATTGTATGGCACACGATTTGGTATCGTCTGCAGATCGCCGACCGCGGAGACCCTCGGGGTTTTTTGAGCAGTCGATCTTCTTTTGCTGGTCACGTACTGATCCCCAATAGTAGACCTGGGGCCTCCTGATGAATCATATTCTGAGGCTGATTCTGATACTGAGACATCGGTATCTTTATCTACCACACTAATACCACGGGCATTGGTCTGAAGTTTGTTCATAACGTCGGGAGGCAGAGTAAATTGGGAGGGCACATAAAGGTCTGGCAAAGCCTCCACTGTATATGTTTTGAAAGAGCCTACCAAGGGGGACGTAAGATCAAAGCCAGGTTCGTGCACAAAGCTGCGAGACACTGTTCTTTTCGACTTCCCGTTGTCTTTGAACTCGAATGTTGAGCGGAGAAGTCTACCGCAATCGACCAACTGGTCAAGAGCCTGTTTACAAAACTTCGATTCGGGAAGATTTTCCAGCGGCTCTGTCAAAGGGCCTCGGCTTTTCAACCAAAGACTGACCATCGCAATCCAAAGGCCTTTCTCTCCCGGAAACAATCCCCCGTTACCCCGAACAAGCTCAAGTATGCGCTCTTGAATTTCGAGGAGCGTACTTAGATTCAGGACCGGCCTATCTTCCACACGAACACCTAGTATTGAAGCAGCACTCTTGATGTCAACCGCTAGCTCTTCTAACAACAAAACCTCTTTTGGCAGGTTTTTATACCATCTGTACGTGTTTGAGGGTACTGCAGTTTGTGCCGCAGTACGTTCGGCCCATTCAAAGACAGAGTCCTCGCTCGAAAGACATTCATTCTCGCTAGGCTCTATACGTGATGGTTTCCGTAATGTTCTAGCTGCCCTAGATAACCGCGGGGAATCTTTTGGGCTGTTCCTTTTCGGGGCACCCTCCTTGGGACGGGTTGACACTTTGCGTGGCCGAGGTGTCTTCCGTACGTCTCCTAGGGGAGGGCTCCAATTGGGATTACATGCTCCTTTTGCTACTGTCAAGTGATATTTTAGCCCGATATCATTCTTGAACCGCCTGCCACATTTCTTGCAAGGCCATGGCTTCGAGATCCGCTGGTCAACGTCCTCAAGCTCAGACGCGGCTGTGGTATCTCGAAGATTTTGTACGATCATTGCCGTAATCAGCTTCTGTCGCATGACTGCAGCGGTCTCTGAGCCTTCTGCAGTAGAAGCGTATTGAAAATGATGGGTGCAGATTTTGAAGTCTTGTTTCTTCTTAATGAAAAGATGCAGTGGATAAGAATTTCTAGCAGAGATTGTTGGATAGTCCGCAATTTCACTAACATGTGATTCAAATAAGGGGAGCTCCGGGGGTCGTTGTGTGAGCCCAAAAAATTCTACTATGGTGTTATCGAGTGACAAGACAAGATTACCAACCGAGCTTTCATAATACGAAGTAAGTCGCTGGAGGTGAGAAGGTAGTAGTGAATGTGACTGAGCATGAGCTATTGCAGCATCCCGATTCGCGGCTTCACTTTGCTCATACACCTGACTCACTGCTGCACTTCTCGATACTTCTCGCTGTTCTTTGCTGATTGGGGTGTCAGAGTCGTGCTGGGCAGGTGACTGGCTATTGGCTTTTAGAAGGCCTGTAGCATCTCGAATACCTCTGACGAAATATCCGACATTTGCAGATGGTGCTACGTAAGCGGACTCGGGATTCCTGGTTGAGTCATTCGATATGACATCTAGATCGCACAGGTTAGGAAGGTCTGCGTTGGACTGTTGCTTTGCATTTTGCATGGTTTCTAAACCCAGAGTTTGATATGACACGCTTGAGCCATCATATGACTGCTCTCCAGTTACCCCTGTAAGAAGATTTTGTTGTTCCGTGCTTGAAACTACTTTCCCAGTCACGTTAGGTCTGCCGTTGGGAGGAAGTATGAAGTTTCTAGCTTTGTGCTTTTGAATCATGTCATGAGAAGCTCCAGTCACTTCTTCAAATGGGGGTTTGACTTGGTGACTCAAGCCGACAGATGTGTATGGTGACTTGTAGTGACTTGGGCTCGTGACTCCTTGACTTAAGGAGTTAGATATGCTTGAAAGAGGGCCACATGGAGAATTGCGTTGCGGCTTTGGGGACTGCGACGTCGATTTGTAGAAATTCCCTTGCAGTACAGCTGATTTCATAGTTGTAGATGGCTGGATTATATAGCCAGTCGCTGGACGCGCAACCATATCGTGCGGGTTCTTATGCTCGGATGAAGACGCGACGACTGTGTACGGGCTAGCCTGCTGCGATGAATATTCGGGGATTCTTGAGGCTGAAATTAGTGAAGACTTGGTCGGCGGCAAGTCCTGATTGCCATTCAAAAGATTCGTAGTCAATGCATCATACTGTATGCCTGACTTCAAGTCCCGACGACCTTCGAGCAGTGTAACTGCTGTTAAGTGAGCACCATGCTTAGTGAAACCGTCAGCTTGTCCTTGCTCCGTGCCGAGGGCTGTCGCGGGTTCGAGAGATACTAAATTGGCATTCACATGTCGAGTGTTGGGTGCTGATGTGAAGTGGTCGGTTGCGAATGCGACAATGTCCTGACTTGCACCCATTTCTACCGCTAATGGAAATGATCTGCTGCGAGAACACAAACCGGGCGGCAACTCTGCCACATCTTGAGCCAATGGAAGAACCCGTGAATGGATCTGGCCGCTCTTGGATATCCCCCTCGCTCTTCTAGCGATCGATTGATCCTGCTTTTTGATAACAGCAGCAGTCAAAATATCCGCGTAAGCCGCGTGCCAACTTCCTACATTCTCTTCCAGCCATAGTGGGTTCTGAAATTTGCTAGATCGAAACCGAACAATTAGGGTTTCAGATTCAGAGCCTCCATCTTTGGATTGCATCCCGCCAAGTAAAGACACGCTGGGTAAGGGATGCGGTTGATGCGCTTCCTCTGAGATCCATGGAGTTTGGTCAGCGATTACTCCAGTTCTAGAGGCTTTGGAGCGCTGTGGGTGACAATCACTCTCTTGACGCTTATCGTCTCCATGGGAAGCGCTGACGAGATATGCGCCATCGATGCTAATAGCCGTGGTTTGATCGGCCCTTTCGTTGCCAGGGCCATGCGCTGTAGGTTTACGCGTTTCTGGGAAAGCAACACTTGAAGAGCTTACGAATTCTGCCGCTCTCTTCTTCGGCGGCCGACCTCTCTTCTTCCTGGGCATTGATGGAGGATCTTTCAACGAAGTAAGTGGTTCCACGTACTTGTCCCCGTGTTGGGATTGGGTGTCTGAGACGGAAGTCGACGGGAGCAAATCTACATTTGTGGCACAAGAGCCATGGTAGAGAGTCGGATCAGGTTTTGCACTTTCCTCTCCACCAACAGGACCAACGGGCAACAAGAGGGTGGCCTGAGCGGAGCGTGCAACGTGAGAAATAAAAGCCTTTATCTTGTTCCCTCCTAGACCCACGTCTAGAATGTCATGCAGCTCTGTTGAAGCTTTTGATCCATCCTCATCGACAAAAGCAACCTTATTAGAATCAAGGACATTTTGCCAGAGAAGGCTTTTGTCATAGCTTTCGCTGCTGAAATCCCTGTCAAGGAGACTAAAGAGATTCGCAATAGAGATACCTGTGGTCGGTTGATATCAGCAATGATTTTTCGTATACTAGATGGAAAAGGGGCGGATTTTCGGCAAGCGGGGAGTCATCGGCTTATTATTTAGTGCAGTACAATTGAAACCGCATTTCTTAACCAGCCAACCACGCCTGCAATCGTGTATGGATGGATGCATAGCGAAGCATTTTGTTTGGTTCTTGGGAGCGCCGTGATCACTTGAACTTTCCTACATGCTTCCTCACCGGGAACTTGGGTACAAGGCGGACAAACGAACTCGACAGACGGTCGCAAGACTGACCTTCTACTCCTGCGGCTGCTACGGCACGCAGAAGCCCCTCCAGAATTTTTCCACCCGAGTGTGCCATGCTTGAAAGCGGTTCTCGATCATCTCTTCGGTGACCTCTTCTTTATTTCTTTTTACCCTCTCAGTTGGGGGGATGACATGGTGACAAAGGTTGTAGAGGCGATGCTGGGTTTGGGGGAGAATTTGTGAGGTCGGAACCTCCAGCTAGCCTGGGGCGGGCAGACTCGAAGCGGGGCAGCAAAAGGCACCCAAACGGGCTTAGTGCGGGCACGTCGAAATCAAGTCAACTCACCAGCCTTCACGATTGGAACCTTGGAAGAATGGAATGCATCACATCACAAAAGCCGGGAAAGCAAAATAGTAGAACAGAACTGGTATCCTAACTTAAATTCATGAATACATTTTAACTACGATATTTCAAGTCCGAGGAATTGCTTCCAGTAACAAGGCGAAGCGGGTATCATTCTATGTAACTAGGTTGGCAATGGAAGACTGCTAAACCATCTCTGGAGCGGACTTCAACTTGTTGTCCTTCATCATCTGCCGATAGCCCTCCACCACACTCCTCCTTACTTCTCCTAGCTCCTCTCTCCTTCGTAGACTCCCACTAGCTTTCGGCACATTTTCCACCTCGACCCTAGCCCCCCGGACCTTGAACTTCTCCTTTGGGGTTTGTTTGAAAGTTGGTGGCGCTTGAACGACATCATGTAGTGCAAAGCTCACTTCACCTCTATCTCTCTTGATCTTCGCCCACGGATCTTCTTCTCCATCGTCGATCTCGCCAATAACCTTCTTCTTCTTCCCCCTCTTCGCCTTCCTTTTTCTGTTACTCTCAGATCCAGCTTCTTTCCAAACAACCTGTCCATCCTCTCCTTCTTCTTCCATCTCCTCCAGTTCTCTGGCCTCCTCTCGTTTCTCCTTTATTTTTACGTCCTGTTCTCTCCATTCGGCATACATCCTGTGCATCTTTTTCTCCTTGTACGTTTTCCCGACCTTCAAACCCAACGGATCCTTTCCTCTTTTGCCAGTTTTGTTGATCAATCCACTGACTGGCAGAGCCGCGTCGACGCGGGCATTGAACTCCGCAATGCGCTCACCTGGCTTGATTGTCGGCAGCACAGGCACCGATGGTCCTGTGTCCAATTTGGCCGACACATCACCACTCAGCGGCGACTGCTCAATTTTCGCCTTTTTAGCTTTAGGTTTCTTGACACCGTCATCTAGTCCTTTGGGTAGCTTTTTGCCCTGTTGGAAGAGCATTAATCGTGAGAAGGCTTTTGGCGTATCATCATTGATGTCTGGATTGTGCTTCCTCTTCTTGTTTGTTTTCCGGGGAACCGTCAGCTCGGTAGTGAAGATGCCATTCTCTCTCGACGACTTGGAGACGGACAGCGGTCGTGCGATGGTCGTGGGTGGAAGGTCGATTCTGCGATGAGCGATACATTAATTGACTGGCGAGCGATGGCCGGATGGTTCACTTACGTCGCCTTGTCCGACGCGCCTTTCCTGGTATGCTTGTGAGGCATTTGGAGTGTTGTCGTTGCTCGTGCTCCTTCGGGCTCGGGTTTTTCCACTAGAACTAACAAAAATAAATTGCGTTCTTTTGGGGCACGTGACCCAGCACAGCGGGGTTTGTAGTGGGGGTGGGGTTTCTGGGGGGTTTTGACACAATGGTGATTACCTAGGTACTCGAGTATCTGTCTACCTACCTACATACCTAGGTAGGTATACGAATAGGTACCTAGGTAGATAGATGGGTAACTACAGGTGATGCAGTCAACGTCAAACAATCCAAAAATATTGTTACCGTGCATCGTCCGCAATATCATTGAAGCGCTAGGTACGCCCGTGTCTCGAACGACACTTTTTATACGATGGTTGAAGGGTTGCCTCGAAGCCGCCCACGTGGGCTGGCGGAGAGGGCCTAGACCTGACCCAATCGTTGGTGGTGTACTCCATACGGGTGCTGTGCTTCGTCGGGGGCAGTATCAAAGAGGCAATCGCTATTACTTTTTCTTCTTCTTCTTCTTCTTCTCCTCCCTCTTTTCTTCCTTTCCTCTTTTCCCTCCTGCCATTTTGCGCTCCGTTTCTCCTCTATATATTTCCCAATATTCCTCTCACGCCCAGTTCCTCCGCGGAACCCCTCCTCCCTCCCTCACCGCATCAATGGGTAATGGGTAAATCACGAACGAGTCCACCTCGGTCTTGATGCCATCGACCGCACTCCTCCAACATCATCGACTTGCTCACGCCAGCTGCGCAAGAACCCCTCGAATCCAAACCGTCGCCCCATGTGAATTGGACCCTGCCAAGGGATCTCCTAGCGTCCCTGCAAACTCATCCCTACCCATCCAGCCGAAAATGTCCCGTCAGCAGCGACCATGCGTCGATTCGACCAACTCCCAAGCTCTGTGCTTGCAACCAATCCCTCAACACGATACTAACCCTCGAGGCTATGACGCGGACGTGGAAGCTCAAAGCCTTTGTTCCGAACCCCCCGTGTCGTTACTCCAATCGCACCCCTCCTGTCACCACGCTCGTGAGAATGCCGATGAGAGCGATCTCGACTCGGACGTTGAGAATGACTTCGTCAAAACGATCAATTCGGCGAACAGGCACACTCCTAGGTGGAAATATCTGTTGTCAATGGCAGTGAGGAGACGGCGTTCGCCGGGACAGCTGCATGAGGAGTATAAACACAACACAGATCACCCGCTGCTGGCGTCTGGATTGGCAGCTCGAAGGTCAAGGAGAAGAGGTACGAGCTGGTACAATTGGTGCATATTTGGTGGTATCAGTGGAGCAGGTCTCTTTGTATGTTTCCGCTGCTCTAGCATGGCTACAGTGCTAACCTCCGCGGCGGCAGGCTGTTCTTCTCTCCATCAATCTCACGCTCTCCCTTCTCACGCTATACTGGTACCCGGACATTGATCAGGTACTACGGTACTGGGGAACTGCGGGATCTGGAACAGAAGGGTTGGCATGGTATCCCACTGACTTTACACGCGATGTGATACCTATACCTTGCCACTCTCACAACGATTATTGGCGGAAAGTACCTCTGTTCTCAGCCCTGCGTGCTGGCTGCACAGGCGTCGAAGCAGATGTGTGGCTTTTTGATGACGACCTGTATGTTGGCCATAATACAGCATCGTTGACTAGGAACCGTACCTTCCAATCGCTTTATATCAATCCTTTGGTCAAAATTTTAGAAGGCCAAAACCCAACTACCGATTTCTACAACGGGACAAATCACGGAGTCTTTGACACTGATCCGGAAAAGTCTGTTGTCCTCTTGGTCGATCTCAAGACTTCAGGGCCGGAGACTTGGCCATATGTATTAAGCCAGTTACAGCCACTCCGCGACAGAGGCTGGCTTACATATATGGAGGCTGGCATAGTGTACCACCGGCAAGTTACGATCGTGGGCACCGGGAATACGCCCTTCAATCTTGTGACGGAAAATGCCACTTACCGAGACGCTTTCTTTGACGCACCGCTAGAGACAATGTACGAGCCTTTATATGCCGACTCGAGAACGACTCCATCCTCCGCTTTGAGCTCTTCGCCTGGGATCGAGTTAGATGAGCATGATACGCCTGAACAGACCAAAACCGCCTCAGAGCCTCTCAACAATCTAGGGCAAGGTCTGTCTGGTACCACAGCACTGTCCAATTTTAATCAGCAGAATTCTTATTATGCTTCGGTGGCATTTGGTAAAGCTATAGGTCGAATATGGCGTGGGAGGCTCAGCACGAAACAGATGGCAACCATTCGGGGCCAGGTCAGTGGTGCGCACAGAAGAGGACTGAAAGTCAGATACTGGGATTTGCCTAGCTGGCCGATCGGACTTCGAAACCACGTGTATGACGTCTTAATGCGTGAAGGTGTTGACGTCTTGAATGTGGATGATCTGCGCGCTGCTAGCAGACATGTCTGGTAGCGGACAGTCTTGTTGTATGAAGAGCATGGAAATATACTGGCATGTAAAGGCCATGGGTGTTGGATGTTGGTTTACCGCTGTTCTGGTTATGTACACGCGGTTCTGAAATCATACCACGTGCCAGTATGGTTCAAGGGCATTCAACATTGCGGTGCTTACGGCTTTCTTCTTGGCAACAGAGCTGATTGATAATTGGAAAGCTACTGCTTTTATCGTTCTGTGGCTTAAGGCAAGACCGTAATACCTCTGCATTTAGTTGAAAAGAGGAAAAGAGATCCGCCGTAAGTGTTTTTGACAATCAAAAAGCCGACTTCTCGTTTCGCTCGGACAAGATCGAAAAATAAGCAGATGAGAACCCGAAAATATATTTCAACCCCAGAACACCGGTTGACGTCTTCTCTCTGTCCTAGCGTGTTGTCGTTGATCTTGGGGACATTCCTCGCATGGCTGTGCGGTGGATCATAGCAGGGTCCGTTGGCACCCAATCTGTATAAGTCTACACAAAATCGTACATCCTGTCTATATTTCTCGGTAATTAGACATTTTCAGACAATGTTCAGAGCTTGTCGTAATAATCAAGACGTACCTATGCCTGGTCACAAATTTTCTGTGTCTTCTTTAGTACGTCATCTCGAGTTTGCCTCATTCACGTCTTCGCGAAGTGGTCGCGGATCCATATTCGTCTCGTGCTCAATATCGTTAATAAATTTGTCTTGAGACTTGTGCTGGAATCTTTCTCTGTTTTCAATTGGTCGACTGAGTGCAATATAGGTTTGGGGAAGGCTAGATAAAGGTCAGTCAAAGGTCCTTGGCTTGGATATTAGGAAATGGGTCAATACCCTGGACAGCTGAATTATCTGGTTGGAGGATCAAAAAAAGTATATAGGAGATCTTCATTGATGATAACTATTGACAGCTCCTAGCATGCTTAGATTGGGAAAATGATCTTTGACCTTACATATGTAGGTGACAGTTGATGTAAAGGAATTTCCGCTGTCCATGGACAACTATAATAAAGAGCACATGCTACTAATCAGACGACAAGGACAAAGAAGTGATCAGATGTTTTCCAAAGGGGTACATTAATGGTGCTACCCCGATTCGGACAAAGAAACCTAACTAAGAGAGCATGTCGTTTGAAAATGCAAGAGTCTGGGTACATGACATTTGAGTAGTTACCTCATTACCGGCGTGCTATAAGAGATATTCCTCGCACTCGGGGGGGAAGGGGGTCAGAAAACATATTATAATGTCTGCATCACAAGACAGTGAGCTAGGGTGATGCTCGCTTAGCCAGATGCCTTAATACCTAATCGTCGGCTTTAGTGGGCGCTCCCTCGTCTCAAGTTCCTTAGTCGGAAAAAGCGAGTTTGCACTCTTAGTAACATTATACTCGCTTACTGTCTAGTTAAACTAGGCGTTTTAATAGTATAGTACTACACCTACCTCGTGTACGCAAATTATTTTACTAGAAAGACCCCTCCCACAAGTACTATTAACACTATAGGTTAGTTAAGCGAGTATAAACTTGCTAAGAGTGTAAACTCGCTTTTTCCGACTAAGGAACTTGAGACGAGGGAGCGCCCTACTAACGCCGACGATTACCTACCGTAGGTAGGTACTATTCTACTTTTTTCTACGATATAGAGCGCATTCTGGTGAGGTGTATGGAAGGGCAAAATGCTCTCTATGAGAGACCGAAGTGGGAAAGACAACATGAATAATACTAATTCTAGTTAGATTATAATGAAGGGGGGGACAAGTATAATGCACCAGGGTCTCGACTTTCGTGGTTGGACTGATGGTAAGTAAATACCTGTTGTGCTACCATCGTGGTGCAAGTCTAACGGGATGTCTCCTCTCAATAGCACAACTACAAGCTGCCCAAGATGCAATAATTAGCCAAATTATTTTGAATTACTACACAATAATGTTTCTTTAATGTAGGACAAATATCTCTGTTAGGGGAGGATCGTTGAAATGTCGTTTTCCGACAGTAATTTACCAGGAGGGTGTCCACCTGCAGTCAGTCAACAGTATTAATAGCCCTGCCTGGCAACTTATTTACCTTTGAATCTCATATCGCTCTGGCTTTATTTTCGACAATATGTTATGTTAAAAATGTTAGTATCAAGAGCAAATTTGAAAGTTTGCTCGCCTACAGAAAAATATCGTATAAATTATGGTATTGCTATAATCCCAGTGTAATTACGGGTTCCGATGCAATACGTCACCAGTATCCGAACCTCAGTACTAATGTTGATTTCAAGCGTAAGTCACGATTTTTAGATATTAACCTTCTCTTTGATAGTTTAGTTTCTAGTACTGACATGTGGGATTACTTGTACTTGGACGAAGCATGGTTTGAAACATGTTTTGATTGCGGACACTGGGTAGAATGCAGACACACTTTCAACGATAATCAGCAAGTAGCTCAAGAGAATGCTCTCAATAATCAATCATCTACAAGAAAAAAGAGCCAACAATAACTCCACCCTTAATCCGAATTCCATTCTATTTAACATCCAAAAACAATCACAACGAATCCCAAACCCCTCTACAAGTCCCACAAAACCGTAAACTTCCCACCATTGAATACATGCACAAGTAATGCATTATTGCATCATACAACGACAACCCCAAGTTCATGTTGCTCACTGACACCCGAGATATACTGAAAAATGGACGGCTACAATTTGATGTTGTAATCGTCATGCCTTGCTGGTAATGAGGATACGCACTCCTAGGTCGTGAAAACAGGAGATTGAAGATGAGGAGGCATGTTGAAAAAAATTTCGACGCAGCGTGGGAAATAAGTGATAGATTGACGAGAGGGGTCTTGTGAGATCCGATTAAAGTAGAAGAGATTGTCTGGCTAGGCTGATATTGCGGGCGAAGTACGTCGCTAAGAATTGGCCGCAAGTTATGAAGATGCGATGATGCTCCGACTGAATCACGAAGGGGACATTCTTATAGACGTGAGAAAATAAAGATTCTTTATCTGAGGGACGCCATTGGAGGCTTACGACCTTCATATTGTCCATCCGCTGGGCGCAGTGGTAGTCGCTTTGTCAAGGAATTTTCAACGCTCAACGAAAGCTTGAACCTCGGAACCCTTAATATTGTTCACTGGTCATGGCTGATAAGGGGTACTAGAGACAAAAGCTGCGATGCGCGCCACGATGGTCCAATTAAGCCAAATCTGTCTTTTTGCAAGAAACACGATCAGATGCAAAGAATAGACTGCAAATGATCTCAGCCATATTTAGAATTGGGACAAAACTAGTGCTAAAGATAAATTAAAGACCACGCATTCCTAGACATGGTCGCAAAGCGAAGTACGGATGACACATCAATCAAGAGCGAACCAGCCGCAATGTAATTAACCAAATCTAGTCTCAGGTATCATCGTAAATGTGTAGGAGTTGTAAGTGTAAGGCAAATATATATCCAAGAGCTGGCAGACCCAAGTATCTGCGCCGCAAAAACGCCCTTTTCGCTCATGCCTAGGTCTTTTTCTCTCGTTGCTGAGAATTTCGGGTATGTACAATGCTATCATACAATCATTCAGGGTCGTAGGTCGTGGCAGACATTGATTTGTAGAGGGTGTGATCAGAGATCCGCAGTATAGAGGCGGGTTCTACCAAGTGATGTGCGTCTCATTCGTTCTCAGGTCGTAATCACCATCGCGGGCGCCTCGAGTTCCACATCTCAAAGTTGCCTCCCGGCTCTGCATATTAAACAGAATCTCCTTGACCATCACCCTCCGATCCTGCGGCACGACTGCACCATCCATGGTACCCATACCGTATCCGAGATATTCGCCCATTCCCTCCTCTTCAATCTCCATAATCCATTGCCCCACGCGTCCGCTAAGTATGCTGTCCCACATACCTTCTCTTCTTGGGCTGTTGAGTAACAACTTGATTGCATCCCTTCTAAGTTTTCTATCTCGACATTTTGTGGCAACCACAAACAAGGGTGGGACAATTCCCAAGTCCAACGCAAAGGAAGCCTTAATATGGGTATAATCATCTTCATCTCGATACATCCCTGGTTGATATCCGGTCAATCCAGAGAAATGAAGGCCGTTATTGTGGGGTTGTCGATGCCTGCAGCTGGTAGGGCTCCCACATTTTGATTGTGCTAGCATCAGCTCCTCATCAACAACCACTTCCTTGGCAAGATCGATAATCTCTTTGAACTGTGGCATGTGATTGTCAAAGTCCATCTCAGATGTGCTGAATCCCATCAGGAAAAGGATTGAGGTCATAAGCTGCATCATCTTGAGCACATCAATGCCTGCTCGTTCTGTATTGGTCATTTTGGGTCTGCGGCGTGATTCGAGAAGTGGCTCAAAAGCTGCCGCCCACTGAGCAAGTTGTGTACGGAACCCCAGACCAGAAGCTTTTAGCGACTGAGGGAGAATATTATTTGGTCCTTGATAGTACGAAGAAAGTCCCTCCTGGAACTGCATGATGCGCTCGCAAAGCGAATCTAAAGATGCCCGCGCTTCTTGCGATGTTCTAAACATGTCTGGAATAGCTGACTCCACGGAAGTAGTAGAGGCAGCATCGGACGGAGAAGTTGGCGACTGTGGCGAGCCGGGATTTGCTGCTGGTGTCAAACGAATAACATAAGGTGGAGGAAAATGGAAAGCCATGTCGTAGGATTTGGCTTGAATCGCAAGACGAGTGAACATTTGAACTAGCTCGTCCTCGACTATCTCCTTCTGCTTGACGACCATCTGCTGTCTTGATTGCTGCCGGCGTTCTTCCAGAAGACCGAGTCCATGCTGGATCTGTGAGATGGCCGATGTGTGATTGCCAGTGAAGGATTCGAAGCAGGTGAATAATACTACGGATATTAATATAGTTCGTTGGGATCGTGTCTCATTATTCTGTAAAGCCTCTCGTAATCGTGCGAGGGCTTTGCCATACTGCTGTAATGCAAAGTTATAATGGTTTGGTGCGGTGTCAACAGAATTGCTGTCGGGCGATGATGGTGGTGACTCTGACGACTTCTCCAGCGTCTTGTACAGCGCTCCCAATGCTACGACCGCATGCCGAATTGATGCTTCCGAATGACTCTCCTGAAGCACACTCCGCGTCCAAAATTCCGAATCAAAGAAGCCCGACAGTTCGCTTGCGGTGTGTGTCCTGAAGACCTGAAAATATTGTCCTTCTTGTGCGTCGAATGGTAGCACCGTAGGCGCATAGGTTGTTGGAGAAAATCGGACAATGGGAGTAGGCGGTGGTGTCGGCCTGCTCTGCTCGAGGGGTCTCCGTGGCTTGCGCGCAACGATCTTCGAAACTGCTGGTGTTATGGCATATGAAGCTGGATACGATGGGGCGATCGCCGTGGATGGGATTCCATCTGGTCGTGGAGCAATGGGAACGGCAACTTCCACCGTCCTTTTATATGCAGGGTACCCGTCGCAATGTCGACCCGACCGAACACACTTTATGCATTGTGGCCGTGTCTCGTCGCATTTGACTCTTCGATTTCTGTGAGGCGCCCGAGTCAGTAGGAGTATCGGAGGGGAGATGCTATCCAGGCGGCAGGCGGCAGGCGGTACCTACTTGCAATTATTACAACCCGTTTTGACCTTGGGGCGACTGGCTCTGCGCGACTTCAGCGGCTTGGTTTCCTTCTCTTTATCGCCGGAGTCGGTCATCTTGGGTGATGAGGTCGGCGCCGCGCATCTCCTGAAGACGTGTATTGCGCGAAACGGAGGAGTAAGAGGATGGGTCGCGGTTCCCTATCTGTTCCAATATGAGCTTTGCACAAACGACATTGTCTTTAAGAAAGATAAATCGGGTAGGTGAGGATCGAGAGCAGCGCGACGGGAGGAATCGAAGGTCGTAGAAAAGAGAAAGGTAAGTGGAAAGGGCAGCGCGAGGGGCATTTGAGGGACACACGGGCAGAGTCACACGTAACACCGAGAGGTCATTCCCACCATGCCAATGCCTTCCCACGATGAGGTGGTACCGTGTCGCATCATGGAAGGATTGCCGACCGCGATGAGGCGAAAAAGGTGCGAGGAGTGGAGGGCGACAGAATAAGGGCACTGCGTCCGCAAGCTCTCGTGGGGTTTGAATGAAGAGCTGGCGAAGGAAGAAGCTCATGGCGTCGCTTGCCGCCCGGAAGGGGCGCGAGATGGGCAGGCTCAACATGAGAATAAAGGAAGCAGACTCACTTGGCGATAATTGCCCGAGCAGACACGAGCAGTTCCCAGGTATGGTGCGTCGATGCTCGCAAATCCCGTATCGTCGAGGTTGCTGATGGTGATGGTGGGGAGAGGCTGTCGCACCGGCGGCGGGAGGTCGAGAGGTCGGGAGGTGGTAGAAGAAGATGGTACTGGTACATACGCAGGTAGGTATTCGAGAGACAGGACAAGGTTCTTCTCTGGAATTACCCGGCCTGCTGCTTGTGTGTTGTCGGTAGCGGCAGTCAATGTCGTCTGGTCGAGCGTGTTCCAGATGGACTGCGTAGTTTATTTTTCGTGGCTTGCTTTCGTACCTAGGTAGATACCTCTAATCGATAGGTCGGAAGAGAATCGGCGTAGGATGGAGAAGCAGCTCAGAAGCAGCTTGCTGGTGCAGCCAGTCGAGGAGGTTCAGGACGCTCCCTCCATTGGTGTTATATGGCTGCCCATTTCCTATTTCCTGGAGATGATTCCTGGAATTTGGGGTGGTGCACAGCCTTGGTACCATTCTCGTCCCTTCGTGGATACAACACTCGCTGGATCGATCCCTTTCTCACCGATGCTGCCATGCATACCACCCTCCCTCTTCCTAAGTCGCTGCATGTGCATTGCTTGCGATTCACTCTCAAATCGATCCAAATAATGCATCGCTCGCACTGGTTTAAAGCTCCACAGCCAGTCACGACGCACACCCTTCATTTAGGGCTGACGGGAGTGACGCCTTTCCTGCCTTTCCTCGAGCAACCCTAAATGCGGCCCCTGCCCTCCCTACCACAATATCGAGCCCACACGAATCTCGGCCCCTCAATCTCAGGCGGACGGAGTAGAGCTACCGCTCTTCGCAGCCGTGGCCAATCGTAGCTTAATCCAGGACTGGCGACGCCGAAGTCGAAACAAGTCGACTGGTCACTTCGCTTAAGCCACGGAGGTACGACACTTCGAAGTGACTTTCTTACTATTGGGACGACTGGTGCTACTCGAAATGAGAGAGGCTAGGTTTGAGCGTCAATTCAAAATTGTATGCATCTCTACGGGCAGATTTCCCCATGAGCAAGGCAACTTGGATGATATACATAGATCCCGCCCTATCCTCTAAGAACACCTACGAAGCCATTTCTTAAAGCTCATTTGTTCAATGTTTTTCATACCACTGCTATCATTGACGTAAGACTGGGTTGTTGAATTACAATCGTTCTCATGGTAGAAGTAGTATGGTGTACTCGGCTCCGCTTTTCGTTAAAGACTATCGCTTCCATGGATCTCACCCCCTTTCAATAAGCGAGCCCGATAAATCTGCCACCAACCTGGAAGTCTGTCCTGTTCTGTCTAGAAGAATGTGCACAATGCTCCACTTCTTCATCCCGAAAATTGACGTAGCTAAACGCAGTATAATACTCTTTCGAATCAACGTTACCAAAGCTCGATCAATAATGTTGCAATTTCATTTGACCAAACACGATACCTATGGTATGATTTCAATGTGGCTCCTGTGGCTGAGCCGCCGTTCTCCGACGTATTACAGAGTCACTGGACTGTGAAGCAGCAATCCACAGGGCCGCGGCCGCATGCAAGGACTGCGCATCGCTGATGTCTTCACCTATTTCTCCATACCTAAATTCCATCAAACCGAGGCTAGAAACAAGTCTCCGAGCAGATGGCACACCATGGGCTCTGTGTGTATCTCCAATTCCCAGTATATCATGCCAGCGGCTTCTTAATCTTTCAATTGTACCTCTAAACACAAATCCCGAGAGTCTGTCTGGTGCGGTGGTTGAAAGTGTTGTGATGCGGGGTTACTCGGACATTTCCCGGTATGACATCTACATTTCTGTCGCGGGGTAGAGTATATGAGGAGCTTCTGCCATTGTGACAGTAAACATTACGACGATTTCTCCGACATCCCCAGATTCACTTTGACATCAATTGGCTATACAGAGAAACAACGCCGCAAAAATGGCTGAACGAACACTTGCAACCCTTGATGTACGCTTTATCCTGCCTGACCAGATCTCCCCAAATCATGGACGATGAAATGGCATATCAGGGGAGGTAGTTCTACAAAATATGTACTAATCTTTCGCAGTCATCGATAGTAGATCGTCTCCCCACCTCATCCCGCACCCTCTTTCAAGCCAAGACCCAGAAAGCCCTTACCTTTGAATCCATCGCTTCGTCTCTCGGACGTAGTGAAGTCGCAGTCGCGGCTTTATTCTACGGACAAGCCACCGCCTCAGCAGACGACATCGTCAAGCTCTCCGAGATCCTCGGGGTCGAAAAGTCACAATTAGAGGCAGAGCTCGCGCAAGGATTTCCAGATCGAGGACGAGCTGGACCCATGCCCCCGGTTGAGCCTCTGATTTACAGACTCTATGAGATTGTACAAAATTATGGATATGCATACAAGGCGATATTGAATGAGAAATTTGGAGATGGAATTATGTCGGCAATTAGCTTCAGCACCAAGGTCGAGAAGGAAGTGGATGATAAGGGAGAATGGGCCGTTATCACTTTGAGAGGGAAATGGTAAGCTGGTTCCTCTCTTTTTTTGGTCTCTTCACAAGATAGACAGTGGCGTTAATACTTTGGACAGGTTACCCTTCACTAGATTCTAGTTACTGCGTACAACAAACTTTTCAAATCTGGGATGGGGCTTTGACCTTGTAGAACTATCTATAGGTAGCTCAATATATATGTATACCTGTACTTATCATTAGATACACAGTTCAATCTTTAAGGCTTAAATCTAGGTACTCAAACATGTGACTAGCCCTAGATCGTCTTGAAAATTCGAATCTCATACACCAGGTCTACATGAGGTCTCAGCAATAAGAGCATTATTATAATATTATGCCACTCTACTCTATTCTATCTTTTCGTTGATCACAGCCACCTTTTCCTCTCAGGTACACTTTCCGAACCCCTTCTGGCATCCGGTTCCGCAATGTGTAGCCGTTGCGCCGCTGAGTTTACGTTAGTCGAATTCTGATACCCAGGGAAAATAGTACTAACCAATAACCAAACTCGCTACAGCATTGTCCGTTAAAGTCGCCTCCAGCGCAGGTCAACCCATTGCTCTTGGAGCCACATGATCCATCGACGGTAGGGATGTTAGTTGTAAGACAAGCGCTTGAAGATCCTTTCTGGCATCCGACACCGCAATGTGCGGTGGTGCTCCCACAGGATCCGGTTGTAGAACAGCTAGTGAAATTAGCGTAATGAAGGTGTATGCTAATGGTGATTACATACCAGTTTCCAAAGGTACTTCCTACACACGTTTTCGAGTTCTTGGTTCCACAAACACCATCTGTAGAAATGGTAGAAGAAGCTGTAGAACATGTGCCGAACGCGGACTGACAGCCGGCGTCGCAGAAATCTTTTCCAGTACCGCTATAACATCAGTTAGTGCATATTTTCTACATACATCAAATTTACTCTACCCAGAGATAAATTTGGGGGGGATGGACGAACCAAAAACCAGAGGAAGAACAGCAATCTCCTTTAGCACTCCCTCTACACGTCTTCCCGTTCTTTCCGCAGGCACCATCAGTTGAGATACTCCCAGAACAAAGTCCGAAGTTGGTTTGACTATGAAAGTTAGCAACAAAGCTTCAACGATGAATGCAGAAACTAACCATCCGGCGTCACAGAAATCCTTCCCCGTACCACCTAAGTAGAAGATTAGCAAAACCTCATTAATGGGGATAGTGATGACATACAAAAGCCGCTGGCACTACAACAATCTCCTGGCTTGCTTCCTTTGCATGTCTTCCCGTTCTTGCCACAACTGCCGTCTGTAGAAATGCTTCCCGATCCAGCGTTACAGGTGCCGAAGGCACTTTGGCAGCCAGCACTGCAGTGATCAGTTGTTGCTCCACACTATGATAGGTCAGTATCTACTCCTCCCGTTATAAGAAGCTATATGCGGAATTCTGGCCTGAAAATCCTTCCGATTCGCGGAGAATGGGGATTCCGGGCGGGTGGAAATATGCACAGACTACTTACAAAATTCTGCACTGAGCAACACTAGAAACAGGTCAGTACATATTCTCAATTGACTCTAGAGCCAGCATAGGACGATCCAGGTTCAAGAAGATAACAAAGAGAAAGATCTTTACTTCGCCGAAGGTCGACCCCTTACACGTCTTTCCATTTTTACCACTGTCGACAAGTCAGTATACGTTTTCCTACTTAACCAAGACCTGAGCACACGGATTCTCAATCAAAAGTGCTCTGAATCATGAGTAATCGGGTTAACAGAATGATGAAATACTACGAACCATGCGCCGTCTGTGGAAACATTGTTCGGCCCAAGACATGTTCCAAATTCAGCGTTACACCCTTGAGCAGCCGCACAGAAATTATCACCTATGCCGCACTAAGAGCACATTAGCAGACGTTTTTTTGTTGTAAGATATGTGCATAAAAATCAACGTTGCCCTGATCACTCCTGGTCAAGCTTAGAAGTGGAATAAGGGAAGGACCACTTACGAAGCCGCTGGCGGAGCAACCTAAAACAAAATTAGCATAAGCTTCTCCTCAATTTTGCCAAAGTTGAAACCGTGACCAGCCATAGAGACAGCTTGGCCAGTAAGAGTAGGAAAAGTTAAAGAACTGGAATGCATACAGTCGCCATAAGTTGAACCCTTGCACGTCTTTCCGTTTTTTCCGCAGGATCCATCGGTACTAATGTTGTCTGAACCGGTGCATGTACCAAAGTTTGCTTGACAACCTTGAGCTGCTGAGCAGAAAGCATCACCTGTGCCGCACTAGAGACAAATCAGCACACGTTCAGGTGAATACGGACCTGTGCACAGAGATCCAGCTTTAGTCCGCACATCCCAAATTCAAAGCATTAGAATGAGGAAAAAAAGTGTTGCATACGAATCCAGATGTTGAGCAACTGTGTATAGATATTAGTTTCGTAAACCTCGGAGTGTCGAATATTTGTCTTACCAGTCACCATATGTAGAACCCTTGCACGTCTTTCCATTCTTTCCGCATGATCCGTCGGTCGAGATATTACTCGTAGAAGCAGTACAGCTGCCGAAACCAGCTTGACATCCTTGAGCAGCGTCACAGAATGTAGAGGTAGCTCCGCAAAATCCGCTTTTCGAACAACAATCTCCGAAGGCTGAACCTTTACAGGACCTTTTGCCTGTTCCACCACATGCACCGTCAGTGGAAACTCCAGAGGCCACCGTACAGTTTCCGAAACCGGCTTGACACTACAATGAATTAGAACAGAGGCCGGGAAAGAAACATATAGAAGGATTACTCACTCCTGAAGAGGAATCGCAGAAGGCTGTACCGGCACCACAGAATCCACTGGCGGAACAGCACTATGTAAAGTAATTAGGGCAATTGTAATCAAAAATGTTTGAATCACAAGTAAGAGTCAGAATCATCAAAAGATCCTGATCAGGGGCGGCGAAAGAACAGAGAATCTACTCACAGCACCGAAGTTTGACCCAGAACATTTCTTGCCGTTCTTGGTTCCGCAAGCTCCATCAGTTGATACATCAGTAGCTCCAGAGCACGTACCAAAGCCTGATTGACATCCAGAGGCGCTACTACAGAAGGCATCTGTAGTTCCACACTGCAGCAAGTCAGTATAGGATTTTTTGAATCACTCTTCTACATGGGTCGTGAGTTGGAGGCGTTTCTGCAAAACTGATGTTCTACCAGCCATTGAGTAGTTGGGAGTAGAATAACTAGCACAAGAGTGACATACGAATCCGCTTGCAGAGCAGCACTAGAAGAAGTCAGTATATTGTTTTCTCGACGCCTCTGAGGAAGAGAGATGATGTAGTCAAGGTTTGACAGGCTCCCAACAAGTAGTGAAGGGAGCCTTCGGAACAAATAATAAGATGTAGCTTACAGTTCCATAAGATGATCCGGTACATTTCTTGCCATTCTTGCCACTATGTCTAAAGATTAGCATTTGGTTTCCCTACAAATATAGGTGCCGAATGCAGTGCTCTATAACAGAAACAAAGCCAAAACTTACCAAGAGCCGTCTGTGGAGATATCTGCACTACCGGTGCAGTTTCCGAAACTAGATTGACTGCATGGAATTAGTTGACGTTTTAAAGATTGAAAGTATAGACGTTCCACCCAGCTGCAGCATCGCAAAAGGCAGCGCTAGCTCCGCAAAATCCGCTCGAGGAACAGCTTTAACAAGTTAGTGTATATTTGGGCGAACTAGGATTCGAGAGAAAACTTGATTGACAGAGTTGCTCCAGATCGCCAGAAAATAAAGTTCAAAATGAGGGACAAAGACTGACCATGCTCCGTAGCTACTACCAGTACATATCTTGCCATTTTTACCACACTATATGATATATTAGTAAAGGTTCATCTAAGTGGTCTTGATTCAGGAGCTAACTCGAGAATCCCACACGCTCCTCGCTAGTAAGGAACGTCAACCAGCAAGGGAAAACTTCAAAAATGAAATAGATTTCATACTGCTCCATCAGTAGAAATGTTGTTTGGGAGAGTAGTGCAATTTCCAAAGCCAGGCTGGCATCCAGACCCACAATGGCCAGCGGTATCACCACAGTAGTTGGCAACACTGCAGCAAGCCCCTAAGCCACTACCTTTGCATGACTTTTGATTGGAACCGCAAGATCCGTCAGTGGAAATATTGGTGTCAGTAGTCGTGCAGTTTCCAAATCCAGATTGGCATCCTCCTCCGCAGTGAGCTGCGCTATCCCCGCAAAAGTTACTAGCAGAACAACAGCTTCCTCCTACGTAACCGGTACAGTTGTACTTGTTTATCCCAGAACATGATCCATCGGGAGAAATGGATCCTGGACCGGGAGGTGTTGGTGGCGCAGGTTCAGGTACCAAACAGTTGCCGTATGCGGGCTGACTAGATGTTGGGAATTCGGTTAGCGATCGAGGTAAAAGCTTGAGCAAGCATGACTTGACTTACCAGCCAACATCACAAAATTTACTTGAGCGACCGCAGATACCATCTTTGCTACAGCAAGCTCCCCACGTAGGAGAGCAAACGAAATTTTCAACCCCTCCACAAGTACCATCAATAGTGACCACGCCGGTTTGCCATGGGCTAAGTGCAGCAGTGGTAGTAGTTTGGCACAAACTAAGCTTGGGCAGTAGCCAGAAGAGAGCGAACGTCTTCATTTTCAGTGCTGGTGAGTGATTGGGATTGACCTGGAAAAGCAATGTCACAACAGGTGGTGTGGATGACAACACTGTAGAGGGGAAGCTTTACCCACGATATATACGCCACCTCTAACTTGAGTACCTGAGGGTTTAGATTACCCAATATGTTAGGGATGAATGCTCCACCGCATGATGTTCCGCGCTTTTTGATTGCGGCACAAAAAGAAAATTTCTCTCGCGTGGAAGCTGGGATTCGGGAATCTAGACTGATTTTTTGACTGATCTGATCATGGGGAACAGCATGCTTTGCCGCACAGAACTCTTCATTGCAAGTCTCACTCGATTAAAACCATTTCTCGGTGAGAAGTTAAGACGGAGAAACAACGCCAAGTACCTGCAGGGACCTTCCACGAGGTTGCTTTCATGGAATCAAGGGCACAATGCGGAGCAGCATTAGTGCGTGACAAGGCATGAGATGGCCGTACAACTTCGTATAAATAAGCGATTCGGTTTACCATTCTTAAGCTACCTAGGCTCGCGGTGGACAAAATAAGTGGCAGTTTAAACACGGTATTTCTTCGATTAAGTTAACGAAATCTCGTTATTTAGTGGATTAATTTGGAACAATATGAGATATTTCGTATATTGTTTTGAGTAAATAAAGCTTCTTACGCTCTGTTCGAAGTCGACTTGCATAGTCCAAGTTTACTGCGTAGGTGACTGACATTTATTTTGTCCTCCGCGAGCTAGGTAGTCAACGGCCGCCTGGTTCTCATTAGCGAAAGCTTCGGAAATGTTGAACCTTCTACGCCTCAAAACTTTTCATGATTTGGTTAAGTCCATTGAAAAAATTGTGACAAAGTGCTATTTTTGGAACGGTTGCCAACACCAATGGGCAACAAAACCCCGGAGTACCTGTCTTGCGAGTATGTCATGCGCGCACGCTTGGGTATACAATTAGGCCCTCAAAAACATTGGAAATGACTGAGATGTTTGAAACTTGTCCCTGCTAATTTCTAGTGATGTGACATTGAAAAAGCAGGTTTCTGAGACGGATGAATTGATCGATTAGTGCTCTAGGCTCGGGCAACAAAGTTCGATGTGATGCCTGATCAAACTGAACATTAGACAAATTTAGTGGGCAAGAGTAAGCGATTGGAGAGTAGGTTAGAATCCACGAATATGTGAATGCCCAATGGCCATCGATTGCCCGACGGTTCCGTTCAGGAACTGATTTTGGGGTCCATGGCAAGAATTTTAGAACCCTGACGTCTTCAAATTCTGCAAAAGGGGACCTGAAAGCCAATTGACCCTGGTACTCAGGGTCTTTCTAGAAGCCGGTTACTGCCTTGTGTACGAGGAATTGGACCCGAGATGCTGTACAGGCAGGTGTGGTTGGTCGTGTCGTACTACGTACATGCGCAAGCAGCTGTTGCTGCATAAGATTTGACTCATTTGAGGCTCGTAGTACCGCAATGGGCCTTCTCCGGTTGCGAGTTTTATTCCTGGTACTCAAATCCTCCACGCACAAGGAGAAGCCGTTACCCTTTACCCCGCCCTGAATAGAGGTTGTTTGGCGGTAATTCAGAATTGTAAGGACGACTAAAAGCGGTCGATTCGAAATTCGAGTGACACTTGCGCAAAGACCATGTTGTCAAAGACGAAAAAGTTGCCTCAAATCCCCTATATGAAGGACAACCGACTAGTCAACTGTTAAGCCTTCACAACTCCACTGAATAACCTCTATCCAGTGGGGCGGGGAGAGTAGGGACGGCAACAGACGAACCGCGGCGCCCAGTATATATCTGATGTTTTATGATCTCGGTACTTATCCATATGTCTGGGGAGCTTTCTGTCTGTGCTGGATGTTAGTGGCTTTCTGAAGCTACAATATATCTAAAACAAAGGCGACACTGCTACCCCCGTCAAGACTATTGAGATTGTGAATTGACCAACTAATATCACATCTATTTGAACTCGAGCCTTTTTCAGTTGGGAAGTTGAAGACAGAAAGCATCGGCCAAAGAAAAACCTATTGAAAATCGGGCACTCAGGCAACGTTGTTTGCTGTGCCGCACGATCGACCGTGATAATCGACCCATTCAAGAAATGCTCCGAGCACGAATATGAAGGATATCCGGGCTCGTGGAGTCAAGTTCTGGCCCACGTCGGGTAAGGCAAAGAGCATAGCTTAAAGACATTCAACAAGCTAAGCACCCCGGTGGCGCAGAACCCAAGCCAAGATGTTAATAAGGTTGCTGTTCCAGCTACCTCCGTATGCTGGGCTGGTCCAGAATCTCATGCTGAGCAGCTGAAGACCCACAATTAGCGACCTTGAGACGAGCTCAATCGGGACATATCTCGAAGGACTCCATTATGGGACAATCTCTCATCAAGGCACAATGGATGTGACGGGTTGCTTGTTGCTTGAGCGTCCAGGCTCAATCTGCGCGGATTCGGCCAACGTTGATCTAGGGGGGGAATTGACAGGCAAAATATATAATGATTGAAGCGCGCAGTAACCGAGAGCAAGATCTCAGTCGACAGACCTTTTTTATACTGTGTGACAACGACGTCGAAAATGTGGTTTCTGTCACTGAAGGAGGTCGCCGTCGGCCTCGTTATTTTTAGTTCACTGTCTGCATCACATGATGTTGAGTCACGTGAACCAGGTAAGCACGAGCCCTTCCAACTTCGTGACCTTCAATTACACTAGAAGAGGATGAGGAGCCATATGCTTACACGTTTTGTTTTCCGCTAGATCTCTCATGGCGCGATCATATCAAGCACAGCGTCGGTCACCAAAACCCGGCTGTTGCTCCACCAGTCGTCGCACCACCATTAGAGGACTTGGCTGCTATTCTCGAATCCAAAGTTGCACCATCCCAAGGTGTTAACAATTCGGTTTCTGTAAGCCCCAGAGCAGGTTCTCTTTTTGGCAGAGATGGCGGCCCTTTGTATTGCACGAATGGGCCTTGTGTTGATGACAGGTAAGCTCCAAAAGCCATCAGAATGCCTTTCATAATTCTGCACGTTTATAGCTACTAGCGTGGCCTCGCGTTGTGAACTTTGCTGAACCGCACTCGTCTTGTCTTTACCGCTGCATTCGACTGACAGTTACTCAGCTGTTGTGGACCAAAGGGAATCTGCGGCTATGGGCCCGACTTTTGTGGAACTGGATGTACATCAAAATGTGACGCTCTAGCAATGTGCGGACAGTACAGCGAGGATGCTAATATGCCTTGCGGAATGAACCTTTGCTGTAGTGCTACGGGCTGGTGCGGAGTACGCTGTATCTCTTTCCTGTGTCATCCCAAGACTAACGTTTGGTAGACCACAAATGTTTATTGTAACAATGCTGATCCTGCTCACTTGACCCTTCCATGTCAGGCAGGATATGGTTCTTGTGCAATTTACGGGGCGCCATCTTGTTCTGAAACTAGTGGCAGCTCCTCAAGGCGCAAGATTGGCTACTACCAGTCTTGGAATGTCCGTGAGAGACTCTGTAACAAGGTGTCGCCAAGCCAGCTTAACACTACCGGCTACACTCATTTGTTCTATGCATTCGCATTTATCGACCCAAATACATTCCGGATCACCCCTGGCCACAATGATGATCTCACCCTAATGAAAGACTTTACTAAACTTCAAACAGGCAGTTTAAAAACTTGGATTGCTATAGGTGGCTTTGATTTTAGTGACATAGGACCAACTCATACTACATGGTAAGCAGATAAGGTTCATGTTGTTATTTGGTTTTCCTGACGTATATAACTCGCAGGAGTGATATGGTATCTACAAAGGCCAATCGTGCAGCCTTTATAAGTTCCGTCAAGGATTATATGGATCTTGTAAGCGATGAAACAAATTTGCCTTACTGGAGTTGACGAAATGCTAATTCTGTGACTTAGTATGGCTTCAGTGGCGTAGACTTGGATTGGGAATATCCAGGTGACCCAGTCCGAGGAGGTAATAAACTCGCTGATGTTAGAAACTTCCCAGCGCTTCTACGGGAAATGCGAGCAGCCTATGGCACTAAATACGGTATTAGCTTGACGTTGGCGCCAGATTACTGGTATCTTCGTTGGTTCGATGCAAAGGCAATGGAATCTAGTGTTGACTTCTTCGGTTTCATGGCCTATGGTAAGAGCTCAGTTGCCCTACAAGTTCTTGATATTAAGAGAGACGTCTGACATGTTTTGATTGATTAGATCTTCACGGGTCTTGGGACACGGATGTGAAGGCTCTCGGCAAGATTGTTCGTGGTCAGGCCGATGTTCGCGAAATCAGAAACGACACTATGCCCCTATGGTTCGACAACCTAGACCCTGCGAAGATCAACTTCGGTTTAGCAATGTACGGCCGTGGCTATACTTTAGCAGACCGGACTTGTAATAATATGCTCTGTCCATTTAGCGGCCCAAGTAAGCCAGCACCTTGTACGGGGCAGGAAGGTGTCATGTCCCTTCTTGAAATCAAGCAATTAATCAAGGAACGTAATATCCAACCAAAGTACCTACCAGACGCAATGATGAAACAGCTGACATGGGACGATCAATGGATTGGCTACGACGACGAGGAAACTTTCGCTGCGAAACAGAGATTTGCCAATTCCATGTGCTTTGGTGGAACGATGGTCTGGAGTATAGACTTCCAGGCGTCTGGCTCTGGCGGGTGCGTTTCCGTGATCACGTTATTCTACCTTGATCTCTCTACTGACTCTAACTAGTTTGAATGAAACAAGAGGGGACGTTGTGTATCTCGCACCTGATGTTTATTCCGGAACACCTGCTCAATGCACAGCTCCTTGTCTCTTCGTTCTACCCCCTCGAGCTCTGCCTGCTCCCACGACCATTTCAATCGCACCTTATGTAACATCTCTTGAGCTCGGACCCGGTACTACTACAACGATTACTGTAACAGTACCAGCAATTACAACAGCCTCAATGGATTACTACAACTACCAAATTTCATCTGGCCAAGCCACGACCGGTTATACTTTCACTCCCACCGCCAGTCTTAGTGTATCACCCATTACCACCACACTGAAGCTTCCAGGCGGCGCCACTCAGGTCAGAACTCTTCACCTCCCACCGTGGCCTGCAATCACGAATCCATCTGGGGCGTTGACGACTGTCACTGGTAAACCGCCCAGCAGTTCTTCAAATTCTGCTGGCACAAGTGGCATTGGTGGATTTATTGGATGGCCCGATTTCTCGAATACACCACCTGCCCCCCCTGAGCCAACCGTCGATCTTCCAGTAAAGCCGCCTTATACCCCTCCACCCAATTCTCCTACCACCCTTATCCCTAGTTCTACACCGACTTGGCCAGTCTTTGAGATCATACCCGTTCAGTCGGACGTCCCAGAAGGCGGGCAGGATGATGACGGAGACGGACCGAAGTCAAAATCCACTTGCAAGCTCTGGTTCTTTTTTATATGCGTCAAATGGGACGATTTTAACATAAAAATTGGTGGTTGGGAATGGAATATGCCGGTTGGAATTTGGGGTCCTGGGCCTCCACCGATCGCTAACATCAAGCTACCTCCAGGATTCACCCTCAAGGGAACACTTCCCCGCTGGCCCAAGATCACAGTCCTTCCTGGTGGAAAGGTTGTTCCTCCCAGTCAGCCTGCCGATTGCACACCTGCACAGGCTTCACTTTGTTACACAACTAGCTCGTTTGCAACTACTGTTAGTAAGGGCGCCACGAAGACAACCGCAACACAAGTGAAGTCTACCTGTGCCACGATTACAGGCTGTAATTTCAAAGATGTTGAGGCGACGAAATCCGTTGACGCATGTAAATTGGCTCGTCGAACCGCCGCTTATATGGTAAAGGACGCGCTCCCCAAATCCACAGGCATTGCAGACCCATACGTGGAGAAACGAGCTACGAACAAACCAAAGTGGGTGGAGTCTGGCGCGACGACTGGAGCGTTTCTGATTCCGCGTACTCCCTTTTCAGCCGTTGAGCGGCAAGCAATTGAAGATCTTCTTACTGAACGGGACACTGACCTTATATGTAACGGTAAGCCGTATGGCCATACTGAAGTCTATGCGAAAGGGCCGAAGTGGACGGCGTACTGGCGCGTCGAAAACGTCGGAGCTGAGGTGTTGAAATGGTTCGACTCGCCGAACTTTCCTGAGGTAAAATTATCTCTGCCCACGAGGCTTGACTACATTGCGCGTGACAATCCAACACAGCTAACACTTCTTCGTATTCTAGATTGCCTTCGCCTATGCTCAACGTGCTCGCACCTCTGTGAAGCCCCGCGATACTCACATCAAGGCGGTCGACTTGGCTGACAATGGAAATGTCACTCTTGCATTCTCAGGAGAGAGTTCATTCATCTTAGACAACATGAGTGATGAGCAGAGCCATGTACTGGCCAAACGAGCTTTCCAATCAAAAGTAGATGGGAATTGGCATCTCTCTCAAATTGCTACTCCACCCAACATTTACTTTGACGTTGATGACAACAGAGTTGGGCATTTCCCACATCAAGACAAGTTCTATAGACAAGAAGATGACAGCCTTGGTGTTGGCCAAACAGCGTATATAGTAGAGGCTGGTTGGCTTCCTGGTGCTACGGTATGAATCTCTCTTGACAGTAAGAATACGTCAAAAGAGTCGATGCTGACATTTGGGACATGCAGGAGTACGCTTCATCGATTCTTCCACCACTACCTAAGCCTGCTTGGATTCCGCAAACATTCTACGATGGTAGCCAAGAAGATATTGAGCACGGCTTCTTAGTCATGAGTTACTTTGGCGGGGCTAACGTTGGAGGTATGTAAACATGCCTTTGTCACTCTCTTGACACTTGACCCTCATTGGCTTTGAGTACATAGTCTAATTTGTTTCAGTGGCGAAAAATACTAAGATGGTCCACGTACCATACAGCAGGAGTATCGAATTTGGCATTGAATCGATTCTCTTTGCTTTGGTGTCGATCGCAGATGACCTTGAAGGCAAAGGCAAGAACACGGCCGTGATTAACATGTCATTGGGAAGCCATAATGGAGCCTACCAAAGCATTCTTAACCAAGTTCTTCGTAAGTCTTATCATATCCTGCAAACACCCTCTCGTCGCATTCCTGCCAGGCCAACAATGTTTACTTTTCCTCAATTATTAGAAAATCTTTTGCTAATATCTGCTAATATCTCTAGAAAAAATCATGTTCATAATGGAGGGCCACTACGGGGTTGTTTTTGTAACTGGAGCCGGAAATGACGGCGTCGAAGTCGTTTCATATCCACAAGTGATATCGAGATCTCTCGCGGGTATGCTCGTCGTTGTAGCCAACACAAAGAATGGGGACGATTACTCGGGCAACAACAGAGGCGATGTCGTTAATGCAAGGGCTCCAGGGGTGAACCTACCCAAACCTCCTAATCAACTACTCAGCTTTTATACAGGCCTGTTGACAGGAACTTCTTTAGGTAAGTGATACTTCTTGTGGATTTGAGCGTCCGTGATTTCTAATATTCTAACTTTTTGATAGCTTCCCCTCAGGTTGCTGCTCTTGTTTGCATCTTCCGTAATATGCAGAATGGGCCTAAAGCACCCGCAGAAGTTAAAGTCGCGATCAATCATTTCCATCGTAGATTGATCTACAGTGATATGATTGAAAGGCCGTCATCAATTTGGAGTGGAATGCAGCGTGATCTGGGTGTTCCCACGTGCAAACGGGATCTCTACGGCAGGCAAGCTTGTTCTCTACCGGGTGGGGGAAGTCCAGACACGAGCCCCCTTCTCGCGCCTCCCATCCAGTATCGATATGGTCCACCCGCGCCACTCTGCAAGGAAAAGTGTGGAACTTTATGCTCCGGTTATTTCTGTGCTCCAATTCCAAGAGGTCCTAATCCCGACTTCGTCTTGCCAACGGGCGGTATTCCTGCACCTGTTCCTACGACACCTGTGACAGTACCTACAAAACCTACAACCAGCCCTACAGCTGTAACAAGTGCTCCTGGCGGTGGAGGAAATAATCCTCAACCAACTGTGACGTCTGCTCCAGCTGGAGGCGGTGGACTGTGTACCGCAACCGCAGGAGCAGGCTATACATGGAGCTACTGCTCATGCCCAAGTATGACGTTGCCTACCATGACAGCAACCAACAAACCTTGTGGCTACACCGCTCTACCATCGGCATGCCGACACGGAGGAAGTCCCAAAGAAGGTACAGAGTGGTGCAATTGCGACGACTTTCCCTACACCCTACCAGTCCTGCCTACCTCGACGAATCAATGTGGCTACACTAGTCTACCAAAGCCATATCCATACACATATACTGATGGCTCCAAAAACATCATTGCATGCGCCACCTCCTCGGTTTCAAATGGTAAAACAGACTGCGCCGGCCCGGTCTCTACCGTATCCAAAGCTCCAGACCCAGCTCCAAGCCCTCCGCCACTCGAACCGCTTCCACCTTGTATCACAATCCACTCCTTCCTCTACAACAACTGGGCCACTGGTGATGGTATTGGTGTTGTCGTTTGGGAAAATGGTGAAGTCGTCTGTGATGGTCAAGAAAACGTAGTGGCAATGAGCAGCACCTACGTCTCTCGTTGGGATTGCAAGAATGGAGGCAAACTGGTTGTCACTGATAATGCGCACGATGTCAAGTATTATCCCAAAGACAATGGAGTTGTCGCCCAGTATGTTGAGAAAGACGGCGTACATGATTGGGATCTCTGTGGGGAGACGCCTAATGGTGGCAGTTTGAAGTGTTGGTGGTTTGAGTATACCTTCTTCAACAGCTACTGCAAAACTTGTGCAGTGGCTCAGATGTGTGGAGCAACGGACTGCCCGAAATTTAATCCAAAGTGTTAGTTGAATTGCATGAATTCACAAGCTGAGAGTGCCGGATGTGGACTTGTATGAAGACTTGTGTTTTTCTACAAAAGATGGATGGTTTTCTGGTACGTAGGATTAATAAAGTTGAGAAAATTCTTTAATTACCAATGCCTTTGTTAGTGTGTTGCCAGAATCCAAGACGTGTCAAAATGTACTATCTAGTACCATGTACCCTATCACACTTTCCTCAGTTAAAGACTCAACAAAATGCCTCGGTCGTTCTTTTAAGTCATACAATCAACATTATGTTCCGTCGAATTTGAGACACCGGCGAGCGTTCCAGGGGTTGAGCTCACTATACGTTTGCATTCTCTTGGACACTGCCGATACTGAGAGGGAAAAATAAAATGCTTTTAGTTCTATTCGATAGAGATCCTTTATCATGTCCATATTACCAAAGGCATTATAGTAGAATATTGCTTATCGAAGAGGTCGAGGCAGTTGCCCGTCGCTAACCCCTTTGAGCCTCGAAGCTACCGAAAGTCCATCAGATTCCTCCCGGTTTGCTGTTTCGAAACCACCAACAAATTTACATCAACATTTTACCAAAAAGGGGGGGGGGGGAGGGAAATGGCACGTAGGACGGATAAGAATCTCATTGGAGATACAACTCACGGGTAAATGCAGATCTGCGTGCGTGTTTGGAAGTCCTCTGATGGCTGCCTAGAGCTTGCGTAAGCGAACGGATCTTTACATTTACTTGCTTTACTAGCATGAATTTTGTTGGGTTATTAACATCAAATTAGCGAATTGAGTTTTGACATTGTCATTCTGTGCGTGTTTCGATTTTTCGCTATGGAGAAGAACGTCACAGTAGATCAACTAACTCGATCAAATTTCAACTCTTCAGAATCCGAGGCCAATCATTTCTTCGCAAACAACAAGACCTGTAGAGATACATTACCAAGTTCTGACGCAGTGAACATAGAAGCAATAGTGGATTCGAAGGAAGATAAGAAAGACTTCAAAGTAGCCGTGTTCGAGGAACCTTATGTCGAACCGGGTCCTCCACCTTACTCTGCGCCACTTGCAGTTTTGAAAGGGGAAGAGCCAGAGAAGAAAGTCTGGTGGAAAAGAAGATGGGTGATATTACTCATTCTCGCTATTATCACTCTGTTAGTCGTGCTTTTGGGGGTCTTGCTTGGGGTCTTGCTGTCGAGAAAGGGGAGGCGCTACGAAAACACGAATGGATACTCGAGTAGCGGTGAAGGCGCTGGAAATGGAGATCAGTCGAATAACAGCAGTGATGCTAATACTGGAATATATAGTCCCGATCCTGCTGATCGACCAAACTCAGTAAACGGACCGGGTCGAGTGTAAGATTACGTTTCTTCCACACGTGAAGTCGTACATTAATCACAAAACAGTACATCAACCACATCAAGCTCACTTCCAACCTCAACAGCCGGCAATGCCTTACCCCCCGCTCTCAACACTGTCATCGACATCATCGAACTAGTCGACAAAAATCCAGCAACTCTCAAGCAAACATCACTCGTGAAACTCTTTTTCCAAGACCACGACGGCTATCTTTGTGAGAAATCCTCCTCAGATGGCACTTCCACTTGGGACCTGCCGGATAGCGGCTCACGAATTATGAAAACATACAGCGGAACATCCATAGCTGCAGTCACGTCACCTGATAACCAATTGCCCATCCGTGTGTTCTTTATAACGCCTGAAGGCTATCTCGCTGATATATTCCAAACAGAAAGCGGTGGTGCTTGGGCTGATGGTACACTTAGAGATCAACAGTACAAACCTGGATTTCTGGCACTTGCGACAAGAACTATTTCTATTTCAGCGACATGGTGTAAAGGGGACTTCCCTGTTGTTTTCGTGCAAGGAGACGATCTATCTATTAAAGCATTCCAACTAGTAGACAAGAAGGAGACCACGACAACAAGCTCAACTTACACCTGGGAATCTGTGCCCGGAAACTACGGTGGGCTTAGCGGAATCACTAGTTCTCTGAATTTCGATGCTGTGTGTGGATTACAGCCTGCCGCAGATCCAGAAGAGAATTCAAGTATCGTGTTTTATAACACTTATACTGGTACGGAAACAACAGGACATTTGAATACTGCTATAGACAACGGTACGTACCTTTTACGTTTTAATATTAACATCCAACTAATTCAATCAGATACCGCACCCGTCAGCCTCCCAGCTTCAGTATCCCCTCTCTACCGCCCCAACACCCCCATTCTAACAATCTTCGGCGACCTCCCCTCCCTCTCAAACATAAACACACTCAACAAATCCTTCCTCATCTTCTACCCTCTCCCCACCAATCTCTTGGACCTGCAATCCCCACACATCCACGTAACCCTCGCAACCATATCCCCAACCACGCCACGTACCAAAAGTCTCCCCCGAACCATCTCCTACTCTGAAACCTCTCTCGATACAGGAGTCAAGCCCTTCGCATATGGGAATTCGGCGAAATTTTCTGAAGGTTTGAACGTCGGATCAGGCATTACGGGGACGATGCCGCGGGCGTGGAGACCCTTTCTACTCAAAGGGACTGAGGGAGCGGGTGGGCGAGGGAAAGTTGTTGTGGTTTATCAGCGGGAGTTGGGTGGGTTAAGCATGGATGTCCTAATTGGAGCGCAGGGGAGGAGTTCAATGGTTATCATGGAGGACTGGAGGAGCTTGGGGTCAAGGTGATGGGGTGATGGGGTGTTGGGTGGTTTTGGCAATTGATGGATGTGTTGTAGTGTGCCCATGTTATGATTTGTGTAGTTTTGGTACAGGTTTTGGCGATGAGTACGAAATCCGAAAAAATGTTTGAAAATGATTTCCAAATTAGCAGGGTACGTGCAGGTATATGGAGATTGAGTCGACAGATTCTTGATTTCCCAATATAGGCGATTATAGGACGTAGAACAGAATGATAACTTCCTGCCGTGTAGGCGGAGCTCTATCCAACTATGGTAAATTTATCTAATGTCTTGAACGTAGGTCTAAATAGGATCTTAAAGGTTGTAGTTGAACCCTAGAAATACTAAGCGATATATTTTGTTGCCGCACTAAAAACGCCATTATTCATTAATCTCAGACCATTCAGGCTTAAATTCCTAAGGGGGGTTGGTTGATTAGTCACAAATTTTGTTGGGTTGGCGTCCCGCAGGCAGAAGCCCCCATTAACAACAAAAGTCATACCAAGATAAATTTTGAAGCTTCTACACGATATTCCAGTCCTGACACTTCATTTTACTTGAGAAGAACAAGTTCATTTTCTAAGGGTTCTTACCATCAAGTATATCAGACACCAGCTCAGAATTATTCTTTTGCGCGAACGCCAGTGTTATTACAGCAGTGGCATTATCTTCCATAGTCAAGTGTCGATTGTCGATTGACCTTCCCGAAAATGGCAACCACTACCACGAGATTTATGATAATCTCTGATACTCACAACTTCCAGTTTGGCAATGCTGAGAGATATGACGGCGAGTTCGTTCAACCAACACCAAAGTGCGACGTCCTCCTTCACTGTGGAGACTTGACCATGACAGGTGGAATAGCGGACTACAAAAAGTGCATCCAAATGCTAGGCACCATTGATGCTGAAGTAAAACTTGTTATCGCGGGGAATCACGATCGAGATCTGGACCCTAACTGGGACCAGCATCCGGATGAGTTTGACCAGGAAGTGCAGGATGAACACGAGGAAGCAATTGCTCTGTGGAAGGGGCCAATCGCCAAAGCTGCCGGCGTTACTTATTTGGAAGAAGGACTGAACACATTGAGCTAAAGAATGGCTCCAAGTTCACCATCTATACTTCACCGTATCAACCGGAGTTTTGCAACTGGGCATTTCCCTACGAACGGGATGAAGATCGGTTCAACCCTGAAGACAAAGTAGCACCGGGGATGAAATGTATCGCGAAAAATCCAATTCCTGATTTCCCAGGTATAGACCTCATGATGACCCATGGCCCTTCAAAAGATATACTTGACTGGACGCCTGACCAGAATGTTGGTTGCGAATCCCTTCTCAGAGCCGTCAGTCGAGCAAGACTGAAGCTGTATTGTTTTGGGCATATTCACGAAGCCTACGGAATGGAAATGATATCGTGGGAAGAGGACAAGAGTCTCATCGGCCAGGCCGCTTACAAGAGCAAAGTCGTGCACAAGAACGAATATCCTGAGCCGTCAATTATGCCCATCAAACATGGAGAAGAAACTTTGATGGTTAATGCAGCAATAATGAACATGGGTTACCGACCTACCAACAGTCCTTGGTTGTTGGATATTGAGCTTCCTCGAGTCTAGTGGAGGGTGTGAGCTTGGTCGAAGGAGACTGTTTTCAACGACGAAGTTATGAATGTAGCTGAGTTCGGACGCGATGTTGTGATGTTCCTTAGCAAACAAATAACGAACATTGTTGCCCGCCCTATCTGAGTATCTTGCGGCAATAATTGACTTTTAGTCACTTGCACGCGGGCGTAGAGATATAGGAGTAAATCATTATGTTCCGTTTCAAACGCGGAGCTATGGCACCTCGAATTATTTGCAATACGTTTTGAATCCTTACTGAGGGTATTTGGACCCGGTACACGTGGTGCCGTTGTTTCTGGAGCCGACAGTCATATAGCTATAGTGTAAAACTAAGCTAACTTGTTTCGAAGAGTTGGTAAGAAGGGGTTTTGCATTATCGCAAATTATGGGCTTTCGAATTGGATGTCCTCCCCCGCATCTTTTACGAATGGTTAATACGTAAAACGTCACGTGATTCCTCTTCTTCGTGTAAGGTCTTCCAAATTGGATCTGGTGCTCGTGACCGGCATAACCGGTGAACGGGATGGTCAATAGTCAATCCTGGCTTGCTCTCCAATTGAGTGAAATCGAACCGGCTTTTGGAAGAAATCGTTACAGCAGGTATCACAAAGTTTTAGAGTTCGTGACGGATTTTATAGAACGAGCGACGAAGCCGTGTGTGACATCACGCATGCTCCACGTCCACGGCCCTGAAAAGTGACATTTCGCCTGGGATGTTTCACCAGTGCATCTTCCCGCATTTACCCTCCCGGATTCGTCATTTCCCAGCCGGTAGCGCGGCTTCAACAACGAGATACCTACTGTACCGCACGACTCGAACCCGAGACCAGCGCCAATCTGTCGTGTTTACCGCGGGACGCTCGTGACGTCAGCCCCAGCAGCAATAATTGGCAGACTCCAGGGCAAAGGTTCCTTGCCAGCTGCCAGTATCGCGATGCAGAGTGTGGAGAGCTGACGATGACTAGTGCAACATGGAAACAGGAATTTGGGCAGACGCTCGGGACCCTAGGTAGGCGTTGTGCGTTGTATGTATGCTTATAATGTTATAAAGTGCCAATCCTTCACCTACTGGTCATCTGTCGGTCTTCGTCCTCGCATACGCAATTCTAGACTTCCTGCTATCGTGTCGCGTGGTAGTTCGCAGCATCTCCCAAGGTATGTTTTCCGCTTCAAAGCATCAGACAGACGCTCATCAGACCGTGACACCAGCCAACCCATCAGCATAAATTCATAAACATGTCCGATAAGAAGCAGGCCCAGAACCAGGTCGCCGAGGAAGAGGAAGAGGAAGAGCAGTCGGAGGAAGAGGAGGAATCTCAGGACCAACAAGTCCAGAAATCAACACCTCAAGCGAATCAATCAAACCAACAATCAAACCAATCCCAACCCCAACAAAACGGGCAACAAAATGGCGAACAGTACTTGATCGAAGGCCAGGAGCTTCAGCAAATGCTGCCACCGCGAGCGGAGGGATACCGACCTGCGCCGATCCGAGAATCTAGAATCAAGGACCGTCCATACAAGGAAGTTGAGAGTAGCATGAAGATCAAGATCGAGCTGGATCTAGAAGTCGAGGTACGAGTTCTTGACCACGTCAAAGGGTATATCCTTATTGGGAAAGACGGTGTGACTGATTTACGTGTAGGTTGACCTTTACGCCAGAGTGAAGGGTGATGTGACCATTGGTCTGATGTGATCGGATAGATCCCTTTCGAGACATGATGGTAGGAGATCTTGGGACGACCGCCCGGCTAGTATCGCACGGGCTGTAATGTAATTGAACGCTATGTAATGAATTTCGTTGTGTTATCGAGAAGAAGACGCCATGACCATAGGCATCAGTGGTCAATTGGAAGATATTCCATTGGTGATATTGCGAGGGCCGGATTGACCCTTAACGCATGTATCGCTGGGGCGCAGGTGTATGTAGGATTAGTGAAAATTCTAGCTTATGCTTTCAGCAATTGTTCATGTCTGGGCTGAGATATCGACCAGACCGAGAACCTTCCGTAGATACAATACGAGCTTCAGCAATGGCCTCTCTAGAACAGCCTTTTAACGTGTCTGCAGACGACTAACTTCCGCGCATCAACGGCTATGATCCGTGTTGCTTAGAATGTGTTTCTTCCAATTAGTCGCTGAACCCAGAGAAGCACTGATGCCATAGAAGACAATGGCCTGAAGGAGACAGCTTTGGGCGGGAAATGCGGGAATGGCTACATTGGCAGGACCATGGTCCTAGTGTGACTGCACATTTAGGCCTCGGTGAAGACAAGTGTACTTAGCTTGTTGTGCGGTCGAGCTGGCCATCGTCGACGATTTGAGCGAGGAGTGAACTGCCTTTTCCGATGTCGTCGTCGAGTTGTATTTTTAACTGCCGCGCCAAACCCAAGGGAGACTAGATGCCGAGCTGCACATGCGCTAGTCCTCATAGGGCCTCACTCAACACCTCGCTCTCGTGCAACTTCACAACCGAATCCTACTCATTTTCCAATTTACAGTTTCCTTGTGCGCAGAAGTCAAAGACTCCATCTATCCTCTCTTCTTGAAGACCACTTATCACCTTGTGTTTTACCCTCAATCTCGCTTCAATCTTGCCTGCAATGGCAACGGCTACTCAACATGCCGCCGACGACACGGAGAAAAACAATGCGGTAATTGAGAAATATGAGATTCCAGAGCCAGAACCTTTTATATCTTTTGCGGCGCTGAAAGATCGGATCCGGCATCATTATGAGATGGCATCTGATTACTACTACTCCCTTTGGTAAAACTACTCGCACTCCACTCCACTTGTCCGTCCAATCTGATACACGTAGGGGTGAACACATCCATCATGGTTACTTTCTGACTCCAGAAGATACAAAGGAGAAAGCCCAGTTACAGCTGATTGAGCTTCTCCTGGAACGCTCCGCCTTACCCAAAGGTAGTAAGGTCCTTGATGTGGGATGTGGAATTGGAGGCACCTCGCGCTTCTTAGCTAAGAACCATGACTGTGCGGTAACCGGCGTGACAATCAGTGGTCGCCAGGTCGAAATAGCTAAGAAAATCACCCTTGAAGCTGGCGGGTCGGAGCCATCAGAAGGGAACCAAACTTCAACGCTCGGCAGCGGATCGGTCCGCTTTGTCGAGCTTGATGCCGAAAAGATGGGCGTCTTCTTTACCAGCGCGCCAAACGAGGAGAAGTTCGATTGCGTCTGGATTTCTGAAGCAATGAGTCACCTACCTAACAAAGCTCTCTTTTTTGAGAATGCACATCTCCTTTTGAAGGATGGCGGAAAATTAGTTGTTGCAGACTGGTTCAAGAACGAGGGCCTGTCGGAGAAGGAATTTAAAGACGATATTTCCCCTATCGAAGATGGGATGTTACTTCCCCCATTGTGCACACAAGCCGACTATGTGAATTTTGCCAAAGCTGCGGGCTTAAAAGTGTTCACGGAGCCGTTCGATATTAGTAAACAGGTCTCAAAAACTTGGTAAGGTGTTCCTAATCTCTTCGTTCCATAGTCTTTAGCTAATTGGGATAGGGATATTTCGTGGGCTCTGATCCAAAACCCCTCGCTATGGGCCTTTGCTGTATCTCAAGGTAGAGATGGTCTCGCGTTCATGCAAGCTTTCCGTGCTATGAGAAGAGGATTCGCCAATGGAAGTTTTAGATACGCCGTAATGGCGTACCAAAAGTAATTGATTTGCATATGAGTTCCTGGCCGTTTATTGAGCGAACATAGAAAAGACATGATATCGATATATGTATGGCATGTGTTAGAGAAGCTAACGAGCTTAGACCCTTGTAGCGAGAAAGGATAGGCTAAACAAAACTCTTACATCGGTTGGAAAATAGAACTTCTTGCTTTTGAAACCGACAAAGCCCAAGTAATGGTCTCTCTACCAATTGTGCGCTATGTAAAGAATATCCTTGAATCTTAGTGGAAGCGCGTGACATTGGAGGGGGATTCTCCAATATCGGCCTAGCAGTCTGAATTCTTGATGCTCTCTTCTGTTGCTATCTGGCTGGATGGTATATCCCATCAAGTGCGATTCGGAACACACCAGTGGAGCAGAACACCACAAACAAGTGATGCACCTAGTCAGGCTCTAGTATAGCTTCAACGAATAAACGGTCGTTCGTTTTTGGGTGGTGTCTCTACGCGGACGTATTAAACTTTCTTTTACGTCGCCTTGGCACACTCTCTACTTAGGAAAAACTCAACTTTTATATTTAGCTGCACTATTATGATTTGTAGTACGTTAACGATCTTATTTGTCCTTCTAGAAAGAACAAATATAACTTTACTAACATTAATCGTCTAATAGACCTCAGGATTAAGTATTGTTGATTTGACGTTGTTTGGCTTTAGCCTTAGAAAAAAATTAATTTATCCTCGTAGAGGGTGTTTCCCGCACTTGATGGGATAACCGGAGCAGCTACAAAGTCAGTATTTGAATAACCTTCTTTCTTCCTGACCAGCAACCTTGACACCACCATTCTTCAGAACAGCCCTGTTCAACATCCCATAGTACAATCTCAAGCAAACGCATCCAGCAGCGACAAAGAACAGCAATGCAGCATTGGTCCAATGTCCAGTAGGGTAACCTCTTTTCGCTTCATCGGCTTTATAGATCCAAACACCAGCGATCTGACCTGGTGCACCAAACGAGATATTCAAGGCAATTGCTAGTCCAGCAGCGGCAGTGCTAAAAAGATTGGAGGAGAGGAAGCCAAGTAGTGGAGGAATGCAGGAAAATGCCCCCGAGGCAGCGACGATGAGACAACCATATCTAGAGGTGTACGAATGAGCTGGAAGAATAGCTGAGGCCATAAATCCTGCTGCGCCTATTGTTGCAAACATCGCGGAGTGAAGAGCACGAGCATTGAAATGATCCGCAGAGTAGGAGACCAGGATGGTCACAACATAGGCCACTGCATACGGTGGGACGGTCATGAGCTGGGCTGTCAAGTCATGATAACCCAAGCCAGCTGTGATACTAGGCGTAAATAGCGAAAGACTGGAAAAGGGTGTTGAAATGCCGAAATATATCGCATAATGAGCGTAAAGCCTCCAGTCAGTGAGAGTCTCCTTTGCTTGAGGCCATGTCAAGTTCTGGCCAGTGCCATGACTTCCTTCGGTCAACAACCTCTTCTTCGCCAAAGCCTTTTCATCGTCACTTAACCACTTCACGGTTTCGGGGTAATCCGGTAGGTAGCAAAATACGAAAACAGATGATATACAGGACGGGATGCCTTCGAGGATGAAAAGCCAACGCCAGGCGGAAAGACCGTGTACGCGGTTCATGTGTCCAACACCGAAAGCTATGGCTCCGCCAAAAGCTCCAGCCAAAGTTGCGGAAGCAAGGATGAACGCTACACGAATTGACCGTTCCTCCGTACGGTACCAGAATGTTAAATAGTAGACGAGTCCTGGGAAGAGACCTTCAACGACATCAGCAGCCCGACCAAAGAACTAGTTGGGATGAAAATCTTACCGGCTTCGAATAATCCCAGTATAAATCTGACGGCAGTCACACCAGCGAAACTTTTTGTCCCACCAAGGCCAATCGTGACTGCCCCCCATGAGAACATTAAAAATGCAATCCATTTACTAGGGCTGAGCTTCTTGAGGAAATAGTTTGATGGGACTTCGAAGATAGCATAAGCAATCAGAAACACCATCAAAGCAATACTAGTGGCATTAGCTGCCATAATACATTCTCGTTAAGCATGGCTCACATGTATTGGAAGTTTGTCATGTGAGTCTCTGTAAGGAGATCATTCTTAGTAGAAGAATTAAGAGTTTTAGCATTTCCTGTAAAGATATTAGAATGACAATTTACGTAATTTGCAATTTCACGAATCTCAAACACTATGAGCATGGATAACACTAACCAATATTCGAGCGGTCAAGATAACAAAGCAAGTAAATGCCAGCACTCAAAGGTATAATTCTCAAGTCTTGTCTCCATACCAAGGCCTTATTCTTGACTTCTTCCTCGGCGGTCATGGCGCAGTCAATTCCATGGAGTGAAGTCTAAAAATCAATCAACCTTTATTTCGCTTTAGATAGAGGTGGGGGTAGGTACCTCTTGTCCTTTGCCCTCCTCTGCGCCGGACATCAGATCGTGCTTGGGCATGACGGATGTGTAGAAAGTAGTGACGATTCAGATACGCAACGGATATTACCTCGGAATAGTAACAAGCAATTCGAAAAAAACGAAGTTGAGCTGAGTCTTGATTCAGGACGTAAAAGTGACGGAAATGAATTGCCTACTAATAGGGTAGTCAACCCCACTCACCACGAAAGTTGTTGAGTTCTGGGGTGTAGTGCGGGGTTAGTCTGGCCGAGCGCGGTGTGCGTTGCCCGAAGAGGACGAGAATAGTTGTCTTGAGGAATTAACCCTCTTGGAAGTTGTAACAGATAGGCAACATCTTCTGCTATGGTCACTGTTACTCTCCATTGATCATGGTCGCTGTTTGGAGGGACAAGGAGGGGTGGAGTACAAATGATCATCGCCCTCTGTAGGCCAGGTGCTGGTCGCTTGGATCCACTTGTCAAATTCCAATTCTGGCTACATCATGCCATCGAACTCCTTGTTCTTCTGTGTGTGTATTAGTATGCTTTCTACGTCCTTGTATCCTTAGCGCTAACCTATCCACATAGACGAGATCGAGTTTCGATGTGTATCTACGTAGGTAGCTGCCAGTTTGATAGCCGGGATGACTGAAGCACATCCTGTTGAAGTCAATACTCTCAAGCAAGGTTTAAAAAGGGCCCGTTCAATCTTGCGGAGTAGTCATGGGTGGCGGATGGGCACCTCTGTCTGAGAATTGACAGGTCCGAGGACATCTGAACTAAATGACAGGGCAGAGTCGAAAGTAACACAAGATGAGCGATTTCCAAGGCGTATCTCCAGCGAAAATTGCAAGCAGCGCAGTAAATCAGTCCTTAGTTGCGCATCCAGAGATCAATACAAAGCATATCCTCCCGCCTTCAAAAAGATGCCGCAATATATGAGGCTACCCACAGCCCAATAAACGTCCAACTCAATCACAGACCATATCCATATACAACCCAAGGGGGGAGATTGCTTCATGATCGCGTAAGAGCTGTAATTGTTGGTTGTATGGATGAGATAGCAGCCTGCCACGACACTCGTGAGAAAGAAGAAAAGTTGGTGGAACAGGGGCGGAATTCGAGCTGTGAGACTTGGGAGGATGAGAGACGGAGACGGATGAGGATGGAAAGTGTAGAAAAACAAGAGGAACACTGCATAGGTAGACATCAGCATTCGTGTCTTGCGAAGGATGTAAGGCTTGGCTACCTGGCAGAGCTTGTATGGTCTTTTGGAAAAGCTCGTTCCAATCCAGCTGTACCGCATATTGGTTCATGACCAGCACATCTAATGTGAAATGCAGCATCGTCAGACTAACGCTCCACAGCAGAGACTCGCCGAGCCGTCCTATCAATGGTTCTTCGTCTTCTGTCTTGCCCTTCTGCTGCGGCACATCTAGAATTCCGGCCTTTTCTGCAAAGCCCAGGAGTGTCTCGTCTGACGGGCCAGAGCGATCTGGCTGCTTGAGCTTGATTGCTGCCGGGTCTTTCACCGGTCGAACCATCGTGGATGAGTTGGCCCTTTTTGCGTCCCGAATTCTTTGTCTGGAGCGATGCGATCTTTTCGTTTGGTGGTGGTGGTGGTGTGTACCTAGGTAAGTAGTCGTAGTTGGTAGCTGATGTTGAGGTGATGGGCATGGGCAAAGGGCACGGCTAGCGAATAGAAAAAGTAGTGTTCCTGGCTAGTGAAGAAACCCTAGAACTACCTAGGTACTCCGTCCGGAGGAGACGGTTCAAGGTTGACAACAGCCACACCGACCCAAGCAGCACCTGGCACCTGGGCACTCGCTGGATTCCATTACCATGACGATGATCATCAGCAAGAATGCAATCCTTCCGCCGCCATGCAAGTGCGGTTGCGGTGCATGTCCTTCGTCGCCTTACACCTACAGCATCGACATTCAATACCGGATAAGCTCCTCGGCCGCTGCTCCGATGCGCCTCGAGGAAAGCAACTCTGAAAATCACCAGACGTTTGGCTTCAACGTGGCTTCAACACCCGACCTTTTACCTGTTAGCTCCCGTCACCAGCGCATGGACGCGGACGCAGACGCACGCCGTGCCTTCTCCATATTGACCCCTCCCCCCTCTCACGCACTCTAACCCCCTCGCCGCGCCCAACTCTCCGTGCCAGTTCTTGTACATAACCTTAAATCTTATGCGACAATCGATCGCAAACATCCATAATCCCACGTCCCTCGAAATATACCCACCGCCGCAAACATCATGCAATGGCTGACCCTATTCCTGCTCCCCATGGTTGCGGTTGCTTGTTGGCTGTACACGGTGGGCGTCACTCGCTCGCGGTTCCCAAAGCTGCGTAACAAACGCATATGTTTGCTGATTGCGCACCCGGACGACGAGGCCATGTTCTTTGCGCCGACAGTGCTGGCACTGACGGAGCCGAGCCTGGGGAACCATGTGAAGATACTTTGCCTAAGCAGTGGTATGTTGTCCTTATCTTCTGGATTGTCGCGCATCGAGAACAGGAGAGGTGGCTAGATGGAAATTGTCCCCTCACTTACTGATGGATGCGCTTCTCGACAGGAGATTCAGATGGGCTCGGCGAAACGCGAAAAAAGGAGTTGATCAAGAGTGGTTTGGCTCTGGGACTGCGAAAAGAAGATGATGTTTTTGTCGTGGAGAGCCCGTAAGCCCAATCCCTTTACCCCTCCGTTTCTATCATACAACCGCTAACGGTTATCTTGGTGCAGAGAGTTTCCAGACAGCATGACGACCGAGTGGGACAAAGCCAAAATCGCCACTCTACTCTCGTCCGCGTTCGCGCCGAACCTATCCAAACCGATGAAAAATAAATCAATCGATGCGCCAACCGCGACAATTGATGTGCTCATAACCTTCGACCGCTCTGGCATCTCCTCGCATCCCAATCATATCTCCCTCTTCCATGGCGCGCGGCACTTTATCTCGTCTCTCATCCACAACCGACCAGGCTGGCAATGTCCAGTTGACCTGTACACACTTACAAGTGTCTCGGTCGTACGGAAGTATACTAGTTTCGTGGACAGCATAATGAGCCTCGTGACAATGGCCTTCAGTAAGAGGCGCGCGGGCGAGCATCCGAGCCCTTTGATGTTCATGAGTGGCCCTGGCGATGTGAGGATAGCCCAGAAAGCCATGACGCAGGCGCACCAGAGTCAGATGCGTTGGTTTCGTTGGGGTTGGATAGGCTTGAGTCGATATATGGTGGTTAACGACTTGAAATTGGAGGAGGTTACCGGCGCATAATGGAAATCTACGGCATGGATTGGGAAGTTGGGCTGATGGCATAATAACATTTCCATTTGTTGCAATCTATTTCGGGATCACTGTTGGCCGACACGTGCAAACCGAACTTCTGGCTGTTTGTACTAAATTGTATTGTGTACGAGATACCTCTTAGTTCTCCCACTTTCTGGTGGTTGAGATGATGCTCTGCTCTGCTTTAAATATAATACAACATTTTTCTGCTACTATCGCCATTTGCGGTTCAAAATGAGGACAAGAAGGAATCTGGTTCACAAAGCGTAGGAGTTTTTCAGTATTTCAAGGTTAGTTGAGAAGGTAATTAGTGCACGAGCCTGCAGAAGGATGTCATTGTTAAAGTATGATAACATTAGTTATCTGAACAATTTCATGTAACTGGAGACTAGAGATTTATCTGTAGGTTTTTCAAATTTATGATACTCTGGGGAGACATCTGGAGCAGGTAACCTGAAATGAAAAAGACAAGTGTTGACAACATGTCAACTCCTTTTTTACTTAGGCTATACACATTAGTAAAGAGTCAAACCACACTACCAAACAAGCTTCAATACCAGATTTCACCTTCAGCTTGTGTACTACAATAAGTTGAAAGACTCTCTTACGATTTATGATTGGGACCCCACGAAAGGGGGTCCAGTCACGTGGAAGACTGGGAGTAATCTGAAGCGATTTAAGCATCTTTCGTGAACTTTTCAGTTACATAGTTCCTTTTGATGCATTCCTATTGCCTAATTCGTCAGTTCCGGGTGATCTTGGAGTGATATCATTACCGCAGCTGAGGAGATAGCCTTGTCCAATTTCGAAGACACAATTACTTTGTGTGGAGAAATCACAGTTTATCTAATATTATCCACGTCTTCATAAGTTGTGATCATGTTACGTTTACAGACTCTGTGAGCCTGGCAAGTAGATTTAAGCGTCAACTATATGTGGGAGTCTAAGCCAACTTAAATCCACTTCTAACTTAATAACATATTGCAGAAACGTTGTTTGCCATAGACCGTCGTAGTTGGGACCTGATGAGGTACGATGTCGTGAATGTAGACTTTGCGCAAGGAACTCTCGTTTGATTATGTTCAAGTATCTACAGCGTCTCGCTGAGGCCAGAATAAGTGTCAGTCACCTACCCACTGATCTTGGGCTGAATAATAAGTCGACTTCGAATAAAGCTTAAAAAGTCTTATTTACTTAAAATAATTGACGAAATAGCTATAATGTCCTAAGTTGATCCACTAAATATACGATATTTCGTTAACTTAGTCGAAGAAATATTCTGTTTCGATTGCCACTTATTTTGTCCTCCGCGAGAGCGAGCCCCTAGCTTTAGCAGCTGCAATAATTACATCTGAAGCTTTCTCGCTAATCATATAAATTGGCACTGCGATATAGAATCCAGGAATTTTCGGAAACACCGAAGCATCAACGACCCGCAGGCCCTCGGTTCCTCTCACATTGAAACTTGAGTCTAAGACCGCCATGGGGTCAGAATCAGCACCAATAGGACAAGTACATGAAGCATGATGCCCCCAGGCCTCATTGCGAACAAATGTGTCGAGAAGGTTGCCAGAAATTGACTTCCCAGGCCATACTTCGTCAAAGGACCCTTGGAGTGGAATGAGAGAGTTGAAAATCTTGCGAGAGAGTTCCATTCCTTCCACAATGGCGTCAATATCTTTCGCGCCCCCCAGGGGTTCATTGAAGGAATTAAAGTTGATGAGGGGCGTATCTCTGGGATCAGCAGATCTGAGCAGGACTGTACCTGCTTTGTTGCGAGTGTGTGCCTTTAGAGTAATCCACGACCAGTGATTAGCATCTGACGTTCCGTTGACGGAATACCCTGGATAATACCCAATGAAGTTTGCTGGGGCGCCTGTGATCAAAATGTCAGGGTCGCTATCAGAAAATGATGACTTTTTCACGACGGCCAGTGCAATTCCATTGGATGCGTATATTCCACGGTCCCCACCTCCGGCCCCGTTCACCCATTTCTCATAACATGGATCTGGAGACGTTCGAAGAAACGTGCAATCTTTCGACACGGAAAAAGGAGTCTCGCTCCTCCCTACCACAGATGTCTCATAGCGATCCTGCATGTTTTTGCCCACACCTGGCAAGTCCACCAGAACGGGAATGTTGAATTTGGCAAGCTCAGCAGAAGGTCCGATCCCGCTAAGCTTGAGGAGTTGCGGGGTGTTGAAAGCCCCGGCAGAGATAATAACTTCACGAGTGGCATCGACGCTCCCAGGTAATCCCGAAGATGCACTTCCAGAGCGAGGGTCTGCTCGATATAGAGATTTGCCGACAAGATAATCCACTCCTAATGCGCGGGGCTTTGAATTGGCGGCAGAAGAGAACCGAATTTTAGTGACAAGTGTGTTGAGTTGAAGATCAAGATGGTATCTCCGACTTCCATCTGGATTCTTTGCATTTGCCGTGCTTAAAACAAATTCACGAGGACCGTTACGGCTACCTCCGTCGACAGCTATAGGAACTTGATAAAGCCCCTCAGCCTTGTCGCGGTCTGCGGTATCTGCATTGATGTCTCGAAGTAAGACTTCGCCAAGTCCAGCAATGGTTCCAATGAGAAGACCCAGAGTACTCTTGCCCATTGCTGTTGCCGTAGCAACAACTAGTGAAAGAAGTTTCAAATCAGATATGACCAGCGTAAGACTCGTAACACTTGTCTTTAACCATCCACTAAAACCATGTCCGGCAATGCCGATAGGTAGGTACTGTGCCTTCTCCATCCGCCGGAAGTACTCTCTCATCGCATTCGGTGCCCACGAATTGTCACCAGTGAGAGACTGTATATAAGTCCAATCACTCTTGTGCGGGTAGATTGTTATGAGCGCATTATGCGAGCCACAGCCTCCAAGAGTTGAAGCACGAGGATATAAAATACCAAGAGGAGTAGCGCCCTTTGGGGGGGAAAGTCCAACATAAAGTTCTCCAGATGGGGTGCGGTATGTCATTTTCGAGTCACTTTTTTGTTGTGTGAGAGCACTGTAATGACTGACGTAGTAATCCCATCTCATAGGTGTGTATTCAGTAGACTGAAGATTAAGAGCCGGAACTTGGTATTCTGGTGCGGCTCCTTGGTCGTCACCAGCGTCGAGCAACAGCACTCTGTATCCAGCGACAGCTAAACGCGCTGCCAGGGGGCCTCCACCTGGACCGCTTCCAACAATAATATAATCATATATTTGTTGAGCAGCGAGAGCACCTCGTTTGACGTTATTCGGACTACCAAATAGTTAGACAGGCTGCTTCAATTTGAAAATAAAGTGAGCACTTACAATGCTATAACGCTCGGAAAAGCGAGACAAAGAATTAGACAGATAAGTATATACATGTTGAAGTAAAACTTAGCATTGCTATGCTGAGCTGGACAATCTTTGAAGGGAACGAGGCCCTTTTCAAGTCGCAACATCTATCGAGGAACACAAAGAAAGAGGAGCTCAATCATCAACCGCCAATCAATATCGTTGGCTGGGCCGCATTGGCTTCTCCGTTGGTGACCCATGACCTTATTTCTCGAATAGGGCTCCTGTGGCGGTGTGTCCGGACTACCTAGGTATGCTTTGCTCGTTTGGTACACAAGTATTTCCAAAATTCTTGTCCCACGCTTTTCTGGCTAAATTCAGAACGGCAAGTACTCGTGTTGTAATTGCAAAGTTGAGCTCTGCGCCAGTAAAGTACTCGACCATATCAGATTACTTCTGACTGAGAAATATCAAGTGGTGTACGGGTTTTCGCTTCCTCACACCTCCAGAGACTTAATCCACACAGATGTAAGCTAGAGGCTATGGCCGCCATTCCCTTGAGTCGCAGTATATGAGCAAAGCGATTTCGTCGGCGTGTCCGCGACATCGGTAATTCGATATGAGACCGGAAGGATTATTTTATGATCGTCCAGTTACATACCGAACGTGAATAGGAATACGGCTTGGCGAAGGAGTACCGCCCCTACAACAGGACCGGATGCCATGTTGACGATAGAAGATAACCACGAGTATTTTAACAACTGTTTTTGCTGCCGACACCAGCTCCTAATCAAGATTGGCGTTTGCGCTGGCATCTTTGTTAAACGATGAGGGTACTCCGGGGATAGGCAATGGCGGATCGGTCATTATCACCATCCACGGCGTCGACTTCCGAATTCGCCTGGTAGATACCGTGAAATTTGGGTTCCTCAGCGCTATGTTACTTCATGGCCTCGAGTCAATCAAGCATCCTACGCCAGTGGGAGTCAGCTGAACGAGACGCGAATTGTTCTGGTAGGAGTGCGCAGTGTAAAACCCCGGCGAAAAGCGACATTTCTCGGCCAGAGGGTTTCCCAAGATCACTAGAGTACCTTCGAATATCAAGAAGACTTTGTACCTCGTCGAAACCAGCGAGTTTCGACCTGAACATGTCATGTACAACAGTCGAATAATGGCTAGCAGGAGATTGAAGTGTGCAAGTTAGCAGGATGTTAACCGAATGCGGTTAGCCTCGAAACGACCACCCCTTTTCTTAGTTTTACGGATGCCAAACTCTCATCGTCCCTCTTTTGATTATTCGTACCCGCAGGGCAGGAAGACACAACGAAACAGAGAACGACGCTGACCAGTTTTCTCCAAATTGACGAAAAATATGATCTTGCAACTACAAAGTCATTCCAGGACCACTGTCTTGCGGGCCTTGAAAGTAACTTCTGCGGAAATATACAAGCAACCGATTCAGAACCATTATCTGGCAAGCTGACTGGAACTCAATAATACTCTTCACGCTTTTGCTAGATGATGTCTTACTCCGGCGAATGAAGTCGAAGATCCGAGTTGTTAGCCAGTGGTTTTCCCTCCATTTTGAATTCTTTCAAATCCCAGGCCACGTTGGATGTGGATAGCTGTGGATACATCAAGACTTGGCATTGAAGGGATACACGAGTCCACGACAGCTTTCAACGGGTTGAAACATCAGGCCAACGGTCTAGATGCGGCGGGAGATTCTACACCAAGAGCCATCATCATGAATGCCGTGACGAAGGCCATGCTCGCGGTGGACAAAATAAACGGCAGTCGAAACACGGTATTTCTTCGATTATGTTGACGAAATATCGTTGTTTAGTGGATTAATTTGGAACAATATAAGATATTTTGTCAATTGTCTTAAGTAAATGAGACTTCTTACGCTCTATTCGAAGTCTTCTTATTTAGTTCAAGATTACTAGGCAGGTGACTAGCACTCATTTTGTCCTCCGCGAGCCATGCAACGAGCCCCGTTCAGGGATTGCCTGGACAATATCGACGTCCGATAATATATTTCTTACAGTTCTTAGTCTGCGATCCACAACAAGGGTAGGAGGTAAATCGAAACAAATTAGAAAGTTCTAATCTTTCTCAAGCTAAGGTATTATTTTGATGATTGCATTACCTGAATCGATGTGGAGGCCCACAATGACCTACAAGACCTTATCAGAAATAGCTTATTCGGCATATGTATATCTTGTTCACATCTCCCTCCCATTTTGCTCCTAAAATTTCTTCATCTTCTTCAGTGCAAGATTTCCTTTCTTTCGGTTGCAAACCATCCTACTTTCATTTCAGTCGCCTAGTCGCGCATTACTGCCTCGACGGCATAGCATTGTACACTCATTCTGACATTGAACTTATTTCCGAAACCAGCCACGCACTGGACACTTGACAAGCCAGCGACGATATTGATCTTTACATTTCACCAAAACTACACGACACTTTCAAGATGCGCTTTCTACTCAGTTCCCTGGCTTTTGCAGCCAGTGTTTATTCCCAGTCTGCGGCATTTCTCGATCCCAAAACAGGTATTGAGTTTCAACAACACACCGATGCCACAACCGGACTTAAATTTGGTATTGCGGTTCCCACAACAGTTCAATCAGACTTTATCGGTCAAATAGTAGGTAGCAATCATAATCAGGGATTCGCCAACTTTGCTAACCAATTGTAGGTCCTGCCAACAAATGGTACTGGATATGCGGGGATTTCCTTGACTCCCAAAATGGTTGGAAGTCTTTTCGTACTAGCATGGCCCAATGTTGATTCTGTTGTTGGAGGTCTCTTTATGTCTAGGTAACTACATCTGAACTCCCAATGTCCCTCCATGTCTCACATCAAATAGCGGCTACTCGGCCCCAAACGTATATACCAACGCAAGTGTGTCCGTTTCTCCAATCGCAAATGGCACCTTTGTAAACTCAACTCACATGTCCTATACGTTTTTGTGTACTGGATGTATCACCGGTACTTCGTCTTCATTTTCTGGAAGCACTGCCGACATTTCATTGGGCTTCGCCGTTGGGACTAAATCCCCAACAAATCCAACATCCGCCTCTTCAGCAACGTTCGTCTATCATGATGGCGGTTTTGGTGGCTTTGGTATGACATTGTCTGGATCCGCTGATTATCCTACCTGGGCTGCAACGGCATCTGGCAGTGCAGCAGGTGGATCGGGAAATGCTACCTGTACAAACGTAGGGACAAACACTACGACTACCGTATCAAACTCGACCTACGACTATATAGTTGCTGGTGCAGGACCTGCTGGTATTATTGTGGCCCAGCGTCTGACTGAGAGTGGCAAGTCTGTTCTTTTGTTGGAAGGTGGCAAAGCTTCTACATATGCTACCGGTGGTCGAAGTACTGTATCATGGAATGACACTGTCACCCAGTACGATGTTCCTTCAATGTCTTACTACCTTACAACTGCGTCAGATACTTCTGAGTACTGCACAGACACTGCTAGCCGTATGTATTCTTTCCCTTCATTTTAAACTCATATGCTAACCTATTCTAGAAGCAGGATGTTTACTCGGAGGGGGGACAATGGTCAACGCCTTGATGTTCATTCGTCCACAGACAGCCGATTTTGACGACAAATGGCCTGCAGGGTGGAAATGGAACGATGTCAGTGCAGCCGCCGAAAAGCTCTATTCACGGAATCCAGGAACAACCCTTCCCTCCAAAGACGGCAAGAGGTATGACCAGGGTGCTTTTAATGCCATGTCAAATTTCCTGAAAGGCATGGGCTGGAGCCATATTGATGCCATTGAGCAACCGGATTCAAAGCATGAGGTCTACAGCTACCCCCCCTGGGATATTCAGAATGGACTTCGAGCCGGCCCTGTCACCTCGTATCTGCCACTTGCACAAGCATCACCGAATTTCAAGCTTTCCCTGGAAACCAAAGTTCTCCGAGCTGTTAGAGACGGTTCTTCTATTACCGGTGTAGAAGTACAAACATCGACGGGTGCTCGACAGATCATCAACTTGAAAGCTGGCGGAAAGGTCGTACTCGCAGGTGGCGCAATGTCAAGTCCTCGCATTCTGTTCAACAGCGGCATTGGACCAAAAGACCAAATCTCAACTGTCCAGAGCGGTTGTACGGGAGTCACCCTCCCAGCCGAATCCGATTGGATTGACCTACCTGTCGGCCAGAACCTTCGTGATCACCCAATCTTCACGCTGACATTCAACACGACATCGGCCTCGGCAGCGAATGCTACTTCTATGCTTGCTAGTCAATTCACAAATCCTGGGCAAACTGATATTGACCTTTTCGCAAAGGCCAGTGGGCCCCTAGCCCAGAGTGGTCAGCGCCTCAACTTCTGGTCTAGCTTGAATAGTACCGACGGCATCACTCGTTTCTTTCAGGGAACTGTCAACTCCCCATCTGCAGGCACTGTTCGAGCGAAGGTCTATCTCACTCACGGTGCTACGTCTGCCGGAGTTCTCGGTATCACCTCCACTGGCTCAACGCAATTCAGCACAGAACCTTTGATGAACACCGACGAAGACAAAGCTGCCGTTGTCGAGTTTCTGGATTCCATTCTGAATGCTGCCCGAAACTCGACCATTTTGGTCCCAAGTTCAGCCAGCGCCACTGGTGCATCATTGGTCGCAAGCTACGTCTCAGGAAGTCATTTTGTTGGAACCGCAATGATGGGAGATTCGAAGCAAAATGCTGTTGTCGACACTGACACTAAAGTCTTTGGCACAGACAATCTGTTTGTGGTTGACGCGAGTATCCATCCCGATCTTCCAACTGGCAACACACAAGCCATTGTAATGGTTGTTGCTGAGCATGCAGCTGCAAAAATCTTAGCACTTGGTAGCTCATCCAACTCCACGGCGCCGTCGATAACACCACCATTTGCAAACTCCACGATTCCAGTTACCACTCCATCGAACACTACCCAGCCATTGACTCCTACCGAGAGCTCCCCGGACGCCGAAGATGATTGCTGATTCGGATCCTCACCCTTATCTATCTTCTAGAACTGATTTAGTCGGTGTATCTGACACGATTTTGTTCTCGAACCACGTTCTCATGCCCGGGAGTATTGGTTATGGCTTTCGATACGCCATCGGGTAGCGTGGTGAGATTATTCTTGTATATACTTAAATATTTTTGCACATATAAATTTGAGAGCGAGGTCTCCCCCACAACCCACCTTACCATGCCATTGACACAGCTGCTATGTCGCAAGTCGGCTGGATATATTCACATTATAGCACGTTAACAATAGCGAGGTTCGCTGTGTTATGTGTGCCTGGCGCTGGCTTACGGCCATAAGAATTCCCAAAAAAAAAACAGTTGTCCATGAATAACTGTATCAAATGAGCGTGATCTATAAGAACTTGAAGAGCCAGCAACTTAATAAATTCGAGAATATTGCCCTCCCGATGGTCTCATGGTTCTTATTCACAGGGTCCCTAGCAAAGTTGCCTCAGAGGGAATTATATTTGGATCTACTTCTAGATGAACCCTTGAAGGTGAAGGGTTAAGATATGATTTGTGAACAACTTGATTGCAACAAGGAATATGTTCTGCTACCGAGCAATCTTCTAACAATGGTTCATTTCTGGGAACAGGTAATCCTCACAATTCTTTTAGGGGATACTCCTTAATCACAATACTATCTGGTTGGAGGGGAGGCCAATGCTCAGCATTCCAGTAGTAGCAGTAAGTGAATAACAAATCCATGCTCAATTTGAATCTGTTCAACATTTTACGCTTCTGAATGGTGTTGTTAGGATTCGTCTATGATGTTTGGTAGTATACTTCCCTCTCCCGTCAACAAGAAACCAAAACGTTGGATACATACAATAGCGCAACGACTTCAATTCACTCCAACTTCGAATGAACAGCAATACAACACATTGACACATCACTTCCATGATGCCACCATCGTTGACGATCTGGGCGCTTTCTACCCCGAGATATTCAACCCAGTTACGGCTGATCGAGTTTCACCCGCATCATGCTTCACTTGTCACCCCACTCAGACAACGGCGGCCCAAAAGTGTCTTCAATGTAAGATGTTCTTGAATGATAGTCAAAACAGACTGGTCCTAGTTCTTCAACACCTCGCATACTACAAGGAGAAACTGGACACCCTTGGACCAGTTGCTCAAATCGAACTTGAGAGGCGAATTGATTGGCTTAATGCTCGGGAGAAGGGAATTAGACTAGGAGCTAATCAGATCATCAACCGGCACAATGATATTAGAGGTCAGTGGGCCCGAGAGCAGGTGGTAGAGTCTCCTTGGGGCGCAGAACCTCAAATTACGCCAGAACCGCAACCATATGCATCGCCGTATGCAACTCTACCACCTGTCAAACCGAGCTATCCCGAGCCTACTCTGCAGTCATCTCAGGCCTGGAGACCTTATGGCCCATAATCGAGGGCGAGATCATTTGTGGGAGAGTTCAGTAGTTTGAAAGGCGTAACAAAGTTTGCTTCTAGATCTTGGGAGCCCTCATTTTGATCAGATGTGAGGCCAGAGAAACCGAGAGTTTTTGCTGTCGTTGGCATGCGATTAGTAAGATGCGAGGAATTTGGCTTGTAAATCGAGATACCACTTCAGGTAGACAGACGGCGTTCCAGAATAGACTTTAGGACAACTTCAATCGAAAAACATGAAGTGCATCATCGCACACACATCAGGGCATCTTCCCCAAAGCATTTCAATATCGAGCCTTCCTCTTTTAACATTGCCCCAACCCATAGTCGAGCACCCTCCACTGTGCGAGCTCCAAATTTTATTACGGTGCATCCTCGTACCTTGGCTGCTGACCAGAGAATCCCATCTGCGAGCTCTTGCGCCAGCCTGGCATTTCTCCATTCTTCAAGATGGCCAAGGACCACTGTGCTGTCCATATCTTTCATGTCTTGTGATCTGAAATCTCGTGCTCCTATCCTAGGTAAAGCTGCAAACTCGGCCAAGAAAAACGCGGCGGTGGAGTCGACATTAGGTCCTCTTAACACTAACGTACCAAAGATGTCCATCCTCTGCATTTTATCCTTGATTTTCATTTCCTGGATTTCTGATGTAGACGAATCAAGGATTACATTGTCCCGAAGCAAGAGCCGTGGCTTCTCTCCTGCTGGTCTGATTGCCCACACCTCGTTGCGACCTCGCCAACTCCAAAAGTCCCAGTCTTCTCCTCTTGCGGTCCTTCCGGCAGAAACCCAATCCAGTAAACAAAGCGAACCTTCATCGGCAATCTTGAATATTTGTGTTTGCTGATAGACACTTTCTTTGAACGGCTGGACTGGATCTGGTAATAAGCACAGAGAAGCACCATTTTGTATCGTCACATCCAAAGTTTGGCGGGTAATAACATCCCGTGTTGGGGATTTGAAGATTTTGGTATGACCTTGAGTCACCATACTTAGTTTGGAGGCATCGCCAACGGTAATCGAGAGGTTTACTTGATCGCCTCCAACGAGCCCTCCGCCGTAGGTGAGGAGAAACACGAGAACACTCTTTTGATATGACGTCGGCGATGGTGAGATCAGTTTCAATGGATACTGAAATGTCATGGCCGATAGCGCAGATACCTTCTGGGGAGCGAGAGCAACTACAAGCTTCCCCTCGCCGGGAGCAGACGAGGAGGAAGGAAAAGGAGACCGCATGGCGAGTAGGCCTATATTCCCGATAACAAGGCAGGCTGTTAACTGGTAGATGTCATGATTGGCTTTGCGATATGATTGTCTAGTTGTCGAGCGTGTCAGAGCCTAGAAAGATCTCGTGGTCCCTAGGGGCTGATCGCTGATCTGTGTGTCGGGAACTTGGGCGGAGCGGAGCGGAGCAACGTGTAGTTGTGAAGTAGCGATGAAGGATCTCTATCGGTTTTGAGTCCTGAGGCACCCATCTGTCGAACTAACCGTATGGTACAGAACAATCTTCCCAGCAATTGAGTCTTAGTATCGGAATAATTTTCATTGGTCCTCTCTCTAATTTTCACCTAAAATGTCAATAATAAGCCCATTCTATGAAATGGTTGCTATACCTCGAATTGGAGAAAATGATTGTGCCTCAACCCTAACGTACCGCTCCTGATTCGCTAGCTAGCTTACTGATTTCGAAATTGCAATTGGATCCAAGCCCGAGTAGCTAGTAGAGTGAAAAGAAGAGGAAACAACAGAAAATGACGAAAACATCAATTTATGAGCAAAAGTCTTCTTTCCCGACTAAACCACCTGACGATGGCGGAGTTAACATGCAGCTGGAGAGGGAAGAAGTTCGAATTTAAGCGGCGTTAAGCAGAAACTCATCAACGCGAACCTTTTGGCAGCATTGCCCCAGGTGCCCAGGTGGGTAAGCACTGCTATATGGTATTTGTGAGTCACTATTCCATCGAAGGATACCTAGATACCCAAGCAAGTCTCAACAATGATGTTGACCATACCGTAGACTCAGGTAGTGTTCCCCATTGGCGTTTGTCAGCTATGATGTCTACAGCGTCGGTAACCTAGGTAGCAGTGCAGAAGTGATTACTACACTTGTATTATTCTGTCCAAGTGCTCTCTCTCTTACTCTGGCCTCGGAGTGACCATTCCTACAAGATTTCCTATGCGGATGCCAGCTGGTATTTCGGACAGATTTACAACATTGTTGCCACTGGTGATCTGCTGAATAATCGGATCAAATCGCTCTCACTCGGCTGGAGAGGCACGGAAGGCGACTCATGAGTAATCTATCAGGTTACTGGAAATCTGGAAATCGAAAATACCTCGGTGGCGAGGGCATCTCGGGCTGCGTTGATGAGATAAGCTTGGATTTGCATTGTACCTAGGCACCGCAGGAAGCAGGTACCCCAGACAGCGGGTTATCGGCCACACAGCTCCCCTCCCGAATCGAGAGGCCCCCCCCCCTTCCAGATTGGGGTCCAAGCTTCCAGGGCTGGTGCTGGTCTGTGACTCTGCTGGTGGGGAAATCGAGACGTCGTCGTCGTCCCGCTTTGGACGGTGCGCCAACGACGTACGGCCGGCCGTACCTAGCTTGGGCAGTTCTAGGTCGACAACAACATCCATCCTAACTATTCGCAACTCATTCAACCACCCCCCCCCCCCCCCGATCGTAACGACGCGCCATTTACCAAAATACAACCCCCAGAGTAATCCCACCAGTAACCATCATTGCAACATCAATTTGCTGCATCATCAGCATCATCATCATCATCGTCGTCCCTTCTCGCCTTCTCGATTCTCGCTTCGCATCTTTTCGCGCCGACGTATCGGTTCGGCAAGACAATTGTACGACCCCGAAAGGCAAACACTGTCGATTTCTGACAGCATCACCAATTCTAAATACCTACCTACCTATTCATGCTGTCGGCTCGGAATATTCTTGTAAGATCTGCGCGTCCCTCGTCCTCGAGGCGAACCAGCCAAAGTGGTGCGAACAATCACTCCAAGCACACTTGCTAACGCAAATCGGTAGTAATATCCCCATTATCGGCGGCCGTCTTTACCCTCGAGGGCGACGTCTCTACCTCACAGCCAAGTAGAATAATTTTTTCTCGAACGAAAGAGAAAGTCGGTGACCCCAGCGCCGGTCATTCTTGCCTAACATCCTCCTTTGGCGGGCAACCACATCGTCCATCCTACATTGAACAGGGATATAATCGAACCGCTAGAGATCTCGTTCCATAAAATATACCAAGCTAGATTTGCATTGTTTCTAGCTTGCGATTGTCGTATTGCGCTACGGCCTGGTGGTAATCCAGACGTGCTACTGTTGGTCGGAACGAGGCAGCGTGATTGCCCTGACCCCATCGTGGGCGCTGACGAAACAAGATTGATCGTGCGATCTTCGTCGCTGGTCGACTGGCTCTCCCTGGCGCAGGTGGTAGACGTAGCAAGTCGTGGTGCAGCAGTTCCACTTCACATTTGTTCAGACACACCCCGTCAACAGTGCCGCGGTTGCGAAGAATTAAGAGAAGTGTCCCGAACCTCGCTCTGTCCTGTTGCTGGGAACGAAGATTGTCAGTCCGCCATCGTAGGGAGATAGTGCGAGACTTATAGTCAGCATAAGGCATTGAACTATCGAGTCTTAAGCGTTGAGTGGCTGTAGGGCTGTCTGTCATCTGCATACGCTGCAGACAGATATTATCTCCTTCCCTTGTACTGGCTATCAGGCCTGGGCGAGCCACTTCCCCGTAGAAGGCCTAGCCAAGAGTGGGAACTTATCAAAGGAATAGCGCTCATCCTCGTGGATTGGACCACGGTCATTGGCCATCGTGACCACGGAAGCCTCCTACGGCCCTTGAGGTGGCACTATTTCTCTTTCCTTCACCGACCAAGACCTCCGCTGCTTTGTGCAGAGTGCTACAGGGTCCATTGTGGAAGGGTCTGCAGACACATTTCGTCTCAAGAGGATATTATCCTTCTCTTCCCAACTCGGATTTTAGTTACCACCTCACATTACATTGCGTGTAATTCATAATTCAAGATGACTCCTACACCTCCGTCTACTACTTCGTCAAGCGCTGGTGGCCATTCTCCAGATGCACAATTTCGTGTTGTGCGAAAGAGAAACAGAGTGCCCTTGTCCTGCGGTCCGTGCCGGCATAGAAAGTGAGTACCCAGTGGCCTTGAACCCCCTTTCCCGTCTACAGCACTCATGTTTCAAAGCGTCCTTGACCATATTGACAGAAAGTAGGCTGAAGTGTAATCGGACGCATCCATGCGAGAACTGTGTGAGAAGAGGGGATGCTTCTTCATGCTCGTATGCTGCGCCTGGTTCACGGAAAAAGAACCAAAGTCAAGGAGCTTCCACACCTGATGATATGCAAAATCGTATTGACCGTTTAGAAGGCTTAGTTTTATCTTTGATGACCAATGGCGCCCAGTCCGCTGGTCCAGCAGCAGCTACCGCAGCCATTGCTCGTTCTCAAAGCGATGGTGCAGGTTCCTTCACATCTCCTCTGGGGCTGGATGACGAAGAAGATGGAATGATAAAAGAAGAAGACGAAGATGGAGAGAATAGTGAGGTGGAAGGCGTTACTAACTCGTTAGGACATTTGAAGGTAGATGCAGACAAAGGGAAGTCCATGTATGTGGGAGACTCCCATTGGCATATGGTTTTAGCAGATGTAAGTTTCTGTTCCCTCAAGCCTCCATTTCAGTGTTACGATCTATTTCCTTAAAATTTTTACCCGCAACCACTTTTATCTTAGCACATCATCAGTTGGCGTCGTGTTTGCAAGCCCTATTGCTCGTGGCCAATTGGAGCGAGTGCTACCATGTCACTTCGAAATACATTGACAATCAAGAAGTCGTCATTTGTGTGTAAAGAAGAGCCAAAGATGATCGCTAATCTCAGATCAGATCACTGAAGTCAAGAATTACTTCATTTCCCACAAGAAGGATATCGAAAAGAACTATGAAAGAATTCGACAATCAAAACCAAGTTCCGTAATCGACGGGCCAGCTTTCCTTTTCAATACACATGGTCCAGCTACAGATGGAGAACTTCGTGGAGAAGTTCCCACGAAGTCAGCGGTAGATAAACTCGTAACCCGGTACTTCAACTCATATGATCCTGCCGTCCATATACTTCACTCCCCGACTTTCCATAAGCAACTCCATAATCACTGGCAGGATCCAGCAAAGACATCCATAGTGTGGCTCGGATTGCTTTACTCCATTCTATCCCTTGCCATGCAGTCGTACAATAAGATCGGTGATGAGCCATTGGAATGGAAAGGTGAGTAATCAATTGCCACGGATGACACTTTCAGCCTCGTTAACAGGTTATACAGGCCGAACACTGGAATTAGCCAGCGAATATCGGTTGCGAACGGTGCAATGCTTGGTCAACTCGGATTATACGAAGTCATCTATTTATACAATCGAAACGCTAATTCTGTATGTTCAAGGCGAATACCAGACTCGTTTCGATGCAGAAGTGGGGATTTGGGTTATAGTAGGAATGATTGTACGACTATCTATGCGAATGGGTTATCACCGAGACCCAAGTAATTACCAAGGCATTACGCCCTATCAGGCCGAGATGAGACGGCGCATATGGTCGTTTATACGACAGATGGACACCATGTTCTCCTTTCAATTAGCGCTTCCAGGTATGATAAGAAGCACAGACTGCGACGCGTCGTTGCCTCGAAATATTTTTGAAGACGAATTCGGCCCAGACACTAAAGTCTTGCCGCTTGCAAGACCACTCTCGGAACCCACTCCTGTGAGTTATATGATTGTTAAATCACATATTAGTGTCGAATTTTCTACCATTTTGGAAGAGATAAATGCGGTCAACGGAAAGGCTATCAGCTATGACGAGATATTGAAGAGGGATAATAAGTTACGAGATTTGAGAAGCAACATACCCCCTCATCTACGCCTCCGTCCTCTAGAGGAATGCATGCATGATCCTGCTACATTGTTGATGCAGCGATTCAATATTGATATATTTTGGCAGAAGACTGTCGTTGTGCTCCATCGGAAATACATAGCTCGGGCAAGGCAAAATCCGCGTTACGCACATTCTCGTAGAGCATGCGTAGATGCATCTCTGGAGATTCTACGACATCAAATCAAGCTGCACAGCGAATCCCAACCGGGAGGCCGTCTGCGAGCTATGAAATGGTTCATTTCATCACACACAAAGCACGATTACCTCCTTGGTGCCATGATTGTTTGCCTCGAATTACACTACGATCAAGTCACTGAATCATTGCCCGAGCCTCCTCCGAATCATGACCCGTATTTTTGGACCCCTTCTCAACGTGCTGAGATGCTTTCATCGTTGGAAGCATCCCACTCGATATGGAAGGAATCATCAACTTCATCAATGGAGGCATACAAGGCATCTAACGTACTCACTATCATGCTTGAGAAATTGAAAAGCCCAAAGGAAGCTCCTCTGGAGCCATCTACTACAGCTCAAGCTTTTGCTCAATTTGATGACGAAAACCTTAAGCCGGAGCACTCAGCGGCCATGACTCTAGGAATGTTGTCTGGTGGTTTAACTCCCAATTCTGCAGCCTTCCTTAGCAACATGGCCCAATCTCCTGGAGGAGGCTTATATGCAAACATCGACACGAATATGCGCGATACAACTGGTCTTACACCGGCCCTCCAGATCGATAATCCTTTTGCCTCGATGAACAGCGTTGCTTCACCCTTCGCTGTATTTAATAATGCGACTAGCGGTACCGGAATGATGGATTTGCCAGCGAATTTAGACTGGGTGAGTTGCTATTAAATTAGCCATATATCTATCCTGTACAAGTTGCTAATTATTATTCCAGGAGGCTTGGGACTCGTTTATCCAGAATGGCGGTAATGTCGAGGCTGCATATGCCTACTACCCCCCGAATACCGACCAAACGTTGGTTCCAGACAATCAAGTTGATCTGTCGCAACAGCAATATGATGCAAATATCTTTATGGGAGCCAACACACCTGGTAAATGAACGTCATGATGGAGTTTTGCATACTTGCAATTACAAATGTTGAGGAAGCGAATGAAAATGGGTTATGATAGATTATTATATGTACAAACCTCTACTCTGTGCGGAAGCTTTTTGGTGGGACCGGTACATACCCATTTGGATGTTGGCGTTGTTTCAACCTAAGGAATTGAATTTTGCTATTCATTTTTACATTTGTCGCCCACTTATCGTGTGCTCGTCAATTTTGGACATCATCAGATCAAGGATGCGTTTGTCATCGTTTGCCATCCTACAACCCATAAGATAAGCTCTATCATGATCCAAAAATTATTGAATACAGAAGTGTGCCTTGACGATTTGCTCCTTGATCACAGCCTTTCTGACAAAGATTATGATTAGTTGCACAGGTCTTTCATGATGTGAGCCTCGGTACTCAAACTCAATTTCATTGACTAACAGTTTTTTGAAATATACCTACCATACACCGGGCAAAACCGGTAAGACACACGGACGTATGTCGGGGAGTTGGCTGTCTTGATTTTCACATCTCTGTCTCTCAGATCGAAGAAATCTCATGATTACAAGCCGCGGTACCATGAGATATCTTGATTACTTTCGCTCAGTTTCCGTCACCCTAAAAAATGTTTTGCATGGCTAAATGTTGTTGAATAGTACTGGGATCTCCTACTGGGGGTTTTGAAAGGTCTAAACACAAAATGACGAACCTTTTTAATTGAGAACTCAATATTGTTAGCATGGGAGGTGCACACATTTGATGCTTCAAGCCAGCACAAATGTACTAGATCAACGAGAATCAAACCATCTATCAGAGTAAAGTTGCTCATTCAGGCAGAGAAGTCGAAACAAATTACATCCAAGTAAGACCTCACGTCTATTCCATAAAGGCCAAAAATCAGTAGATGCTTAAAGGAACGCAGGAGAATCAATAGACAAAAATTCTCACAGCTAGGAACGAAAAGAGTTCGTGCTCCTGCTAATCTCAATGCACTACATGTCACGCAAGATGTACCAAGAGATACTGGAAATAGTTTACTACTGTATTTAGGCTTCGCTGGCCTAGTTGTGAAAGACCTATGAAGTCGACGATTTACAATCTGAATCTATTCCGCTATGTATTCTCAGATGTTCAGTGTTTAGGGAGTAGACAGGCAAATTCGAAAGTTCGAAACTGTTTATGTTCGAATTAAGGAATCATGTTCGAATTAGAGAAATACTAGAAGATTGTTGGTAAACTTTCGATGCATCTTCCAACTTTTACATACAGTGCTCGATGAGTCGCGAAAATGACATGTTAGGCAGGTATAGTGCTTGTTGGCTTTAATTTTTTCTCGTGCAAAAAGTATGATAACTAAGGTTCCCATAGCTTACAGCTCAATTTAGTTGCCATTCCACAAAATCCAAGGAACCCTTAAACAGAATTATATGACTGGTCATTGCTGACGTAGCGGGGATGACTAGATTTTAACATAAGACAGACTTATTAATGTCATTAATATTCAATTAAACAAACAAATATTGCTCGGCAGTGAGCTGACTTCCTATAATACAAAACACATGTTTGATGTATCGATTCAAAAACCGTGTCTTTAAGTTGGCTCAAATGTAGCCCAATCTTATTATTAAACAGATCCGTAACCGAGGTTCTAACAAAATATCCTGTAGGGAATAAGCCTGTCAAGTATAATGTACATTGTGGTTTTGATACAAACAGCCAACTGCCAGATAAGCGAATCGCTCAGTTGTGGCTAACATTAAATTTATAGTTCTGGTCAATTCGAATGCTAGAACAAGCTACACTCAAGAGCTTTAAAGAAATAAGCTGGAAGAAAATTGAGCTTCCGAAAAGCAAACTCCACATTTACAATCAGTACCTGCTGGGCTGACGGGCTGTTGTGATAGGGGGTGGTTCCGGATGTCGCGGATCATACTCCTCAAATCGAGGCTCAGATACTCGTTCCACAGGTACCCGAGCGCCATATGATGGACGTCTTTCATGCAACGGCCTTCTAGAGTAACCCTCGTCTTCGTAAGGAGCATAGAAGGGCTCTGGTCCGCGACGGATAGGTCGACGGACAACGTACTCTCCATGCGCATCTGCGACCCGGACGAGCTCATAAGCTTCTGGAGAACGTGGGCGGGGATCAGGTGGGTAGATGCGATAATATTCCTGCCGAGGATGGTCCCCATGGGTGAATTCCTCAACCGCTGGTTGAGGCGTAAGTGTACGATAAGCGGAATCTTGGGGGAAGGGTGGGCCAGCAGGGCTGCGCAGAGAATTATACCCTGATTGCCCACCTGGTTTATTAACGTATGCTGGTGATCTTGAACGTGCGCGGTCGTTCTCCAGTCGAACACTCTCATAACGAGCGTATCTGCTCGGTGTCCGATGAGTGGTATGGCTGTTTTGTCTTTCATCTCGATAGACAACATTATTGACTTTATATCGTCGATCTACTAATTCAGGAGAACGCTCGCGGTATTGGACGCCAACGAGCTCTCTCTGTCGATCTTCGTAGGCGTAAGATCGAGGTTGTGCCGGCAAGTTGCCGTTGTATTGCAATTCAGAATATTCCTCTCTCGTGGGTTGCCGCAAACCCCCTCCAGACAAGGGTCGAGCTTGCGTATCGTTACCACTGCGAGGCCGGCGGGATTCTGCTTCAATTTGATACCCATAGCTGCTTGGATAATCTCGTTGGAAATCCCTATCATATGCTCGCTCAGCGCCAGAATAGCGGATCTTTGCTTGCGAAACATCGTCGCGTGATGGTTCACGAAGGAAAGTGTTGAGAAACCGCTCAGCGGCATCAGAAGATTCGGTCTGTGGTCGAATCTGGTGATCATCAGCTTGCGCTGCGACATGACCTGTGCGTACCTCGCCATCTTCAGAGCCGCCTTCCGCAGGTATATCTTGAGGTAATCTGTCATGCGCCTTTTGAGCTTGTTGCGAGATCTGTGCGACGACATCGAATATCCTATTTCGAGCCGTGACATCCATGGCTGATGAAATATCCCTCACGTTGCTTTGATAAGACTCTACGTTCTGTGCACGATAACCAACATCGGCATAAGCCGCGCCACGTGGTGTATAAGCAGGAACAGGCTCTGCGCGGATTGGATAGTCCCGCTCATCGACATCTCTATAACGAGGGTTGCGGTCTATCTCTGCAGCACGCTCATAGTTATCAGGATGTCTCCCATGAAGATGCTGAGTTCTCGGTCCAGGTTCTGTATATGAGTTCTCCTGCCATTTCGCAGACGAAAGCTCGCGAGCTTCTTCCTCACGGCGGAGATGGCCATACTCCCGGGAAGGCTCGTAGCCATCATCGCGAATATATTCACCACGGGGGTGTTCAAATCGAGGGACAGGCCGTGCGTCTACTGGCAGCTCCTGTGGATTTCGCGGATCATATTCTCCACTCTCATATGTAATGTTGCCGTTGCTCGATGGTTCCGTATCGCTTCTCTTAGCGTAGTAATTGTGGTGGCCGTCTTGACTTGGAACAAGCTCGGGGTATGGATGTGAAGTCGCTTCTGTATGACCATTGGCAGAAAGTGGATGGATGTTTTCGTTATTGCTTATTGGCGTAGGTAAGAGCTCTGGAAGAGCCTCCGTAATAAGCTTGAGCCTTTGGTCATCATTGCCTTGGAAAATGTGTGATATCTTTGATATTTCCGGAAGCTCAACCATCTCCTTTCTCCAATCAGGAGAATAACTGCTGCTGTTTTTAGACGAAGCTTGCTCATGGACAGTATGGAAGTGGTTAACAAGCTGTGGGAAAGAAAAATGCTTCTTCGGCTGGTTTGGCTTGGACCCGGCAAGACCTAAAACACACGCTCTGCACAGAAGTCCGTTGATGTTACGAGCCGGCCGCATCTCTTTGTTGTTAGAGAGACCATCTATTATCATAGAAAGTGTAGGCTCGTTGTCGTTGTTGACTCGAGAATTCTCCAAAAGATGATGGATAATAGTATATACCTTAACACTTCCTGGAATTTCCTTGATCGGATTGATGGTATTCCAAGTATCGCGAACACTTTTACCTACTTCCTTCAGCTGCGCTTTGTACTCTTCACTTTTTTGGGGAGGAGTTTTGTTAACTTGTGGTACCGGCTGACCATGATTGAGTGGGTAGTGGTTGTGCTGAGCATTATGCGTATCTTGGGGTGCTGGGACAACGGGAGCGGTCGCAGGAAAGACCGTTTCGCGGGCCGTGGGATTAAACGCAATATGGCCCGCTACCTGATGAGGTTGGCTGTATCCGTGTTGGGAGTAGTCCTGCGGTGTCTGGTTATATCCCCCGTTAACAGTTGACGGAGCTGAGAAATGCTGCACCGGGTAACCTTGGGAAGTCCCGGAGTATGGTTGGGGAGGTGGATATGGGTTAGACTGATGCTGCTGGAACTGTTCACCAAATCTGGGTGGTCCATAGTAAGGTGCCTGGCTCTGATTGTATCCATGTGGGTTAGATGCGTGCATTGGAGGGGGCATGGGCACAGGTACGGGATTCTGCTGCGAGGCGACCAGAGATCCTGGCATCGGACCTGAGACAGGTGCTGACTGATACCCACCAAACCCAAGATTCTGCTGCAAGACAGGTCCGTTGCCCAAATATTGTGCACTGGCACTTGGTGGGCCATTATAGTATGGAGGAGTCGGAATTGTGGAAGGGTCTGGATTGAAAGGGGGATACTCAGGCCATTCCGATTTCCAGTGAACCACGATGCTTCCTACACTGAGGGTGCTCGTGTGCTTAGCTGCAAAATGCTGAATGACGCCTTCAAAGCCATACCATTTCGAATGAATACCACAATGGGGATCATTACAAAGAAAAAGTTCCTTACGATAGGGCTCAGTATAAGGCTTGATTTTGGTATCAAAAACCCATTTCATGTTTTCCAAAATCAATTTGCGAAGATAGGGCCCGTTTGGAGGATCCGAGTCCGGCTCCCGCCCAGTTGCACGCATAGCGGCTTCATCTTTGGCCATCTCTGCGTAAAACCTCTTTCGGACATAGATGAGGACATCTGCAGCAAACTTCGGAGAACTCTCGTAATTTACTTTGTTGCCTCGATCCCATCCATTGTAAATGGTTTCGTCTGCATACCCACCTATTCTCGCTCGAAGGGGTGCCTGTACGTCGTCCCATTCACGGTCTATTAAATCTTTTGAGTCGGACCTAGCCGAGATATCTTGCTGTTGGCGTTCATCCGAATGTTCCTGGGCTATCCGGATTTGTGCTAATTGGTCATGTTCCCGTTGCTCGGCTTCCTCCCGTTGTGAGAGCAATCTTGGCTTTAGGACTTCCCACGATCCGTCAGTAAGCTGTTGGCTAATTTGAATGGCTGCTCGGAACGAGGGCATGTGTGCTAACACTCCTGGGGTTAGTGGAGGATCCAAAGACATGCAACGCCGTTCTATCTCAGTTCTTCGCGCTGCCTTCATCTGATCTACCTCCTCCCTGGTTCTCTCCTGTCGCTGAGGATTTAGTCTTGCAGGTGCGTACGAAGTAAAGCCGTTTTGAGATGGTGATTCGAAGCGATTGGGTGGGTTCATAGCTAAACAGAGATTTTTGTCGTTAGAAATGTTCCCATTATAACATGCAAGTGCTGCAGACAAAAATTCCGACTCCATGATATCAAGTACCTCCAATACTCAGACGAACCTAGGAGAGGCACCGAATCAATGGTATTGAAAGTATACAATGCTCAATAACTCCTCGTGGCGAAGCAAGAAAATGATATGTTCCGAATCAAAACCTACGCAACACCCCGCAATGGGAAATGACGATATATAACAGCGCAAAGAAGACAACTTACGAAGTGATGTTTGGATGGGCTGGAAAGGACGGCCAGCTGAAAAGGGAGGGAAGTTTCTTGATGGAAGAGGGTTAGCAAGTTGATATTGATTGACCGAGTTTAGGCCATCCGATGTTGATGTCTCGATCTTGACGATTGGTTCTTTCTTCGCTGATATAGGAGCTTCGACAACAGGCGGTTTCAAGATGCCTATGCTCAAGAGACCACCCGAGTTTTCCCATCGCTCCCACCGAGAACCGTCAGATCTCTTCTCCTTCCCACGCTCTTCTAATCCTTTAAGCCATTCTTCGGCAGTGGCAGCTCCTAAGCTCTTGGCATCCTCGAAGTCTTTCTTGATCTCTTCGATTTGAGATTTGAGGAACCTCTTGGTAATTTGAATTGCCGCAGGTGGATGGCCGGATTGTAAAGTATGTGAAGATAGCACATGATATTCATTTGTCATAAATATAAATGGCAAAGCCACCATTAAGGGAGACGCGAACGCTGACGACAGTAGGAGATCAAATTTCCTAGACGAATATTAGCCCATAGCAACACTCGCCGACCTCACGTAGTGAATCAGTTACCTTGACTGTGTTCTTTTCAAGGCAAGACCCGCAACTGCATATACCAAATGACCAAACGCGAGACACCCCGTTTTCACCAGGCCCTGGATGCCATTGATCTGCAGCCCCTGGATTATCTTGCTTCCCACAAAACTGGCATCTGGAGCTGCAAGCTAATTTCCACATTTCCATTTCTGATCTGCCTGCCAGTGGTCCAGGCATACCGTTGCGCAAAAGTAATCGTGAGGCACGCCAAATGACATCTGGCTGAAGCAATTGTATGACATACTCGGGGGAACGAACAACAGGATGAGCAGTGGAAGAAGGATCAATGTAGGCATTGAAAGATTTATTGACTTGCAGCAGCCGGCCCAAGACTCTTGGGTGGCAGAAAGTAAAAATACGGTGCCAGATTTCTGCAGGTAAGAAAGACTTGTCCGAGTGTAGGCGGCCGTTGGGCGTCCGGTAAGGCACTATCGATCCAGCCAACTTCAAGCGCTTTCGCGCCTCGTTACTCATATCGGTTTCCATTTGGCTAGTGGGGGACTCGGACGAGAGCTTTCGCTTTCCGAGGACCTTGGATTGCTCCGAATTGCGATTCGTCAGATGGGTAAGGGTTCGGTCATCCTCCTCATCATCTGTGCCAGCAGACATGGAGACATCAGAGTCTGAGTCCGAGTCATCCGTACTGAGGGCCGGGCTGCTCATGTTCGAATTCTGGCTCCTTTGAATCCTTTCGTCGAGGTTCTGCGAGGGCGAAGAGTCAGCAGGAGTAGGGTTTGCTGTTGAGGATGTCGAGGTATCTGAAGACGCTTCGCTCGAAGGTGTGTCCATTGCCTTCTACTTCGCTTGGATCAAGTCGTCGGTGGCCTGGGATGAGAAAATAGAGGTGACCGACCAACGCGTCTCCGCTGCAAGATGGAGAACGAGGAACATGCAGAAAGAGAAAACAGAAGTAGCTAATCGTAGCGTACAGCACGCAACAGGAAAATAGGAATTTTGCAGAATGCTCAACCTGATGATTGGAAGTTCCAGACAGTCAATTGATAGGACGTTGAAAGAAAGGGACACTGCGTCATGCCGTTCGTTCGCAGATGCGCGATCAAGACCACGCTTGTTCTGTCGCAACGGGAGCACAGCAGAGGTAGAAAGTCGCAGTGGTGAAGAGCGAAACAGAAACACAGAAGAGAAATGGGAGGAAGAGAAGGAGGTGTACTTCGAAGAGGTGATGGCGAATGAGAGATAGTTGTACTTTTTCCCTGGGCGGGAAATGTGGTGGATGTGGTTGAGGGTTGCGATGCGGAGACTTTGGTAGGGCGAACTTGCAAGGCGAGCGAAGGAGAAATTTTTGGTTGGTGATGAGCAGCTGAGAGCGTGCGAGGGAAGCAGAGCTGTTTGTGCCTTGGTGCCTGAGCTGGTATCGCCAGGCAACAAGGGTATCTACTCATCACGTGACAACCTCGCACCTCGTACCCGCTTCGGACTGGTCCTGGGCACGCTAGCTCGTCTGGCAGGATGACGAAGTAGCGCTCTGCAAGGCCGACACTTCTCAGCTGTCAGTCAAGGAGGGACAAGATCTCCAACCTTCCCTTTTCTGACAAAACCGCTTTTTTGCAACTTCCTTCCAAGATGGCCTCTCTAAACACCTCCTCCAATGGCCCCTCTATCAAGTCCTCATACAACGGAGTAATCAATTCTCCACAACCCTCCGGACCAGCCGCCGGCTCTTCTACCTATGGCCAGTGGGCCGTCTTTTCTGTCTCAGCACCTCTGGTGAATGCTTTCCAGCAAGACAGCGGCGGGAAGGAGAGCGTCCTCAAAGTACAGGCCACTGGAGGTATGCGGTCTTGCACCTTCTCTCCCCAATACTGGGTTTGTTTCGTAGCTGACTGGTAATACAAACGGATAGAGGGGGAACTTCTAGATCTAATCGAAGACTTCTCGGAAGGCCGTGTCCAATTCGCCTTTGTGAAAGTCAAGGACCCCAACACAACTCTGCCGAAATATGTTTTGATAGGATGGGTCAGTTTCGAACAATGTGCGGTCCAGAGGGCAGAACTGACAAATTGCCCAGTGCGGAGAGGGTGTGCCTGAAAGAACAAAAGGCTATTTCACAAGCCACCTAGCAGCGGTTTCCAAGATTCTCCACGTAAATAACTCCAGAGCCCTCTTGTTACACCGTCAGGTTTCTCATTTGTTCTCATAGGGATACCATGTGCAAATCACAGCTCGTTCCGATCGCGACCTCACACCCGAAAGCATCATTCAGAAAGTTTCAGATGCTTCGGGGGCCAAATACTCTTCAAGTACAGCACCACCACCATCCTCAGGACCTCCCCCAATAGCTGCCAAATCGAAGCCGGCTTTCAATCCCACACGGTCAGGCGGCACATCGGGTTTCAATCCTTTGGCGGGCTCCCGATCGCGACCCAACCAAGACAGCAATGTTGACGAAGATGGATGGGGAGCTGATGCGCCAGAGGTTACTCGCTCGCAACTCGAAAAGGTCGCTCCGGCGTACAAACCAACAAAGGTAAATATGACCGAACTCACAAAGCAGAAGCAGGAGCCCTCCCGATTCAATGGACGAGAGAAGGAGCAGGATAGTGATGTGGTGAGAGGTGGTTACCAACCGGTTGGAAAGGTTGACATTGCAGCCATCCGTGCAAAAGCACAGAAGAAGGACGATGATCGACCAACGACCGTGAAAGGTGCATATGAGCCAGTTGGCAAAGTAGATATTGCAGCTATTCGTGCCAGGGCCCAAAAGCCTGCAGATGATGGGCCTCGAAGAATTTCCCCTGCCGCAACTGGGGCTTCTGCTACGAGCAATACCGGCGAGGAGCCAAAATCCCTCGCCGATCGATCCTCCGCCTTCTCGCAATCCGAACGCTTGACTTCGATGCCCAAGCCAAAGGTTGCGAACAGGTTCGGATCGGGCGCATCAAATTTCACAGGCACTAAGGCACCTACCCCGGGTGCATATGGCCTTCAATCATCACCTATTACGGCGGCCCCAGCACCTGTAGGTGCAGCAAGCAGGACCTTCGCCGACGAGGGAGGCAAGACGCCGGCTCAAATTTGGCAAGAGAAGAAAGCTCGTGAGAGAGGACTTAGCGGTGCTGGAAACGCTGCTCCAAGCTCCACCCCGCCTATCAAGAGCCAAGAAAGCGGTGGAGGGGAATGGAAGAGTGGCTACAGTGGGAAGTCCTGGGCCCCCGTCGCAACCACTGCGACAGGTCGCTCGGGCTCTGGTAGTATTGGCCAGCAGAGAACCGGGGAACAAGAACGTGAAGACGAGGAACAAGCCCCAGCCTCGCCAGCGGGCGGGATTGGGGCAATTCGGGATCGTTTCAAGGGAGGAGCTCCAATGGGTGCACCCAGTATTCCAAAAGCAACAACTGGAGACTCATCTGCCTCACCACCCCCGATCAACACGTCAAACCGACCTACTGGTGGTGTTCCAATGCCAGGTCTTCCTTCGCGACCAAGTCACAATGACCAAGATGACGAGGATGAGGATGATCAGGGCACTACGAACATGCCAGCAGCGCCACCACGTATTCAACGAAGCCCTACACCACCTACTCCGGAACGTGAAACCTCTCCTGTTCGGATTGCTATGCCTGTTTCTCGCACGAAAGCACCTGAATTCGAAGCACCTGAGGAGCGAAACTCTCCTCCGGCGCTACCGACTAACATTGGTCGACAAATACCCAAAGAAGAAGATTTGACAGAAGAGCCACGCGGGCATGACCCAGCGCGTGGTGCGGGAGCCGCAGTGGCTGCAGCAACATTCGGGGCAGCTGCAGCGGCAGCAACGAATCAAGATTCTGCCCCAAGTGGCAAGCGAGCTGTCATTCAGTATGATTACGAAAAAGCAGAAGACAACGAACTAGAGCTTGTCGAGGGCGAAATTGTCACAAACATTGAGATGGTCGATGACGATTGGTGGATGGGTACCAACCAGAAAGGCGAGAGCGGCTTGTTCCCAAGCAACTATGTCGAGCTCATCGAAGGAGATGAAGAAGAGCAAGAGGCACCTCCTGCGCCAGCAGCTAGGACTCCTGCTCCGGCACCAGAACCTGCTGCCGAGTCAGCCGGCGCAACCGCAATTGCGATCTATGACTATGAGGCAGCTGAAGATAACGAACTAAGTTTCGACGAAGATGCTAAAATCACCGGTCTCGTAAGTTCCTCCCCCAAATTACTCGATCTCTAATCTGCCATCTACTAACACACCTTGTGCAGGAATTCCCAGACGAAGACTGGTGGTTCGGGCATTACAATGGGAAATCAGGTCTCTTCCCTGCCAATTACGTAAAACTCGAAGACTAGAGTTCTTCGATGATTCTTGATATGCCCACAGCGATGAATGATCATGTGATAGATTTCTGTACTTAGGGGGTTGGTCGTTCTGTTTTTCACATTTTCGGTAGCGGTGGATGGACCGGTTCTGGGGCAAAATTCAAAAGTAGAGAAAAAATTCGATTCCCGTTGCGCCTGACTGGTAGTTTGTTTATGTTTACACCCGACGTCAATCGTGATATTCGCTTAAAACCCAGCCCCTTTTTCGAAAGAGAACATTACAACCACGTGAGCTATACGATGTTCAACACAAACATAGTAAAAACTAACACTAGACGGCACAATCATTTGGTTCTCGATGACATACTTAAACTCCTCTGCTTCGCACAATATAGATTTTCAGAAAACCCAACCTTCTCTTAGATCTCTATACCTGTTTCGGTCGAAATGATATTATTTGACTAGGAATTAGACCCCTGATCCACAGCACTTTTAATACACATTAATAGTAGTTGCTTGACAGAATTAGAGCTCTACTTCTACTTACCTCGGTTTGTTTTTGGATCTTTCGATCTAGGTCTATTTGTCGTTTTGCTAGTTCTATATCAAATCTGCTTAAACGCGATAGTACGCCCTCTCCTGCTCGTTCGATTTTCCTTTATCCACGACAATGATGAACAAGCTACCCATTTCGGCTTTACATCCAACTCCAAGTCTCTTTCACTACTTGCAGCTCTCGGTTTCTCAGACGTCGAGGTCAATTGCCACAGGGTCCAGCTCCGAGGTATCCGATATAGGAAATTGGCCATTCTCAGACAGCACTTGATCTTCGACCTCCAGCCCCAGAAAATCAAAAAGGTCCTCAAACTCACTCTCCTCTTCCGGTGTTACACCCGCAGCTTCCGGATGAATTGCTTTCCATTCATTATGAACATCAACATGAATACTCTGTTCCAACTCGGGATAGAACATGCTCTCACCGTGTTCCCAGTACCTGTGATTTCTGTACAATTCAATGTGACAAATTTCGAAGATGTCAGTGCATGATGGACATTTGATTGAGGATTTGACTCGATGGATCGTTGATTGCGGACTTTCGACATTCAACCCGTAATGCTGGACTGGATTCGGTTGTGAATCTTGCCGAGGGGGTGAGAAGAGTTGTAGGGGATCAATTGGAGAACTCTCAACAGTCTCTGTTTCACATAGCAAAGGTGCTGCGAGTTTGATTTCATGTCTGCTTTGAGTTGCAGAACAACCTTGGGGCTGTGTTCTAGGGACTTCTGTGCTGCTCTTGGGAGAAAATCTGGATTGTGTTGCGTCTTCTGGAGCGCTACCTAGAAAAGTAGCACTCTGCTTGTTGCTAGTCTTCGCCTCATCAGACGTTTTTGCCGTATTCAGACATGGTACTGCAGGGGTTCTCAAGGTAGCTACGGCGGCTTATTCTCTGATCAGCCTTACATCACCGCATTGAGGATTACTACTAGGACGACATACAACATAACTTCTGATGTCTCGAAAGATAGAGTTCAGCATGATACCGGGCTCCACAGCGTATGCATGTGAACGTTGACCATGTATCTGGGTTGCAGATATCAGTATGCGTTACTTGAAGAGGAACGGCTGGCTGAGAGCAAATAATCCTATCACGCTTTCGTATTTCGCGGGGGCTGTCTGGCCGAGAGGTGATGACCTTATCACGTTGTCGTAGGTTGCAGGGACTGTCACGCATGCGTCGATTGAATCTTGAGCTCCTTCTAAATGTCGCAGCACTCGCCGAAGCAAGGCAATTTGAGGATCCATCTTGAACCAGTGAGGGCGTGAATACGGATGCTGGGTTTAAGTAAGGACCAAGCTTTGACAAGAGGCTTTGGCAATGCTTAAAAGCTACGTTTTCTCCCTCAGGTAGACCCTCTGCTCCACGGTCTGCACCTTCGAGACCAGGCGTTGGAGCTTGGCTGCAAGCGTTCACTTCCATATGATTTGATTTAATCGATTCTACAGTACCTGAAACACAGCAAGTCTTAGTAGGAGACAAACAGCGGTGCTTTCAGTATGCTAGTTTACGTGAACCTGAATCACACGCAAGGCTCATGCGAGCAATAGCAAATACGACAAGCATCTGATGGTTATTATCCAGAGCGCTTACTCATTAGAAGGGGTCTCAGAGAATAACAGCACCAACTGGAAGCGATTTCAAGGGAGTAGGGAATGGCTTACTACTTGGATTTTCAGTGCTCGACACTTCTTTCATAATGGCTTTTGTTGAACGCATCCGATAATCTTCTACAACGTTGCTTTCGGTCGTCTTAGTTGAACGATCGGAGACTGCCTTTGTGGAATGACCTCTTTTCATGTGCTCAATTTGTACTGGCGCAATCTTGGATTCTAGACCCGAGTTCTCGGTAATAGGGTGATCATGTGCGGGATATTTGACGCTTGAAAAGAGCGTAGCATTTGAACCGAAAGAAAATCCATTATTAGCAGTTGTGGGAGTTCTTTTGGGATCTTCCCACAAAGTGGTTCGAGCTTGATAAGTTCCTACTGAATCAGAGGATTGTTTCTGATAGTCATTAAAGCCTCTCCCCCCCTGCTCAATGAAATAGAGCTTTAAAGGATATGCCCCCAGTCCGCCACCAGCATACATACCAGCTTGCCTCAATTTGTCCAAGGTGCCCCAACTAAAATATGACGAAAGTAGAGAGCAGAAACTGTCGCAAATTGGCTCTGTCTTCCACCGGAATCCTGCAATTGCCGTCTTTCTAATCTGCTGCTGGAAATGTTGTTCAGTCACCAAAAGACAATGTTGGATATGTTCCACCTTCACATGTATAATCGCTAAGTCTTTGCTCGCAAAACAACCTTTGGCAAGACAGCCGGGCCAGAGACATCTGTACGGTCCTGGTCCGCATATCCATCCGGGAGTTTTCTGCCACTTTCGAAGATCTTCAGCCACGTCTTGCTTGCACAACAGGACGTATGTTGAGGGTCCATAGCAGATTTTTGAGAAATTATCTGGAACTACACGGTATTCTCTAGTGGCTCTCCTGAAATCAGTGGCGAGCCGCCTGGTATTGATCGCAATCGGAAATGGTGACCGCACGTTGCAGCTGCCAAATTGAGTATTGACCATGATTTCTTGGAACCATTGAGATTGAGGCGCTGGAAAATCCCATTGAGGCTGCAAAAACGAAGGCTCATTAGTGTTTTGATGCATGATCATCCTTCCATCATTTCCCAATTCGAAGACTCCATGTTGTGCATTGAACATCGATTGCACAGATTTATTCCTAGAAGAAGCACGCTTCAGAGTTCTTGGCTTTTGACTTGGGACTGAGATTAATGCGTTCTCCGAATCCCGTCGTCTCTTTCGAGTTGCTTGCCTCATATAGTGATCCACCACTGGCGAGTTCACATCTTCGGAGCGAGATGAAGAGCTAGAAGTATGTTAGACGATTGACTTTAGACGGATTGCTAGAACATGAATCCTACCTCTCCCATTGGTGGTCTACCTGCGGTCTATCGTTTGATGAAACCTTTGTTGTGTCTGTGAAGGCATTTGCCCACACTGGATGGAGTATGTATGGCTGCGCATTGTCTGAATATGAATACATGCTGGCGGAAATCTGTCCGAGTTTGAAATAACTAAACCAAATCTAACAGAATCTTTGTAACAGTTGTCGTTGAATGTACAGTTCATTGCACGCATGAGGCAAAAATTTAAGAGATACGAGAGCCAGAGTTGCAGAGAAGGAGCGACCAAAGAGTGGTGATTTTGACAGTAGAAACATTCTTCAACCCAATTTTTACGTCTGGAAACTGTTATATTTTTGACGGGTGAAACAATGTACAAAATATTCCTAAGGAAAGGTATAAGTCAAGAGCCCTGAACCCGTCGTAAGTCGTCAAGGGGTCCTCGTTTCTGCATTTCCTTTCTCAACCCGCAACTCATTGTATAGCCTCTGTTCGTATAGGCGCCACTAACGCAATGCTCAAGACAATTATGTTCACGTAGGAAGAGAATAACGGAAAATATCCGTAGACGGGTGAGTTTCTGTGCGGAGCCCCTCCATCAGCACATTTCGCAGCATTCTGGTCAAATGTTAGCCGTGTACCCCCAGATAGTCCATCAGAACGTACCAGCACAATCCGCACAACATTCACAGCCTTCTTCACAAACGCAGCAAATGCACAAAGCGGCAAGACAAGCACCTAAGCAACCCCTGCTTTTTTTCTGTTGCTGAGGAGGCGCGCCCCCCTTGAAAGTAATCAGTACAGAGCAGTTGTCGGCTAGCCCGGGAACCTTACCTGCGAAAAGCCTCCGTTTGGTTGGTAGCCTTGTTGTGGTGGTGGATAGCCTCCTCCTTGTTGTGGGTAGCCTCCTCCTTGTTGCGGGTAGCCTCCTCCTTGTGGTGGGTAGTACATCTGAAATCGAGAATCAGTTTAAGCTACCAGTTGGTTTGGCGGTTTTCCCTACCTGTGGTGGTTGTTGGGGGGGACCTCCCTGCTGATATTGACCCTGAGAAGGGCCTGTTCCATAATAACCTTGGGCAGACATGTCGGAGTGGCAGTATCTACTGTTCTACGGAACAACAACGGTAAGCTTCCATACGCTGAAATGAGTGCAATTGAGGCGGGAAGGATGCACGGTACCTGCTGACAAAATTGTAGGTATCTACAGGATATTGAACCGGCAGGCCAGATGAGCTTGTGGGTATCGAGTCCCGCGACTCTTCGTGAGATCCTCGTTGGGCGATGACGATGCGACCGATGCGACAGTGAAGCGTGTGAGGAAGTCTTAGAGTCTTGAGGTGTTGAGTAAGAAGTTAAGGTTGAAGTTGAGAAAGAAATGGAGGAAGTTGGGGGAGGTTACGGGGTACGAGTCTTCGCGACGCCACGATTGTTCTGTACAGCACTAGTGGGAGATCGGATCGGATTCTCCTCGGGTAACATGCGCCATGGCAGTGCAGTTGAGGTGTTTGAGGAGAGAGTGTCAGGAGTTCCTGTTGAGAAGGCTGTTCTAGGACACTGAGAAAGTCGGGTCTCGCATTCCACAAAAGCAGGACGTATTTCTCTGTTCAAAACATCAACCAAGCATTCTTATGGGTGCTGTATCCTTATCAACCCCAGACTCGCCGATTTGCATTATGCCGGCGCGAGAAAGGCTTGTTTCCGCTTGGCAAAGCCAGCAACGTTGGGGTACTCGAGTAGCGTCGCTGGAGCTCTTTGGCTCCATGAAGAATCATAACTCATGTATAAGTACACCAACTTGTGATCCTAGGGCTGGCACTTCAAAGTAAAGCGCAAAGCGAAGTTAAGGTTATACTTCGTAGTAGACCGGACTGGCCTGGCCGCCTCCAACAACTTCCAATCCAACCAACTCAGTTAGCGCATCCTCCAGCTGGCGTCCTGGCCTACCCTACTACCCTACAAAACTGCGAACCGGCCCCTGTCCGCAGCACACTTTTTCGGTTCGGCGCCCAACTCGGCGCGCTGCTACACAAAAGTGGAGACCAAAACACGTGATCAGTGACTGTCGAATGACGCGATCGGAAGTGATTACAATTCTGGTCGCAAACCACATCAGAAAAAACATTTCCGAGCTGAGAATCTTCTTGAAATCACCGCAACACGACGCCATCACTCACATCGAAACTCGAGTCTACTGAAATACACTCTCTCGACCTCGTCAAGACGACAGCTCGCGCTCATTTGAAAGGCCCTCTTGAGCTGGTTGCATTCTACCTCCGATTTGCCTACCCCTCCACTCGAAATCAGATAAGGCGATAAGAATTGACCGTCCATAAAACCATAAAATACAAAACACAAACCACGCCGAGGACACAGGGAGAGGAAAGTCGCTACATAAGCTGTTCAGCCCATCGCACAGATTGCCATGTCAACTCTATTAGAGATCAAGTCGGAGGAAGAATGGCATAAACATACGGCCTCGTTGCCGTCCTCGACCTTGCAAATCATATCTTTCCACGCACCGTGGGCCGCGCCATGCACTCAAATGCGGACGGTTCTCGAGACCCTTGCGTCGTCATATCCAGTTACCGAGCCTCTTTCAACTTCGTGGGTTTCGATGAACGCTGAAGAGGTCATGGATGTCAGTGACTCTTTCGATGTTACTGCCGTCCCCTACCTCGTTCTCACCCGTAATAACCAAGTCTTGGAGACCGTTAGTGGAAGTGACGCTACCAAGGTCCGAGCCGCGATCGAGAAACATGCCAAATCATCAGGGGGCTCCAGCAACGGAAGCACTGCAGCCGCCAACAATAGTGGAAGCGTAGCAAAGAATCTCAGTTCATATACACCCACGGCGGCAGATCCTGCAACAGCACCTCAGTATTCGTCCGGCGAGGTAAAAGAAGATAAGGAGGCATTACATGAGCGGCTAGCAACCCTGGTCAAGGCTGCTCCTGTCATGCTATTTATGAAAGGAACACCAAGTGCACCCCAATGTGGGTTTTCAAGGTACGGCTCGGCACCTAATCGTAAGTACTTTGATCTTTTTGGGCGCTGACATAAATTCAGGCAAACGGTTGCTTTGCTTCGGGAGAATTCTGTCAAGTATGGCTTCTTCAATATCTTAGCAGATGACGATGTGAGGCAAGGATTGAAGGAATTCTCGGACTGGCCGACGTTCCCACAGCTTTACGTTGATGGCGAGCTTGTTGGTGGTTTAGATATTGTACGTTTCCCGTGACTTTGTAACAAAAAGATGTACTGAGTGCTCACTGATTTTACAGGTCAAAGAGGAAATGGCAAACGACCCGGATTTTTTCAAGGCGTATAGTGTTCCCAAAAGCACACCTGACTCTGCGGCTGCTTCATAGCATGATTCAGACCCAGAGGAATTGCAAAACAATACCATTCGAGATGGAGTTACTCTCTTCACCATGTTCTGCCAAGTTTCTTATCTATCCCGTTTTTGGCACAGCTTTTGGTGTTGTGAGTGACACCAATTGGCATTCAGATCACATACTGGAAATGGTCAAAGATGAGTAAATTCTACCACGCAGGTTCGTTCTGTACTTTTTCACTCGCCCAATCCTTATCACGTAATGTCTTTGGGACCCACCAATAAACTACTCTTCTTACTTTGATACCAAATTCAATCCTTCGGAGATATTTGATAGCTCTCACAGTGTCCTCTCTTCCCAGCCCCCCTTTATGCATGTAAATTGCAACGATCTCTTCCTGCAAGAGTTTTGCCTTTTCTAGCAGGCCACAATCACAGTACACACGAGCGAGCTGCTCCATAGAGAATAAAGTGTTTATACTCGGCTCGCCTTGGTCTTGCTGCCGCGCGAAAGCACAAGCCTTTTCTGAGACGCCTATGCACCTAGCTCTTCTTCGAATGTTTAACATACCCGAATTATGGCGAGTTTCCTCAAAAGCAACCTTCGCAGCCACGGTAGCTCGGTCGTCAGGTCCGTATATCTGACTATATATTTCAACTCTGCGTTCTGCCATTGAACGTGCTTTCTTGGAGCGCTTAAGTTCATTGTACAAATCAGTCAACTGCTCAACGAGTTCGATTTCTTGGAGGGTTGGATGGCCGACCCTGGTCTGCACACGAACCTCAAGGCACTTCTCTAGATGCTTGAGGGCTTCTCTTGGCTGTCCCATTGCCTTCTTAGCGTAACCTATGACTTCGGCCGCCTCGAGTATTGCAGTGTTGTTGTGTTCCAGCGTCTCTCGGAAGTCGGACTGCACCGTTCTGCATAATTCAATAGCTTTTTGATGCCTCCCAATAAGGATATTTGCTGTGGCTGTGGCAATCAGACTTTGTGCAACAATTTCTGGCTCTGCGAAAGAGATTTCTTCTAGTTTCAGGATTTTTTGCCAGATCTCTGCCAATTCATCATACTTACCCAAGTGACTGAGATCCGCAGCGTAACACTTCAGCGTTGGGATATAGTGACTTTGACTAGCGGGTAGATTCGCTTCGACGCTATCCAAACATTGTTTCGTTAGCTTTATGGAGTCGTTGATACGGTTGTTTTCCCGGTATATTAATGCAAACGACAAAGCCGCAGACAAGTGTGCTTCAACGTGGGGATTGCGCCCGGAAAGATCAAAGGCATACACGTTTCTACACGCATCTAAGTGTGGTAGCAATGATTTTCGATGTGTGAATCCCTCTACCCCTGGGGACCAACTAATCGCTGCCGTTATCGTCACAATGGTTTCTAGCCATACCTCTCGTCTTTCTATTTCTATCATTCTTTCCAACGACCACTGGTGGACCAGCGGATGTATCGAAACCCGACGGTCGGCATCCATGGTGATAAGACAGAAAGACAACAGTAGTGCCAGTGCTCTGCCGATCAATAATTGGTCCCACTCATCAGGCATTGTTTGCATCCATTTTGGGACAGACGAAAAGAATACATGGCCTTGGCGTGTGGACTCTCTCCAAGCCATCTCAAACGATTGCTCAGTGATGCCATCGAAATGCATGAATGCGAAGTATTGCAAAATTTCGAGAGCTAACACGGAATGCTTTTCGTTTACCGCCTCGATCATTTTGATTGAAATTTCCCAAGTGGTATATACCGAACACTGAAGCCCAGTTTCTTCCTTTGACCGCCCGCTTTCCAGTAAATCTTTCTTTCTTTGAGTGTACAATACACTAAAGTCTTCGAGACTGACAAAACGCTGGCGAATAGCAGCTCCTGCCTGAATAATTGCAAGCGCGAGGAACCCTAGACTTCTGACAATCTTTAATGCTGTCTCCTTCTTTTTATGATGCGCTGGGCAGTTGTTTCCCAGATCTAACATGTTGTCTAACCCAGAACTCTTGAGTAGCAAAGTCATCGCGTCTTTCTCGCTCATCCTCTCAACAGTAGTGGAGCCGGTAGTCGCATATTTGACGGCTGCTCGGTTTCTAGTTGTGATTAAGATGCTAGAGTTTCCACTAAGTGGAATGAACTGCCACAAATCCAAATCGGGATCATCTGCATTATCGATTATGAGCATCCATCTTGGCCTAGTGGCAAGATGCTCTCTGACATCTTCTACTAGCACCAATGGATCTTGGGACACACGGATCTTCAAGGCCTTGGCGATCGCATCAAACCCTTTGATAGCGTTGTTGATACCTAAAAAGGTAGAGAATCAGCATGATGAAGCCCAAAAACGCGTGTTATATCAGATAAAGTAATTGTTGCAAAGAGAAAGTGTGGCTGTCCCAAAAGCTGCAAAAGTCGATGTGATCAAAACGAGAATATGGTACTTACTTGAACCGTCGATAAAAAATATCCCCCAAAATCTGCTTTATCATTAATATCAGGAGCAACACCCCCAAAACCGACATCCTACAATAGCCTACAATATCCTACAGGATACATGAGGGTATTCATTGTCTTGTTCTAAACACACACGTACCTGTTTCTGTAATCATTTGCGATCTTTAAACAAATCTGCGTCTTGCCACTTCCACCTAATCCCCATAGAACCAAGCGCTTTTGTTCTTTTTTTTTCTGATAATTTTGGTCTATCAGCCCTGCTGTAACCAGAGTTCGGATATCGTTTCTTCCGGTAAAGTCCTTACTCAAGGCCTGTGGTACCAAAAAGACTTGGTTTGTTATCTCTTCATCGGCGTTGCCTCTTCGCAGGCGCTGAATGGTGCGGACGGCTGTCTTGTATGCTGGATTATCGGTGGAAGAAAATCGACACATGTCCCGATGGTCAGCAGCCTATTAAGCATCAAGTCAGTAGAGTTCTGTCGATTTTTGATCGTACGTAATAAGTCCTGAGTCTATCGCGACATGTATCAACAACAGAACTTTCTGGCCTATTACAACCTCAAGCTTGAGGCTTTGATGAAATTTGGCTTGGAATACCCGCAATTCTTGTTCACTATTGAGCTGCCAAAGTGAATGTCGCGGGTAGAACTTCGGAACCAAGTGACTTACTACTGGAATTGGGGTTTCCCACATCGTTTCACACTCGGGCGGGTTTATCAAAGCAGAAGCTTGTTCAACTACCAGACTCCTCCATGCAAGCATCGTTCTCGTCTCATAAAAGCTTGCAATCTCTCTAGATCCTCGATTCTTATCCATCAATTTCCTAAATTTGCCATTTAATTCTCCCAAAATGAAGCTCCCAGTACTGAGTGACTCGAGGAGCTGTGGGGTCGGCTTCATGGACAAAGCAGTTGGTACACGAGCAAGTTGAGCACCGTATGCAGCAAGAGAGCTACCTCTATGAGGAGTACCAAAAAACAATACCCCAATAGTGTTTTCCCATATCGGTTTGTAATGTTTATGTCCAGTCTCGGCTGCAACGAGAAGTGCTTGTTTCAACACCAATCCTCCCAAGGAATGTGCACAAAATAATATAGGGCGATTTCTCTCTTGCTCATTAATTCTTGTTTCCTCTACGCAGCGTAACAAATCTCGAGCATGTTCGAGGATTCCAGCAGTTGAACGTTCAAATGCAGCGGTCGCATCGTAACCGAAGGTCATTATTCGCGCATTCGGTATGTCTTTGGGTAAGAAGTCTCGGAACCAAAGCTTTTGACTTTTAGGTTCGGTCCACGTGTTCAAAGGGTTACCGTTGAGGCCATGGATTGCTAATATGCTATAGAGATGTAAGCTAAGTATCCAAAACCTTCAATTTCTCACTTGTCTGGGGTGAGGCCTAACTCTAGATTGATATTGAGATTAATGTCGATGTCTTCAGCGTCTTCGCCTATTGGGTAAAGAACTTGAATTCCCATGTTCGATGAGACCCCAAAAAGATTTTAAACAAATGATTTCATTACAACAAACAGAGATAACCAGAAATAAAAGAAAGTTGGAAGACGTGAGGCAACCTCGGGGTCTGAGATATTCTCCTCACAGCCTCACCATGCATCCCCCAAACCCAAGATCGGGCCCCTGCAGCTTGTTTCAAGCAAACAGCGGCAAACCATTTTGGTGGTTCAGCATCAGCGATTTATGTAAGCATATTTGTTAGGTTAAGGGTAATCGGTTGCGCAGGTGTTACAGCATCTGCATGTCTCTGGCAAAGCGCTTGGGGTGGGTCATGGCCACTGGGCGCTTATTTTCATACTTGCCACCAAGAAAGGGTAACTGGTTGGACTTCGGGTTAGGGCCAAATTAGACTAATACACCTTTTAGTTTTCTCTGGATAACGCATGTTTGTCGCAATATTCTATCACGATTTGTTGTGCGCATTTGATGATAAGTCGCTGATCGTACGCTAGGCCCCCCTTTCGCCTCGCCAAGAGTCACCGAAGCGAAGCGAGCTAGGCCACAGTACGATCTCCATGAATCTCAATATTTCTAGAAGATAATATGAAGATTTTACAATAGAGCGAAGTTGGAAAAACTATACCTCATCTGATATTTACTTTTTCCGAAAATTCAGGCTCCCGCTCCACAGCGTTTACTACAAAAATCAGTGGTTGCGATTTCTTAGCAAGGTGCGGTAACTTACGTATTCCCATAAACATGATCCCAAGCTCATCGGTCTCCTCAAGCCACATCTCACTTCTTTCATCCATTTGGATACCCTGCTCAATTAGAAGAAATTCACCTTGCAAATAACCACAACGATCCCAATTCTTCAACCACCTCGCATAAAGGAACCGCCATTCCTCTTCGCTCCTCGCCTGCCAAAGCACTTTGGCGGTTGGCGCAGGTAAGAAAGCAAGTTCATCGCAGGCGATTGCAGGAAGACAATGATACACCGAGTAACACCAATTGAGCAGGTAAATAGAAAGCGCCGCGCGCCTCTTCATGTTGACGTTGATCCAATCCTCCCATTTTGGCATAGTGTGCTTTCGTTCTTCAGTGAGGATAAGCCCATTGATTGCTAGATAATAGGCAATGTTCGTTATTTTGACAAATATATAAGGGTCTAGGAAAGAAACCTCAGATGTTGTCTTCGTTGTTGGGAACATAAGTAGGAGTAGGTAGATGACCAAGGCTTGTACACTGGCTGAGAGGGTTTCCTGGTCCATGATGCAGTACTTGAGCGATTAGCTTTGACTTATTAATAGATTCGAAAAGAACTCACGGTATTGAAGATGATTTCCATCTCAGCCAAGACTGCGGTCCGAATCATTTCAGGTGAGGCTTGGTTCTCATTATACCACATCTTTGTGAGCATAAAACACTTTGCTAGAGGTTGTGGGGCATCGCAACTTGTTGTTTGTGAGTGATGAAAGATTGGAGGCAATTGAAAACCGCGGGCTATCATTCGTGGCCATGTTTTCATGACTCTGAATAGGTACTCCATACTGTGTCTCGGAAGTGCAGGAGTTGTTGCTGGGTTGGGATAAAAGTCATAACATGACCTCTGAAGCTGCCCTATACCTGGGTTGTTCACTTCACTTGACAGAGTAACGGCGCCGTCGTACGTGAGATGTGGCATTGAATCCGCCATTCGTATGGACATAGGATCTGGAATTATTAATGTGTCCATCAAGAAGTCTATGTTGTCTGATCTAAGGTCGTGATCGAAATCGAATATCATTGAAGCACTCTTCGACGAAGTTTTCGGTGAACGTCTGACTAAGTCTGTCTGTCTCCCCTTTTCTTCATCACGGTTTGCCGGCGAAGGCTCGACATCTTGGTGTCTTGCATACACGCAAGAGATCTTACGCGACGTACATCTCCCGCAAGCTGTCTTCAAGTCGCACCTGACTTTCGCAACCGCACATTGAATACACGATTTCTGACGCGTGCTCGGTCGAGGGTTCTCAGTACATTTATTTGCATGTCGCGTTAGTGATGATTCTGTGGATTATAAGCCAATTGCTAAGAATAAGGGGGGGTTATAGGGTTGCACTGTACTTTTCGTGAACGTTCTTCGGCAAATGGTGCATCTGAGTTGCTCTACGTCAGCCACCATTATGGTTTTCACAGTTTTGCAAGGAGAGTGGTTTTTCTCGGTCTAAGATGAAAATGACAACTCGGTATCCCGAGTGTTGTCTTTATAACAGATTCGCAGTATGAAATGTCAGCTTAGCTAGGGGTTTTGACACTTCAATGCATGCTATAGGGTTACTCAGCTGCACTCGGAAATCCGAGTGCACCTTTTTGGCTGGGCAAGATCAATCCCCATTTAGCAACTCCGTTTTCTTATCTCCTAATTTTGGTCCGAAAACTTGAGGTATATAACAGACAGTGCATTTCTGTCTTCAGGCGATGAAGATCATTTCTTTTGGAATTAGAACAATCTTCATTATTGTCTCAATCTAGCGGGATAAATATAGAATTCGACGATTTCGTTATCAGTCGCCTGGTCTTGAAAAGGAGTTGAAAAACGTACTTGATGTCAATGTAGTCGCAAACAAAAAAAGAAAAGGAACTTTGTGCATGACGCTTCAAAAGCTTCAAATCACAAGAAAAGCACCCCATATAGGACAACAAAGCAATGTAAATTACTAGGCATTTCTTGTAGTGTAAGAAACTTGATCCAAATACCGTAGAAGAGGTATTCTTCAATGCTCTATGTTAAGGATAGATCACCTTAGTTACCTACGTCCTTTTATTCTAACCTGCAATGAGTCTTCCTTGTTACCTTTTATTAATGATGATATACAGTGTGGTGTATATTCCAAATAAAACATTCTTGTAACCTTACTTGTTTTTTGCTAAATTGTGCAATTTCGAAATGGCACGAGTTAAAGGGTCTCTGTGTTATGTCAGTTGCTTGTACAAGCACATTGCTACGAAGGAACACTCGATCAACGTGACTAGGGGTATTGCTAACGTAGAGGCTATCCTGCAGGAACGTAAGCATCCAAAGCTCAAGCTCAAGCGCGGGTGCTTGTCCTGGGATGCTCACTTCACTACATCTCGACGGGATGTAATATTTGGTCAAGAAGATAAGCTAAAAATCCAACTAGAAATTGTAATAAACCATATTCAATGTTCGCCCTGTAAACACCAATATGGGGGTTATGGAAACGTTCGGCAGTTGGTCATGAGGTAGCCGTGGACCACGACCGATCGCACAGGCACCTTCAAACAGCCGAGAATCTGACAACACTTTACTGATTTCATCACCGATTGGCTTGGAAGGCACACCAAGGCTGTAAGTACAAATACCCTCTGTGCTCATCAACAGTCAAAAATGAGAAATAGCATAACGGTCTCACGTGCCTTAGCGAGGTCTAACTGAAAGCCAGTTTTCAGCAACATCGTGGTCGTTCGCGGTGGTGAAACTCGTAAGAGTCTCTTGATGAGGGGGGAGCGCGAGTATCCCAGAATGGGTCTTCTGTGTAACGCCAAACTTCAAGTCAGTTGCAACTCGTTTGCGCCTCAGCGATGCATGACGAGCTCCAAACTCCTCTGTTCTCCACTTTTCAGATCGATGTGCAACAAAATGAAAATTCCTGGTCCTCTTTCTCAGATATGGGTCTGTGGCGTTAGTAATGTGGAGTTGCCAGTATGAATGTATGTGGAATCAACGTGGATGTATATAGGAAAGAAATATCAGTGACGAAATAAGCGAGATTCCTCGTATCTTGGATGATTGATAGACTGTCACGGCGTGTTACTATCTTGTGAGATCGTTGTGATATGATGAATGATAAATCAACTGCTGATTCCAAGAATCTGGTTCGGGTTGAGATTGAACCATCCATGACTGCCAAGCGATGCAACCAACTTAGCCCGCCTTTTCGCCCCCAATGCGAACCATGGTTTCTCTATTTGATAAGAGACTTTGGATTTGATTGACTGCCTGAAAATGAGAATATTATTACATGGTCTAGATGCGGGAGTCTGAATAGATGAGGCGATGTCAACCAAATCTACTCAATCGGGATAACTTCCAGACAAGTTCTCAAAAAAGGGTTCAAAAAAGGTATTCTGAAAAAATGTAGGAAGCCAGGATAGGTAATCGCCTATTTCTATTGATGTGATTGGGTTCTTTGTCACTTGATTCGAGAATGGCAGAACTCATGTCGTACAGACCCACCGAATCGCGATGCTCCGCCCCAGGCGCATCGAAATACTGCTGATCAAAGGAGTAATTCCATAGCCGACGAGAGATCCTAAGTAGCCAATATAGGTGTTCATCATACAAAGCGCGGCTATGTATTTAATTTTACACTAGTTGGGTCAAGATAGTGGTTGTCACTAGATAATGTCATTTCCAAAGACAATGGCCAGACGCTAAGAAGAAGTAGATCCTAGTAACATCTACTAGTTGACTAATGCCAAATTTTCACCACTCTAAATCTGTCTATTCGCAAAAAGAATCATAAACACGCTTTAACAGTATGCTGTGACCCGCGGTCCTCCGCAAATGAATTCATGCAAATATATTATATTTCAAACCGCGTTCATGTTACATACGATCATAGATTGTGGAAAACTAGGCATCCCGTCCGCTCTGCCATTATAAGCCACAAATCGGCAGGTTAGTAGTTGGGTGGGTGACCACCAGCGAATACCTGCTGTCGTATGTTTTTGCACCTTCTACAAAATGAGATTTTACCTCGTTCAGTTCTATAAATTCTACACAGATCTAGTCTTGAATCCATGGATACTTATGGACAAACGTGAAGTGCGACGACCTTGTAATTTTCAAGCCTGAAGTCAAAATCCAACATCATGATTGTATAGGCTGCCGAGGATATATAGCCGGAAATATAGTTAACTCTGTAAGAAGCTTTTCGAGTCACGATTGGTCATCTCACCAGTTAATATTTACCGCTTTTCATGCCGAGACTCCATACATCCATAACCCTCTGATTATTGTGGGGAAGATGCATCTGTGTGGGAATACCAAGACCAGATATGGTTGCGAAGCACTCGAAATATGTTTAAAAACATTTTTGTTATAAATCTGTCATTGAAAATCTAATCTATATACAATCACAATCTCTGCGGATGCAGAGTCATATTATACTTCTCTAGTTTCCATAAAAATCCTATTCTTCTCCCACGGGTCCGAGAAGTTGTCTCGGTCGACACCGTCGCATAGGCTCAATCCCAGCTTATTTCCATTCCCAGTTCCAAGCTTATCCTAATTCCTATTGCTTGACCAACAACTCAAGACATAGAACGCCACAAAGATTTTCAGACCCCAGTCCAAGCTTCGAACAATCGCCATTGAGGGACATCAGATAGACTTATGCCCGAACTCCAGACGCAAAAAAGAAAACTCATGGTCGCATCAAATGTAACAAATCTGGCCGTTCATGGAAAGTGAACAAAGGCGATCTTGTTTTCCGAACAGCGCTGGCAGTAGTTTTATCCAAATCATACCGCAACCCGCAGAAGCAAAATACAAATAACAGCCGAGTGCTGTCATTCGAGCTTCAAATCTCTTCACCGAGTTTCGACGAGGTGTGCTTGTTGTCGGCGTATTTGCATTGACTCAATGAACGATGAGACACGCGTCCAGACTTGCGGAACACGATTATATAACATGGCGAAAATAACGACAGTGAGAAGTGGAATCTATAACAGTGAGTAATGGCTAATCCAACTGGATAAAATGTGACATACCCAAATGAAGAACAAGTTTCGATCCCGACTTAGCCTCTTAACCTTTTCGGCGTGTGCTAGTCTCAATTGTTCCTGTTGCTCTCGCGTAATCGTATGCTGATTACCGATTCTAACGGTTTCTAAGATCAATGGTCTCTTTTGCGCTGTGGATGAGCTTTCGGCGTGATCGAACAGCTCAGAACACTTATTGTCCGCAACAGCATCGGCACTCGCTTGCGTCGCAGCTCGGGTTGCGATGTCTACCTTCGTGTCCGGTTCACCTTGTGGGAAGATGTCCTCGTAAGCTGGAGGTGCGGTGGGAACGTTGCCAGTAAACAAATCCCACCACTTGTACTCTTGCTCTTTTGTAGTACCTGCACCATCCTGTCGACTAGTAACTAAGTTGCTGATACGCCGCACCATAGGAGCGTTTGGTCCCAGGTAATTCTGATAGCCTGGAAGAGTTGGCATTTGCGGTAGGTTTGGAAGATTCAGATGCATAGTTTGCTGGAACTGCTGTACCTGGGCAATCATGTGATCACGGAAAGCAGTCATAGCCGCCGCAGGTGCCGCGAAGCCAGCTTGGTCCGGAAGCGCCAGAGTCGCAGCTTGCGGCTCGATGACTTCCGGCCTCTGTTTCTGGGTGCTTTGGCGTCTTGTTGACCTCATCCAGAACGCTCCGTCATTAGCAGCGTCCGCATCCTCGTCCTCATATTCATTATTGCCATCGTCGCTGTCAGCTTCATAAGCCTGCTCAACAGACGAGGATCTTGCAAGAGGCTCCCAGACAGATCTCAGTGAAGTGGCACTGTTAGTTCTACTCTTCATCGAAGAACCACTACGCGTCCTTGAGTGATGCTCGATACGGCGAGTCATCCGAATTACCTCTTCGGAAGTTGCCATGTCTGATACTGTGTAGCCCCGCAGACTCCTGATCGAAGGATCGGCTCCACTGAGCATGAGACGCCTGACAATCTGTGGATGATTGTGCAACGCAGCAAAGTGCATTGGAGTGTAACCGCCCTTGTCCGCCGAAATAGGGTTTGCGCCTCGCGCTAGCAAAGCCGCAACAACACGATTGAGACCCAAGGAACAAGCGTAATGAAGCATGGTGTGCTTTGAAGAAGTTCGTTTGAGGTTGAGACGAGGCATGTGTGGGCTGTCATCAAGATCAATTAAATCAAAGCATTTTAAGAGAGTTGCTTCCACGTCGACGCCAAAGGTAGCAGCGCTGAAGCCTGACATCTGTTGGGTTCCTTGTCCACTGGATGGAGACTGATTTGCAGCTCCGCCCCAAGATGAACTCCCGTCCCCAACAATCCTCCGAGCAAGATCTCGAACATCCTCCATCTTCCCAGTCATTTTGTGACCAAGGACAGCAAGCGCGGTCCTAATAAGCTGTTGCTCATCATCGTCGATATATTTGAAGAAGGCTTGTGATTTCGGTAGGCCCTGAGCGTAGTGCATTTGTTGCTGCTGCCGGAAGGTTACAGGGACAGTTCCCGCGAAACCTGATGGTGGCAGTAAACACACGAGCGAATTTTCACCCCAGAACGTAGTTGTGGTAGCTTTTGTTTCACCAAACATTACTTCCAGACCTTGAAAAAATCCGCTGCCCAAGCACGTTACCTCAACGCCACCTGCTTTAGGACCCTCATTGGGAATCAGTTTGTGAATCGTCGGAGGTCGACTTGAATTGAAAGCCATAGGCATGCTATATAACCCGTTTGTAGCAGCTTGGCCCATTTGATGTTGCTGCTGGTACGGTGGCACTCCATTTCTTGGACCATTCGGACTTGGGGCACGACTGGGATGCGCTGACGGTGGCGCCGAAAATAGTGGATGAGCCATAGCAAGGTTTTCCATAGACAAGGATCTGTTGTTATTTCCCAAGAACAACTGCTCGTTGCTGTTTGGCGTTGGCGGTCCAGTGTTGTATTGCTGTTGAATAGTGGACATGGTGGTTGCGGGTTGGCCAAATGGTATGTCCGACATAGGGAATGAGTGCATGTTAGGTGTGAATGGGGATGCCGCTGTAGATACTGGAACTGATATTGGCGCCGGTTGTCCCAAACCTCCGAGTTGTCCAGTCTCTAGACGAGTCATTGCTAGGCCTGTAGGGACCTTCCCGGATCCACTAGCCTTTCTTTTCTTAGAAGTAGGCCCAGACATTGCCGATGGTGACGCCTGACGAGACATGTTCCTGGGAGTCATAGTGGCTGAGGTCGTTTGCGATGGATGGGAAGACGGATTCATGTTCATACCGTGGGGGAATTGTGGATTGAAACCACCCCGCAGGCTCTGTAAATCCGAGGTAGAGAGAGAACTACGAAAAGGGCCCATGTTACCAGCTAGCCCAGCGATATGATCAAAGCCTGGGTCGGCGGAATAAGGCGCTGTTCCGTTAAATAGTTGACCATCTGAGCCGTTTGAACTTTGAGTATTCAAAGACGGTATATTATGTGTCTTGTGATCATCCGTAATCATGATCGAATTTGTCATAGCCTGAGCTATTAAGCGATCCTGATGGTCTTTAATAGTAAATATGACTTGAAAACCGAGCTTCTCATTCTGATGTCGGCAGTAGCAAGCAATACGCATGGGCGCGTCAACTTGCATTGCTCCATCTGGAATAAATGGCTCTTCTCTCTCTGAAATTGAAATCGCGTCTGTCGCTGGTTGGCTACTGGGCGCCTGCCAATCTTTGGTTTCATGTGTGTTGAAAACAATGACGCGCTTAGCTTCATCCTTTATCCATGATTCTTCCTCTTCCACTTTCTTGACCTTCTTTCGTGCCGCGCGTTTACGCTCGCGTGTAATGCACCCAGGACAGATCTTAACATCTCCACCATTCAAAGCCTTATCTTCCTCCTTCTCTTCCACATCTTCATCATCTGACTTTGTTTCTAATTTCACAGGCTTTGAGGCAGCTCTTTCGAAAGCCCGGCGCCTATTTTCTGGGTCCTGCATAGCACTAGTGCAGACTAGGGTGGTATATAGCTCAAGTGTGTCTGGAGCTCGCTCGGGCGTCGGCTTGGCCAGCAACTTTGGCTTAGATATGGTGTGCGTTGGAAGATGAAGCTTTGTAATACCCTTGGGCATTGGGTAAAGGGTTAATTTGATAGGTATTTGTGTCTCAACGCGGGATTTCATGGGTGTAGGATGTATACTCAAAAGAGGTTTGAAAGGGGAGCCCATTGGCGCAAGTCCTTGCGATGCCGTCAATTTAGGTACCTGCTGTTGCTGCTGGTGAACTTGTAGCACCTGGGATTGTGAACTCATGTTTGGCTGCTGTTGCTGTACAGAGGCAAGACCGTGGTTATTATGAAGGCTAAAATTCGTTGACCAGGGTGAGAATTGTGCTCCGTTGGCAGCTATAGTACCACTTAGAAACTCTGTACCCGTCACTGGAGAAGGCGAACTACTGAACCAAGCGGCTGGAGAAGACTCCTGACTCGTGACCATTGCAGAGAGAGGCGATGCTTCTCTCGAGGTGGTTGTAGTAAGATTATTCATAGAATGTGTGACAGAATGTTGTGAAGTTGTCTTGATATGGCTCTTATTGAAACGAGGACTTCTGGCTGGCGACTTCCTTTGAGGCGTATCGTGTCTAATCATTGGCATCTCGGGGGAATCCATACTGACGCTACCAAAAGTGAAGGGACTCGGACTACTTGCAGCGCTCTCAAAATCAAAATCGTTCTCCATGGTTTTGTCGTTGAATTCGTAATTATCTATCGAGGTGGGGTCGATTGTTTCATCACACATTCCAAACACAGCTGATGTGTCGTTCGCACCCAGATCACCCATCAAATCGTCCATTTTCCAATCGGCCATCTCCTCGTCAGTCATTAGGATATCCCCAGCCGTGAGCGCTGACCGAGATGATTCCGAGCTCGACTTGCGCTTGTATCCAGACGATTCTGAAGATGAATCTCGAAGAGAACCTGCAGGAGAGGCTGTCGATGGCGCAGAAATAGGATGCAGGACTGTTGTGTCGATGATTGGTGCTTTACCCTGGAGCGGACTCTTGTATCCAGAAGTCGCTGGTGAGTTAAAATGTACGATTCCCGAGTCGTGTGTCGCTAGGTCTTCGGCGAAGAATATGTCTAAATTGCTCGAAGCGTCTCCCGCCGGATCCGCGTCAAAAAACTCGAAGTCAGGATGCGAGTCTAAAGGCCCTGACATGTCCGGATCGTGAATACAAGGAGGCGAGCCCGTTGAGGAAACACCTTCCACTGAAGCCTGCATTGCCTCCTTCCGTGCAAACTTTGAAGGCGATTCGAACCCGTCGATATGTACCGGAAAGACTCGTCTCGACTGGGGGTTTCCTATGTCGTAAAATGAAATACAAAAATTCGTCTCCAATCGTCTTGTTTTTCTTTGCTCAAATTAGAGCTGCCTCGTGCGATTCGCCAGGCAGCACAACATGTACAGGTCTTCTACAATAGCTGGGAATCTAAGTCATCGAATCCATATGTGTTGTTCGTGGGGTAGTTTAGCTAAAGCGCGAAGTTCGTGATGATTGTCGCCTCGTCACCGCTGGTGCGCTCGTCGGACTCGAAATGCCGACTGCAATTGTCCGTAGAAGGAATCGAAGGTGGCGTATTAAACAATCGGAGACAGGATGTCGAGTTACTGGTGACCTCGAGACAGGCAGACTAGGCTGCTGAGGACACTCAGAGCTTTCTGGGTGGTCGTCGTATATAGAAGTGAGTAAAGTCGCGGAGTGGAGAAATCTGGGTCGGAGTCGTCCTTGCGGTGCACCTTCCCAGGCCGCGAGTTTGGTGCCTCGTAAATCAGGGGTGACGCTCTGGGATTGGATCCACTCCGATTATTGATGTTGGACAGCAGCTGGACTTTGGAACTTTCAAAATGCAACCATTTTTCGACTGAGGTGTCAACTGTGACTTCAATAACAACCGCCGGATGTTTTTGGTTCACTATTTTGGGTTTTGAGATCAGGAAATTCTTTTGGTCCTCAAAGGGTTGTTATCCTTCCTGTAGCCCATGCAAATATACTCGATCGAACGCGACCACTGAGCGTTGGCTGCATACACATCCAACCCTTGGCGAATGCAGGTTCGTTTTCATACCAATACCGATACATCATCCTCGCTGATAGTACACTACATCCCGCATACAATTCTTGTAATATAATAGGGGAAGCCTTCTCAATTGGCCTGGACGGTAGAACGGCGCTGCAGGGACAATTACTGCGCACCGGGGCGCAACTTCCAATGGTGATCGGATTGTGACGTTCGCCATATCTCGAAGACACCTACAGACTCGCCTTTATCGCCCTCATTCGTGATGGTTGTCATGCAGCGCCCAGGTGGTCAGTACAATTACGGATCCTAGCAGTTTGCATATTCCTAGATCTGCCGAGCTTCTCCCAGAGACACTCAATCCTCAATCAAAGTCTTTCTTACTTTCGGATTTGCGCGAACAAGCTATGAATAACAGACGACCAGCCAACAAATAACAGACCATCATCGAACGCTGGTTGAGGTGGCTAGATCTACACCTAGCTAGCTAGGTATCACATTTGACTTCATCTAGTCGCTTAACGATGCGATTTATGGCGTCAAGCCACGCGGGATTGCTCGCCGTTTTCACTGCAACTTCTAATTTCGTACTGCAAGAAACAATCCAGATCAGCGCCTCATCGGCCCTATGTACACTTTACCTAATGATGAGGGAGAACCGTTTTGATGCTTCTGGTTAACTCCATTCGAAACCCGGAGCAAAGGCTTTTCGCTCTGCAGTATGCTCTAACACAAAAAAACCAATCTCTTTCATCTTCACTGGGTATTTCCGCCAAAACTCAAGCCTCAGCGTCCCCGAATGGCCCTCCAATATGTGTGCTTTTCACAACACCAATATGAGCAATGGCGCTTCATCGAAGCGGTACCTCTAGGAGATTTAGGAGGTCCTTAAGATGACTGACAACATGCTAGTGCATCTCGGGCGACGCCTAATTATGGTGACAAAGTCTCTAAATGGAATGGAAGCGGGTCTGGCTCCGACTAGCACAGAGATTGTATGCAGCCTCCTTTAGTTGCACCCGACTTCTTCTCTTGAGAATGCACACTACTGTAACAGCTGGGGTCTCGCTTAGGAACAAGTCTGTTCAATCTTCCCGTACTGCAAAAGGCCCACCTTCTCCTCGGTTCTGCTTATCCACATTCTTATCAGACGATGGCATACAGCTTATGATTGCTACGTATTTCATTCGATGACCCAAGATGGGGGATGGAGACGGGACTCTGGGGAAGAGCGGTCTTCTAGCGAAGACTTCGCTACGCTGGGTTGCTAAGTATCATTGCGAAGTGCGCTTTAATATCACTCCCATGGCAAAAGTTGGAAATATATGGATTCGAGACTCACGCCTAGGAGTATACTTCGCATGAACTCAATACGAGGAGACGAGGTTGAATATTATGTACATATAATATCCCAAACGGCCTGGATATTGTGTGTGGTTCCCAACACAACAGGCAATGAAGAGACACAGTTATTCAGGATATGGAAGAGATTTCCGTTTTCGTTTGCACAAATTTGGTTACCACCTCTCATTATTATTTCCATCTACGTCTGCACCATATTTTATTACGCCTTATTCCCTCTTCCCAACCCCGGAAAAGAAAAAGGTTGTCAACTCCAAAGCCAAGGGTCGCTCTTCTCCGTGCTCGCACCTCGCTTTTTGACGGCTCCATCAGCCTGCATTCCCAAACCACCCACCACCACTTAACAACCAACCACCAACCCTCACACCCAATATAACCTTCATACGCCACCCTGAAATATAAAAACCCTTCCAGAATCCATGCGAAAGATCATGCAAGCCATCTCACCGGCAGCTTACCACGGAACAGTCAATGACGGATTTGTCCCCGTTGATGTGACGGGCGCAGAGGAAATCATCGGGTCCTTTATCCTTTTCCCCGTCTGCGCATGCGGTTGTTGGGTGGGTTTGACGCAAGTTCCAAGATGCTGTCGCGTTTGGGTGATGAATAAGAGCTTGCTTGGGTTTTCGCCCTTTACGAACGTGGGAGGGTAGGACGGGAAGACACGGTTATGGTTAATACGAAATCAGACGATTGACGGAAGGCAATAATCAAATGAATGAGGTAAGTGGCAACAGAGGGTCATATATTGTTAGAGTCGAACAAAATTGCGGATGCCAAACGACTCTTGAAGAGGCAATGCTCATCTTCGACTGTAGGTCAAAGTCCCTATTCCATGTCAAAGCCATACCACTTTAGCAAACCACTAAAGCTGGTTTCTCTTTTGAGAAAGCGATCTTGATACCGACACATTCTTCCTAATCCACGGCTCATGTTGTATACTATTCCGCACGTAAAAGACACACGAGCAATATGTATAGACGACGTATGAGACCAAGAAATTTCATTTCTGTGTAACTCCAGGTTGATTTTCAACCACAACTGCAGACGGGATACTGAAAGCCCGCATGTGCGTACTCTTACGCGTCGAGGTGGATGGCTGATTGGATGAAGTGGCGGAAAAGACGGGCTCAGTGACATGAGAACCGGAGAAGAACGGCTTGTTGATTCATTGATTCACGGGTTGATAACGCTACACACGGTCAAAGATAAGCAATTGTAGGAGATAATGTATAATTAAATACTTCTATGCCTATCTTTTCAATATGTACTTACGCAAAGAGCCCATACACACTATACATAAAGATATTTAGGCGTCTACTTCTAACCAAATCTCCACAACAACTACGACGCTGTTCCCTCTCATCTCTGACTTGTTAAAGATATATCAACAGACGGGTGGCCTGAAGCTACAACGCAATGTCCTCCTCATATATACTCTCTCTCAAGCTCTGCCCCCCGTAGTGGCCGTTGAAATCCCCTCCTCGTCCGGGAACCTAATAGTTCTCTCCGGCAATTGCGGCGGACCATCCGGACCCGCTTCTTGAGGGCCCAACTGAATAGGCGAGCCCGTGGAGTCACTCTCCTTTATGACTGTGCCTCCGATGCGATAGATTGGAAGGCCTGGTGTACTATCATCAGTGACCGAGTGTCGAGAAGAGCGGCTGTTGTTACGTGAGCGGCTGGTGCGTCGATTGCGTCTTTCACGAAGAGCGCTAGCAATGTTTGCGGGCAGAATACGGTCTGCTGTTGTGAAGGACTGAGTGCTTGGGGAATTCGCCTGAGACGTAAATGCCCGGGACAGGGTACGAGGTAAGAAAAACCCTAGCTTCCCCAAAGGAATTGAAAGCCCATGAACAACCTAGAAAGGTCAATAACGTCCTGAAGAAATATGTTATAGAGCTTACAATGCTGCAAATAGCTAAGAACCAGATAACAACTGTCATAACCTCCTTCAGATGTTCGGCGTCTGCACGCTGTACACCATCCACAGTTAATGTCTCCAAAAATTCAAGACTAATATAAAGATAGAATATCGCAGAGACTCCAATTGGACCAAAAAACCCAACGAATATGGCCTGTCGAGGATCTTCTATTTGGTGGATCTTGGTGTGAAAAGCAAAGACGATCGGGAGACGTCTAATGGAATTAGCTTCATTCGGCGAAAGGGGAAGAATCGCATGTTACTCACCTGAAAAGGAGGATCATTATTCCTAAAGGGATCAGTCGATAAATCGGTATGACATCATTCGTCAAAAACGTCGGCCAAGGACAGATGGCACCAAACCAAATGAAAATTGAAAGATTAAGCAACATATCAATGGTAGGTTGCAAAGAATCATCCAATGTCTCGAGGCGAAACCAATCGTCCCAAGTGAACGTATTTCCAGCGATAAAGCAGGCCAATACATCATCACTTCCAATCATACCACAGGTTCCAACAATGAAGAGCGCGAGCGTAATAGCAAAAACCAAAAAGCTTTCGCGGTCGACGTACTTTCTTTCCTCGGCGAAATGAAGCAGCTCCTTGGCAATCCATCCAACAGTTGCACCATAGATCACACTCAGTGCGATAGTATATCCCCAGGTCTCTCCAAACCAAAGACCCATAGCTGTCCTTGCACCTCCGTGCTGACCGGCTCCTCCTTCGCCAGTATATTTGATCAAGTACAAAGCCAAAAACAGGAAGGGGTATCCTAAACCATCATTTGCTCCGGATTCTGCGATGATAATTTTCTGGAGATCTCTCGGGACATTCTTATCCGCGAATTTCCCCTTAACAATACTGTTCGACAATACGGGATCGGTCGGGGTGACACATGCTGCAACAGCAAGGGCATGTAGAAAAGGTATATGAGGTACCAGTGCCCAAATAATAAGACTGCTAGAAAGCCACATCAGGGTCATTATCGGACCCAGCAGAAGCGCTAGGGCTTTCCATTCTGTGTGTAGATATCGACTCGGAAGTTGCACACCTGCAAGGACCAGTTGGACCCCTAAAACGAGGCGAGTGAAGTATAGGGTGATCGCGTCGAGGTTTGCTTCGGAACCTGCGTAATCGAGAGGTTTGATGAAATTGGTTGCATGTGGGGAGAACGTAACTCCAGCAAGCAGCGAGATCACTGATCATCTAGATCAGCCTTCATTCTGGAATCCACATCTGCCGAGGTATACATACGTGCTTCACTGAGGTAGAATTTCTCTTTGAAAAGGTACGAAACTAATCCAAACAGTGTGATGAATCCGCCAAGAACCGAACACTGTACACCAAGAATCATCAGCTTGCCATCACACAAGGCCAAGCGTTCCAAGGGAAACAAGCATTTGCCAGGAAGAATTCATACCACAATGTTGAAGTTGGTGATTGCCAGAGTAGGCATTTTGTCAAGCTACTCGTCAGCCCACACCGGTGTCGTCCTCGCTACTCTTCCTAGGGAGATGAGGCCGGCCGTATGGTGGAGGGAAAGGGATTTCAAGTTGTGTTATTGGATCATTTGGAAATCCGTGCTCGTAGTTGGGGGAGACAATGCCTGCCACTTTGCCAGTATTTGCTGCTATATTCTGGTAGTTCTCGAGGGTATGTTACAATGGGCGAAAGCAGTAACGAAGGAGATTCATAAAAAAGTGTAGAGGTGTGAATTAAGTGGGAGGAAGAGAAGGACGACAAGAAAGGTTTTGAGCTAGCGAGGCTTGGTGAGCTTATCGGCATCACCCTGACATTTCCACCAACCACTGGTGAACCGTGCCATTCCTGCCCCGCGTCATCGTTCCGAACCCCCACCAGCGAGCGTACCAACCCGTTAACGTACGACTCTAATATCCCAAGGGAAGGTTGTTGCGAATCACACCAAATAATCTCGATACCAAAGTAGCATCGATTGAAGAGCTTCTGGAGGGCTTAACATTCAACCCTGAAACGTGATTTCTTTGACGACAAATTCCCAAATGGAGAGATCTTGCTACTTCAAAAGTCAATTCCGAATCCCTCAAACTTTTGGACTAAACCTCTAGACGAGCATACGAAAACGGCATTGCAAAACATGAAAACTTAACAATTAGAGTATAGAGATTATACAATCTCTCGGGCTTTGCCTATATTTCAAAAAAAGCATTAGATGTTTAATGTAATAGTGGCGTAATTTCAAATGGATGTTATGTCCATAAGCGAACAAGATCTAGAGTATATTGTACGTGGAACTTCTTGCTTGAAACATTTATTTTAGAATTAATGATACCGAGTCATGGATTTAGATACAATAATGTCAGCTCCCTCAAATCAAGTCACATTATGTTAATCGATATATACACCACATCACAAGATATAAATAGCCACCATATTTGTTGATATGCCATATTTACAGATAACGGGGGGATTGTCAAATTTCCCAGCAAACATGTTAATTGCAATAGAGTTATTCTTATCTTGCACTGGTTCTAGATAACACGGGTTCAGAGAGTTAATCAGATATAGAAAAATTTCAAAATCATTGCCAGATTGAACAATTCAATCATATACCGAGGAAAGGACACGATCAAGCGGAGACCTCCCTCACAACATCAAAAAGTAACATGAGAGCGAGTTCCGACGAACCGCACTTGAATTCATTATAGTTAGGCATCTATTTCCACAGCAAAATACAACCACTACTAGAAAACTCATTAACTCAAAGATTGCCTACTACAATATACAAAAGATTCTATTCGTCACACCCCAAACTTCTCTTACATTTCTCACCTCCACACGAACAGAGATGCGTGTTCGATTGGTTTAAACAAGCGTTTGACCTCAACAGAAGTGTTGATACACCCGTTTGGAGGGCGTGTTCGAATCGGCAAAGTTTATACTTGAAAGTTCTTTTCCTGGTAGCGAAATTAGGATGAAAGGATTGATCTCCGAGCAGGTAGAAATAGATGGAGTTGCCGACTATCAACTATACGAATGCTTAGGCTATCAGAAGGAGTCTTCTCTAGTAACTACTTTGAAGAAACAATCTTGCAAGAGACGGATTCGCTACCATGTTCCAAACTCGTGTTAAAAGCTCTATGGTGGTCACTTTCAGGTGACGCAGGATGACAGCTGCGCCATTTGAGCGGTGTCAGAAGTCATTTACTGTGAAAAAATCACTTCCCAGTACGCATTAAACGGGAAAGTATACTGAATCAAGGGTGTGTGATTTACTATACACAAAATCCAATCTGATCCACTACCTGTGATGCTATTAAAACAGATTGGACTTAATGTACAAGAAGGTATGTAAATATGGATCTTTACAACAAACATAAGTTCATCCGGATAGGGGTATTCGAAATCATCCCCATACAGCAGATAGAGCCGACTCCTTCGCTATCTCGACCCCCAAGTGGTACAATACTATCGTACCTGTATTCAGATCACAAATCCCAGACGCCGGACCCTGAGTCCCAATTTCCAGCGCTATGTTCAAGCTAATATCAACATACATATCAATACAGACCCCTACTCAACTTTCGGCAACCGACTTCCCTGAACCGCCAAAAGATCCGCACCAATATTGCCTTCATCCTCGCTATGTCCCTTTACCCACGTATATATTGTCCTTGTGCCTTTCGCATCTCTCTCATCCATTTTCTCGCGGATCTTCACAACTAGATCTTTATTCATCACCGGTGCACCAGTGGAAGAATGCCAATCGCGCTTGATCCAGTTCTCGTACCAGACTGAGGCGCAATTGATACCATAATTCGAGTCGGTGATAATCTCTAGGTTCTGAGTTGGGGGAACGAGTTCGAGGGCTCGGAGGATGCCGGTGAGTTCGGCACGCTGGTTTGTTTGTAGGTCGCCGGCGAGACGTTCTGAGAGATTGCTATTTGTACCGTCAGTGAATGATCACAATCCTCCTATTGTGTCAAGTCAAAGAATGCGTACCGCTCATCATCATAACCAAAATAAACACCCACCCCCGCCTCAGCATTAGCCTTCCCATTGCCTCTCGCACTTCCATCCGTCCAAACCTTCAAAACACCCCCCTTGGACCCCGTCTTCGATGTAGCGGTCTTAGCCTTCTTCCGTTCCCTCTCTCCGTCATCCTTTTCCTCCACCACTTTTTCAACTTTCTTCGCCTTGTCAATCTTCCCACCACTATCCACAAACGCCTCTGCCTCCTCTCTGGTGTCGAATTTCCGATATTTAGGTCCCTTGACATTCGTGATTTGTATTTGAGCGTCTGCCCATTCGGTATACACCCCTGGCTGGTGGCCTACTGCTATACCGTAGAACTTGGCTGGGCCTTTGGAAGTCCCCGGAACGACTTTGCCGGCCACGAAATCCTCTGCTTCTTTCTGGGATGGAAACGATTTATCTAGTACGTATCAGCAAAGTTGCGTGGAGATAATTTGGTAATTAGAAAGACAACATACAACTCGCGCCCTTGAAGCCCGTAATCATTTCTTGACAGTCGCTCCAAAGTGTATACACACCAGGTACCTTGCCCGCTCTGACCCCATAATACTTCGTCTCTACCGCACTTGAAGCCTTCCTTTTTTTGGTTACCGTCGCAGACATGTTGAAGAGTAGCCTTCGGTGACGATAGCTAGAAGGTGTGGTGATGAGGTTTCTCGCTCTCTGGACGTGGAAGTGGAGTTGGGTTGGGAAGCTTCTGCAAGGCTGCGTCCTTCTGCCCCAAACAGGGAGGGACGCGCATCTAAATACTGGAATCGTGAGGGGTAACAAAAAAGGGGGCCCTACACCCTGTAAATCTCTCCTCTGGAACGCGATAACAAAGGGTTTGGAGGTCGCAGGTGCCGGATTGTGTAAGGAGATAAAGGAGCTGTTCTTCGATCCGGCAAAACGTGCAAGGCTGAAGTGAAATAAGGTTACCACTTCGGCGTACTTAATCACGGCCAATATTGGTTCTTTAGGGTTGGATAAGTAGCATGCTCCAACAACACGCCGTACCTTTGCATATTTGGTCTTTTGATGAGGCACAAATGCGAAACGAGTGACTTGGGTTGATCCGCTAGAAATGCGGAGTTTAAGAAGCTCCTTAGAACTACGTGTGTACATGGGATACGGCTGTGAACCCAAGGATCATAAAATATTAAGAGGGACGTTAATCTCGAAGTGCGGTTGATCGAATAGTATTATATTCACTCACGAGCAAGAATGCAGACAGGTTGTTATTGAATTAGACCAATACGAGCGTAGCAGAAAGTTGGGAATTTAATATACAGTCCAGACCTCCCAATTTTCAAACAATCGGGTTGCTGGCACAGAGGCATCTCCCCTGGGTATCAGTACACAAGCCCTCATGACCATGGCCCCAATTGCATCGACCCAAAAAGCCATCTAAGGAAACTTTTGTACAAGCCGGACTCCAAAATCAACCCATATAGTTATGCAAAATGCGCCTTGTTACTCCCCAATCCCCTATGGCACCCAAAATAGCAGATGTGTACATGAAAGTTTGCCTCTGTTGGCCGTTATTCGCAGTAAGAACTAGGTATCCCTGATTCCCAAGTTTATCTCTTGGATCCTCTCGGATCGTCAAAAGGGACCTAAGACCCCCAAGCCCCCGCCGATGGCCCCGAGATTCTCTTCAAAAACGCTTGGAGCTGAAGCGCGAATTCGGCCATTCATATCCCGATAGTAGGCAACAGAATACAAGATGTCGTAAAGAAAATCATTCAAAGAGTCGTAGTATCCCTCGTTACATCCAGCGGTTATATCGTGTAGTGAAAATGTACAAGCAGCAGCCACCTGAAAGAGGCTGCTAAAATAGAGTATAGTTGTCATGATCTTGTCATGAATTTGTTGTGAAAGAGAGTGGATCGTTCTGGTCCCTTGAAGACTGGTCAGGTGCCTAATTGCCCTTGACCGTCTCCTTTTGTGGCTTGTAACCGACGAGCTCATCGAACCAGAATTCTTCGTCGTTGTATTTGTAAGCGTGAAATTCGATGCCATAAGGCTTTGGTTCAATCGAGAACAAAAGTCCAAGGGGCACGTCGAGGTCTGCAATATCATCTCGAGTAAAATCCATAAAGTAAGCCATCAGGACACGGGCGACAGACCGGTGTCCAATAATAAGAACATGATCCTTGATTCGCTCCAGTTCACGAACCATATCACGAAGACGACTGATTACTTGGAGGTAACCTTCGCCGCCCACTCCAGGGTAAACATAGTTGAGCTTGTCCTCAGCTCGCTTCGCGAATTCTTCTGGAAAGTTCTGTTGGATGTCGCCGTATGTCATGCCCTCAAATTTGCCGGCGTGGATCTCGTTAAGCATTTCCCAGTTCTTAACATCGTAGTTCTCGTCATCCTCAAAGTCTTGAGCGGTCTGAATGCTCCGCTGGAGCATGGAAGTCCAGACACAAAAGTTCTTCGAATCCAGATCCCCAAGAAGTTCCGGATAGGGAGGGGTACGATCTCCTGGACCTAGAAACTCCTGCGCTGCAAGTGCTCGTGATTTCTGATCGACCTCCCACTCCGTACGCTTCTTGGAGATGAAGTTGTATAGCACGGTCCCATAGTTTCGACCGGCTTGAGTGATGTCGGAGTCCCCACCAAGTTTGCCAAGGTGGTTATCGACGGATTGACCGTGACGAGTGATCCAGATTTGTCTAGGCGAAAGGTTGAATGTCGAGAGATACGATGCAATGCCACTCGTTAAGAAGCCCTGAAGTTGATGGTGAACCAATTTGCGTCCCACGTCGATCATCTGGATGTACTGCATGTTCTGGTCCTCTTCGTATTGCCCAAGTGGTACATAGGCGCTCTCATATGCTTCAACTCGCTTCTTGAAATCCGCAAGAGCACTCTCTGGATCCTTGTCTTTGTAGTCTGGGCCACGAAGCTTTAGTCGCATATTTGCCTCAAGCAACTGTTCTAACGTCAGCGTGAGAGCAGCAGAGGAAAGTATTAAGACGTACCTTTTGGTCCTGGCAAACACTCTCAATGAAGATAATGCCTAATTTGGGTTCCCGCTCCTTTACTCGATTAAACAGCACCTGACGGCGCTCGACGGTGCTATTGGTAGCGTCCAAGATACCGACAGAGCCACCCTGATTCAGAAGGAAGTCCAGAAGTTCGTCGAGCGTGGACATAGCCACCTGCTCTCTCAGCTGAGCTGCCTTTGAGTTCTTAGGATCGAAAAATGAAGCAGACTGGTCCATTCCCTCGGCGCTCGGAAGTTTGGTTAACTCGTTCTGCTCTTGTGTTGGGTCAACGCCGTTCAAAAGAATATGGGCCGCCTGGGTGGGTGCATCCATGGCCGCTCCGATCGATCTTGTCGTGTCGCTTCTCTTTGGCGATCCTGGTGGTGAGTTCTGAGGAGGAGAAACTGGTCCTTGTGTGCTCCCTGCTGCTACACGCCTTCGATTTCCAACATTGAATATTTTACTCTCGTGCTGCTGCCACGACAGGTACCGCTGAAGCTTTTTGGTAATATACGACTTTCCTCTCGCCGGAAGACCAACCATGATGATAACCAATTTTGCACCCACATCTCTTGATGCTATCTTTCCATTTGGCGAAACTCGAGATCTGGTCATGCCAGGTATGTTGAGTGTCGTGGCGGGGGGTCGAACTCGGGGGGTGACGGTGCCAGAATTCTGGCGGACTGGGAAACTATCACAACCATCAGCTTCTGTATTCGAGTGTTGGATGAGTCGAAGCTATAACAAAGAACATAGGTGAAACTCTGCGAAAGACAGCATTCGTAGCACTCCAAGCTGCCGATCCCGCGATGCCTCTGACCTCAAAGATTATGAGAATTACTCACAGTCGTGGGCTACCAGGCGCTGTCGAAGGCGCACTTGGTAGAGGGGTGTCGTTCATGGCGGGTCCATGGTTTTGGCTGCCCATTGCCACTGCTTGAAGAGCGCGTCCTAAGGATGATTTGGGAGGTGCAAGCAGGGTGTCCTTGGATGCTACAGGTTTATCTTTTTCGAGTTGGACTTGTTTGGCGTTTTCGGCGACATCTTCAATGGCAGGTGGTGGGAGCGCGGAGGTAGACATTAATTTTGCGCCCTGGCGAGCGACAAGGACGGCTTTTGCAATGTCAGAATGTTGTGACTGACGTCGCTTCTTCGGGACTAATTTTGACACGAATCGTCAGTTTTATGCTTTGGCGAATGTTGTTTCGCAGAAGTGTGGGAACTGGTGGAGCCTTTCTCTGGGTCGACTTACTGAGGCTGGTGGTGTCGCCCTCACCAGTCGCGATAGCTGTAGGCATTCGTGGAAGGGTTTGGTGGTTTCGCCGAGCCGCAACGTTCTTCTTTGATCTGCAGGCTGCAGCTGCAGGACACTGGTGCTGGGCCTTGGTGTAGCGTCGGTTCGGGCTTTGTGGAAATGTTTCTATTTGTCTGCGGAAATGTTTTTATTTGTCTGCGAGGTACGAGTACAGGTGCAGCAGGCAGAGCTTGGCCGTGCTGTGGCCAGCCGTCCACTGTGCTCCCAGAGCGATACTGGATGGATGCGTAGTGTATGGAGAGCGAAAGTGGGAACCTCGACTCACTCAACCTCAACCAAACGAGGTCAGGAAACTTGCAAGATGCGCTGGTGGGGATGGGTGGCGGAGGCTGCGGTTTATTCGAGGTCGCAATAATTGGCGAGAATGGGATGGTAATGTGATAAGGCGCGTGTGTTTGAAGTTGAAAAGGATTGGAGTGGTGCTGGAAGGAAAGAAAGGTGGGAGATTTGAAATTTCAATCGGCTGGTAGCTTGTGAATGATGGGATGGGCCTTTCCAGAGCTGGACGAGCTGGACGACCCTTTTGGCACAATCTCGATGGTCGAGGCTGCGCGCACTGCAAGGCCGCCGTCGCTTGGCAGGGATAATGTGGAGGCCCGCGTGCGGATTATGATGTCGCAGCCAGAAACAGCCAATGGGATGGTAGCGGAGTCTCGGTCTGATAAGCCGATAAGGAACCTGCAAAGTCGGGACTCGAGCGACCGCCAAACGTGGAGGATGGGCAGAGTACGTCCGTATGAGGAGATGAATGCTCCGAATCCGGTGGAAATGCAAATCAAGTTATCGACACTTATAGAAGGAGACAGACGACATTGACGGATGATGTGAGCAGAGTATCGATACGCGCTCCCACTGTTCGATGTCGACCGCGATGCCAACCCCAACTCCGGACCGACGCTCTCAAGACTCCATCGTGCCAGTCAGTGGAAGGGAACCTAGGAAGTCCGCAAGAACCAGGCGCCCACCGCCGTTTCGTTGGATGAGTGAGTCTAGTCTCGCTGACACTTCTGATGTCACGGGGTCGCTCTGTGTTCCAGGCGACGAGTCGCAGAGAAGGGCTCGAGAAGGGCAAGATCTGTTGCGACGGAGTCTTGGCACCGTCCTCCACGGACACAGCTTCGATGTTGCGTCTCGGTGTCCCTCGTTGCCAAGCAGCCACGAAGCTTCCAAGCAACGCGTTTGGTACGATCAGAGCCGCAGAAGACGAGATGAGAAGCGCACAGATTCAGACGGTGAGTTGGCCGAGGAATTGATGAAGCGGTGTTGAGGTGTTGTGGTGTTGTGGTGTTGAGGTGTCATGGTCAGAGGGCCAGCCTTCCTTTTGAGCTGCCGTGAGAGATGCATTCTGGATGGATCGATAGCTCCGGCCATCATCATGGCAGCGTCGACGCAGCATCGCTCGACGCCTCTCTCCGGCCTTCCCAGGTTCGTTCGCTTCTCACGCAGGCTGAATGCAGAGAATGCAGAGAATGCAGAGAATGCAGAAGAGCATCCTGTCGCTCGTCTCCTATGACTTGCTTCACATCGCAGCGTGCTCCATCAGCAGCCTGTCATAGGCCATTTCCACTTGGGCAACGGTCGTCGTCAGCCAGCAAGCCTCTGCTGGTTATCTCTGGATGCTCTTCAGCCAAGGACCTCTGATCGTAACCACTTGGCATGTGAAACCAACGGAAGAACAGTTTCGTAGCGCTGTCTATCTTACTCACAGGATTACAATCTACAGATCACCGAGAGACCAAGAGGTACGAATCAATAATCCCATATGCTGGACGTTTTGCCGGACTCATGAGCCTCTCCTACGCCAGTATCACCCCAAAGCCTTAAACAGCCTTACAGAAACAAGGCGGAAGCTGGGGAGCTGTTCCGCGGCATATCCGCCTGGATAATAAGAGACGTCTCGTTCATCTGAGCAAAGCAGTTACGGACTCAAGGCTCAACTTGCACCGTCTGGTCGCGACTGGAACGGGTTTTCTACGTGTCGTGTGCCCACTTGCAGAAATGCTATCTATCATAATCCCAGATGGTCGTTTGTCTATATCGGGCTACCAGTAATTCGATGTGGGGGTTCTGTTCGTTTCATGCAGCCAGCCATGTGTGTATCAACGAGTAAGGCGAAGATCCCAACCTTTCAAACAACATCAAGCGCCGACGCCCTAGACTCCTTCTAGCAGTGGCGGGAGAAGCTTCTAAACCCCTTCTTCGCTTCTTCGCTTCTTCGAAGGTTGCCGCCGAGAACTACACTCCTTAGTTCTACAGTACGAGTACAACAATCTAGATGTCTGGGCGTAAGTGGTTGTTTCTTGTACATCTCCTTGGCGTGTTCCTGATTTTAACTGCCGGTTCTCGGCTCTCGTTTCGTTAACAAGCAACATAATTTGTCTCGCAGGCTGACGAGTCTATCACACACTGAAAGCTATCGATTAAGTAGATCTCTAGCCAAGACACGGGTCTTCAATTGGGATCCAGCTTAAGATTATTTGGTGGCCGAGAGAGGCGCACATACTTGGTCGATCATTCTTTAGTGGCGGCTCATGGCGAACTATCCCGCGGATTGTCTTCCCGCGGTTTGTCTGCTCCAAGACTTTCCAAACCTTGCGATCATCCCGAGTTCATACATCACAATAGACTTGCATGTACGATGTCTCAAGATAGAAGAAATTTTATGATCACCTACCTATCCGTCATTGCACACAGGCTCAGGATATATTGATCATCCACTATGGTTGATCCTCACCATTTCGCTACATTTGGTAAAATACAACCCTTCACGCGTAAGGCTCTGAATAGCCGACAAGTTTGGGGTTCGTTGAATGTCAACATTCCTTAGTGAGTATTGCTGGAGAGTGACATTCACAAAAAGGTACTTGGAAGAAGTGACAGGTATACAGGATTCAGAGACTGTATGTGAGTGTTCAGACGAGCTTACGATTATTGACACAATCAGATCTCTGTTACGAGATCATTCACATGGTACTTGCTGTTGAATTTCTCTCTGCTTTGTTTTCTCATAAAGCACTAATGATACCAGTTGGGACATTTCAGGTGCACTTTCTTCCGTTTCTGCATACCGTCTGAAACTCTCGTAGTTGATGAAGCGGATCTCTTCGTGAATACCAGTGCTGAGACTCGAGTACAAGTGGAGCTAGATCCAACAATTGACCAGGTGTGATCAGCATCTTGACTATACATCTATGAAAGAATAATAGAGGTTGAGTACAGCTCTTTCAGGCTTCCCTATTCAACAATTTGGTTTGGTTTCACAAGACAGAGACGAGATTCCTAGTATGAATAGGATGTCATTGGAATTAATACAACTCATTTCAATTGAGGAGTATTCTCGAAAAATGTTCCGAGCATTAAACCTTCCATTGACGTGCTCAACCAAGCAAGCTTCACACCACACAAGCTTTTCCTCTCATACACACAACAATCAATCATCTCTCAACGCAACCTCAAACCCCTCAAACTCAACACTCAACTCATCATCCCCCTCACTCGTAATAGGCTTCGCAGCCGTCATCCCAACCCACATCTCCCCCTCCTCATCCACATCCCAAAAAGCCCACGTAACCTCCCTCACCGGCACCTTCCCTCCCCTCCCCACAACCGAAACCCTCAAAACAGACCCCCAACTCCCATCACTTTCCTTCTCCCTCTCCACCTCAACCGTAACCCGTTTCTCCCTCTCATCCTCGGGGTCTAGCGGCAACAAACTCCAATCTGACCACAGATCCGTCGTCACGGTGCTCATCATCGGTCGGTTCTGGTAGTACTCGAAGCCGGTTTTCACCCAGCGTTTTTCGGGCCTGGGATCGCTTCTTTTGGTTGGGAAGACGAGGACCAACCCGCCTTGGTCGTAGAGGGTCTTGAGGTTTGCGGTGACTGTTACGCGCGCGGATTTGAATTTGGAGATTGTGATCTTTTTGTATATGATGGGAGCGTTGAAGCTGTCGATGGAGGGCGGTTTGCGCCAGATGTCGGTTACGGATGTGGTTGTTATTGTGACATTGCCTTCGGCTGAGGGGGTGGGAAGGGGAGTTGAGGAGGGGAAATTGGCGTATTGGTAGGCCATTTTTGCGTGCGAGTAAATGGGAGTTACTATCCTGTATCTTAATCTATCAGCTGAATGTTCTTTCCAAATGATGTTATGAAGGTCTTTATATAAACTTTTGACAAGGTCATGTGTCAGTGTTTCTTGCTCGGATTCAAAGCGAGGACACTCGGCTAAAGAAAAACGTGAGACCACCTCCCCCACTTCTTACAAATTTCATTACAACAATAATAGCTTCGATATTAGGACCTACCAGAATATCTGCTGTAATCCGTGATACAGAGCTTAAAGCCGACCACGGATTGTACTGGATTACAAACTCTCACGTGTAGTCTACTATTGAAGTTGGAAGGAATTTGTAGGTGGATAATGAGAAGATGAATTTCCAATAGGAATATTTTCTTGACATACGGCTATTTCATTAAACATTATTTCATATTTTCATACACATACATATATACAACGTTATTCTCCTATAACGATGTTTAATCTCACACCAAACTTGGACTCTCTGTTCGGTATAGGGTTTTCACATTGGGTTTCCTGTACGTATAAGAGGAAATGCATTCATAACTGAGGACTTACAAAATCGATCTCCCTGGTCGGCGAGACCGCGATAAATTCCATAATACTGTGTTTTGGGAATACTCAGTCTTGGAACTTTTGTGTGACACAGGAGAAGCATCTTGTGCTGTTCAACACCAGAGTGCTATTGTGTAGTAGTTCTTATGCGAATGAAGCAGTTGTATGACAAGGCCTTTCTACATAGACTTTTTCGTGCTTTACTTAGCCGAGTTTTCAAATTTATCTGATATAAATTCCAGCTTGAGGTACTATGGTGTTGACCTCAGATCATGATGAGGGAAAAGATTTACTTGTATTTCCCATAGAAAATAGACGTCTATTGTCTAGACTCCTTTACCTGTCAAGTACAGAACTTCATAGATAGTAGAACATGGTTCTTCATTTACTTAAAGGCAAACCTGAAAGCAATAAGTTGACCCTTCAAAACCTCGCTTAAAACCTACTTGAACTATTATTATTCTCTTTCATTACCATTCTGAGTAATCTCTAACGTTATCAGTAAAGCCTTCGGTCCGAACCTTGTCCTATCTATATATCTCCTCTTTTTATTACGCTCATTGTTCCCTTGCCACAGTGTATCTAGCAGATTCTCGTCGATGCCGTCCTAGCGTACGCAGTACATGCTGCTAATAACCCGACCGCCCCCCTCCCGAGCCTCCAAGAGCTCCATATCCTCCAGTTGTTCCAAATCCTCCGGGTCCTCCAAACCTTCCACGTCCTCCAAATTGTCCCACGTTTGGCACAAGCCCGGGTCCCAGTGGGAACTCTTCAACGCCTAAGTTTTTTGCCGGAATCCTTTCACCATAAGGAACTTTCCCACTTTCATGTACAAGAGGCTGAAAACCGTGAAACGGTGCACCTCGCATTTGTGCTGCGTATGGACCGGACCAAATCGCGTCCCATTGTTCTGCAAGACCACCAATTAATTGATGAAACCCGCCTGCTGTTTGGTAAAACCATCCAAGTCCAAGAGATAGTAATTGATCGGAAATATAATGATTTCCTCCAGAGCACCGAAATCCGTGTTTCTGGCGCACCCACCCGAAGCCGGCAATGCATGCTCCAGCAAGGTCAATCTGCTCTCGACACCATGTTTCTTGCTTTTTACGCTCCTCGGGAGACATTTTATTGATGCTCAACTGACGAGATGCCATGGTGATATCTCTCTCCGTCTTCAAGAGGGTCTTATGCCGAGTGGAAGTCGGAGGGATGTTACTGTCTCGTTGAAGTTTAGTACCTTGTTGAGGAACGGAAGAGGAGGAGGAGGAGTCCCGATGAAGCTGTGTCCCTTGGTTGTGTGGTGCCAAAGTTCTCGAATCTGTTCTGCTACTCTGCTGTGGAGCAATTGAGTGGTCTCGAGCGAGTCTTGTGCCCTGAACAAGTGCAGAAGAATTCTGTCCCGAAGAGCTGGAATAATTGTCCCGAGCTAGCATAGTTCCGGCATTGTTTCTGCTGAGCGATTGCGTACGGGGATGTGAGCTTGAATTGACATTGTCTCTGTTCAATCTAGTGCCTTGGGGTCGAGAACTCGAACTACTTTCGTAATCGTCAGGTCGTCTGGAGGAGGAAGTCCTGCTGTTTGATCGTGGGCGGTTGCTCATTTTGGAATGAGGGTAATGATATCGACAATGCTTTTTAAAGATTTGATGTTTGTGATAATTGTGCTGCAATGGTTACAATGAGAAGAAGAAGAAAGGGAGAAAGCGGCAGAGTTGATATACTAAGTTTTCGGGAGCGGATGTGATTGACTGAAGACTGATAGAACACAATCAGAAACATTCTGGCATTATCATATCTCAAAGTTGTGATGAAGTGACCCAAGAACTTGGTGAAACGCGGAAGAAGCGAATAACCAGGCTTCTTCGTCTGATTAAAACACCTCTCGAGTTAAAAACATTCACTTTCCGTGGCGCTTCTCAGGGAGAGAAGTCAAGAATAATTCAGGAGATATTCTTGAATCATACAGACTCAACCATGACCTATTGACTAATCATAATACAATATGAAGAGGGTCATCTTTAGAACATCGACCGCTCTGAAGAACTTCCTGATAATGAAAAGTAATGTCGCATCCATTGCTTTTCTTTTGTTTTCGGCGGCATGAGAGTGGAGATGGGCGCTCTAAAACGGTACTGAAATATTTGAAAGTATCTTGGTAACTTCTTGAACTGGTGGTTTCGAAATTGACAGAGACGTCAGTGAAAGCATTGTAGGAAATTATAAACGAGGACTGGGACTGACACTGTAAATCATCAGTGCTACTCCGCCAGCTGCATCACTTAAACCGACCCCTGATTGGACATATTTCCTCTGGAAAAGAAAGTTTTTTGGCCTTTTGATACAAAGACTTCGCTGTGATACGTATTGCTAGGTTCTGTCAAGCTTACATCCAGAATGAGACCTTCCACATCAGCTACCGAGTTTTCTTATACCACCACGGGCACTTACAGCAATACAGTCATCTTTTGATAGGGCTGTGAAATGCTTCTAAACTTCGCAAAGAATTATACGAAGTATAAAGGTGTCGAGTTCAGGTGGTTGAAATGCGATACTCGGTGCAGAGTATATGACGTCATTATCTCAATGTTTTGAATATTCCAATAAATCAATTCAAATACCATCACTGGAGCCTTGAACATGCTTATAAGTAAGATGCTGCGCCAGTTTTCAAAAGCGTTGATGTTGTAGAAGTATTTGAAATGTTAGGGGGCTGTGTTTTCCCGTAAGCGTAAGCGGGGCTTGAGTACATTAGATAACCACCACTTTCCATCATATTTCGTTTGATTCATACATCTAAAGTCTTCGTATGTGTATATGATCTTTATCATTGTTTGAAGTTCCTCGTGTCTTTTGCAATCGTCGATACAGTTGTTACAAGAATTGGAAATCTACAATTCTCGCCACTTCAACCAAACACCGAACTTGCAAGCGAAGAAAGACCATCACGCATTACCAGATATCCAATTGCACCTCCAAAATACCAGATTCACGCAACTGAACAAATAATATCTATTGAGTAGTCCATTTCGACAATCAACCGACCAATTCAATACAAAACTCCATCAAATCTCAAGTCTTGACGACAACCAAACTCACTCTCGCCACACATCAAACTCCCATCACAAAATCCACTTTCATCTCACAACCCACCACAAACCCAACCATGGTCCTTTTAATCCTCATCGGCGCAACCGCCAGTGGTGCCTCCTACGTAAAAAGACGTCGCGCGCTCAAAAAGCTAGAATCCTCAAACGCAGCATCCACACCCCAGAGACGCACGAGTTCGCCACAAGAAGCACCAGAACAAATTGACGATATCACATCGCCGCCACCATATGAGAGGACGACAAACGAAGTGGTGGTCCTGCAGGGAAGACATTTGAGTTCCGTCGAGGGTGTGGAGGTGGATGAGGATGCGCCGCCGGAATATGGAAATGATGTTAATGTTTTTGAGAGTTCACAGACATTGATGGGAAGTAGTGAGGTGGATGATGTGGAGGTGAAGAGTAGGCTTCGATTGCAGTGAGGGATCGGTGTCTATGTATGAGAGAATTTGACCGGTAGGATGCATAGGGAATATTCAAGGATTATGCATTGTAAGATTCAATGTGACACGATGTATGAGAATAACTGTTTATTTTCTAAGATATTTATTAATCAACTTGTAATTATATCTGAAATCAAAGGCTTCATCTCAAGTGAAAGGGTCTTGACTAGCAAATTGTTAGATAGCTCCGTGAAATGCATCGAAAAAAACGCCGCTCAACCAGCCCGCAAAATGCTTCAAAGTCATTCCATCGTAATATGTAACCACCATCAACACCATAACCCACGCAATATGTACCCGTGATGAACTTCTCTGTTGTGTGAGAATCGTTTATGAGTCAGAAGAGGAGCTCAATATCGGTCAAAGTGCACCAAAACCATTCTATCCTCCCAGTTATTCAACGTCGTCAAAGCTCACAAATTTCCACGCGCAGCTTGCTCTCTCTCAATAGCCTCAAAGAGACTCTTGAAGTTGCCGGCACCAAAACCGTTAAAGTCGTTGCGCTGGATGATCTCAATGAAGACGGTGGGACGATCCATGAGTGGCTTGGTGAAGAGTTGGAGCAGATATCCGCCCTCATCGAAATCAATCAAAATGTTGAGTTTTTGGATCGTATCAAAATCCTCTTGCAATTTCCAGTTTGTCTTATCAGTCTTTAGTCGGAGACGCATGGCCGTGTAGTAAGTCTCTGGGACGTTGATGAACTCAACACCACGAGCTCGGAGGTTGGAAACGGCGGCAATGATATCAGTAGTTCGGAGCGCAATATGTTGAACTCCAGCACCTCCATAAAAGTCAACGTACTCCTCGATCTGACTCTTCTTCTTTCCCGGGGCCGGTTCATTCAAGGGCATCTTGACGACGTTATTGGGCGATGCCATGACAATTGAGTTTAGAGCTGAGAATTCGGTGCAGATCTGGGCGTCGTCAACGGACCAGAAGCGGTGGAACGAAAGGCATTTCTCATAGAAGTCACAAGCTTCCACCATCTTGCCCCAGTCTTGGTTACCGACACAGTGATCAATTGCTTCAAGAGTCACTGAAGGAAGGATAGATTGAAGAGGATCAACCTTGTTGGCTGCAATAGCCTTGTATCCTGGGAGGAAAACACCTGAGTAATTGCCGCGAGAGATCATGGTATGTGTAGTGTCGCCGTATGTCTTAATGATTGCTGTTGTGACAGAGCCGAACTCATCCGATCTGGTGCGTGTAGCCTGAACAGATTCAGCACCTTGGTCAACTGCTTGCTTGTAAACACCCTCAACATTATCGACCTCGAATGAAACATCCTTGACTGCATCGCCATGCTTCTCTAGATGTTCATAGATCTCCTTGAGGAGACTTCGATCTTCGGATGATATTGGTTCGTCACCATCGATGCTGGTGTATGACTTGATTGGGGATGTGAGAACAAATCTGATGGCGCCATTTGCAACGACATGCGAAGCAATATACCGGCTTCCTGTTTCGAGACCTTTGTATGCGATAGTCTTGAAACCCATCCGAGTGGTATAGAACGAAGCAGCTTGCTTTGCATTTCCCACATACCAAGTGATGTGATCATATCCGTGGAAGTTTGGGGTACCATCCACCGCACCAGATGTGTTGCTTGATGTTGGGAATGTGAGAGATGTTGGCGTTAGGACCGGAGGTGTGATAGCCGAAGGAGCCATCGTGGAGGGTTGAAAAGTGTATGTGACGATTTTGGGGTATCAGAAAAGTATCAACGATGATATTGAAAGTATGAAAGGATCGGTATTGACAATCGATCTTTGTTTTGATTGCGGAAGGTTGTTATCTTGAGAAGTGATGTGAAAGGAAGTTGTGGAGTTCGCCAGAGAAAAGTCGAAAGCTCACCTTATATCTCTGCCGGACGTAATCGCGGACTCACGCTTTGAGCCCACAATACTTACGAATTGGCCCAAAATCCTCAGGCAAGTGCTGTGGTTCACTTGATATTTCCCTGGTTACTCACGGAATTGGAAAGAGGAAGATATCAGCGGCTCGTCATTGGAGGTTTGGGGAACCAAAAGCGGCTTGGCGCCATCACCCCGACGGAATTTGGGAGGGCGCTTATTTTCGGTTTCCGTCGGCCATGCCACTTCACATAAGAAGTAGGTATTTCGCTGTCTCCCACATTCTGGCGGGGAATACGTGAATGGGACATACTAACATCTGAAATGCCGACTCATCTCTGAGGTAAGTCAGAATCATGCTTAGGTAAATATTCGGATAGCCCAGGTATATCAACTCCGTCCTTTTCAGAACTTCATCACTTCTCGTTGCTATCAGACACCTCCATTTTTCAAACCCTTTGTATGTTCCTCGCTAGTCTTTAATCTGTCATACTCGATATCGATTGGTATTACCTGATCTCTGTCAGTAAACGCGCGTTTAACGATTTGAGTGCTACATCAAAGTCGCACCAACATGGCAACCACTTCAACACTCTCGTCTCACGACATCTCAATCCTCTCCAAAATAGCCGATCCAGAATCCTCACCTTCATCACCACTTCTACTCGACCCGTCTCTTCCAAACGACCCCCATCACAATGCCGAAGAGTACCAGAAAGTGGCCAAAAGCGAGGTCTCAATAATGAGTAAAATCATGAAACTCGAATTCCAGCTCGCCGATCCAAAATCACTTCCATCAACCGAGACAGAACTCCTAGTTCAATACCAATCTGTAATCAGCGAATTAGACAACCTAATCTCAGAACACCCAAAGTACGCAAGCGCAAGAAACAACAGAGTCCAAGCTCTCCGAAGACTTTATGGCGATGCGATATTCATCCAACGCACAGAAAACACCATCTCATCCAACGAACCTCAACCTCTCCTCAAAAACGCAGACCAAACCACCTTGACCAAAATCTCAACCACAATCCTCACCGACCTCTCAACCGGAATCTCACTCCTCACACCCGCTCCCTTCTCCGCACTCTCTCCCAAAGCCGCAAAAACACTCTCATTACTCTACACCCAGCGCGGAGCTCTATACCATCATACCGCAAAACAGCTGAACAGCAACCCTTCCGCGGAATTAGCGCTTGAATCAAAGGAAGTCTCGTGGAGCGCAGCGGATTTTGAGGAGGCGGCGGCGCGAGATTTCATGATGGGAGGACGTTATGGGAATGAAGTTGCTAAGGCGCTAGCTGTGAGCGTTAATCCGACCGCGAAGTTATGTGGTGATATTGTGAGGGATGCGATGAGGAGGGAGTTGAGTGGTACTTCGGATTCTTGAGACGCAGGGCTGTGAATATTGTTTCGGTGTTTAGATGGAGTTGAGGAGTTTGATGAGCGTTGATATACACGAAGTGCACATTTCAAGAGGTGTGTAGCTAACGTGTACTATCGTTAGAGGGCGTCCTGGTTTCACAAATAACAACACATTATACCAATTACCCTTCAACTGAATTGAGGACCCTTATCTAAAATTTAATGTTAGTTGCAATAAAAGTCTCTGATGAAAATATGAACCCACATCCCGCAACTTCTCCTTTTCAAACACAGCCTCCATTCACCTTATTCGCTTGTTTTTGCACTCCATGGCTCTCGTTTTCCTCGTGATTATGATCGATTCTCGACTGAATCACGGTTCTACAAGAAGCCGTCTAATGCCTCATACAGCGGCTTAATTCCACTTGTAGGCCAATTTTCTGTGCGGATGACTTCTATTTTAAGACCCAACAGTGAATCTCTTGGGACCATGAATTCTATATAACGCTTCGCCTGAGTAAGATTTCGGCGCAGAAGTGCACACGTGTATTTGCATCACCTAAAACTCAGAGTTAACCTGGTGGTAAGCACACTTATACTCAGACGGAAGTCGGAAGATGTAATTAAGCTGAGTATCGCACTGCCGAGATCTTGCCTTCTCACGAGTCCTAAAGCCAAAGCATGGCAGTTATACCAAAATACTGCTTCTTTTCACGCAAGTTCAGCAACACTAAGTGAGTATTAACTTTTATTTTTGATTAAGGATCTAAGAAAGAATCTAAGAAAAACATTTGGTATCTTGGTTATGACTCCTGTCCGCGCCGTTCCAAAGAACTAGTCCATTAGATCTAGTAAAGACGAAGGAGCAAAATCATGCTCACAAAATCGTCGTGTTTTCACACTAGCAAAAGCCCAGCGGTCTGACTGTACAATGCAATGCGGCTAACTGTATAAAAACACAAAGAAGCCTCTCACGCGATAACCGTTATCAATGTGCAACGGGCAATCGTGTTCGTGGAGGTAATTTTTACGCCGACTTCTCGTGCTGTGTGGAGACACGTTGAAGCGAGACCACTATAAAATAGATTAGTAAATGTATATAAGGTGATGAATACCGGAAAACTTACCAAAATCCTCAAGAGACCTCTGTTTTTGGTTCTTCTTCGACGATTTACCGTGCATGAAGTTATCGAAGCCAACACTATCTTGGAGGAGATAGTAGACACCACCCATGACACAGAAGACACCGAATGAGAAGATCCAGATACGAACGACTGCAACAATGGAGGTCTGACCTTCGTTGACGAACCAACCAAACAGGGTGAAAAATGTTGCAAGAATGTCGACAACCAAGATGGCACCGGTTAGTTGCCAGGAGGGAATGGAGGACCAGAACGGACCGTTGGCGCGAGTAATGAAGATGAGCCAATTTTCGGTAAGCGAGATCTCGAGGAAAAGAACAGGATCCATGACACCAAAATTTTGTACAATACCAGCATCTTCTCCACGAGCAATCATGGTGGTGAGGGTGATCCAGGTACCAATAGCAAGAATGACACCGAGAAGAACAGACATACCCCAAAGCTTTGGAAGATTCCACTTGACAGGGGACTTGGAGAATGGAGCATTATCATATGCAATAGCCAAGGTGGCGACATCGGCGAAGATAGCAATGAAAACAACCAACTCAATATTGAGAGATCTGTTCAAGATGGCGATCCAGAGACCAAGGAAGATTTCCAAGTGAAGAGACAAGGCGATACGGTAGACGACGTAAGCGTACATACGATGGAAGATTTGTCGGGAAGTTTTAAGAGCATCAATAATCGCACCGAGACCCGGGGCAAGGAAGACGATGTCAGCGGCGGAGCGAGCTGCATCTGATGCACCCTCGACAGCAATACCAGTATCGGCCTTCTTGAGCGATGGGGCGTCGTTCACACCATCACCTGTCATAGCGACAAGATACCCACGTTGTTGGAGAATCTCGACTACGTTGTACTTGTGTTGCGGGAAAACCTCAGCAAATCCATCGGCGGCTTCGACGAAATCGTAGACTTCCGAACCTGGCATGTCACCGCCTCCACTACCAAGACCAAGACGTTCAGCGTTATAAACATTTGTACCGAGACCGAGTTGTCGGGATGTTTCACGTGCGATACCGACAGCATCACCAGTCAACATTTTAATGGAGAGACCGAGAGTCTTAGCTTCGTTGATAGTGCGAGCAGTATCGTGTCGAGGAGGGTCAGAGCATGGCATGATACCAAGAATCTCCCATTGGCCTTCACCACGTTTGCGGGCAACACCAAGAGAACGGAAACCGCGAGTAGCGAATTCAGCTACTTTGTTCTTGTAGGCCTGATCGATATCTTCTGGAATTGGGTGGTCTTCCTCGACAGTCTTGAGAACGAAGAGTGGTGCGCCTTTGACACAGATAATACGCTCGCCTTGTGGTGACTGTACGATAGCTTGGACTTTCTTGGAGACTGGGTCAAAGGGGTGGAACTCAATAACCTTGTACTTTGAGAGGACAGACTTGGCCCGGGGGTAGAATCGAAGAGCCTTCAAGAAAGCCTTGTCAATAGCGTCGATACCCTTCTTCTTGCGAGATGCAGCAAGACAAGCAGTCAGCATAAGATCATCGGCTTCAACACCTGGAACAGTAAAGGGCTCAGCGAGGGAAAGCTTGTTTTTGGTCAATGTACCGGTCTTGTCGGAGCAAAGAATCTCCACACCAGCCAAAGACTCAATGGCGGAGAGCTTCTGGACAATGGCCTGCTTCTTTGCGAGGTATGCGGCACCGACAGCCATAGTAGTGGTGACCACAGCCGGAAGACCGACTGGAACACCAATGATAGTAATGGCAAGAGTGTACTCAAGGATAAGCACGATCGGGTTGGAACGGTAGAAGGAGGAAATCCAGACAATGAGAAGGGTGAAAATGACCAGGACCAGAAGAACCGTTCCAATGCCGTTCAGGACCTCAGTAAAATGCCCAGTTCCGGATGAAGCTTGGTTAACGAGAGCGGCGGCACGTCCAACGAAGGTGTTATCTCCAGTGGCAGTGATGACCATGAAGGCTTCACCACGCTTGATACCAGAGGAGGCATAACATTGATCACCCTTGTGCTTGTCGACAGCGAGTGATTCGCCGGTGATGGCGGATTGATCGACTTGGAGGAAAGCATCGTCCGTCACAATGCGACCGTCGGCGGGAATAATGGTTCCCTAAAAACGCCAGCACATTAGCAGAATAAAGAGAAAGCTGGGAGCATATAAAATGATTCTTACTTCTTCAACTTGGAGGATATCGCCAGGAACAACTTCGGGAGCCTCAACCTCGAAAAGACGGCCGTCACGAAGTACCACTGCCTTGAGGGCGAGGGTCTTTTTTAATTCGTCGACAATGGAGCCAGCTTGGTACTCTTGGATAAAACCAACAGCAGCATTGAGCAATAGAAGAGCGCAGATAACACCGAAATCGACCCAGTCTTGAAGACCGGCAGCGAGAACAGCAGCAGCCTATGGGGAACACGAAGGTCAGCGTGGATTCCAACCAGGGTGTTTTGTGGAGGGGTAATTTTCGCGACAGGGCGCCATGCATGCCAGAACCGAAAATGAGACCGGGGCCTCGGTGCTGCAGCCAGAGCAGAACCAAACATTGGGGTCCAAGTCAGACCATCCGACCTCATGATTAGATATACTAGGTCGCGCTTTGCCTCGGGGGAAGTTAAAAAATAAATGAACTTACCTCCATCACGAATTGAATAGGACCAATAAAGTATCCAAGGAACTTGAGAATCAAGTTTTCCTTTTCCTCCTTCATCTGATTCATGCCGTACTTCTTGCGGCGAGCAAGAACCTCCGATTCTGTGAGACCCATTCGAGTGTCCGTTTGTAGCTGGTCTTCTGGAACAACTCGTCCTGTACTAGGATTGGCAGCATCATCTTCTTCCTCCTCTTCGGCATGGCCGTCTTGTGATTCGAGCTCATCGATCAGAGCGTCCATGTCCTCGTCTTCCTCTTCTTCTTCGCGCAGCTGCTTGCTGGTGGTGATTTCATGGTGCCCTGTCTTCTCGTCGAAAGCGCCCGATTCGATATTCGTATTCAGATGATTTGGATTTTCCGAAGAGGAATTGCTCGAGTGCGTGCCGATTGCACCGTGTTGGAGGTCCGCCATGGGTGCGGTGGAGCGGAGCACTGCTTCCAGCTCCTAGGAGAAGAAATATGAAGGTGCAATTATTAGGTTGCGCGATGTTTATCGAGACTGGGATTGGTAAAGGAAACGATGCAATGTCGATGTAGGAGAAGATGATTGAACCGCGGTGCGCGCATTCAATAAAGAAATGAGGAGATGAGGGAAGTCGTCGACGACGGGGTGGCAGAAGGTGTCGATTTGGAAAGAAGAAAGAGAGCTTTGGGCGACGAGGTTTATTTGAATGAGCTCTCGCCCAACCTTTGAGTGGTGCTTGCCCTGGGATGCGGGAGTGACGCAGGGTGGATGGAGTAGCGCCAAGGATGAGGGCTAGCAAATTGCGAAAGAATGTTGCACTAGATGGGCCAAAGAAGAAGGTATCGTCATAACTAAGGCTTAGACGTGTGTTGAAATCTCATTTATGATAAAATTGTACGACAAAGTTGTCTAGTACCATGCTATTATTTTGGTTGATTTATAGTCCCAGAGCTAGCTCATAACGATATCAAGCTTGAGGCGGAAGCCTAGACCGAGCAGATAGATCCGTGGTAATGAGAATGCAACTTCATTTTTCTGACATTGGACTATCTCTAAAACTGTTGACATTTTTACTCTTACTAGAGCTTCTCTTTGTGCCAGGATTTGGCCAAGAAGTCATTAATTAATTCGGGCGATTGTCGCATTGTACTCTGTTGGACAAAATCATTTGCCAACGAGACTAAGTACTCTGGAAGAATTATCACTACAGTAGGTGTTTACAGGTTGCCGACCCTCAGAACTCCTGTCTATTCTCCCTAGTGATATCTCCTCCTCCAACTTACGGTCTAGTTGGTATTCTCAGTAATATTGTTACAGTCTCCGTGTTCATCGCTGCAGAACCGAAGGTTCACGATTTGTTTGCTTGTGTAACATTTTACTATCTGCACCCCGACGGGTGCTCAATCCCGTCCAATCCACTTTTACGCCGTTCTGGACACAACAAACAGGGTCTCCAAGCTCTCCAAAATGCATCGTGGAATTTTACCCACGGGTGGATCTGCGCTCGCACATCCCAGCAGGTCCAGGGTCTTGATCGCTCACGAAAATTCTCGAATGGGTTTCCACTCCCCCATCCCAACTCCCGTCTTGCAGTAACCTCAAACTTAGTATCAGCCTTCCCGAAGAAGTCACACTCTGAGTGCTGGCATGCTGGAATGCTGCAGTAAGAATTCTTACACCTGCAGACCGTCAAACACAACTGATGTTGGTAAATATAGCTCCTTTGGCCAAATGACCAATTGGGCGAGGAGGGTTCCTTCGAGCGCGAATTGGACAGTCTCATTCATTCGTTTCATCCAATACGAAATATTGACGAGAAAGTAGAAGAGAAATAGCCCAGACTTTACGTACGCTCTAAATACCTAGGTAGGAAAGTTCAGTTACAAATTACTACCTGCGATGCGCTTGGTCTGTCCCTATCATTACCCATCCCTCACATTCTCACTTCTTGCTAGACGCCAGCGCTGCAATATGACATAGACTAAACACCGAAATACATAGATCGTAACAAGAATCTTGAGCGAGGAATGAGTGCAAATGGATTCAGACCGACAATTTCTCAGATCATCCAATACTAGCGTGTACAGTTGCGCTCGTATCGAGAAGCCTAGGAGCTTGTCTAAACGTGGGTTGTAGCTTGAGTGGAGACCTCTAGAACATAATCCATCAAGCATCTCCCCTGCCTTGCACACTTCAACCGTCTGAACGTCTGGACCAATATTTGGGGCTGACAACTGCTACGATGCTACATCGATGAAGTGGACGAACGATTGCTGCTGAGTGACGGAAATAAGTTGGTTATGAGCCTCAAAGCTTAACTCACGAAGCAACCCATTACTCTCGTATCTATCTGGTGGGATCCAGTTATCATGCTCGATATGCGGTAGTCGATGAAAACGTCAAGATCACATGGGCGGCTGAACGAACTCAACTCCAGTACGAAAAGCTAGAATCTTTGGTCGAGGTGGTAGGGCTGTGCACCAGCGACCACCGGCCAACGACCACGCGTGATTGAGATAGTCATGAAGCTTTCAGGAATACTACCGCCAAGAACGCTCTGATTTGAATTTACCTAATGGCAGTATTGGCGAACACAAATCACTCACAGGATGCGTGTCCCGGTGTCACGGAATCAAACGGATTATTGCAGATACGCATCGTGCTTTCGTCACTTGACGGTATCACCACTTGTCTGAAAGGATCGCTTTCGGGATTAACAGGAAAAGAGGAGTAGCAACTATTCTTAGTACTTCTCAAGGTAAGTTTACACTCTTAGCCATCATTCTGTTGCCAGTCCCTGCAATTGTGTCGCTCTAGTCAAGACATTTTTGCGCAGCTAACCACCAGTACATTCAAAGACCAATGGGGCACCCTCCAAGAACAATAATGCCACAAACCGACTTTACAGCGGCCTTCCTCATCAGGAATACTTAGCCTCTGCAACAAAGACAATTATACATTCACAAATTCAATCATATAAGTACATGCAGCTTATTAGGCAAATAATCGTTATTCTACCGAGAGGAGGCGTCCCGTCAGACTCGCAACACACTGGTGAACGGGCTTTGCAAACTCCGAATGAAGTTAACTACCTCAGATACTGACAAATTCAAGCCTGACCATCTGTCGGAAATTCTCAGACATTCGGCAGTTTCAAAATCCTGCCAAAACCTTGGCCCAAAGATTGTCAACTACAAATTTCCGCTTTGGTTGACGAATACCATTCTGTACATCGTCAAAATAACTAGTCAAACCGGAAATTGAGGTCGACTTCTCTGACTGGTCGCGAAAAAATGAATCCGAAACTTCCTATTGTTGAAACTCTGAAGTGAGGCTTTCTGCATTACAAGCCGATCTTACGGGAACGTGAGGTAATTCTCTTTAGCGAAACCTTTTCCTATAACTTCTTCAAATTACTTAGGCGAGTCTAAGTTGTACATTTCATTAACTGCAATCAGCTAACCAATCATCTTTACTAGATTATTCGTGCTTATATATTATCAAATAAGCGTACTTCTCCATTCTCGGGTTCGGTTAATTACACCATTTCTGAATGGTACTCATCGCGGTTACCTATTTCTAGCCTTATCGCTAGGTCTCAAATATGACACTTAAATGTCGGCAAATATAATATATTCGTGAATCTGTATCTGGTTAGATTATACAAGGTAAGTTGCTCTATAAATTACTTCGTATTCTCCTATTTAATACTTGCCTAAAATCCCTCAACATGCTCCTCTTGGTTTTTTTAGCATTAACATGGCTCGCTTTGGTTGTAGCAGGTCCTTCATCGTACGAGCCTAGGATTATACGGCAACTGCAACCCCGAAAACCTGAGCCTGAGCCGGCTTATCCTCCTACTCTGGAAACTTTACGTTTATCTCCAATAGCTGGTGTTTTCCCGAGAACGTTTATCGATCCCACACGTACGGCTGAACAGAAATCGAAACTTACAACCGCTTGGAACGATGCAAAATTACTGGTAGAAGCACAAACTAATGTTATTAACGGCTTTGACTACGACACACCGTATCGAAATTGGTTGGGCAAAGATTGGAATGCAAAGGGTGGTTCCAACCTAGAGTACCAGTCAAAAGTTATCGCCGACAAACTTGACCGGCTTGCAGAGCTGTTCAGAGGAGAAGTTGAGAATAACGATGAATTCATCTGGTGGTGTAAAGACTGGGGCGGGAATTGTAAGCCTCGCTATATGCTATCTCCACGCCTCTGGGACGGAACCGTCTCCAGTGTGGTGAAAAGAGCCCCTCGCAACGGAGACGACACCCAACCTATCATAGCCACGCAGCATGTGCTTTTTTGCCCAGAATTTTCGAGGCACCCGCACTAGGAGAGCAAATTGCTGTCTACAAAGAAGACACGGACGCTCAATTGATAATAGACAATCTCGAGGATGATGCCGGCGTCATAATGTTGCACGATATTTACCATTACCATGCAGTCTCCAAAGGATCACTGACAGCATTGGATTATATTTTGACAGCCCGAGACTGCTTTGGAAGCAAGACGGAACACGCTTATGTAAATGCAGAATCGTACACTTTGTGCACATTGGCTATCTATCTCCAGCAGACTTTCCAGACTGCTGCTTCGCCTGGAGCTGAGCCGCTCTCACATGAAGCGGATTCAAATCAAAACCCAGGTTTAATCTCAGGTTTACCCCCGGATACATTCCCAGATTCAACCCCAGGTTTACCCCAGGATTTAACCCCAGATTCAATCCCAGGTTTACCCCCAGATGCAATCCCCGATTCGAGTTCAGATCCGGGCTTACATCCGGGTTCAGATTCGAATTCACATTCGGGTTCAGACTTGGGTCCAGACTTGGGTCCAGATTTGGGTTCAGGGCGGGAATGGGCTAGATGAACAAGCCGAAACAAGTATCCTGGGTACGCTGCTGTCTTCTGAATAGATACATCGATAAGTCACACCTTTTACGACGCGGTTGGCCGTGTTCTAGTTGAACTTAAGAGACTGGAAGTTGACGCTAAACTACAAACGTCAAGTGTAATATACATCATTAATTGAAATACAAGCTTTGGATCTGGATTTGCGAGATCATGACACTTGCGGATTTCAAAAAATGTGAAAGTCCTCTTGCGGAGAAACCTTAAGCTTAAGCGAAGGTCTGAACGAGATACTCTTTGAAAATGATGTGAACATTTGTAAACATGATGCTACTACCTGTTGTTTTATCGATTTCAAACTACGAGACCTAACATAGTATGTTCTTTCGTGGCGAGCTAACGGCCTCTCACAGTACCACGGCAGCTCAAGGTATCTAGTAACCTAGTACACTCTTCGACAAATGGCTTTGATGGAGTTCAACATTGCTAACTATGTGAAAGTTATGCCGGCAATACGCAATCATCACACAATATCAAGACATCGTTGGAGTTAGGTGCAGTCTGAATCAGGTCCGGGGTACACGTATGTTTATTGAGAAGTATCAACAGGAGTTTCACATACATCAGTTCTATCTTAGCGTTGTTTATATATACGAATAGAATATTTAAATATTTAAATGGGTCTGACTAAATGTGATTTGATAAAATCTTGGTATAATTTAATGGTGATAACGAAGGCTTTCCACTCTCTCTATCACTTCCAGTTAATCCAACACTTCTTTACCTAACCAAATTTGAAATGATACTACGTAACTACAACCAGTCAGGCAGATACGTATCCAATAAATTTGACATTGAAAAGTCACTGTTAGGAGGGACATCGACTAAAACTCCAGCGTTCGATGTCGAGCCCAAGAATATCGGTGCATGAATACCTGACCTGAATTTGTAGCGAAATCAATCATTTTGAACGGAGCAAAAGCTCTTCAAATCACCATATATAAGATCTTAGGCACATATTATATCCTATGACGAATAATCAAGAGTAGTATTGCTTTTTTCGGGGCTCAAGTTTAGATCCAGATGGTGACCCTCAATTCGTAGTGAACGCGTCGAGAATGCAAAATCTACTTCTAAAAATCTAGGTACTTTTGGAATACAGTCTTTATGCAAGACTTAAGTCACGTCTGTTATTTCCTTACGAAAGAAATACCATTAACCACGCAAATCCACCTTCCCATCTCACAACCCTCCTCGAGCCACCCACCACCACCAACCTCCCTCTGCAACCCGCAACTCGCAACCCACTCCATAATCCTCACAGCCTTACATTCCACCCCATTCCATCCTCTTCCATCACTCCCCCCACTTGATCTCACCCTCCAAACCCGGAAGCCATCTCGACAAATCCAGCCACCCGAACTTTTCCGGGCCGCCCAAATTTTTCTTGTTGCAAATCGCAGCTGTGACCTGCGTGTGACGTGCAGTAGACCACTTTTGTTGCACGTCGATGTTGGCTTTCCTGCATGAAAGTTCGGTCATGTGAGGGTTGGTGTAACGTGGTGTTGTGTGACCGAATGCGTCTGGTGCATGAGCTAGATGGAAGCGGCTTGGAGAGGGAAGGATGTTTGTGAGATTAGATGAAAAGAAATTTATATTGGATTAGGTGGAAGTTTTATGAGTTAGTTTTGTTTTTACGTTATGCATTGTGTTTGGCCGACCAGTTTGGTAAAGCATATGGGGTTCTAGAGGCGGAGAAGTTACGTTTCAATTCAAGTGGCCTCAAGTAACATGTTTCAAATTTTAAGCACTTGTGAGGCAATGATGTATATATAATCACCGTGGTCTTTATGAAGTCGTAAGTGAGGCTTGTTGCTATTTTACTTAGCCTTCTGGCCTAACCGAATACTCGATTTCATGGACTAAAGAAATCGAAGCCAAATGTGAGTTTATGAGCTTGCTCCAGATACTCTTGTCATTTCTTTTCATTAAATAGCGACCGCTCAAAACAACGTCGAATTTGACCCGTCTATTACATATAAGCATTCAATCCTTCACGGCTCAGGTATTCATTCGATGATGATTTGAAGACTGTTAACATAGAACGAATCTCATGCAAGGATGAACGTGTGGAAACTCTTTTACATGCTCATTCTTATCCAGGTGAACTGTTAATATTCAGAATGAGTATTGTGTCAAAAAGCATCACCTCACAAGTATGGGAGTTCCCCGCATGAGTAGTCCCTGAAGACATTCATGAGAGTCGTGGAAGTACGCAATAGCGAAAATTTCTGAAGGGGAGCAGGCACAAATTCAATACTCCGAGTCGGGGATGATGCAAGTTGAATGTCAGTAAAAATGCTTTACAGTTTCGTGTTTTTATCGGTATCAATAAATACAAAGGTAAGAAGAACTATTTGAAAATAGGCCGAGAATTGATAGGATTTAATGCGAAAAAAAAGAGCCATAATCGCTAAGCGCAAAGCTAGTAATCGCTCGCTCATTAGAAGATTTTTAAGTATGCTGAAGCAAGATGACAGCTCAGATATCGCGATGTACATCAAAGTCTATATTCGGAGAAACAACAAGCCCTCTGTCCGGGCATACACGCATGCCGTGCCAATGTCTAAAATACCATTTGTGACAACTCCTTCCAGTGGATCCCGTTAACGCCTCTAATGCTTAGCAGTGACAGCCTCTCCGGTGAGTTTTTCAACGTAAGTCTTGGCCCTGTTTCCAAAATCATTAGCTTCGTATCCTCAAGAATGCGCGGAAGCAGAGAAGAGAAAGGCACTTACATATCACCCATTGCAACCATGCAGATTGTTTGCCAAACGCCCAATCCAATACGAGGAACAACGCCACGGTACAAACCCTTAATACCATTTTGCGAATAAACATAGTTCAAAGTATTACCCACAGTCATCTTAGCAGGACGGTTTGGATCGACCGTCTTACTCTGCATTTCAACTCTGATGACCTCAATTGGCTGATTCCAAGCACTGAGACCACCACCAAGACCACTGGCAAGGATCTTCTCGAAAGCGCCCAACTTGGCTCCTTCTTCTTTGCCTGTAGCTTTGCGGATACCCTGTTCTGCAAGACGGGAAAGACCGAATCTGGAACCCCAGTTGGTCATTTGTCTGATGGCTACCGCATTGACACCTTTGTTGATACCCTTAATACCCTCCTTTCGGTAGATATCCATGAAAGTAGCAAATGTGCCTGGTGGCTTGACACCAGAAGCCGCGATCTTGTGTTTTGTGATTTCGACCGTCTTCATGCAAGTGCAGAATCCCATGGTAGCGTATGCTTGCGCAACACCACCAATTACTCCACCACTGATACCTGCTGTGAAGTCACCAGCCCCAAAGGTTCGCGCGTAGTATTCGGCTTCAGATGCGACGAAGAGGAGGACAGCGCCCTTGGTGGACGCCTCGATCCAGGCCCACGGAATGAGTCCTTGGTAGACTAAGAGATGTGTCAGTCGTTGCGCTTGCGGAATTGTATGAGTTCGTGATACTTACAGCCAAGAACACCACCTCTTCCCCAAATTTTGGTGAGAGCGCCAGCAAAGCTATCACCTCTGTTCGCGGCCATCGTAGTCTTCACGACCTCGAGAGGCTGGCCCAGAGTAGTAACCTCGAACATGTTCAGACCAGCTCCAAGGAGCAAGTTACTGAACTTGACGGGCTTCTTCTCTGGAACAGCTGGCTTTGTTGAGATAACGGCCGACATCGTGGGGTGAGTGTGATTGTGAAAGGGCCCTGACCAAGGGATAAGGCTGCTTCGTCGCACAAGAAGATGTAAGTTGAAGAGTTGTTGTTTTGCGAGGGCAGCTGGGATGGAAAGGAAGTTCGGTGACCGATGATAAGGGTCTGGCTTTTAGTCAGGGGGGAGCTGACGAGAACCTGGCCTGGAAGCTTGACAGCCGCGGGAAATCCGAGTCCGGTTGCACAACAACAGCGTTTGACAGACAGCAATGATCCGAGTGAGATACGTGAACTACAATTAACTTCACAAGTATAGAGAGATCTCAACAAGCTCCCAAAACTTCATTTACTTCTCAGTGATAACCAAGACGAGTATGGTCGTGCATTTATTGTTGGCTCAACCGTTACTCGACTACCTCGCTTGTAGCCCAACAACCGGGCGGGACATTCGACGGGACTCCCGCCTCATAATGGGGCCAGCCTCATAGAAAAATGGTCCCTAAGTAAGCGGTCTATAAGCTTAACCACAACCTTCAAAAGAGATGGCCTTCCATCCTAAAAAGGCGTGTTTTGAAGTGGCAGATGAAAGATTCACTTCTGCACGTGAAAGTAGTTGGACCTCCGAGTTCCACCTGCGCTAGTAAATGGCCTCGCTAGCTTCTTAGCTGAAGACCAGAAGCTTCAGAAAGGTAGTGTAGATGAACGACCGGCCAACTGCTGCAGAATGGGGATTCATGTAGCACAGTTGAGCAAGCGACGAGAACTCTGTGCAATTGAGGGATATATGAAACCCGTGCGTAAGACGCGGGATCTGATTACTGGTACGCGAGATAGATGTTGATGTTGATTTTAGATTTTTCGCAGCGCACTGCACGGGTTAGATTTCTTCGCGGGTCGAAACATCCTAAACTTTGACAGCTCCGTATAAGGATGTCACCGAGTTGAAAAATCGCCAATCTTTAACACGAACACGTTCACCAGATCTCTGATAATAGCGTAGATAATATGATAAAAATGTCTAACGATTTAACAACTAAAAAGAGGTATACTGATTAGATAGGAACCGTGGCAGTTGAAGCACAAGAACGCTGAAAGCTAAAATACAGTGACCCGTGCCATTTGCCCTCCAGAAACCGATCTATCCATCCATTTTCGTACATTCCCATACCATCTCTGACATATCTAAAGTATTTACAACTTTGAGACAATCTCCGCCCACTTCTCAGTAGAGAAAGACTTAGGACGCTCAATTGGGGCACCGACGGCCCTGTCAATGATAAGTTGTGGCAACACACCAATGGCTCTCGAAACACCGAAGAGGACGGTGTAGTAGTTGGCCTCAGTCAAGCCGTAGTATTGGAGGAGAACACCGCTGTGTGCATCAACGTTAGGGTACTACGAGTTAAGTTAGCATAAACTTCGATTGAATTTTGAAAAAGGTTGACTTACTGGGTTCTTTGTCTTTCCGTGCTCGGTCAAGACACCTGGAGCAATCTTGTACACCTGGCTGACCAACTGGAACATTGGGTCATCTGGGAGATGGGCCTGAGAAGAAAGTCAGCTTGCTTTCCTATATTATTCGAAAAGTATTTACCTCGGCAAATGTTCGCTGAGCCATGTAACGAGGATCAGTCTTTCGGAGTACGGCGTGTCCGTAACCTGGAACAACTTGTCCAGCTTTCAATGTCGTCCACAGGTAGTTCTTGATTGCCTCGTCGCTAAGATCATCACCGATTGCGGCCTTCATCTTGGTAAGCCAGTTAAGAACCTCCTGGTTGGCGAGACCGTGAAGTGGGCCTGCAAGACCGTTCAATCCAGCGGCGAGAGACAAGTATGGGGAGCTAAGAGCAGATCCAACCAAGTGGGTGGTGTGGGCGCTAACATTTCCACCCTCGTGATCGGTGTGGATAGTGAGGTAAAGTCTCATCAACTCGATGAAGTCCTTGTTTTCGCCGAAACCAAGCTGGTTAGCAAAGTTGAAGGAGTAATCCTTGTCCTTTTGAACTGGGGCGACCTTGCCTCCCTTGAAGACGTTCTGGTAAATTCGGGCCGCAATAGTTGGAAGCTTGGCAATCAAGTCCATCGAGTCCTCGAAAGTGTGTTGCCAGTATTCGCTCTTCTTCATTCCCTTAGCATATGCCTTCGCAAAGGCAGACTCATGCTCCAAAGCATTGACTGCAATGGACAACTGTGCCATTGGGTGGAGGTCGCTGGGGCATCGGTCGATAAGTTCCTCGACGAATTTTGGAACATCGGAACGTGCGGCCCACTCAGCGGACAGATCGCGGACTTGTTGTTCACTTGGGACCTCACCGGTCAAGAGAAGCCAGAAGAGACCTAAAACAGTGTTAAAAGATGTATGCGACATGCCTAGTGACTTTATCTGTACCTTCTGGGAGGGGCTCCTTTCCACCAGGAGCTTTTGGGAGGATCTCTTGACATTCTGGGATTGTCTTTCCTCTGAATCGGATACCCTCCTCGGCGTCGAGAACTGAACCTTCCCATACCAATGACTTGATGCCACGAGCGCCACCATAGACCTGGTCGAGGGTGACCTCGCCAATAACCTTGCTTCCGTGGTTCCTATTTCACGCTATCAGTCCTGGAGTCGCAATCTACGCGCAGCGCTACAAGTGGCTTACTTTCGGAGCGTCTTAATCTCTTCAATCTTCTCAGGTAACTGCTCGGCGAATCTCTCCTTCAAAGTCTGAAGTAGTTGTTAGATAAAGCCCCTACGATAGCTCGGGGTGCAATAGGCCCAACAGGAATCCTACCTGGGTTTTGGACGATGAGTATGAGCGCATGCCATTGAAGGCTGCGGTTCTCATAGTGAATGTTGGTACATTACGAGAAACCCTCAGGGCAGAGGAGCCGAGACGAAGTGTGGATGCCATTATGTTGAGAGGTGTGTTGGTGAAGTTATGGGAAGAAAAGAGGACGCTCGGAGAAGACAGAAAATTAACCTCTGGCAGCTCCAGCCCGGTGATCGCTTCCTCAACGACCCGCAAATCCCTGACGTAGGCTAGGTAAGATATACACACCCCTGCGAAAAGGCGCAATTTTTTGTTTTCGCTCCGTGGACAGAAGGATAGAAATTGGGGACTAGCCGTCAATTGAGGTGATCTTGATTGGGAATTTTGCCGTTGCAATAAGCAAGCATTTATTCCGGGAGTCCTCTGATGCTCTCACTCTTTCATCTTCAACCGTCCGGACTCCGTAGCCCGTGGGTCGAGCTCGCGGCATAAGTCTCATGGTCACGTGAACACTTAGCGGCAGAGCGGAGCGCGCAAAACTGCAGGCGCTCCTCCTCCTCAAAGCCGCCGTGCGCTGATAGTATTTTCAATCTCCACCCGCACAAGTCGACTACCACATTCAAAATCTGCCAGCGTGCTGGCGTAGCACAACTTGAGAAACCGAATTATTCACGTATTCACTCGCAGCTGTAACTGCTGAGCTTATTCACGCTGATCGTATCTACCTTGGGCTACAACTTCGGGCGCTGTGGTTGCCATCCTGTGCAGTAAATTGCGATGAAAGTCAGACCTTCTTTTCCATCCACAGCTCCATCGTAACATCGTATCCTACGACCTTTGGTAAAGGCAGAGAATATAAACTATAATCAGATCGATACCTGCTACCTTTGCGTCTTGTTGATCGTATCTTATTCTCATTGTTCCCGGTGGCCGCTATCACATTCGACGACGTCAACCAAGATGTCTTCTGCAGTAGCAGATCTGGAGGTCGGTCTCCAGGCCATGCTTCAACTTAAACCGCCAGGAGTCTCTGGCTCCCGAATCCAAGGAATCACAACTTTATGCCTATCAAATGTCCAGGTAAGAAACCGTCAGCGTTCAGAAAACCCTTGATTTTCATCGCCCAATGCTGACTCTTTGTCTATTCATAGTCCGAATCCGTTCTCATCCAGAAACTGTATACCCATTTTAGAAAAGCCCCCGGAACCCATAAGCTCGGTGTCTTGTACGTCGTAGATTCTGTAACTCGAAAATGGTCGGAACAGGCCAAAAATGCTGGCCAGCCTATAAACAATGATGCCCAGGACGGCACGTTCGCCGCTGGAGTTAATAGAGTAAAGGAACTGCTTCCAGTTTTGATGAACGACATAATCCAAACTGCTCCCAATGATCAAAAGGTACGCTCAAAATGCTTTAGACACGGGGTTCCAAGAGTAGTTCTATTCGACTCTCCAACTATTTTTAGTCACGGTGTCTTCATTGACATCAAAATCTTGGACATTGCATCGAGACACCCGCTTTTATAAATTTAGAACCCAAACTTACTTGTTATCCGTGCTCTGTAGGAAAAAATCAAGAAGCTAGTTGACATATGGGAGAAAGGCCAAACCTTTCCTACTCACATGCTCAACCAGTTCAAGGAGAAACTCAACGCTCCTCCGCAAAGTAAGACAGCCTAATCTCGTCCCCGTTGTCACTTCGTCTGGTATCTAATGTTTTATTTTCTTAATAGCCTCAACGACACCTCCTGGCAGTCCGCCGGAACATCTGCAACAGGCATTGGGAACGCCTGCTCCCTCCGCTCAACCTGTAGCCTCTAATAAAAATGCCTCTATTTTGGCAGCACTTACGAATCTTGCTCGCCAGAACAACGCTCCTTCCCCCGCCACTTCTCAGCCCCAGGATAATCTATACAGCACATCCAATGCACAGATTAACCCTACTTTTCCAACCGCACAGAATGTTTATGCTGCCCCTCAGCCTGTAAATGTGCCAGCTCCAGCGACGTCCTTTGCATCACAGCCGCACATACCTGCTATGCCAAACTATGCCAGTAGTCAGCCAAACCCCTATGCGGGTGCTCCTCCTGTAGCGGCTACGGCCTCGTATGATCCCGCCATGCAACAGAAGTTGCAGTTGATACAGACGCTAGCAAGTCAGGGCATGCCACCGGATCAAATTGCTACTGTCTTAGCTGCCCTCCCTAACTTGGGGTCCGGGGCCGCTGCACAAGCACCGCCTCAGTATGCTACTCAGAATCAAAATCATGTTGTAGAAAATGGATGGGGCTCAAGACCAGATGAATCACGTGACCGTAATGGGTACTCTGAGCGCGAGGCTGTAAGATCACCACAGGATCGTTACCGACAACGTTCCCGGTCACGATCACCTCCTCGGGGATGGAACGGCCAGGCGTCTCCAGCTGGCCATCGTCGTAACGACTCCAATTTCGATTATGCCGACCGGGATAGAAACTCTCCTGGCCGAAATCGTGGTGATGGTTATGGACGTGGTCGAGGAGGTAGTGAATATCGCCAACGTAGCCCGCCTCGCCGCGGCCAGAGTCCAAGTCCCTCTCACTCTGGCGGAGGAAATGGTGGAGAGAAATGGGTTGGTCACGATGCAACCATTGCAAGAGGAAGTATTAAAGGTATGTTGTTCTTGACGTTAAAAAGTTCTACCCTTCTAACCCGCTCTAGTGCTTAGCCGAACCTTATTCGTAGGCGGTGTCACGTAAGTCTAGCTCCAGGTCTGGAACATGCATCGAGTTCAAGCTAACTCAACCTAGAATGCCTGAACATGAATTGCGAAGAATCTTCGACAAATTTGGTCAGGTACAAACATGCATCGTCAATAAAGACAAGCGACATGCTTTTGTCAAGATGGTAAGCCGGGAAGACGCCGTCCGCGCCAAGGAAGCAATGGAGAAGAACAGAACACCTGATTCTCAGCTTAGAGTAAGTGCGGTAAACAACTACGTTCCTTTTTCGTCGGCATTTTCTAATTATCGCAGACTCGATGGGGAGTTGGCTTTGGACCACGGGACTGTAGCGATTATCAAACTGGCGTCAGTGTTATCCCGATTAGCAAGCTGACCGACGCGGATCGCAAATGGATGCTGAGTGCAGAATATGGTGGCAGCGGCGGAAAGCCCATCGAATCAGGTATGGTTGTTGAAGAGCCAGATATTGAGATCGGTCAGGGTGTCTCTTCGAAAGCCATATCTCGAAGAATGGCGACCGATCAGAGTGGTAATAATGGACCGAAATCCAGCCGTGATCGTGAAAAGGACGACTATGGGAGAAATCGTCGACATGAGCGAAATGATAGGAGAGATGACCGGGAGGACAATGGACCTCCAAGTATGCCTGCGGTGCCGGCCTTCAACGCAGGATTCTCATTCCTTGGTCTACCTCAAAACGGCATGCCAATGCCAATGCCAGGTTATCCCTATGCAGCACAACCACCGCCTCCAGGGCGTCACTAATGTCCTTATCTCCATTGGCCGGACTCTGTCTCCAGGAGAGAGAAAAACTGGCTGTGATACCCAGGGCCGTAAGAACAAAAATATTTACTGGACTACCTTTCACATCTATTTTTAATAGCATTTGCATAGCTACGGCGTTGGGAACATTCATGATGCATTTAACATGAATTCATGGGACTATTTCTGGCATTCTAGTCGTACTCCAAACTAACATCCGGAGCGATGCGGAACGACTGCTGATGGGAGGACACAGATTTGGTCTTCTGCGGTTCGCATTTCAGCCGTAGCCGTTTGATTTTGGTTTATGGCTAGCTGATACGCTTTGATTGCGGTATTATCACGATGGACTTCATAGCACTTATTTAACAGAATTCCGGATCACGAAAATGTATATTCAATCACGATCCAGCTTTTTTCTACCTCGGTTTTTTCTTTTAAATCGTGATATGCTGTGCCGTTTTGCTTCCTACTAGATACCGTTCGGGCTACACACGCCGGGTCAGACACACGCCTTTACTGACACAGCTCGGTCGGCGAAAAGAAGACTTCGCTGTACTCCACCTGACATTTTATATGCATGCAAGTACCATTCATGGTTCTAGAACCGAATACCCATGTACCTCACCTCTTCCATACATCCGAGACCTGCATGGCATAGTTACCGAAAATGCATATTCACCACAGTCCCCGCGTGGTGTCCGGAAGCCGAAGGTGAAGAATAGACTTCGCGCAAAAATGTAACATAGTAACGCTTTTCTTTTGCTATCAAATAAGAATAAAAAATTATAATCATTAAGCCACGTAGCATTATAATGTTGAATCGTTTCTAAATAAGTTTCTAGCTTAAGCCGTATTAAAAGCCCGTTGTTCTATTTATTGTAAATTAGTAAAAGCAATTATTGTGTCGATCCTTAGGAGGTAAGACCTACTACTTAAATCTATAACAGTTTAATTACTGTTTTAAATTGTACGTAAGTGTACGTTAACTGAATAATTATTAAGTAAATACGCTATTATTACAGTATATACCTAAAGGTAGTACGCGATAGCTTAGACTACTCTAGAATATCGTTATTAATAAAGTTAAATAGATAATTCTCTACTTAACAATTATTTTCAATTGTTCTTAAAGAAAAGAGAAGGGCCATAGTTACTCGAAGCTATTTTCGATATAGTATAAGTAGTATAACAGGGTAGGCAAAGCAGGATACGCATGTTAGATTTAGCGCTCCTTAGAAGAGAATCGAATGCTCAAATGCGTAAATGCGCCGGCTATTTATTTTAGATATTTAAGAAATTCTATCGAGGTTTTAAGATAATACTTTATTAAGATTTTTAATTTTATTTTAATATCTTCCATAGTCTATAATTTTTTTAAGGTAAATACCTACTTACCGGATACGGCCTAGCGGGATATTTTGTAATCTTAGTAAAACCTTATTTCTTCTATAACTAGACTAAGAACTAAAAATAATATACTCGCTAGGTATAGCTCTATAAATCGAAGTTATATAGAGCTTTCGAAAGTACTTTAATTTAACGTAGTATTTATTCTTAAAATTTTCAAAATTCTTACTTAAAATTTATTATACGATATTAGAAGAGTTGTTATTATCGTTTGATTATTATATTATCGTAAACTTTACATCTTCTCGACTACTTTCAATAGCCACCTCCTTCTCCGAAAATCTTCGAGAAGCGTGGCGACTGTTCCTTCTTGTAAGTGTAGTCCCAATCTAGCTCTATACCTTGGCGCTCTAATGCGATATCCCTTAACACATTCTGGGCATGTATTTCAACGCTAGAAGAGCTGATTTTTGGCACGCGGCCAACCTTAAATTCCGGCCTAGGAACCCTTACTACAAACTGCTGCTTAACTAACACCTCTTGCTTCAAAGGCAAAGTACTATCGTATGCCTCGTGCGATTGAAGATCAAATAATCTAGTATCAGAATACTTAGGCCCTTGTACAACCCCGATCCTTGGGTCGGAGTGTTTGACAAGTTGGCTGTCCTCGATGAAACCCCTTGCTAAATTAACGCCACTGTCTTTAGGAGTATCGACTTCCTCATTAGGTTGAATTATTGGTCTAGGACGCCTCGAAGTAACTGATCCCACAGCTCTAAGATTGACATCTAGACCAGAAAACTTAGTCGATTCTACCTCTGGCAGAAGCTCACTGTCATCATAACATAAAAGGTGAACCTTGCCAGTAGCATCACCAATTAGTAACTTGGAGAAATCCTTAGAAAATGATCCTGCAGATATGCCACCCGAGACCTCTAGTACATTTCGAACAAAAGCTTTGCCAACAGGGGCTCGGACGTCCCACGCTTTCACTTTGCCATCTGTTGAACCAGTATAGAATCGATCACTACTTTGGCCCCAGGAAGCAAATTTGACCCCTTGGTCTCCTACTTCTCTGTCCACATCAGGTAAAGGATTATCGAGCGATTCACCGTGATTAAGCACGTGGATGGCTTTGTCACCCTGCGCCGTATCATAAACGTAAGTATTACCATCTGTACAACTAGCAGTAACGAAACTCGAGCTAGGTGAGTTCGGCAGCATCGTTAACTCATTGATGTCCAAAGCGGAACAGTCTAGCGCTTTCGTTTGAACAAAATGGTGATCAATGTGGTCGGGAGACTGCGCGAATATTCGAATCTGGGTTCGTGTAGATGGGTCAAAAATGCCACCAGGAGATGTAGCGGCTACGAAACAAGGTTGTGACGGATGCCAAAGAACTTCGAATACATTTTGTGACCGGGCCGAAGGAATCTGAATCCTTCCAGCATTGTTCACCACATCCCACAGACACAATTCGCCAGTATTGCGTCGGTCTTCAGGAATGTCACTGTCCTCGTTCCTGGTACTCCGAGGAGAGTATCCCACGAGAAGAAGATTTTTCGTGCTTTCACATTTTCCCCAGCCTATCGTGGCTGGGAAATACGCCCAGTTGTCTCGTTCCCGAAGTTCAAGAGGTTGCTCTTTTGCTCTCTCTCCCGTGTAGGTATCGTACGGAGAGCGAGAAACATCATTCAAGTCTAAATCATAGACTCGGATGGCATTATCTCCCACGTCAGATGCTGTTGCCACTCGGTTGTGCTTTGTAGAAGTGACAACGAAATTCACGTTATTGTCATGCTCCCACACCCCTTGAAGCTGCGCCGAGGACCCATCGTCGGCAACTCTCCATGCTTTGACAGTTTTGTCAAAACTAGCAGTAAAGGTCAGTTCATTCTTCTCACTGAAAGACGTTGAAACTACTGATGTGTAAAGCCATCGGTCCTGAGTCTCGCGCATCGCGTTCGATGCATTTTGTGCATTCTCGGCAAGTGCAACCAATGGCCGAGGTATTCGATGACCAGGAACAGCCCTCATTTCATTCGACGACAAGGAGCCGAAAATCAAGTTACCAGCCCTGTTGTATTGCATGTTAAAGTTGTCCGAGTGAGCTATGGCTCCGCAAACGAAACTGTTGTTACCGGTCCAGGTAATGGTAGCTATATCACCGCAGCAATCAGTCCATTCACTTTGACGAGTTAGAGAATCCTCGAGACAACTCATGGCTTGGCTCCTGAGCGTTGGTCTTCCACTCTGCGATAGCAAGGGCCCAATGCCAGAAATTTCTCGACCTCTAAGGTGGCGGGCCAGGGCGTAATTGGAATGGCTGGATCGAGTGAAAGATGCTTTTGTGTTGGTCAATTTGCCATTAGCAACATCGCCCAAGAATTCAGCAATAGCGTCCTCTCCCCGATGGTGGAGTAGCTTACAGCCAAGTTCTGCACCAGGCGACTGAACCTTTTCACATATCAGCTTGCTAAGGCGTGCCGCCTCATCTTTACTTTTGCCAGCCATGAAGCTTGACAACTGTTCCAGTGGGTTCAAGCACGAACTAGCATCGTACCTCATCAGCGCCGACTTGATCGAAATGCATATTTGTTCTGTTTCCTCCCGAATAAAGTCAAAGTGGTCAATATCACGTGCTACATAATGGTCGCTGTTGTGATAACGATGGCGCAATTTTCTAGCTCGTCGTTCCCTCTCATCGACACTTAGATATGGGCGAATCAAGGTGTCGTCTACATTAGATACCGCTGGTGTGTTTTGCTCGAGGCTTGGTAATCGCTTTGCGGGCTTCCTTTTCTTCATCTCATGGATTGCACCGAATTCTTTGGCCTCCTGTGCCAGTTGCACAACATCACTCGCTTGCATGGCGGAATTTGTGTCACGTTCCGGCGCGATGTCTTTCCTCAATTCAGGATCCGTGCTGAATGATGTAGCAGGCGATGAAGAATACTCCCGGTCTTTAGCGACAACAATAGTCGGTCGAATTGAAATATCCTCACTCAACTCCGCGTAATCCTCTGATGTTTCCGACGAGCTTCGCAATATATCAGAGTCTGCGATCGGTGCGGCAGATCTGGATAACTGTGCTACGGAGTCCCGATGATTATTAGTTTCTCGTTGCTTCACACATTCTCGCGCAAAGTCAGCAACAAGAACGGTCGCTCTACTAGAAATGAAAGTCTCGTAAATCGCCGATAGCTTGTTTCCATGGCTTTCGAAATCCTTCAAAAATCCGGGGTGCTTAACCAGCTCCCCAGCAGTCTAAGTATGTTAGAGAGAGCTCAAACGATTCAATGAGGCTGAGACCTACCTTTGCACCGACAATAGTATTTTCCTCTGCGCTAAGGTCTAACACGGACGAAAAGCGCTCAATACTATTCCGTATGTGGGGAAAGACTTGCGACTTGAGTACCTGATTGAGCACGATTCGTTCTTGCGTTAATCTGTCCTGGGCTGCTTGTTCACTATCAGTCGATCTCTCTTCTTGTGTATTATAATTTGGTGTGCTCTTCTCGGTAACAGGGCCACTTGATCGGATCATAACTTTGGGCGGATAGGTGTGAAGGTGAGTCCCTTGATTTGGAGCTCGCGGCGAATTGCTTCCACTGCTGGATCCACGCGCGGAATCTGTTGTCACCTTTCTCCTCTTTCTCGGCCCGGCTCCCTGATAGTCGAGTCCAGGACTCGATTGCCCAGGCTGGGCAACGAGTGCGTGCTTCCATACTGTCGGCGCCCTGGGCGGACTCGATCTTGGGGGATAATGTGCGTTTGTTGTTCGCGGCTGCGGATGTTGAAAGCGATGAGGGGGTCGAGGGGGCAGGGACCGCGGTAGTCCATCGTATGACATTGGAAGGTCATCATCGCTTCCTGTAAGATCGATTACTGCAGAGCGTCTAGATGGGATCAGTACGTCTCCCAAGCCAGCGCGTCGCTTTCCCAACTGAACTCACATATCGTGGTCGGTCATGATGATGTGGGCCTGAACGAACAAAAGACGCGTTAATTGGCATGTTCAGTATGTGACTTTGGACATATGGAACAAATGCGTAGTTTGAACTTGTTCTGTACTGTTTTTGGCTGAGGTTGTCTGGGAAGTTGTCGTCCGCGACGTACGGTACCTTCTCAATCAGTCCCGCAAAGCACGTGCGCACGGACGAATTCGCGGTCCTGATCCGTCCAAACTCCAGTTTGAGAATCAACTTGCAAATTATAGAGGATGAGGAGGACGTCCACTTTGCAATGTAATTGAAAAACAAAACATGAATCTGAAAAGTTTTGAAGATGAAGTTAGCTGGCTAAACTTCACTATCGAAGAGATTATGATGGATGCTTGCTGTAAGGAGGAGGGGAAATACTCTAGTAATTCCAACTGCTGAGCATGGGTAAATGCGTGAATTTAATTGATGTAAGATCTACTGCAGAGACTTATGATGTTATGATAACGATTCACAACAGTTGTTTGAGCTGATTACTGTTCCACTCAATCCATAAAATTCACAGCTTGTTAGGGCCAACATGAATATCGCAAAGAGATTTGAGTCCCGGTAATAAGTTATCTGTTTAGAATACCACGCTTCCAATTTGGCAAGTACTCAATACCAAAACATAATGGTTTTACAGCAAGAGCGTCGCGTCCAGTGTCGCAATCATCAGAAGTAGTGTATGAAAGCTTCCGTTATAACGTTACAATTGTCCCGAATAGGTCATCAGACATTTCTGCTACTATCGTTCTACTAAACAAAGCTTTTGTGAGCCTTCAAACAGGAACTTCGACGTCCTGGCTGGTGTCCAATTCTTCATGTCTGCGAAGATCCATTCCTTTGTCGAGGAGCGGAATAACGTAAGGATCAAAAGTCTTCCAATATGGGTTCTCGAGATGATACTTTTGGCTCTAGTGGTACAACAAATGTCAGCGGCGCACAGAAGTTCTAGAGTCTGGTAGCCAAACCCCCTCGTTCTCAAATCGCTCGACAATGGTAAAGGCTCGTGGGTCGTGGACATCCTGCATAACTAGCCAATCGATTGTCTCCTTGTCCTTGCGATAGATTCGTGCAGCTTCAATGAGCTTCGCTTTGATTCGGTCAATTGAGTCTGGCTTCTCGTTTGCGTAGAGGTGGACTGTAAGTGTGTAGACCATGTTGGCTGATCTACTGTATATGACAGTTGTGTCGGTAAATTGAGAACCAGAGGACAATTCGAAAAGAAGAGTACGAAACTGGCTGTATTGTTGAGTTAATACTGCGAGGAAAGTTCTCGTAAATAGACGTACTTTTATTGTTAATCTTGGTGGGCTGGCGGGGTAGAAAGCCTCTTGTGCATAGTTTGGGGTGTAAGAAGTGAATAAACTTCTGCAAGCTAGCTACACCCCAATTTTCTCATGAGTTTGAGAACCGCGTTTCCCACGTTCATTTTACATGCAGCAATATCAACATTTCAAGAATGAAAGAGCCGCGCCTTTCGTGCTTACTATAGAACTACATGGTAACTTCCACCACTGAATAGCCTCATAAGGCTGCAACATGCCCCCAAAAGAAATTCCTGGCTACTATTTTGGTAAGTTGCTCATCCCTAACTTGACTGCCAGCGTATACGTCACAAAAATGAAATTTTTGGAAGGTCTATCATTTATCATGCGAAGCTAATCATATATTGTTTCTTAGACCCAGTGAAGAAGAAATATTTTGCAGTGAAAAAAGGGGCGCCAGCTTCGGCTGCTTATTCTTCTTCCGATGTAAAACGCAGGCGACTGCACGAGGAACAATCTACAAGAGAAGAAGAGACTGCAAAGCTAAGACGTCTCCGAATCCGTCGCTCTAAATTGCTTGAGCACCCCTTTTCGGGAGGCTTTCTATCTCGGGAACAGGGTCAAACCCGTGACTCAATTGCCCTTGATGTCTTCTCCCATGGGCTTGTCCAAAGCACGCAAATTCGTGGAACTGACCAATTTCAAACCCTTCAAAATCCTCTGTTTACGCTGGAGCCTCGGAGGGACCTTGGGACTTCGACAGTGGACTTGCAGATAGGTGAGCTTCTTTTTTGGTCAGTCGGCTTATCTTTTCCAATCAAGCTGAAAACTTATTACGTTCAAGCACAAGCATTTCTCTTATATCCTAAGGTCTTTGAAAATTCTCATATTTTTCACTTAATTATATGGTTGTGGCGTTATTTTGCTGAAACAATCAGCTCAGGGTAACAGCACATTCGGCCTTCGAGCGGACGTAGATGGTCTTGCGCATCCAAGACTAGACTTTCCTGAGACAACATGGGTTTCAGAGAATTGGGAAGCACCTACTTCGATAGTCACAAATCGCTCAAGCCGGCGTCACGCCATAACTTGGTTCTCATCCTTTAATGAGAACGGGATTTCGATTATTCCCATGGAAGACACAAGTAAGCGATCCCCATCCATGAGTGTAACACTTATACTCATGAACTTCTTGGTCCTGCAATTATAGTAGGGCCTGGCCAAAGAACACCCTCAGGGCACCGTGATATTACAATGTATTCGTCCGCAGCAGCCAACGACTTTTCTCCACTTCTCTTCGCCTTTGGGTCCAGCGATGGGATTCTCACCATGGATAAGACGCGTCTGGATCTTAAGTGGATAAAACCCATTGTGATGCGCGATGTTTGGGCACTTGAGTTTCAAAATGATAAGAACGACGTGCTTCTTTCAGGAGGGCGCGGTGGACAACTGCAATGTAATGATCTCAGGGATTCTAGGACTCCAACAGAATCGTCGACACTCATCACACATCCCAGTTCGATTACACATATCAAACAGCTCGATCCCAATCGAATTCTCGTTGCGGGTCTAGAAAGTAGCCTTTGTCAGTACGATATAAGATATCTCAAATTAGATACAGGAAGAGTAGTGTCCCGACAGCGGCCGCCTAACCGCTTAACAACTCGCCAAACCACAGCCAAAGCTTCCACACGTACAATATTGCAATACCCGGATTACCACAACACGGCTACACGAAACGTTGGCTTCGATGTCGACTTAGAAATTGGTGTTATCGCCGCCGCGCAAGAATTCAATGGTGTACAGCCTCTTGTCCGTTTGTTCTCCCTTTGGGGTGGACACACTCTTCATTCAGCGGCTTTGGAGCGCCATTACGGATCAATCAGTAATCCTTACGGAGACCACGTTCGATGTCTTAAGTTGTGCCGAGACATCGATGATAGAATGAAGTCACTATACATCGGCCTGGGAAGTTCCATTCAGCGGTTTGCCTGGGCCGATGAAGCAGAAAACGGCTGATCCCCTGATCATTAATACCATAGAAGGTATAGTCGTATCAACTCTTCCACGAATGACGGAAAAAAAGCTTTCATTATTACTACTCGAAAGATTTACCCAAAGCGAGTGACTCAGGAGACAACGTGTATGGCACTTCTTTGAGCTTCCGTTTTAGGGCGCATAGAACTGGAAAAAACCGTTTAGAACACAATTTCATTTAGCACATCAATGTGCGCTTGGAATGAAGTTACATTACAAACCCAAGGCGTTTAAACGGCTGTGGATGAAATGATCAAATGGAATATTTGAAGAGTACACTTTACAACTAAAACTGTTCAAATTGCTATCTCGACACAGAATTGGATGTACTGGATCTGAATATAGAAATGGCTAGAAATACAGCAACTAAGAGAAGAAATTTCTTGGTGTTCCAGTTATGATGTTGATCGTGACGAGGGGTTCTAGATTCGAATGAGGATAGACCATAGCGTGCACCAAACAGACCTTCATTGCCAGATAAACATTGGAAGGGGTGACGGGAGGACTCATTTCGCTAAATTGTCCGACTTCTGTTTCCTTTCTTTCTTGTGAGCAATTAAAGGAAAAACTTCACAGATGTACAGGGCTCCCCTTTGTATTTTAGCTATGATGATTCGAGTCTAACGACCGTTTTACCCAAAGACCGCGTTACAGGTTTTCAATTAAGCATACAATAGACATATAATTACCTGAGCTCCAATAAGGGAGGAGGATACTTTTGAGAGAAAACACCGGTACTGGATCAGTTGCTTTTGTGACGTGACGTTATGACTTCACTAACGAAAAGAGGTGGCCATCGAAAAGTCGATACAAGGAAGTATCTGTAGTTTGCATTTATAACGGGTATCAATCAAGCATTCAGCCCATTATCCACGTCCCAAGGCAATCGACATTCGTTACCATCATTACCATCTCCTTTCCTCCTGAACTCCCACCCTAACATCGTCCAATTCAACTCCCTTCTCCACCAAAGCCCATGACCCAATCCATCGTTCTTATCGTTCAAATCAGCAGTAATACCACCCTCATCCATCCGCTTCTCAAACACAATCTTCCCAAACCGACTATGTACGATAGCCATCGCACACATCACACATGGTTCGTGCGTACAGTATATTTCCAATTCGTGACACAAATACCCATCTTTGTTAACGGGTTCCTCGACATCCGTTTCCAGAGAAAATAACGGTTGCGAGCGGAATATATCAGTCTCAGTAACGGGTATCGCATTCGGTAGTTTTGCTGTGACCATGGCAATAGCACGCATCGCAGCGTGTGCAGTGACATTCCCATTTCCTCCACAATCCCGAGGCCAATTATCCCAGCGCGCATCTCCAGCGACGGCAAGACAGCGTTCTCCTTGTTCGCTGCGTTCTACAATCACAACGCCTACACCCTCACCTGTTCTAGCAGTCTTCGCTTCAGCAGCAACAGTCCAAGCCAGGCTTAACCATTTCCCTGCATTGCCCTCTATTTCCGCCTGCGCTCTAGCGACGATAGCGGGATGTGGACCGAAAGGATTGCTCTTCTTGTAAACAGTAGGCCAGTATTCATTCGTCCATGCCTTGGCTTGTTCCGCACTAGTTGGTGCATTAAAAGGTATCTGTCCTTCTACCAATACCACCGGCCCCTCCACCCGATCTTTTTGCAAAGAATCTAGCAGTATATCTTTAGGTATGATACTGGCAACCGCCACAATCAAGAAAATAAGCTCGGTGTCAGAGGATTCAGCGGAGGAAGCGAAGTAGGAATTGCGAATGGCGGAGGGTATAAGATCTGGTTTCGCGAAACGACGGAGGTGCTGGAGATCATAGCCCCCATCTCTGGGGATGAGTTGTCTGATAAGTCTTTTCGTGTGTAAGTCATTTCGTTTCAAAGATGTACCAGGACACATAGAGAACATCGATAAATGGGATCGAAGATACTCACGATAAAGTTCCGCTAGCTTTCTTCAGAGGTACAGCGGTTATGAAAACATTTAAAAGTTTCACATCCTTGCTGGTCTCAAGAGTCGTCTTCAAAGGTATTAAGGTCCCTGCCAATTGTGCTACGATGCCATTTGAGGTCGTTGAGTTGCTGGGCCCGTGAAAAGTTGCGCTGGTCATAGTTTTCGTGGAAGTTCTCAGCCTCGTGGCAGCCTTGTACAGACTTCCAGGTTGGTGTGACCAAGATGGCAATCACGTGGCGCTAACACTTTATTACTTGCTCTGAAGGAAACTTTTGCCTATTAGTTTATACTTATTATAGACCTTTATTAGAATTGAGCAGTCTTAGCCAGTAAATGGGGTGATTCGAAAACTCGATCTAGAACCCGAGCATGGCCATCAAAAATTATGAAAGTTTAGCTAGGAAGATAGAGCTGTCAACAAAGCCATTCAAGATGCCACGTTTCACGCCAACGAAAGAAACTATAGTTATCAACTTTTAATTCATATCTAGTTACATTGTTTGGCTCTCAAGACCGGCCAGCAAACAGACCCAAATCTGAAAGTCAAATCGGAAATAATAATATGTCATAAACCACCGCTCCAGTCAAAGCATAAAGAGAAACTGTCCAAACGAAGTAGATGACGATCAGCCAAATGAAAGACAAATGACTTCTTCTATGTCGGAAAGGTTGGAGATACAAAGTGCACCGCTGGCCATCGTCTTCTCGATCGTCGGATAGGCTTCACCCAACCAAGTCGTAGGCATTGGTGGCTGGAAAGAAAGCAAGTATCTTTAGGAACATGACCTCCGCTCAAAGCTGATAGAAAAGAACTGACCCATCGACATGCCGAGGAACGCGATCCACCAAATAACAAAGGAAACTAAAAATTCACGAAGGAGCTCTATGGAATTGATGCGGTACAGGTACAGGTTGAGCTGCGCAGTCGCTCCTGTTGTACCCTGCGCCTAGAGGATTGTCATGAAGATGGCGCCAAGACTTTTGCGACAGAGCTTTTCTTTTATGGTACAAAAAGACGCTGAAAATATGCCGGAACTGGTTTCTGAGAGGACTGGTTGACGATAAAAATGCAATGGAACCAGCACTGAGCAGCTCCCGTGAATGCTAATGTAACACAAAGGGCCGTAAATGTCGTATGCGTAAAAACAATTCTGAAATGGCTGAAGATTACCCTCCTGTCACACGTCCACCGCCAGCAAGATCGAAGAATGTAATTTGCTCATCCAAGGCCAGAATTTTAAGATCGTTTTTTTCGTACCGTTACAAGCGTTAAATAGATCGTATCGTCATGCGAATAGTAATGAACCTGTTTTACAACCAGTTGCCGTTACCTTGTCCAGCAACCCCTTGTCCAGCACCTCTACCGTAGGGTTGAGGAAAGTATTGGGTGTTAGATGGGGTGGAGGCGAGCTCTGTACTAGATGGGAAGGGAATGGCTTTCTGGGGTGATGTGAGAGGGTGGCCATTGGTGGCGCCATTGGCAGGAGTAAAGCCGTTGCTATAAGCACCGAGAGGACTAACAAATGAGTTGCCAGAGGCCGATGCGTTCGAGAGACCACGCTGGTGGCGGACAGGGGTTTGAGTCGGCTCCACCATTTCAGCAGGAGTAGCTTGCCCACTTGACGGACCGCTACGACCTTCATTGCCTTGGATTTTGGCTTGAATGCGGCGACCGTATGGGGTAGTGCGAATAGCGGGTAGATGGGGGCGGATGGCCTCGATAAGACGAGTCTTCATTGCTGGATTAGCATAGTCAAGAGCGGTTTGGATGACATAGTTGGCGAAAGAGTCGCGCAAAAGGCGATCAAGCTCCGTAGGTTGAAGCATCTCTTCGATTAGCATATCCTTTGATGGCTCTTTAGCACAGCGGAGACATTTCTCGATAACATTGGAGCTGAATTTCTGTTTCGAGAGCTGTCCCACTCGACCTTGGAACATGGCGACAAGGGGCTCTGTGAAGATAGGTTCGTTCAAATCAAGAATGTATTGAACAACGTAATTTCCGAAGGGATCTTGGACCAGAACATAAGCATTGTTGGAGATCTGTCGAATCAACCAAGATTTTTGATCTCCTGAGGCATGGTCGATACAGCGCTGTAGAACACAACATCCGTGACGATGAGTTCCAACATCAATGCAGTGAATTCCGACGGCATCGAAGATGAATTGAGACTGTTGTGCTGTCAATCGATTAAGGCACTTTTGGATAACGTGGTTTCCGTTCAGATCTTGGATAAGCTCGACGACACGATTTTTGAGGGAACGGATAATGATGTTGATTTGTGTCTCCGTGCTGATAAACTCGATCATCTTCTGCAGAGCTCTTGTGCCATGTTGGTTGAGGGCGATGCGGACAAGGTCGTGCGAGGCGTTCTCGATAAGGACGGTGCGCTCCTCATCATTGCAATACTCCAAGAGCTTTTGGCAGAGGTAGTTGCCGAACGGATCAGTCATGAGCTCAATGACATGTTGATTGGTCTCAAGCCAGATCATGTGGACTTGATCAGGATTACGGTCCTCGAGTTTCTTTTGAAGGTATCTGCATCCGTGTTGATCTTTGCACAGATTATAGATCTCACCACCCAGTTGTTCCAAAGCCAGATTGGCGAATCGGTTCATAGCTGAAGAATGGGTTAGCAGAGGTCACTTTCAAAGGCTGACTTTGGGAAACTCACCTTCCCCATCATTCTGGCGGCGTTGCTGGATCACACGAGCCTGACTATCACGAGGCTGACTCTGAGGTGAATACATTTGACCGCCATACCCGCTGTATTGGTTAGGACCTGGATAAATTGGTTGATTAAGTGCCATGTTTTGCATTCCCATATTCATAGACATTATCTGCATGTTGTAGTTGTTGTAATATCCAGGAACTGGAGCAGGATACTGTTGTTGGCCAGTTGGAGAAACCATCGGAGCGGGGACTGGTGCCTGAGACATGTTTTGAGAAGGTGAAGGACCAAATGGTGCTGCATTGGCTTGAAGTGCCGACTGAATCGATTGATAACCTCCATTTTGAGCCTCGCGTAAGGTGGCAGTTTCAGGCGAGGTAAGCTCTCGGCTAAGTCTGTTCATTGCGTTTGGAGGGATGCGGCCGAGACTAGCATTATGGTTGTGCAAATGTTGTTGAGCATGCGAATTTGGGGTTGTGGCAACGTTCGATATACCATTAGCAGTCGTTCTCATAGTAGGTACATCGTTGGCGGAGTAGGATGACTGAAGCTTTGGTGGAGTGGCTTGGGCCATTTTTGATGGTGACGTGACTTGGGATGTCGCAGGCTCTTGAGAACCATCGTAATATTGCAAGTCTAGAGAGTGTCGGTATGATGAGGATGGACGAACACTGATTGGCGAAATGGGATCGTTGATCTGAGCAGTCGAAACTGAGCCGTTTGTTGGCGCCTGGCTAATGCTCATCGGAAGCTGCTGCGATTGGGAAGACTTGTGCCGAGTGAACGCATGCCACCCATTACTGGAGGAGAGGCCTTCGGGACCAGGAGATTGAGAGGTCGCAAGGTCAAGAGCAGCCGAAGAGGCGGAGAGCTGCATTTGGCGGTCAGTAACCGAATTATCAGAGAATTTATCAGAACTTACCAAGCCAGGGTATTCATCGCGACGAACGAGAACAGGGAAGTTGTCTTCGGTAGTGTTCATCTGAAGGTATTTATTGACATCTGGAGATGTGGCACCATCATCTTCTCCAAAAAGAAATCGTGTGGTGTTGGAAGGGTCTTGGTTCAAGAAGTCATGCATACCGTTGCGAGACTTGGTAACTGGCATACTGTATCTGTTGAGTCTATTCGAATATTAGCGACCAGCGTCAGAGTAGACTCTGTGTTAAGATCAATTGATAAATGTAGATGTACGAAGGTGAGGGTTAAAGGATAACGAGTATGTTGTAAGTAACTAATTCTGTATTTTGCGGAAGAGATGATGGTACAAGTAGCAGCGCAAGACAATTTGGTTGGGTAAGAACCCAAGTGCGTAATGGTTCGAAGTTTTTGTGGTTGTAAGAATTTTATGAGGAATTGAAGTGAGAACCGGAAGGTATTGCCTCCGAGTGTGGTTTTTAATGAGATAGGTGGCAGGAGGAGGAGAGATAACCATCAATACGGAGTGAATAACAATAACGTCAAGACACGTGAGGAATAGAATAACCGAAAGTGAACTCAGCGCAAGTCATAGGACTTCAAGCTTTGACTTGCAGACTGTCGAAACGTGACGTCCTACTGCTAAAAAGCTGCAATATCGCTTGGGGATGCCTGAACTACACCAATTACAGCTTGGTAGACAGACTGTCAATCCTCAAAAGGCCACCACTAGTGACCGCCCCGACAACCAGATAGAAGAACGAAGCTCAATAGTCTGTATCGAGAATACGAGCGCGACAGGAAGCACATAGACTCAAAGAGAATTTGGGAACTTACGCAGTTGTAGCCCTATGAGAGGTTGGATCTTGTCGAACAGCCTCTTCCTTCTCATCCTCATCGCTGTTGCGTCGAGATCCCGGAACGGACTTGGACGGGAGCTTATCATCCATCATGCGAGATTGTAATATACCTGATTGGGGTGATGTAAGTTGCGATCCTGATCTGCCTGGTCGGTTGTAAATGCCTGGGGGGGAAGTGAGGCTGGAGGTCGAATACCGATTGGGGCGTGAAAAGACAGATGGAAAGCCGGAGCTTGACTCGCGATATTCTGGAGGAGTGGTAGGTTCAGACTGATGACCAGCGTTGGAATTCTTGTTAGATCGACCGAGGTCTTCTTGCATCTGTGCAAGTTCTTGTTCTTCGCGGCGTTGCTGTAGGTCCAGCAGTTGCATCTCAGCCTCGAAGCGTCTCTTCTGTTCGCGTAACCTCTCGTATTCGAGTTTCTTTTTTTCTAACTGTGAGAATAGTAAGCCAAAGCCAAACCTTCCCAATCATGAGGCTGTAGAATTAATAAAATTATGTAGGGTGCTAGGATTCATGTTCCAAGCAAAGATCGATTTGGCGAGTCTAGAATTTCCGATTGGGAGATCCAAAGGAAAAGTATGCTTACCAGTTGGACTTTGTGGTACGTCTAGGAGTGGCTGTCAGCTAAGGTAATTTACAAAAATCTCGCTAGGAAGATCGAAAAGAAATACACGAATGACAGATTGTCCAGGACAATAGGAATTGTAGCCAAATGGGGACAATAGGATAGTGGTCCAGCTTACCGAAGGGCCATACTCCTGAGACTCCTGCACACCGCGCTGATTGGCGAGCGTATTCATTGTAGGAACCCGACCTGAATCCGTAGTGAATCTTCGCATTAATCCACCTCGATTATCTTGCGTATGAAGAGGTTGGGGCAATCTGGTTGTGGTTCGCGGTGGAGAGACAAGCCCATGCAACGAGGGATCGGTTCGAGGTGATTGCTGGCTTCGAAAGCGCAACTCGTCCATTCGGTCACTGGTACTATTGGAATATGCCATATTTGATGTGGTTAAATATATACTACCATCGATCAGTTCCGTGCTCGTGTAGAAAGCGCGCTGAGCGAGGAGAATTCAAGGTGGGGTTTACTTGCGGTGTGCTTCCCAGTGGAAGCACACCGAGCCTCGAGAGGGCTAACGAGCAAAGGACGGATCTGCCTACCTAAATGATATCCAAAAAGAAGAATTGTGACGTCCGCGAGCGTCCTGGAAGCCCAGGCGCGAAGCAAGTGAGTTGTGTATCCAGAGAAGAAAGAACCTGTGTCCTGGGGAGAGTGAGGTAGAAGTCGGTTTGGGGACGGGCTGGCTGGCAAGTTGGGCCAAAGTGCTCTCCAGCAGGGGTGGAAAGGACCCTTCGAGCTAGGTTTAGCGCGGTGCCGAGCTGTGGTCCAGTCGGCAGAGGTGCTAGCAATGGACAGAGAAGAAGACTCGGTACACACACGCACACATAATTCTAAGGGCACAATATAATTACAAGAGTGGAGGGAGAAGGCGAGGCGCGATGGATTGTGGGGGAGGGAGGAGAGCGGTGGTGCTGTGGGCAGAACGAGAGGGAAGCGGAAGTGATGCTCGAGTAGCGAAGGTGCAGATGGCGACTCCAGCCAGCTCATCGTCGGCAGCAGGGGAGAGCAGGGTCAAGGGCAACGAACGCAGCGGTCTCCAGACGCAAGCAGGACCGGTGCAGCAGACAGAAGACGGACGAGCACGAGGGGATTTGGAGGGTACGGGGTACTACTCACGAGGCATCCAGAGCAACAAGCAGCCATTCTCACCGTGATGGTACCAAGTAGGTTGATGGGCAACAGACCACACTCCGTGAAAGGGCAGAATACAGATTCGAATTATCCGACGCCACAAGCGAAGAGGCAGACCTTCTCAGATCCTGTCCTCGAGTACGAGACCTACTTCCGGGAGGTAAGCATGTATCATCGCGGCGGCTCCTGTACTCCATCTGTTGAGTAGCACTTGCAGGACAAAGGTGGTTCACAAGAGGCTACTCGAGTACGGAACCCAAGAACTGTCCCTACATATGAGAACCCCATAAAAAGGGGTCGATATGTACCTCCGCTGCCATCAGACGCCAAAGGTGCTTTGCAGATATCACATCTCGGCGCCAATTGGCCACCTTAACCGGCGCGATTCGGTGTCTTCCAGAACCACTCATTACTCCGGTACAGTACGTAGTACAGGTATGGCAACATGATGATACTCACAGTGAAGCAGCAAGCAGAACGGCTCAGAGCCGCTCAGGCAGTACCTAGGTAGTCTTGCAGCTTGCCATCGCGGAGAATGGCTAAGAAACAGCCCAATGTATATGCCTACATCGACACGGATCTGAAGGCAGTGCATCCGGCCAAAGACGTGCTTATAGAGCTGTCCAAGTTGCTACCAATTGCCCCTCCATCTAATTTTCATCAGTTCAGGCGAATCGACGAGTCTTTGCCCAAGTCGATTGCGGCAATCGAACATGATCACGACCGCTTTCCTGACCAGAACCAGTCAAACGCTTGCGTTGTACGTGGCGAGACGACGAGGGGCTTGGTGCAGGCTCCACGGGGGCATTGAAGATCCCTTGATGGAGAAGCCACTTCAGTTATTCATGGCCGATGATTTTACGAAGTACAATCTGAGGGGTTAGAAGAAGAGAGGGTCATGTGCGATTAAACCGGCCAAGGTGGCAGACTGTTTTATCCTCTTTACCGTTGGAGTGCTGAAAAGGGGCTCTGTGAGTGCTCGGCAAGCAATAAGGAGGCTAGCCATTCGATAATAACGGACCGCAAAGTCACCGTACCAATTCACATAGGGCAACTGCAGGTAAGTTGAATCAAGCTCAGCAGCTTTTGAGGCATGGAGTAGCCGGTGCCCGAATCAGCCAGAATGTTTCCCCAAGCTCGAGATAGATTCTAGAGCCACTGTTGCAGAGTCTTCTGCGAATGAAAGTGTGGTAAAATAGTGGGCGGTTTCGATTCTCGAATGGCGGTGAGCCATCGCCGTGTCTGGATCCGTTGCCCCACTATTTCCCTAGACAGTCGATACTCAATATTTATAAAGCGGTATTGTTGATTTGATGAATTGATCAGAAAATGATCGTTCTCTGTGGGATCGAGGGCTTAGGCTTTTGGAGCTCTACTTCGTACTTATGCACTAGAAGAGTTCTATAGAATCTGTGGCGCTTGCTGACAATAGTTTTCTTCTAACTCTTACTCGCTTACGACGGAGAGCATAACATTCGTGGGTTGAGCAAAACTTACAAGAGTTGTAAATATTGTTCTAATTCTACAAAAGTGCATGGTTTTTCTTCAGTTGATTTTGGGACGTTTTGTTGTATCATTGCTTGGATATGACGGAAGTAGATAGATAAATAGCATACAGTATGAAGCATAAGGTTACCAAGTTTAGACAATTTTATCAACATCAAAATGTGCAACCTGAGTCACGCTACAACGTTTGTATCTCACCTACTAGGTAGACCTCAAACACCAGGGAACATGACAAAAGCACGGAGCTGCCGACAGTCTGCTAAAAAGTGGCTTTGCCTCGCCATCACCACCGGCCCGAGTCACCAACCAGGCCGATCCGATACGGCTGAGGCTTGTGCACAAGCTTCATACCAGATTAGGCGCAGCAAAATGGCGGGGTCCCTGATGAGGTACCTTTCCGACGGAATTTTTTGTAGAACTCTTGCCGAAGATCACACCAGGAACGCAACACCCTATGGACTTTTATACTTTCCATCCCCCACAGTAACAAAATGCCACCAAAGAAGAAGAAGGCTGCTTCAGCTTCCGCAGGTCCTGTTGCTGTACCCGTTGAAGCTCCTTCGGCTGTCCCAACGCCAATACCTGCGCCACCGAAGCCTGTGAGTCTTCTGAGATTTTGCGCGACCCAGAGCTAACAATTTGTCGTAGACAGCAGAAAACGAACAAGATGAGCAATCAAAGGACACAGCTTCAGAAGCCAAACCAAAGCGTTCGCGGGCGCCGAAAGCATCCGTAAAGCCAGACCATGCACCAGCACCAGGAGATGAGGTGCGAAGAAGTTCCCTCGACTCTGCAGATTCTAACTAACTCGACCAGACATTCGCTGCCCTGCTCGAACCGTTCTATGGAGGAAAAAGTCTTACCGACCCTATCGATACTGCCAAAGTCAGCTCTTCCGCTCACCTCCTCGTTGCAATAAAGCTAATGGACCTAGGACAAATGGAATTTGGTTCCCGCTTTCTTGAAAGTCAAGGGTCTAGTCAAACAGCACATTGACTCGTTCAATTTCTTCATCGAAACAGAAATCAAAGAGATTGTAAAGGCAAACAAAAGAATCACTAGTGATGCTGATCCAAACTTCTTCCTCGAGTAAGCTGTGGTCGCTAGATATGTTAGGCATTTGCTAAAGCAGACTTAGATATGAGGACATCACTGTTGGAATCCCCGAGCGACTCGATTATGGTGACCGAAAGGCTCTGAATGAAATTACGCCAAACGAATGTCGCCTGAGGGATATGACTTATGCTGCACCAATTAGGGTCACATTTAGATATACAAAGGGGAAGCAAATGACTCGGAGAAGTCACATACCTATCGGAAGAATGCCCATTATGCTCAAAAGTGCTACTTGTAGGCTGGCTGGAAAGAATGACCGTCAGATGGCGCAAATGAATGAGTGCGCGCTCGACCCTGGTGGATACTTCATCGTAAATGGAACAGAAAAGGTCATTCTGGTTCAAGAGCAATTGAGCAAAAACAGAGTCATTGTAGAAGCTGATCCTAAGAAAGGGATAACCTCTGCATCTGTCACAAGGTGATTAGAGATTCCATGATCAATCATATAGTGCTGACATATCCTAGTTCAACCCATGAGCGGAAGTCCAAAAGTTACGTTACGATGAAAAAGGATAGAATCTGGCTCCAGCATAATATTTTGACGGAGCCTGTACCGATCGTAATTGTGCTGAAAGCGATGGGCATCCAATCCGATCATGAGATGATGTTCTTAGTAGCCGGAGAGGACGAGGATTATCAAGACGAATTTGCGGTCATGTTTGAGGAGGCCGCGAAAGCCGGTGTATTCTCACAGCAGCAGGCTCTCGAATACTTGGGAGCCCGTGTAAAGATGGGATCGAAGCCCAGAGTAGGGGGCGCTCCCCCTCGTAGAAACCACATTCAGGACGCACTCGAAGCTCTTGCCAACATTATCATCACACACGTACCGGTCGTTGGACTTGATTTCAGGCCGAAAGCGTTGTACATATGCTTCATGGTTCGCCGAGTACTGATGGCGGTCAAAGACCCAAAGCTTGTAGACGATCGGGATTATGTTGGAAATAAGCGGTTGGAACTTGCTGGCCAGCTTTTGTCTCTCCTTTTCGAAGATCTCTTCAAAAAGTTTAATACGGATCTGAAAATGAACATCGACAAAGTTCTAAGCAAAAAGAATCGAACGTCAGAATTTGATGCTTTCAATCACATGCAATCTCACGGAAATTATATCACCTTGGGCATGAATCGTGCTATCTCGACAGGAAATTGGAGCGTCAAGCGATTCAAGATGGAAAGAGCCGGCGTTACACACGTCCTTAGTCGGTTGAGTTACATCAGTGCTCTTGGGATGATGACTCGTATTAGCAGTCAGTTCGAGAAGACGCGAAAGGTCAGTGGACCTCGTGCGTTACAACCGTCTCAGTTTGGTATGCTTTGCCCGTCTGATACACCGGAAGGAGAGGCATGTGGTTTGGTAAAGAATCTGGCCTTAATGACGCACATCACGACTTATGATGATGAAGAGCCGATCAAGAAGCTGGTATTCTTCCTCGGTGCAGAGGATATCCTATCCGTGAGCGGACAAGAAATTCATGGCAAGGGGGCATATGTTATATTTGTCAACGGCACACCTCTTGCTCTCACCGTGCAACCCAAAACTTTCTTGACGAGCTTCCGCAATTTTCGACGGCAAGGCCGAGTATCGGCATTTGTCAGTATCTACATCAATCATCATACGAAGGCTGTTCACATTGCTACCGATGAAGGTCGAATTTGTCGACCGCTTATAGTCGTCGAAAACAATAAACCGAAAGTTACCAAAAAATCGCTCGAGGCATTACGAAGCGGCAAAATGGATTTTGATGACTTTCTCTACCGAGGAATGGTGGAATATGTTGATGTCAACGAGGAGAACGATACACTTATTGCACTAACCGAGCATGACGCTCTAACTACCGCAGGAATTACTCATTTGGAAATCGAGCCATTTACTATACTAGGAGCCGTCGCTGGATTAATTCCATATCCGCATCACAACCAATCTCCCAGAAACACCTATCAATGTGCTATGGGTAAGCAAGCTATTGGTGCGATCGCGTACAACCAATTCTCGCGGATCGACACGCTTCTCTACCTCATGGTCTATCCTCAGCAACCAATGGTCAAAAGCCGCACTATTGAGCTGATCAAGTACGATAAACTTCCAGCTGGACAGAATGCAACCGTTGCAGTCATGTCGTTTTCCGGCTACGATATTGAGGATGCTCTAGTACTCAATAAGGCGTCTTGTGATAGAGGATTCGGGAGGTGTCAAGTCTTCCGCAAATATGCTACACAGTTCCGAAAATACCCTAATCGGACTCAAGATCGTATAGGAGATAAGCAGATGGATGAGCGAGACCCTTCCAAGCCGTCGAAAAAGCATGCAATCTTGGGTTCCGACGGAATGGCATTGGTTGGCGAGCAGGTCAACTCCGGCGAGACATATCTCAACAAAGAAGTTCCAATCAACACTGGTGGGAACGGCATCGGTTCTGACGTTGGAACAAATGAGCATAAGCCTGCCCCTATGACTTATCGCCTCCCTGACCCAAGTTACATCGATAAGATCATGATTTCGCAGACGGAAAATGAAACCATGGTTATCAAGGTTCAAACACGCCAAACTCGTCGTCCAGAGCTCGGTGACAAATTTTCGTCTCGCCACGGGCAAAAAGGTGTTGTCGGTATTATTGTGAATCAGGAGGATATGCCATTCGCAGATTCCGGAGTCACGCCCGACATCATCATGAATCCCCATGGTTTCCCCTCTCGTATGACAGTAGGAAAAATGCTAGAGCTCCTATCTGGAAAAGCAGGAGTATTGAACGGGTCCCTGGAATACGGAACTGCCTTTGGAGGAAGCAATGTCGATGACATGGGTGATATTCTTATCAAAAACGGCTTCAGCTATTCAGGAAAGGACTTCGTTACGAGTGGTATAACAGGAGAATCTTTACCAGCCTACATATTCTTTGGTCCCATCTACTACCAAAAGCTCAAACACATGGTTCAAGACAAAATGCACTCTCGGTCCCGTGGTCCGCGAGCTATTCTCACACGTCAACCCACTGAAGGTCGGTCTCGAGATGGTGGTCTCCGTCTCGGAGAGATGGAACGAGATTGTCTTATCGCTTATGGCGCTTCTCAGCTTCTTCTTGAGCGGCTGATGTTGAGCAGTGATGCTCATGAAGTCGATATCTGTGAGGTATGCGGTATGATGGGATTCCAAGGCTGGTGTCAGACCTGTAAGAGCACTGCTGGGGTTACGAGGATGACGATGCCGTATGCGGCGAAGTTGTTGGTGCAGGAGTTGTTGAGTATGAATGTGCTTGTGAGACTTAGACTTGAGGATGAGTTTCCTCATCCTAAGTGATGACTTGGAAGCTGGTGGGACATATTGAGACAGGCTTTGAATTGTTGTTGTTATGTACGACTGATGATTTGCATGGATGGAGTTGAATGGTGTTCTAGATAGATTGGAATTTGCATGGTAGTGGCGTATATATCAAAATGTTGGTAAGTGATCAATATACCTGAGGTCAAAAATGATACCTGAAGAGAAGATCTCTACTCTTGTCTCAATTTGTGCATCCGACATGTCAATTACTACAAATAAACAATACACACTCAAAGTAGCCATATAGTGAACCAGAATATCTCCTATGCCGTCTACTAATCCGCTATGCAGATACTATAAAACTAATCAAAATCCAATAACGTCGCTAAAAATCAGAAGAGACTCTCCACTAAAAGTACTCCAACGCTCATATTCCCAAACCCAATTGCTCCCTTTCTCCGCTATGTAAAACCTCTCACTCCGTGCCAGATCAAAACCTATCCCTGCTCTCGTCCCCAAAGAGATAGCCAGCCTCGAGACAATAAGCACCGCCTCCGACCATCCCCTTCTCACTGCCCCAGCAAACCACGCTCGCATCCACGATTCCGCTTAACACGCCTTCCATGGCACCTAATACTCCCCAACCAATAAAACTAGCCACCAAACCTACAACATAAGCATACGCGCTTCCTCGGATGCCAGCGCCGCCCGGGACGGAAATCGCGAGTTGACGTGCTGTCGCAACCCACCCCCCGAAACCGAGGGCCATAGCCATGATGAAGCGGGTGGCATGGAGGAGGAGCTTGGCGAGTCTGTAGGGGATGAGTGGGGTGTTCTGGTTGCGGGAGTTGAAGGAGCGGGGTGTGAGTGTTGTGGTGGGTGTTTGGGGAGTTAGGAAGGTCATTTGGCTTAGACCTCTGGCGGAGGTTGAGAGGGGTTGTGAGTGGATTGCTGCGTAGGTTAGGGTGAGAGGATTGGTGAGTGCTACCATTGGGGTTGGGAAGAGGTTGTAGGCGAAGATTGAGGCGAGACCGACTAGTCTGGTGGGTAGGATGAGGAGAGGAAGTCGGATTATGAGAGCGACGAAGGTTGAGAGACAGATTGTGCCGAACAGTGTTGTTGCTGAATGTTGAAGAGCAGACGTGACTACGTCCCTTGAAGCTATTGTCGGTGTAGCATTTCGATGGAAATACCACTGAGAAACTGTTGCTGCTGTGGTTGCTCGCTGTATGCCATTGATAACGGACAATGTCCAAATGTACATCAAAACAAAGTATACTCCTAACCACCAAGTCGTAGCATCGATAACAAAGCCCGTCAACGATTTGTTTTGGTGGCCACCAAGGAAGACTCTGGTAAACATGCCCAACCACATCCAAGTCCATGCAACGATCGCAGCTAGAGTGACAAATCCCAAACCAAGAAGGGCTGGTTGCGCCGCCAAAATTCGTGAGGCAAATTCCAATATACCAATAGCCTTGGTCAAAGCATGCCTTCCCTTGTATATGGTGAACAGCCATATCACAGCGAAAATGGCAGGTATAAAAGATAGCCATCGCATGGCTTTATCCTGTAGACTGGCTCCCCCTGCTGCACCCTTATAACTTGATACCATAGGATACAGTGAAAATGATATCAAAATCACAGGTACTGCGAGTACTATTAGGTGTACCAGCGGCCTCACGAAGGACCTCAACAAGGCGAGCCAGACCAAGGAGACGATAACTGATACGACCGTATCTACGGCAAATAAGTGAAAGGAGGAGTGCAAGGTGGTGTATATAGTGTCGCCTAGATTTTTGCCAGGCGATGTGTGTAGAAACACTAGGAAGAAGGTAGCGAAGAGCGATCCTAGACAGATAAGGAACAAGGAGCCCCAGAACATATCATGCGTCGGTGATTCTCCCAGTGTAGCCACTATCGTTGCCGGTACCGTTTCCACGGAGCTAGGCGGTCGAGGGAAATGCCTGCCTGTATTTGCTTCTAAATCTCTATCTCGGGACTCTGACGGTAATCTGATCGGTCCTGTCTTGGGTGTTGACCTAAATTTCTGGAATGGCGGAGGGCTCTCGTCGAGTAAAGCTTCGTTCATCAAGTCATCTGGTGGTTCGCTGTCCTCGATGGTTGACTCCAGTCCAATATCCTCCATTCTATCTTTGCCTTTACTGCTCGCTTCACTTCGACCTCTTCCCAAGTCCTCCGCTTCCTCGCTGACGGTTTCTGGAGCTTTACCGCGCCCTCTCGTGCTTTGACCACCGCCGTTCCAACTTGACCTAATCCCTCGTCCACGGCCCCGGTCATCTGCCAATCTTCCATCGTCCTCTCTACTTGTATCCAGGGAAGCTTGGCTCCCTGCGTGCTCTGTTTCCTCGCTTTCCTCTAATCTTGTAGGGGCAAATACCCTCCTCGACCGCTGCAGCGCAAAGAAGTCTGATGTCTCCCTCTCCCTTTCCTCCTCATCATCCTCTTCTCGGAAATCATCTCGGGCACTGTGAAATAGCGGCGCGTCTGCTGGAGCAGTGCTGTACCGTGATGCGAAGTTGAAGTTCGCCGCGGATTGGTATGGGTTTCCCAGCCGTTGAGGATACCCTCGTGCAGTGCTTTGTAATAACGGATTATTTGAGCGTCGATAGCGGTCGTTCGGGTTTCGAGGGGGCGTCTCGGTGTTGTCGGGTTGGACGAAGTTCGAGATGCGGGACTGGGACTGGGCTAGGAACCGCGAAGCATCTACAAAGGTCAGTCTTCTGAAGTCCACAGCAATTACAATAGTGGCTTGGAGATCCCCTTACATTCTGAGAACATCTTGAGGCACCCTCTTCAAATATTCCGTATGGTGGTGAAGGCAGAACAGGCACACGAGCACCCAAGGTGCTTTGTACCTGATAACGCTTGACCGCCCCAGTGCTCCTGTTTGCAGCTCTTTATCCTCGGGCGTAAACCGAATTTGCGAGTTCTCGTGAATGTTTGACAAAGAGATTATTACTCGTTGTCACCGGGAAATGCTGTTACAGCTAATCGGAATCGTGTCGTAAATGTGCTTTGGTGTTGATGTGGTGATGAGCAGCACCTAGTCATACTGTGGACGAGGCAGAGGCAACGAGGTGTGCACTGTTCAGGTGCCGTAGCCTGCCACTAGCAGCTGAGGCAGAACAGCTTAAATCCTAGACAGAAGAGCTCAGGTCACCGAGGTGAATCACAACCTTGGAACCTGAAGGGAGCGAATGGCCATGACAAAGCAACGTGAACATCGGGTGCTCGATAAGGAGCCGTGAGTGTCAGACTGCAAAATGACCTCCATTCTAAATCCGAGTCTCAGTACTACAATGCGGCAGCTGCATTATATACGACGACTTGATATCTTGACCTCGAAGCGGCTATCCCGCACCCGCATCCCAAGCTGACAGCCTCGTCCGTGCCACATGGTTCGGTGATAGTGGAGGTGCAACCTGGAAGCTAGCTTATCCATGACATCTACCACCAGAGCACAACAACGTGGATTGTACACCAGAAAACAAACAGTGTTACACATTATCAACAATCATTACAATTCGCACCAGTTACGCACATCTTGCACGCTGGTTTAGATTGTATAAACAGCGATTAGATCGCACAACGACGTTGCTCTGGTCATCACGGCAGACTCTTCCAACTTTACCGATTCAACGAACCGAGTCGCGTGCTGCATCTTTCCACGTCCAAAAACAAATGTCGTCGCTGTCATGGGATTATATCGCCAAACTCGTGTGTATTGGAGATAGCGGGACAGGAAAGAGCTCCCTTACCATTCGTCTTTGCGAAGGACGTTTCAGTCCGCATCATGATGTTACCATTGGTGTCGAATTTGGATCTCGAATCGTTCCCGTCGGACCTCCGAATGCAGAACCGCCCAAACCCAAACCAAGTATCTCGCGCGACCCATCCCAGGTAGAAATATCAAGTGGGTTGCCGGAGCCCAGACGCGCAGTACCAGAAGTCGAACAGAAGCATATGAAGCTCAGTTTATGGGATACAGCTGGGCAGGAAACATACAAGAGTGTGACGAGGAGCTACTTCCGTGGAGCTTCTGGAGCGTTGCTGGTGTTTGATATCTCAAGGCGACCTACCTTTGCTCACGTCCAAGATTGGCTCAACGATTTGAGGCAGATTGCGGAGCCAGACATCGTGGTGGTGCTAGTGGGAAATAAGAGTGATTTGGCAGCAGGCGACGAGAACAAAAGAGAAGTGACCAAAGAAGAAGCTGAGGAATGGGCAAAGAAGAATGGCGTGCTTGAATATGTTGAGACCAGCGCCAAGAGTGGTGAAGGTGTTGAGATGGCTTTCGGACGAGTGGCAGAAAGAATTTACCAGAACATCGAAGCCGGGAAATACGACTTGAACGACAGACGATCGGGAGTGAAAGGCTCAAATGTCAAAGGTGCACCACGAGGAAATGTCAAGCTTAGCGCGCCACCGAGAAGTGGTGGATATGGATGTTGTTAAGACTCTTCATCGTTGTTGGTTGGATAAGGTACAAGTACAGTCTTTTCGAGGCGTTGGGAGCATTTAGATACACCAAAGCATTTGGGCTGGCGTTTCAGCGATGCATTTCAGATTGTATACAATAAGTTGGATGAGAGCAATAATAACACGATGGTCTTTGCTTTAGATCATGGGTCTCGAGGTGTTGTGATATTCTTGAACTGGGATTGGTAAGTGAGAGATATTATTCTTGTCACTCCATGAGTTTATCGCAGAAGTGAGTCCCTACCAAACTCCTTGATCCTGAGAAAACTCTGAAGCTCTCTGGACTTGGACAAAATGTCTACCTACTTAGCTAGGCAACAATTTACAGCTGTGCAATTTAGCAAAATTTACTGAAGTCAATGTTGGACGGCAACTAACTAGATATTCCTACAATTCCCAGTTCGCTCCAGAGGTAACAATTTTAAGATTGTTACAGATGTTTCTATGCAGTATCTACTTGGAACAATCTTGCATAGCAAATTCCCAAGTGATGACCTGAACGGTATTGTCTCTTATCGAACTTGGGTAGCACCTTGCGACGTTTTGATTACTTCAAAAATACTTCAACGGCGAGCGTCTCGTTCCAAAATCTGATCGAAGGTTTCACTATGGAATTGCGCACCGCGTTAAATCTATTGTCCGAGAGAATGAACATCTGATACTACTCCCGAGGTCGAGTACGACAAATGGTGTGGCGGAGCTGCTTGTTCTTTCGTACGCCACATTACGCAGGGTGATCTGACGATCCGGCGCCACGGGTATTATGCCAAGGACAACGCGCATACAAATCATCATACGCAAGCAAGGACTCGAGGGGCAAGTATATGTGGAATTCATCATCCGTGAGACCATTTCTCATCTTCTACTTACACATTAATCGTCTGAAAACTCTACATCTCCTCGCTATCCGCAGCTAATTTTTATCAAATTGATCACATCTGTCTATTCATCAGCACTCGAACACATCACTTTTAGAGCTTCGCTTTCTACCCCGCCAGCCGGAGATATATCTGACAACATCAATCCAACTACAAGTACGAGCTTCACATCACACAGCATTATGAGCGAATTTGCGCCGCCCTCTGGGCCACCTCCTCCAAAAGTTCCAGAAGGATATAAAGCAATTTGGAACGCTGAATACAAAGAATGGTTTGCGCCCACCCCGCTTGATCGCATTAGCTATAATCAACCATCTAACAATCACATAGGTTCTACGTCAACATCTACACGAAAAAGTCGCAATGGGATAAGCCTACCGAACCAGCTTATGCCCACGACGAGAGCGCTCCCTTAGGCCCCCCACCAGGATATCAAGGTGGAGGTGCAGGTGCGGGCGTAATGGGCGACACCAAAGGCAATCCCTACGACACTCACAATACACAATCATCAACTGAATCCGACGCCGCATTGGCAGCGCGCTTACAAGCCGAAGAAGATGCTCGCGCCGGCAGCTCAAGTCGCGGCAACGCCTCAAATGATTATTACAATCTATCGTCATCGCCTGGTCTCGGACAAGGATACAACAGTCAACAATCTCAACAACCAAGTTACGGACAACCGGGATACAATAGTCAAACTCAATATGGAGGACAGCCGCAGCAGAATTACCAAGATCAATCGCTCCCTGAACGAGACCAGAAGAAATCAGGCGGTTTTCTGGGGAAGTTGTTGAGTAAAGCAAGTGGTGCGAAGACGGGCGGCGGGTTCGGGTCGCATGGTGGTGGATATCCTCAGCAGCAACAGTATGGATCTCATGGAGGATATCCTAATCAAGGGTATCCTCAACAATACCCGCAGCAGCAGTTTGGTGGAGGTGGTGGGTTTGGTAGACCTGGGTACGGTGGTGGTGGGTATGGTGGTGGATATGGCGCGCCAAAGAAGAGTGGTATGGGCGCTGGTGGTGCGGCTGCACTAGGTGTTGGTGGTGGTTTGGTAGGTGGTATGTTGTTGGCTGATGCGATGGATGATCATGATGATCATGAGTATCAGGAGGGATACCGTAAGTTTGCGTCTGGGATTTGTTGATGTTATATCTTGCTAACAATCTCGTAGAAGATGGTGCCCAAAATGATGATTATGGAGGTGGAGGCGACGATTTCGGTGGAGGTGATGATGGCGGTGGTGATTAAGAGATCTGTTATGAAGCGGTTACATTGTACGATGTAGATAGGTGGATATGCTAGCCTTTGTGATTTTATGCGACGCTGATTTATATAATATCATCTCGTTGACTTACAACTACATTTTCTCCCGTAATGTGATAAACAAGATACATGGGATTCCGTATTGGGTACGCAACTGTTTTACAATACGGTTTGATTTAGTCAAACCAAGAACAGCAGTAGTTGAGCTTTAAAGAGAACATGTATATCGTGGTTCTTCGACTCAGTGCTGAATCTACACCACATGTCATCTTGATCCTCTCCGCTTGAGATTCTATTTCCACTATCTCATCCCAATGTACAACTCCTTCTCGTGTTTCCCTTCCCCCATAGACTACCTCGTAACTCCCTTCTCCGTAATAGCATTTTTCTTCGGCGTACTCGTTCCACTGCCCGAGCTACCAGCCAACCACGCCGCAGCATCAAAGTTCTGAAGCGGATTCGCTGCCTGGTTTCCAGAGAGCGGAGAGGACTTTTGTCGTTCTTCGAATTCGGCGCGGAGTTCGGGGTCCACTGTGATGTATCAGTACTTGGTAGAACAGGGAGATGAGGAGGGAGAGGAGGAGACGTACTGTTATCCATCAAATATGGCATGCCGAACACGAGAAGCATACTTGCTCCTGCGATGAGGATCATTGGGTTCTTGAAAAGACTTAATGGGGAGACTAGATGGGTTATTAGCACATATCCCCTTCACATCGCCTTTGAGCAACACTTACACCCACTCCTCTCAAGCAAATACTCCTTCCCCCCCACACACCTAACCCCAAACCACCTTACTCCCCCCTCAAGCACCTGCACCTCCACAACCGGCCCCTTATTATCCCACTCGTTCCCCCGAAACGTGCCCCATACCTCTACAATCTCCCCTCCGCCTACCCCCTCGCCGGCATCGCGTACGTCCACGCGCAAAGGCGCGAATACATGCGTGTGCGCGTGGATGTCGAGGAGGTAGCTGCCGGTGCTTACGTTGCGGAAATCGAACGTGTTGTCGATGCGTAACGGTGCGGTGTAGGTGTGCAAGAGGGTGGTGAGCGAGGCGTGGGTGCTTGGGGGGAGGAGGGAGGGGTTGGCGAGGGAGGGGGTGGTGGGGATGGAGATGCGGAGGTGGGTTGCGAGGGTTAGGGGGAGGAGCCCGAGGAGGAGAAATGAGATGTGCATTTTCGTTGTTGGTGGAGTGGTTGAGGTTGATGATGGAGAGCTGGGCTGGAGCTTTGGGTGGCTTTACTAGCGTGGTTTTTTCGGGTCGTGGGATTTGGGGTGCATGAGATGGGGATGGGTTGGCGACGCGGAGGTTGGAATAAGGTTGGAGGATTTGAATCCTTTAGATTGATTTCGCTGATCCTGGTGATGTAATACGATACATCATACATATATTATCTAATTTTGGTTGTTGCCAAAAATTTTAATCTTCACGAAAGCCAGTTTCGTGTTCTAAAAGCATGTGAAAAGCCAAATATATGTATATCCCGTCCAAAGGCATCAAATTCATTATCTAATTGCCAGCAAATGTTACACGAAGAGCAGTTACATCTTGCTTCTTCATCGTTACTATTTCCATCTATAGCCCGACACAAATTTACAATATCGCATCCCAAAGCTCCAGGTGTACAAAAATCCAACTTAACGAAGCCACAAAAAAATGCTTCATGAAACCGTCAAGGCCTCATTGTCTAAGAACTCCTCTTTCCAAACCTCCCAAATCTACAACCTCTCTCCGTTCGTGAAATGTGTTCTCGTACCAGTTCTCAAAGTGCGTTGGACTTCATGGAGCAACCTCGCGTTGGATTGGGGTTTGAGTCATGGTCGACTTCTCGTCCTTGAGTCCCTTGAAGCCGCTCTTGAAGACCTGGAGAGCAACGATGGTGGTGCTTCCGGTCCAGAGGAGCCAGTTGAATGCAGCAAAGACGGCATCAGCACGTGCAGCTGCGCAGACCGATCCACGGCAGAAGAGGAGTTTGCCGATGAATGCAGCGAGTGCGACGAAACCTGCGAAGTAGAAGAGGGTGTTGAGGGCTTCAAATGCGAGATGGGCATATGGGTGGGATGCTATGAGGTTTTAGTAATTTGTTGAGTATTTGAGGCTTGGATTTACTGACCCTTTTGCATGAAACGAGGAACAACTTCCAAGTAGATCATTGAGATGAAGGAGAAGACCGGTACAAAGACCAGAAAGTTGATCTGAGAAGGAGAGGTGGTTAAGGTGTCGACATCGTACCAGTGAGCAACTGTAAAGATAGTTAGCATATATTTCTGGGTCGTTTTTGTTCCAGTTCCATACCATATGCTGATAATCCAAGAACCACAACCGAAAAGACGAATTGGGCGATGCGAAGAGGAAGTAATAAACCGAAAGGCATTTTGTGTGATTTGAAAGTTAAGATTTTGTTGATTTGATGGAGTGACAGAAATGCAACCGGTGCCAAATGAATGATAGTAATGAACAGTTAGAAGAAATGGATGGTCTTTGGACGAGATTGAACAAAAGGGGTAGAAATGAATAGGAGTCGCAGACCACCACAAATTAGAAAAGTTGGGAAAAGAACGGATTGTATGGCTCTCTTCTATTAGAAGATCGAGGCATAAATCTGGGGACTTTATTCTTGACCCCTTCTGTGTCATTTCGAAACACGCATGGTCGAGGACCAGCATGGGTTGCGTTGGCGTTGGCGAATGGGGCAACGCTTCGAAACCAATGCGATCAGACCTTTGAGAGGCAAGCGATCTTTTCCCCAAGGTTGGTAAAATAGGACAGGAAGTATGCATATGATTGGTTAAAGCAAAGGCTGTACCTGCTGCTGTTCGACTCGTGAACGATATGCATTTTGAAAGACGGTGTTTCTTCTGGCGCGCGTTGGGGCTCATGAACTCACCAACCTATCTGGTTGATCTGCAATGATAGAGATCAGATACTTCTTTACCATCAACAGCCAGCTCTATCCTTTCACTCCGTAGACTTTGACACTCAACGCTTTCCACAGACCGACAGCCCTGCTCATAGTAACCTCACCATAAGCATTTTTGCCAATACTTTCGTCCGATAGCACTGACCAAATCCACAACCCAAGACTTGTCATGCTTTTCCAAAAGGTTTCACAGACTCTTTTGGTGATGGCGCGAACTTCTTCGCCATACAAATGGACGAGACGGTGAAACGGGGACGCGATGCCAATTTTTGCCCAGAAGTCTCACGGGTTGATGCTATCATTTTACCATGGTTTTCTGATGGAGACTCGGAAAATGTAGCACTGCCGTGAGGCTCAACCGCACGTACCGCTACCTCTTTGAGGTCTTGGTATTCTTGATATGCTCTTCAGGCTGTCCGTCCGAAACGTTGATACACGAAGTTCAATGATCTTCGGAGGCGCCAAGGTAGAATATCAGAGAATGGGAAGTCGAGGATTTGTAGATTACTTCGTATTTGGCAAGAGAGAAGAGCGTGGACACACGACCCGTGAAGAAGTAACAACGTCTTGCCGATAGATGATGCAGCAGAAGAAGAACATCAAGTGCTGACTTCTGCTTTTCACACAGACGTATCTTCTGCAGCTGGTCTCGATGGTAGTCTAGTGTACCTCCGTACCCACCTTACAACCAATGCTCAGCATCCTTGAGACAGCAGAAGTGCAGTGTCCAGACAGGTCGAGAAGACAAGAGTTTTTGACGGCGTCGAGTGTGATGCTTGACCTGCAAGACAAGATTAATTCCTGTGTCCATGCGGCTAGACCAAAGCTTGTCAGAGCCTGAGAGGATGCTATCAATATGTCTCTGTCCTATGGTTGCCCTCCTCGCATGCAAGAGCTTGTAGGTTGCCTGGAAAAATCAATAGGGGCAGCGGAAGGAGAGACCCCGTGACAAGGTATTCTAGCTCCCACGTGATCATCATATCTCCTCGACAGTGGAGACCCGGAGAGGATTTATTCAACAGTCAGCAGGTACTGTACCTTTACAAAATATAAAGGCGTTATCTGCCACACTTTGTTGGTGCGGCAAATATCATCCCATTCAGCCCTATTTCGTTTCCCGAGAGTCGGGGAGACATCTGCAATGTCGGAGCTTGCTAAAGCCAATCGTGGTCCTGTGGGAGTACCCCTAGAGACGTACCTCTTTTTCCAGCTGGAGCTTTCCCCAACGGATCTTTTTTTCTTAAAGTCAGAGCTTCTGGAATTCCCCATCCCTTGGGCACTGAACTTTGTCTGCCACAAAAGCTGCTGAAGCGTGGTCATTCGGCGATCAAAGAAGAGCCATTTCCTTGTGCGATGGCGTGATGCGCCGACTCCGTGGGATTGAGGGGTTCTGGTAAGAATGCACCTAGCTCCAGTTACCCCACACGCTTGGGACCAGCAAGTACAGCTTTTTCTTCAGGTAACATCAACACTTCTCCCACCCGTTCCCCCATTTACTCCAAATTCTCCAATCTATAAGGTAAACGTACCCGCAGATCAGTCTACACATATAAACCTGGGATCCCGTTCTTTACTATAACAACTCAATCACATTCTCTTGAACTTTCACCATGGCTCCTCCCGAAAGCACTCACTTCGAGACTCTCCAGCTGCACGCGGGGCAGGAACCAGATCCTGCTACCAATGCTCGAGCTGTACCAATTTATGCTACCACCGTAAGCATTACATTCATGGAGTTTATTGTTACTGGCAACTAATTTGCAATACAGAGCTTTACTTTCAATGACTCGGCCCACGGCGCAAGACTCTTTGGCCTTAAGGAGTTTGGAAATATCTACAGTCGAATTATGAACGTACGTTGTATCACTTCTCAATATGTGCAACATTGGGTGCTTGTCTCACCACCTTTTTGGTGGCTGAACATTTGCTGTCCAGCTCCGGCGTGGCTTTTCGCGATCAGCACGAGACCAATCTACTTCGGCGTGAATTCGAAGGCTGACAATCCATCCGACAGCCTACAGTTGATGTCTTTGAGAAACGAATCGCGGCATTGGAAGGAGGAGTGGCAGCTGTGGCAGCAAGTTCAGGACAAGCTGCTCAGTTCATGGCAATCGCTGCGTACGGGGTTTTTCCTATCAATAATGGGCGATGTACGTTGGTGTCATTAATGATACGTGCTTACTAGATCATTCCAGGATCGCCCAAAGTGGAGACAACATTGTTTCCACATCAAACTTGTATGGAGGAACCTACAACCAATTGAAGGTGTTCCTGCCACGACTAGGCATAACCACTAAATTCATTGATGGAGACAATCCGGAGGATTTCGCCAAAGCGATTGACGACAAAACAAGAGCCATTTACATCGAGTCCATCGGCAATCCGAAATACAACATTCCAGATTTTGAAGCTATTGCGAAGGTTGCTCACGATAATGGAGTTCCTTTAATCGTAGGTACAAATTCTGTAGGTTTTGACTTGTGCTAATGCGGCTAGGTTGACAACACCTTCGGAGCTGGTGGCTACTTTGTTCGTCCAATTGATCACGGTGCAGATATCGTCGTTCACTCTGCTACAAAATGGATTGGTGGTCACGGCACAACCATTGGGGGCATTGTCGTTGATTCGGGAAAGTTTGATTGGGGTAAGAATGCAAAGCGATTTCCCGCAATGGTGGAGCCATCTCCAGGATACCACGGACTGAAGTTCTGGGAAACCTTTGGTGCTATCACTTTTGCTATTAGAGTTCGAGTTGAAATTCTCCGCGATGTGGGCAGCTCATTGAATCCATTTGCAGCTTTTCAGCTAATCCAAGGAATTGAAACACTTTCACTGCGCGCAGAGCGTCACGCAACCAATTCGTTGGCTCTTGCGAAATGGCTGGAGAGCAATAGCCACGTTGCCTGGGTGTCGTATCCTGGATTAGAGAGTCACAAATCGCACGAGCTTGCCAAAAAGTATCTACCAAGAGGATTTGGTGGCGTTCTTAGTTTCGGCGTCAAAGGAGGTGGAGAAGCTGGAAGTCAAGTTGTTGATGGCTTCAAGTTAATATCCAATTTAGCGAATGTCGGTGATTCGAAGACCCTCGCCATCCATCCATGGTCAACCACCCATGAACAACTATCTGACGATGAAAAACTAGCGTCAGGTGTAACAGAAGTAAGTTTTTGCCAAAATTACCTGACCGTTATTGGATGTTGACATCATCATAGGATCTCATTCGTATCTCCGTTGGGACAGAGCACATCGACGATATTATTGGTGATTTTGAGCAATCTTTTTCAGCTGCCGCCGCTGCCAAAACATCTGGCGGTAAGGAGGAAAACGCCACCAAAACGGGCACGGCGGATACTGACGCCAAATTGGTTGTCTAGATCTCCACATAAAAAGTTCACTTTGATCTCGCCGTTTTCCTGATATACCTTTGAAGCGAATTTGTTCTCCTTTGGGTCGGTGTTCGCGTAGTTCTTATCGAACTGGATGGTGCGGATATGCAGTGATGGGCTAGGATCTATCATACGTTTATTTCAGAGGCTACCAGCAGCAAATCAAATTTGTGACAACCATCTATTCCATCTAGTGAGAATACCGTGGAGCTCTTAGCAAACTGTGCCGAGATTCGGCCTTGTTGGCTTGTTCATAGGTTATCGTTTCTTGATATTTCAACTCTTCCAATCCATCCTTTTCAGACACTTGTCAAGCCCATTCTGCGTTGACGGCGGTCTTGCCGCACGATGTACCGCCAACCTTACAAGCATTGATGAAAGTTAGGGTTATAAAAAAACATCAACTCAAGTGGAACGGATAAAGATTGGCTACGGGTCTAATTATTGCTTTCAAGCTAGCATGGCAGTTTGGCCCCACAATGAGATAGTTAGGCTGACTAGGTAAGTTGGCTAGGTTGACTAGGTAGGCTAACTGATATATAGGAGATCTTGAGTAAACCACGCATTCGGCGCTGCTCTATATTACACCGACCTCGCCTTGATGCACGTCTTTTGTTGGACAAAATAGTTTATCCACAATATCAGCCTCATACGTCTACAGGTAAGCAATCACTTATACGTCGGAATTGTGACAGAATGACACTGTGCTATCGCACCTCCATGCTAGTTTAGGAAAACTCGCCGTTGACGAGCCGAGTTATGAGCATGAGCAAGGGCACCTGCGTTCAGTGGTCAGTAGCATGCAGTTTTTAGTTTACCCGGAGCTCTGGTAAGTTTGGTTGAAATGGCATTGCGGGGTCTTATGTTTTGATGACCCCACATGGTACCTGTTATGCAGAGGTAGGTGGTGTTACACTGGTGGGTGTATAAGGTTCTTGTCGGTCCTCGCATTTTTTGAAGATTAGATATCGCTGTAGTGCTCATTGTCTTTTATTTCCTCCAACGCAAAGAGAACAGACCGACAACATGGGACTCATCAATCTAGGCAACGAAGGAGACCCAGTTCTCACCCGCCTCGTTGAAGAAGACAAAGTCCCCTGGTACAGAAAACGCAATCTTAGGCTGCTCTATCTTCTTTTATATCCTACATGTAAGTACATTCTACCAAATAAATGTGAGTTGAAGCGCTAACGTTTAGACAGGTATGGGTATCGAGATCACATCGGGGTTTGATTCCCAGCTTATCAATGGAGCACAGTTCATCCCTCCTTGGTTGAAATGCAAGTCACATCCCAGAACTACGAATAATCACTTACGATCAGCAGACTTTGGCCATCCGAGCATCGACGTTAAAGGAAACCACGTCCATGTCATTGACGCACCGCTTCTGGGTATCATTTCAGCATGTTACAGTCTTGGTGCCATTTCCATGGTGCCCATCGTTCCTATGGTTGCACAACGGTTCGGTCGTCGATGGTCAATATTCATCGGCTCATTTATTCAATGTGTTGGTGCTCTAATGCAAGGATTTTCCGTTCATGGTAATTACACTCATATTTTTCCAAGTACTTCTGTGCACAGGCTCACATAATCTTCAAGTTGGAATGTACATCGTCGGCCGAATGATCCTCGGCTCTGGAATCATATTCTGTATAGTCAGTGGATCAGCCATGCTCGGCGAGCTTTCGTATCCCAAGGAGAGGCCAATGATGACATCCATGTTCAATGCATCATATTTCGTAGGCAGTCTCATTGCCAGCGGTATCATCGTGCGTACAGCCCTAATCCCCAACGACTGGGGCTGGAGAATTCCAAGTCTGTTACAATGTGTCCCATCTATGCTGCAAATGGGTCTTGTCTTGTAAGGTCGTTTCACCTGACCGCCCGTCCTCGCTGACCTCTTCAAAGCTTTCTTCCAGAATCCCCAAGATATCTGATATCCAAAGATCGCCACGCAGAAGCGTTCAAGATTCTAGCCCATTACCACGCAGAAGGAGACCAGGATTCTATCTTTGCGAAGGCAGAGATGGCTCAGATCGAAACGACCATTAAACTCGAACTCGAATCGGCGAATCTAAGCTGGTGGGATATGGTTAGGTCGCCTGGTATGAGGAGGCGTACTTTTATCGCTATGGCAATGGGATTGTATACACAGTGGTCTGGGAATACTTTGATCTCGTATGCATCCCAACCCAACATTTCGCCACAACATAGACAGAGGTACTAATAGATTTCAGCTTCTACCTCTCAAAGATTCTGGTCTTGATTGGATACACCGACACGTATACTAAGACTATGATCAATCTTGGCCAAGTACACAACATCAAATCACCTTTTCTACGCTCGCTAACTTCTGGCAGACAGCATGGTCTTTTGTAAACGGCACCGTAATAGCTCTAGTAGCACCCCGGTTCCCTAGACGCGTAATGTAATAAACTCTCCGCACTCTCTTTCCCACGCCATTAGACACTCGTTGTTAACATTTATTCAGGTTCCTCACCGGCGCCATAGGCATGCTCTTAGTAGTAGCCAGCTGGGCAGCAGCCCAAGCACAAGCCCAAAAAGCCCTCGAACACGGAACCACAAATCACGGCGCTGGCATCGCCGTGATATTCTTGATCTACTTCTACTCGGTCTGGTATAACATCGGCAATAACGCTCTTACATACAGTCGGTCCTCCCCTCCCTTCCTCCCCTTCTACAACTAACCATCCCAGCCTACCTCATCGAGCTCTTCCCCTACGCGGAACGTTCTCGCGGCATCTCCATCGAACAATTCTTCGGCCGCGGCGCCTCATTCTTCACGAATTTCGTCAACCCCATCGGAGTCGATGCCGCGGGCTGGAAATATCTGCTCATGTACCTTGGACTGCTTGTTCTTGAGATCCTTACTATATGGTTCTTCTATCCCGAGACATATGGACGGACGTTGGAAGAATTGGCTTTTCGTAAGTTGATTATCTTTGGGTGTTTAGGAGGAGTGTGAAGGGGGAGTGCTAATATGTGTGACATAGTGTTTGAGGACCGTGATGTCGCTGAGAAGGCGACCGTTGCTGTGGAGAAGACGATTCATTATGGTGGAGACCATGATAAGGATGCGATGGATGGGGAGCATATTGAGCGAGGACAGGAAGTCGTTGTTGATGGTGGGGAGAAGGGGAAGAAGGTGGATTAGGCGAGGTGGGTTGGTGGTACTGTGACGGGTTTGGTGAGACTATGATGCTGGGGGGAAGAAAACGCATGAGGAGACGGAGGAAAGGGAGAGGGTACTAGCTGAGATTAATGATGAAGTAATGGAACGCCATGAAGTTTTCATACTTGTTGTAAGCAACCACGGTTGATAGAAACGTCTGAAGCGAGCCTATGGCAATCCGTTCTTGCGGTAGTCAAGATAAGTGGCAGTTGAAACGCGAAATTCTTTCGATCAACACATCGTCTTCCTTTCGGTAAACAAGAATTTTCTGAGTTCGTGACAACAAATCAGCAGGTAAGTACCAAGTATTTTTGTGATTACATTTTAGCTTAATAGCATAGCGAGGCGGTTCCGTCGCCGATTCTGTCCGTTGCGAGCAGTCCAACTTGCTCAGTAGTGTAGTAAGTATCTTTGGTCTCGGCATAGTCTTTTGTGGACATTTCATTATCATAGCAAGCTCACACAGATACAAAAGTATGAACACGCTTTTAATACATCTATTTTCACACTATACAAAAATGAAGAAGCCATCAGCCGATTACTGAACGAAGCAGTTCTCGCTAAAGACTTCCAAGTTTCGTTCGCTAACGCCATATCTAAGGACGGCAATCCCTTTCCTCCTACTCCCTTGACACACACAATGGTATGCCGTGTATGCTTTTCCCGGAATAGATGAGAATTTCGACACCTGTATTGGTGTTTGTGACGGGCAAATGAAAGATTTCGAGGATAGTAACACAATGATTAGCAAGAACAATACGCGTATCTATAGCGCAAGTTCCCAGACCGAAGAGCCTTCCTCCTATGCCCCCGTTTTTCCGGCGTCGTATTTTTTAATATCGTTCACTCGTGATATTCGAAGACCAATGCCCCCTTAGTCAGTGACTCTCCAGTTATCGAACCATTTCATGTAGCTGTACTGCTTGTTTGGTCCAACCATACCCCATGAAATAGGCATGAAGAAAATGTAGAGTCCGATGGTAGTGGCGTATAAGATTCCGTACAAAAGATACTGGATGGCCTTAGACTGAGGCTTCAACACCCAATCCACAACAAAGCCGAAATTCAAAATAGCGAAATAAAGTGCTGGGTAATAATGGTGAACATAAGTGACACGGGCCATGGCGACGAATGGAAGGTAGTGGAGGAACCATCCAAGAATTGGGTAGAGTGCCGCATAATGGATCTGGTCAATATCGGCTTGCTTGAGTTCGGTGTAGCCTCTCTGCCAGCGAATCAAGTACCAAACCACCATGAGAGCAGTTACACCAAGAGTAGCAGTAGAACCCCAGTAAACTAATGGGTTTCCGAGAAGGAAGTACTTGACAATAGAATCATCCCAACCGCACATTCGAAGACCGACATGTAGCAGTGGCCATTGCCAGAATTGAGATGCAAGGTCATCTTGCTTGTCGGGATCTGGAACAAGAGCGTTGTTGGACGTCATCATGGCAACATTAAGATGAATGAAATCCTGCAAGAAAGGGGATTTGTAGGCACCAGCATCAGCGGCAGGCACTTGAGGTAAAGTTAGCATTGCGTGATTGAGGGTAAGGAAGAGCACTTACGCTTGTCATTCCAGTGGGCCTCAACGTTCCAGTGAGTATAAACGTCCTTTGGCTTGTTCTCCTTTGTACAGGTGACTTCGATCTGTTTGAAACCCCATTGAGGGAGGTTAACATTGCCCGCACGGAGATAGCAGCCAAGGGCGGTGTGCTTGAGCCTGAAAGCGGTGGTCAAAGTACGGACTTTGCTACGATCATTTGAGGCAACATCCCTAACAACCTCCATAGTCCAGTGATCTTTTTCGTCTCCAACGGTGGTGTTACCGTAACAAGATACTTCCTTATCGGCCTTGGTGACTGGGGCGGATACATCGTGAGAGTGAAGGTTTCGGCCAGTCTGGGAGTGGATCAATCGCAAAACATCACCGTCCGCCACGAACTTGGGATCAGCCTCCGCGTTAAACTCTGGCTGGTCGCGGTTTGGATAAAACCACCATTCGTTGTTGGAATCCTTGTGGTGGTAACAAGTGATTTGCTGTTGAGTAGATCCTTCAGGATATGTCTGTACGTGAGAATGGAGTAAACCACCACCATAACCCATGTTTTTGATGGTCGCTCGGGATCCGTATGCGATTTCGAGAGGGCTGTCTTTTCCAACCTCGGTGCCTCTGAGATTGGCTTGGAAGAGGGAGCTCATTTGAGCGTCGCCAGGACCGCTGTTCTCCAAAATGGCGAAATGCAAAGCGAAAGATACCATGTAGACAATGAGGGGAATGATTATTAACCCAACCACTCTAGCAGCTAAGTGAGTTGCAAGGTCCAACTATCAAAATGTTAGCTCCCAGTCATCTAGATCTCCACAGAGAGTATTCCTTACCTTTGGCATTTTGTAGTCACCAAATTTGTTCCAGAGATCCTCGACGGTGTAAAGGCCGACCATAGCAGTAACAAAGAAACCAACCCATTTGACACTGCAGACACATCCAATGCTGACTCCAGTCAACAGAAGCCAGAGAAACCATTCGGCACTGAAACTCTTGTGTTGAAGACGGTGGAATCTAGCCCAGCAGAGTACTGTGGTGAAGGTAAAGCACAAAAGCATGGAATCTAAGAGGATGAATCGGCTGATAGTGGTATAGGAGTTTTCGCATAGAACCATCAAAGTGACAAACCACACGGCAGGTCTTTTGAAGTTCAGCTCGCGGGCGGTGTAGTAAGCCATTGGGACACAAACAGCTCCGAAGAAAGAGTTGAAAGCTCGCATAAAAGTGTAGTTGAGCTCATCGGGGTATTTCTCTCCAGACTTGAATTCGAATGAGCCATTATATCCTGCCATGTACCCGGACAACCCGACCAACATCTTTCCGAGAGGTGGATGGACATCGAAATAGAATTCGCGTTTGAGGTAATGAGAGCCAAACTTTCCAAAACTGTAGGACGATTGTTAGAGACTTCGAGTCAATGCCACAAGGGGTATATCGTACTGAGCTTCGTCCCAAGTCACAATGGGTGAGAGGCCGATCTTGTATAATCTGGTAAAGAAGGCAAGCACCGTAAAAAGAACTGGCGCTATGATGAACTCCCATTCATCCAGGAACTCGATGAATGATTGTTCTTTCTGTTCGAGAAATAACATTAGTACTGGCACTAATGGACAAGTTGGGTTGGGCTTTTTTTCTAGCTTTACTGACTTTCTTTAACTGAGTCTTTTTCTCATCCAGCTCTATTCTGTCTACGAGTCCCCCATTTGCTGATGTTGAGGGAACATTTCGTCTCCGTGTAGCCGTATCGAAGTCTGCGCCAGTCGCAACAGCCTCTGACTGCGAGGACGCCATGTTGCAATCTGTAGAAGCTCACTGAGCTACGAAGACGCCAAAGAACCCCCTAATGATGGAGTTCGCAGACTGCCGAGATGGTTGGCAGATTTGGGATGTGCAGTAGACAGGATAAGTTTCCAAAGCGTCGAAATGAAGATGAACGGGTCCGGGGTGAAGCCGTCTGGGAATTACAAAGGATATTAATTGGCGAAGTTGACCATTGCCGCAGAAAAATTGCGGATGGGAAGATGAAGGCTCGGGCGGAATCCTTAAATGGTCCTGGCCTGAGATGTCTCTGTTGCTGAAAGAAAGAAAGAAAGGAGACGTATGAACCAGTCGACAAATTTAGAATCGCGTTTACTCTAGCGGCCCCTGCCAGTTTTTGATTGCACGTCCTCCCGCTAAGCCTCGTGTTGATGAGGGGCCAATGGGTTTCCACATGTTGCCAGCAAACTGGTAAAGATTCATATTAAAAATCGCAAATGCATCTGCGAAATGCTTCTCATAATTATCAAAAGTTAACAGTCTATGACTTTGATTCCCTTTCTGTTATGTCTCCTTATTCTCCCTAAAAATTCAAATATACCAACAAGTAGCTGAACCCCTATCGAAGCCGCGTTGGTCCAAGATCTTAGCAGGGTTTAAGCGAGTGTAGTTAGGCAGCTTCCGTGTGGACTTAGCCGGAAAATATAGGACACATCTCGAGTCTTCAGAGCATCCCTCGCAGCGCTGCGATTGCGGCTGAAGACAAGCCTCACATTTGAGCAACCGCCACTCATTGCCAACAGAAATGGTGAAAAGCACTAGTGTACTTAGCAAGGGAACCAAGGATAGTATCCAGACCTGAGAGAGCTTGCTGGAGTTTGGAGGGGCCGTTAGGAGCAACTAGCGTCGACCTAGATACTCCCCTAGACTTGTGGTATTCGACGAATTCCTGTTGATTGATGTATGGATAATCAATAATCATTTGTTTATACAGTATAGTGCTGATTCTAATCATGCTCGAACGTTGCCGCGATGCCCTATCGCAGGCGTGTGAGCGTCCACATTACGCCCGCTGTCTAAATATCCAGTTTCAAACCACATTTTGGGGATACACCTTACTCCTCCTCTTGATCCAGTGGTTTGTATGAACCACTCTTCACACTATCGCCGTCACCTTTGTTTCGAGTGACCATCCGCGAAATCCATCCTCCAACACCTTCACCCCCTTCTTCGTCAGCAGCATACTGCGGTTTTCCGTTCCGGATTGCCACATGAGGAGGGTCAATATCAAGACCTGGAATAGCATTTGCGGGTCCTAGACCGCTGGAAATTCCAGGCGATCGGCCAAAGCCTCCTACTCCTCTTCTGAGATCCATTGAAGGTACTGGAGAGCTTGCGCCTAGTAATGATCCAGTTTCGGCTCTGGTGATAGGAGTCGGCATCGCAGTAGTGGCATCGCCGAATAGCGTGTCCATATCCTCTAATCTGACACCTGCGGTTTCCGGATAAATGAAATAAACTGACTCTTGATTAGCTTGATAGCCAAGCGGGGTCGCAAATACATACCAACAACGAAACTTGTAGCGCAGAAAAAGGCATGCAGTAGATATAGTCGCCACGTGATCCATACTTGTAGGACAGGAGTCATCTCACCAACAAGCCAGTTAAATGCCCAGTTAGTAGCCGTAGACAAACTAGCTCCCTTAGAACGAATGCTCAAAGGCAGAATTTCTGGAGGATACAACCAGGGTATTGGACCCCAGCTGTATCCAAATGCAGCGTTGTAAATCATAACAAAGATGACAACAAGTGTTGGCGTCGAGCGGATATCTAGGTAAAGGAAGTACGAAATCGAAGAGAGTGACAGAACCATCGCCACGGCACCGCTGAGGAGAATAAATCTACGTCCCCATCGATCGACGAGATACCAGGGCGGTACGGAGGACATCAGGTATGTGATACCGTTGATACCAGTCATCAGAATTGCATCACGACCCTTCCAGCCCGCCGATTCAAAGACGTAGGGCGCGTAATAAGAAATGACGTTGATCCCGTTGAGCTGGGCAAAAGCTTGAGCAGACATGGCAATGAATACTCGTGTACGATATCTGCGGAACATATCTCTGTAGGATTTTTCACCTTCTTGACGTTGTAGGAGGACATCCATCTTGATTTCGCGGTATTCATCTCTGGCTTTAGGATTGTGGATATCTCCACCGCCATAGAGGTTGGCAATGACAACAATACCTTCTTCGTCATGATCGTTGTCCAACAACCATCTGGAAATATTAACAAGTGTTTTTGACAGCTATAGATCCTCATGACTTACCGAGGTGATTCCACAATGATCAAGCTACCGACTCCAAGTAAGGCACCCATCACACATTGCATCAATAGAGGGACTCTCCACGAATAGTCGCTTTGGATGTAACTGCAGAAATAATCGACCCAAACGGATGTTGCATATCCAGTGATGTTGCCGGAGAATTCAATACATGCTAGCTTGCCACGATTATGAGGTGGAGAAATTTCGGATTGGTAAACTGGAACGATGGTTGACAACATGCCGACTCCAACCCCAGCAATAATTCTGCCCAACATCATCATTGGCATGCCGGTGGAAAAGCTTTGAAGGGCGCCTCCCACGAAGAAGATACAAGAGCCATAGAGAATGGTCTTCCGTCGTCCAATAATGTCTCCGACTCTCCCGACTACAAGAGAGGACATGAAAGCGCCAACTTCAAGTATGGCAACCATTGTACCAATCTCTCCCCGAGTGGGTTGGTTGAAATAGTCTTTGAAAAAAGGACCTCTGGGAAGACATTAGCTAAATATTCCTAGAGAGTAGCTTTTACTAACGTTATTATACCCGACATGACTCCCTGATCATAGCCAAATAAGAAAACACCTAGTGATACAAATATGCTCGTGAAATATCTGCAGGATGTCAGTAAGAGGTTTCGACAGCTCAGCAGTCATCATCTTCCTTACACTAATGGCTTGCCGGTCAGGCCGTGCATCTGCCTTTCTCCTCCAGACATGATTGCGGCAATCCAGTGTTCGGCCTTGCTGATACGGCGCGCCGCGGAAGCAGGAATCTCAATCTCCTCTTTAACGACTCCAGATCGCTGGCCTTTCTCTCGACCGTCGTCGATATCTTCCGAGTAGTGGACCTTCTTATGCCGAGCCGGTCGTCTCGATGATGCTCCAAACACTTGCTCGTCAAGGGATGCTCTTAATCGGATGTGCAAAGGATCCTCGTCTGCCAACTGCTCTGCCAGATCACCAGTATCACTCCAAGATCCAAAGTCTGAATCCGAAGAGGACCGCGAGAGTGAAGACCGGCGGCCCTGCTTTTCGTCTGAGTGGGTGCCCAGTAAAGAGGCCGTATGCTCGTCCGTCCGGGAGGGTTGGGACGATAAGGTTCTCAGAGGGATATTCGCAGGGCGGCGGGAAGAGGAAGAAGAAGAAATGATGAAGGTCGGTGAGCTGTTATGCAGCAGCCCAATCTGCGCAATTCAAGTTCTAGGTGGGTTGTGTAAATGGGGGAATATGGATCGAGTAATGGAATTCGGGGGTGGAGCTGTTTGTGTGTCCCAAGGCAAGTTGGTTGGGCAGGCTGTGATGCAATCCAGGCACTGACTACTGGCTTTTTTTCAGGGTCTTTCGATCGGTATCGGGCAGTCGGCGCAAAGCTACGAGGTGACCGTACACATGGGGAGTGGGAGAAACGGCGCGTGATAGGATGAATCGCGGTGAGCACTCAGAGAGAGTGAATGTGACCCTTGCGTGAAGCTTTTGATACGAGTCTGTGTGAATTGACGATGTCTTGCGCCGGCGATGTGGTAGAACGCGTATGGTTGAAGGCTGCAGATGATTAGGGGGAATGAGCTGGGGAAGTCCACCTCGAATCAGCCCCAAGGAGATATGACACCTAAGTTGAATTGCCAAGTAAAGCACGTGACCAGAACCTTCAGATGACACAGATACAGAGTAGTCTATGTGATCCACTTCTACAAAATAGTTACCGCCGCCACCAGCGGGAACTACAAATGTCAAAGCTAAGTTGGAACGTATCGGTGTTCGATTTGGTACAGAATATGGAATAGTCGGGGTGGACCGAAACGTCCGCTTACCCACCTCTTTGTTTTTCGGTAGAGCTCGAACTCAACCCCATTATTCAAGTCGGAACACTTTCTCGCGAGCTCTTAAATTTGACGATGAGCGTGAGGATTTCATCTGTTAGGAATATGTGTAATATCTACAAGACAAGATATGGTATGTAATCTTATGCAAATACGTCTCTAGGTAATGTCAGGCTCACGCTGATACCTAATCTGATACATTTCATACTTTCCCTCAAGTGACGACTCAAAAAACAGAATGAGCGAGGACGTTTACTTCCTGCACGAAGTTCCCTGCAGCCCAGATACAGCCATCTATCGTCGGTAAGCGTACTAGGTTTGATAGACGATAAGTCTCCTATCGTAATCAGAGGTAGATCGTTGACGGTGTGTAGTTTAGAGTTTTCAACTAGCCAGTTACCAACCACCTTCGCAACAGAACTAATGGATCTCGGCCCTTATAAATGAAATTCTTACAGAGACAGCCTGTTAGCCTCTGTGGTCTCTTAGTCACTAGTACATAAATACCGTATATAACGTGGCACTTAATTGTCATAGATGGTACGACATATTTAGGTATATGCTCTTGCAGGAAACAAGCGAGCACCAAGACTACACATCTACCGACACAATCGAATGGAAGAACACCCTTTTGCTGACATCGTAGAGGGCTTTTACTTTACATCACTTTAGGTATCTGAGAGTCTTAGTGTACGCGGCAATGAAACACCACTCCTTTATTTTGCTCCTTCTCAGTCGCGGCGAGGCTGTGTGGCCAAAGGTTGCGGTTCCACCGACCCGAGGCATAAAAGGAGGAAATTGAGAAATTGTAGCGATGGATCGTGACACCAAGACTTGTCAGCACGGCAATACAATGTATATGCCACGAAACTCCAATATACAGCCTTACCTGGGAAGTACAACTCTATGTGAAAGGGAAATGTAATTCAATATCGTGCTTGCAGAAGTCTGGACGCTTTCCTAGGCTTTTGCCAGAGTTAAGCGAAAAGATCCATCCCATCTTTCAGATGAATACAACTCGAGCATACGAATCATGATCTACTTCAAGGTACCAGTCCACCATCTATGACTTTCAAACGATGATCTTTGCTAAACATCCTAAATACTGGAGACTTACGACGTTAACCTTGTCTGTGGGAGGGAAACCGTAATAAGTAAACTTGGAGTAAATATTGTCCCGCAGCTAAAAGCATGATGCGATACCAGGTGAACCCCTCAGTCTACATCATGCGATGAGATTGCCCCAGCTCAAGGACATTAACTTTAGAGCCGCGTGCTGATTACCATCATGGTTCGTGATAGTCTATGGCAGATCATTAGGACCCTCCTCTAGAACAGCTGATAAGAGGTCACGATTATCTCTATCTATCGTCCCAACCCAGATTTCCCCATGTTTGCAACATTAGCTGAAAAATACAAGATCTATGCGGTGTTGAACAGCCACAACCAAGATTTCCATCATGCTACAGAGCCGAAGTGTGGCGCCTGCACAGAATCATCCGTTCCAACCATTCGCAGCATTATGGGGAAGGAGGCGAAAAGTTCAACATGAAACACATCTCACGCGATTCTTCCGGTCATAGAAATGTTGCTATTTTCGCCAACACGATAGCCTCGTTTTCGCTCGCCATACGATCGTGGGGATAGCAGCAAAGAAGGGCACAGACTAGAAGAAGGCCCACTAGAAGATGCTTTAGATGCAGACAAGCGGAATAAGATTGCAAGATCAAAAGCATGAAGCGCTTCCTAAAACAGCTATCTGTGAATACGGAGTATATCGTAATCTGAGCTATCCTTCCGAATCTTTAACCAGTCTAGGCAATCGACAGCTGGGTCCAGGTATTATTCAAGAGGCTGGGTATAACTAAAAACCTTGGAAGTGGACACCCTTGGCGTTTTTGGCTCTGTGAGTGGTCTGAGCCGTCAAATTTGACCTCGCTTTAAGCGAAATCAAGTACTCAAGGGGGCTCGTCGACCGTTGTCCATACAACAAGTCGACAGCTGGCACCACTTCACCTCGATACCACTCTACAAACCGTTCTCACGTTTTCGCCTTCCATCTCCCCGTCAAAGTCCAAACGCAAAATCTGTCTTGCGTCTCTACTGCATTGCGTACCGCAATTGCGACCTCATCTACTCGAGTGCCCATCTGCACCTTTCAAGCTTCCAAAAACAATACGACGAATCCTCTCAGATCCTATCCAATTGCGATTCACGCCACACGTCGTTGCAGCCGGTATATCTTTCGCATCGAAATTACCGTGACCGAACTTTGTCGCACCGCACTTTCTGTCGCACGCGCAACCGCGATCGAGCTTGTCGAACGTTCCTGACCTAACAACTTAGGATTCCTAGCGGTCGTCTCGAAAACCGACCTGGGCCAGACTTTGAATTCAGGCCGACGAGAAGATCGTCTGAAGGATAACCACGACGCGAACTGCCACGGGCACACCGATTGATTGCTTTACGACGCGAATCCTACACGATTGTATCGAGTACACATCATCAAATTCCTCTACCATTGAAATAATAAAACGAGCAGTGGACGCGAGGTGGTTCTTCAAAGGTCGACGATTGCATTGTTCTCATCCGACTCGATTGGTCTTCGATAGGAACAATGGGTTCAACACAGTTTGGAAACTTTAATGTGAGTAAATCGGAAGTTGCTCCACATTCCAATCCACGTAGCTTTGCGACGTCGCTCGTCAAGTAAAATTCTAGAACCATGCTGACTGTTAATCATAGGACTTCTGTCGAGACTCAACATTACCTGTCTGTAATGTATGTACAGAACTGCAACACATGGGAACGATAGACTCAGATCACTAATTGATTTGGCAGTTATTTACTATACCACAGCGATGTGCGCTTACCGGAATATCATTGAGCAATGGCCGACACCTTGGTAACTTGGGTATGTGCGATTGAAAGTGACACTGGAGCAAGGCTAACGGCATATAGGGTCGATATTGATTTGTGGCATTGCGATAGCTGTTTCAGCATTCCTCATATGGAGGTCTGAAAGGAAACAAGCAGCTGTTGGGCGAAGGTACTTCCCGCGCTTATTCGGCAGACATCATGGAACCACTGCTAACTTTCACCTTAGGGAAATGCAACTCTTCCTTCTCGGATACATCATAATTGAGATATGTGAGATCTTTACTGTTGGAAGATTCCCTCTGAGTAACGATGTCCGAATTGTAAGTTTTCATTGGCTGTAACACATCGTGCAATGCTTACTGTCTGAAGGCTTTCACTGGAATACATCTTGGAATGATAATTGCCACGTTATGGATCTTGTTGCTCAACGCTGTAGTAGGATTTCAATTACTGGATGACGGCACGCCTTTGTCGCTCGGCTTGATAGTGGCATCTGCAGCAGCACTCTTCATCGGAACCGGCTACATCGCTCTTGACACTGGATACAACTGGACAAGTTATTGGCAAAGCAGCGTAACCGACGAACCCCACCGTAACATTGCACTTTACGTCCTTTACCAACTAGCACCTCTTGTGTTCCTCTTCGCATTCTTCGTTTTGGAGACTGCATTGGTCATTCGAGTTTTGGGTGAGCGCAAACCGATGATATACTTGGCTGCCGCAGCTTTACTCTTCGCCATTGGTCAGATATTCAACTACGTCGCCAGCGTACATATTTGCACTGGAACAAGTGGGAAAATCGATGGAGCACTTTTCGAGACCCTCTTCACTTTACTCTCCGTCGTCGCCATCTGGGCATTCTGGTCCAGCATCACTGAGGATGATTGGCCAATGCCAGTAACCAGTCCCTATAATCCTTGACGATGATTCGCATTATGGCATAGAAATGGAGTTTGGGAGGCATTTTTTACGAGCGGCGCATTGAACGCCTTATACGATATTGTTTGAATTATCACACGCAACATATTGCTAAAATACCAGGACTACAGAGAAGAGATGCGGTAATGGGTGGAATTGCTTGGGATGAGCAACAAGAGGGGCATCATAATTATGTTGCTCCGATTTCATGGTTGGCATTGTATATGATTTTGTGCATTAGTAGTATACCCAAGTCGCGCGAATAATGGAAACAAATCAAAAGTATTTCAAATCATTCTGGAATTCCAAATTGAGGTTGAGTGCAATTACGTACTTTCGAGATACTAAAAGATTTCCAAGTAGAGTCCAGAAATATTTCCTGGACTGAATATGTACTATAGTTTCATGCTACGAAGAACTTCCAGTTGCTTTTATACACTGGTATGAATTTTTACAACTAATATCACCTCTAATCGTATTTACCAATCATATGCTCCATATAAAAACACTTATTATACAGTCAAATGCAGACAAGTTCACCTTTCAGAGACAGAGAAAGTGATGCCATTTTAGACAAAATTCACTTGTCCCTTGACAGAAACAAGTCTCTACATTTGAGTTCTGTTCAACGATTAAACTATATAATGATTGACTACTATAAGAATAGTTAACTTTATATAATCTTATACGGAGTATGCTGAACTGCTACTTCTTACAGGACCCAGCCTAAACTTCTAAAGAGTGCTTAGCGAGGCTTCAAACGCCAAGATGTCGCGCATTCGCAGCCTTGTCCGCCCTCGAGGTATCAACCGCCACTCAGACACTGTCCACCACATCATGTCTAGCTCCGATGAGGACTACGTTGCGGACGATTCAGACGATGACAGAAATGCCCAAACGGCTACCGGTACTCACGGGACCAGAAGCACTGGACCTGTAAGAGATGCTACTAATGGCAGAGGGGTTCGAGGTGGGGATGGCAAGGAAAAGGGAAAGAAGCAAGCTGCCTGGGAGAAGATTAATAGGAGTTGGGACATAGTAATAGAGGGCGCTGACGGGAGCATCAACTCTGCTGTTGACGGTCTTATCAGGCAGAACAAGAGGAAGCGGTTTGTGTCTTGTCCATGTCTTCATCGCATGAGGCTTGCTAACATATCGAGGAAGACTTTTGAGGGATACAACACCGCTACAAAGAGGAATTATAAGACATCTAATTCTGATTATTGATTTATCGTTTGCGATGGTAGAGAAGGACCTGCGGCCTACGAGATACATCTTGACGCTACGAACCGCCACCGAATTTGTCACAGAATACTTTGAGCAGAATCCTATTTCACAGCTAGGCATTATTGGGATGAGAGATGGAATTGCTATTCGAATCAGTGATATAAGCGGAAACCCTACGGAACACATTGAACGGTTGAGAGCTCTGGGAGATCAACAGGGCCAGGGGAACCCAAGTTTACAGAATGCCCTTGAAATGAGTAGAGCCGCGCTGTTCCACGCTCCCTCTCATGGCACAAGAGAAGTGCTTATAATATACGGTGCTTTACTATCCAGCGACCCCGGGGATATCCATGACACAATAGAGAGCTTGATTACGGATCGGATACGAGTATCTATCGTTGGATTAGCTGCGCAAGTTGCCATCTGTGCAGAACTATGCGAAAAGACAAACGCAGGCGACAAAAATAATTATCATGTGGCACTGGACGAGGAACATTTTAAAGCACTGGTAATGGCTACCACCACGCCACCAGTTACTCAAACCAAACAGCAATCTCAGTCGTCTCTACTTCAAATGGGGTTCCCGTCGCGGACCTTGGGAGTTGGCAAGACCATGAGCTTCTGTGCCTGTCATAGCAAATTGAGTAGAGGCGGCTACCTGTGTTCACGTTGTGACAGTAAGGTATGCAGTCTTCCCGCTGAGTGTCCTGCTTGTGGCCTCACCCTGATCCTCTCTACCCATCTTGCCCGCTCTTATCACCATCTCTTCCCTCTCAAAAATTGGGTGGAGGTACCTTGGTCCGCGGCAAGCGTATCGAAAGAGTGCTACTCGTGTCTCGCTCCATTTCCTCCTATGTCCTCTGCTCCTTCTCAGTCTTCGAACAAGGCGAAAACAAGTCGGGAAAATGGCGAAAAGGATAAACTGGACAGCGAGAATATAGCTGCGAATGATAGTGAAAGATACGCTTGTGAGGTTTGCAATAATCATTTCTGCATTGATTGCGATGTTTTTGCCCATACGATCTCTCATAATTGTCCTGGGTGTCAAAGTGATACCCGGGGCTTGATAGAGAATGATAGCGTCGACAGAAATAGAGGGCATGGTACGATTGTTGCTGATGTTGAAATGGCTGGATGAGGGTTAAGGGTCCTAGCAGCTACATGTTTTGGACGGAGTCTTGGGTGGGACTTTGAACGGAAAAGGTGCATGGTATGGCGTTTGGTTGGCATGCTAAGATTTATTACTATAATTTGAGAATATCTAAAAGAGGAAGTTGAGGCTTCCAGGATTTGGAAGGTATCATATCCCAAATTGTCATAAGCAGGCAACTCGTCAACTCTCCAAGTTGCCTAACTTGGTCTTACGATATCAGTATAAGGGGAGGACCGTGAGCTCAAGAAAGGCGCAATTGCTAATGGAGCAAATCGTTACCAGGTTCACTCGCTTCATGTACAAAATGAAGCTGAAAAACTCACTCACTAATTCAACGGCAATTCTTTCATCCTCTCTTATCATCACACACCCAAAAGTGCTTTTACTTCAATACTGTAGACATATCTGTTCTTTAGTCATACTCCGTACAAGCATTTCCTTCTTAGGATACGGTTAAACTGGGAATTGGGTATTTCTTACCGTACCTCGACAGCCTTAAATGGGTAATCACGAATCGCACATCCCGAATATCTGAACCTCGCAACCTCGAGTGGCACAATCTTACAACCCGAGGTGGCACAATCATGATACTTGGAACGAAATTCGACCCGGCACTCACTAGCTTGGGATCTTTGTTATCAACTTTTTGAAGATGTTAGGATTTGTAAATCCTTATATCAATTCGGATTCGCTCTGCAAATTTGGATTGTTCATGTACTTCGCCAAGTTCCTTCATGCTGACGATTTAAAAGAATTTACGAAAAATGAGCTCTGTTTCCGAATCGATCGGCCAAATATAGCGTTCTGACCGCGGCTTATCTTTACGTTTCGTTACAAGTTGGTCATCGATGCCCTCCCGCTGCAGAGCTTTGTAATGCGCCATCATTCAAGTTTGAATCAACTCTTTATTTCTGGCCTTTCGTCAGATGTCAAGTTTTGTGATAGTTATATCGTTACACTGCATTCACGTTTGCGGCAGTCTTGCTCTCCCATATGTATGCCGAATCCTACGGACAGATCCGTCAGTAACTTACCCAGTACCTACGCTTCGTATGTGGAACACCACTGGTTGGTATCGTATCAGCGCGGTCAATTCTTCTTCAGTACTGTCGCATTGCAGACGTTGTGCCGCATCTTTGCGTCTCTCTTCCGTTTTGATTCGTATTTGTCACTGGGACTTCGTCTGATGGAAGTTGCTCGCTGTGTATCACCCTTTTTGGGTCCCTCCACCACAGCCGCGGCGCTCGTCACGCTCAACTATTGCTGATCCTTTGCGTTTTATTTCAACTTCATCATAACACTCTGTTAGGTGTCGGAGTGGCAACATAGAGTTACAGTTTGGAGATACAAATGACAAACTAGATATCTCTTGTAGACAGAGCCAATGGTCATTTAGGAAACGGCTTCCAATGCTGTGCCTGGCTCGTACGTCGCGAATCTTTGGGGAGAAACGCACCTGTCGCGCCTCCACCAGCAATGGTTACATGGCATAGAATTCCAGAAGCGGCCCGCGTTGGCTTGTTTGGGGATTTCTCGCCTTGCAGACATGGACATGATACATGTGCGGCCCTTAAGGCAGTATCATATAACAAGCTTGCCCCACCTGTAAGTACGTACGTGCTAAAACCTTTGCGCAATAATTCCTGGCAGTATGGATGTTCCAATGGCCGCTGAACGGCGAATGGAATTAAGTAGCCGTATGACTCTTTCCCTGTTCTGTATCGTGGTGGTTTTCACTTGCACCTCGACGGTGTCGGTGTTGCTTCGAGTTTACGCGAAAAGGTTGAATAAGATGAGGTTGATGGCGGAGGACTATACGATTTTTGTGGCTCAGGTTCGTTGAACCGGGATTGCTACTCCCGTGGTCTGTTTGTTGATGCTAACTTGTCATAGATATTTGTCTATGGGTTTGCAGTTTGTTGCATGCTCCGTAAGTCAGTGCTCTATAACTCTCGGATGTTTTGGCTAATCAACACTTAGAAATATTCATGGGTTCAGTTGGACATCACGCCAACACAGTTCCACGATCTCATATAGCTAATTTCCTCAAGGTTGGTTACCCCTTGGTATGGCGTTCATTACTAAATCAGACCTCTTATAGATCCTGGTAGCTGTTCAAGTCCTCTATGGTGTCGCCGTCGGACTCGTCAAAATATCCATCTGTCTATTCTACATTCGAATATTCTTCACGAGGAAGTTTCGCATTGCTGGTTGGATATTGATGATAACCATCGCTTTATGGACTGTCGTTATTACACTAAATGCTCTACTGATCTGTAGTCCTCTGGCGTACAACTGGGACATTGGTATCGAAGGCGGCAGGTGTGCGAACAAAACAGTTGCCTATACCCTGATCGGAGCTATCGACTTATTGACCGATATTGCACTCTTTGCTTTACCAGTACCCATGATATACAACTTGCATGTTTCGAGACTCAACAAGATTGCTCTCTTTGGAGTTTTTGGACTGGGTGTTAGGTAAATACACTTCAATCCTTTCCGTTCTCCGCTAACTATGCAGTACAATGGTCTTAGCTCTCCTACGAGTAATCACACTCCCAAAAGTCTCCTACGACGACGTCACTTACACAGCATGCGAGCCGCTAATATGGAGCTTCCTCGAGCCAGCAATCGGAGTGACCGTCGCTTGCGGACCTATAATGGGCCCACTTTTCAAAGCGAATCGCTTTATCAAAAGTCTGTCGAACAGGTCCAAATCGAGTGGAAGAGGCGAGAGGGATTTTGATCGTTTGAAAGAACCTGCACATCAATTGGCGGTGCTGCCACCGAGGAAGACGACGACTACTACTTCGTCCGATGAACCTATTATTATTCAGTCGCCTGACTTGCTTCCTGCTCGACCTGGGGAAGATTTGGAGGACGCGCGTGATGGAGGTAAATATGTATAATATGAGAACATGACGAGATGTATATGAACTCACAGATGGCTGAAGGTTTGGTTCTAATGTTGTTATGCGGATAATTATATCTATTAAATACTGTTACAATGATCGGGTCTTTACGGTATCATAATCATCACGATCCATCTATTGTCACACCTAATCCCCTAGTGTAACAGAATTCTTCTTAACACGCTACATCAGAAAAATTCTCATCACAAGCCGCACCACTTAACTCCGGACTTTGCCTATAATAAGTGGCTCCTGAAAATGGGCTCTCATATGAGTGTTGCGCAGCGATCTTTAGGTTTCCCATATACTCTCGCATTCCATCTCGAAATCAAAGGGATCAATATTGAACTAATCTGCGAATCAGCGAGTATATAGAAGCCCGGTGGAGTACTTTACTGACGTTAGGAGAAATACCAATCACCCAACTCGACTCAGGAACTCTTGATTGCTGGAAATCTATCTCAACGGGTGCAGATTGCTGGTTTCAGTTAGCAAGACTACGATAGAGGTGATATGTAGCATCATTGTGTTGTTAAGTTACTACGGTTTTCATGCTCAAGATGAGACAATTTTGTTGCATGCAAGGACTTAACAGTCACACTCACAGTATCTGGAGCCCCAAGGTATTCAGAAACCGCATGCCGCTCTCTCGGAAAATGTATTTGATGTTTCCTGGTATGCTCATGGAAGAGCTCGAGATATCGTTGGGCACACGATGTCTTTGCGGTCTGCCAAGACTCCTTTCCAAGATGGATTTTGATGAGCATGGTACTTGCATACATGGTAAGAAAACACCAGGGTTCGCTGTACACGTATCCCAGGTATCTTTGTTCAAAGAATGGAAGGCACTTTTCCAAAAGGTCAATTGTGGATGTAGAGCTATCCATAGTGATACTGTTCGACTCTACTGTTCAAGTTAGTATATTGCATGAGATTGCTTTCGAACAGCTCCTCAGCTGCCTAAAATCGACCCAAACATTCATCACAGTAATAGGAAATATACTGACTTTCGGGCTGCTCTATGGTAATGCGGGTCAGAGTTAATGAAGCTGACAAGAGATCTTCTCGCACTGATCTCAGGCTTTGGATACCGGAATTTTCGGCCTTGTAATTAAGAAGAAGTGTGTCTCGCGACATCTGATAACACACGTTTGTAGAAAGCCAGTATTTGTTGTTTTCTCTCTGGAGATACGGCCGATGCATAGTCAAGACACATTCTGTCAGCTGAGAATGAAGGAAGACATAGCAGACGAAGCGTGATTTGGAATAATCATCTCCTTCTGCTATATCTACATCCCACGGCGGCAGAGAATGTACCTCTGAAGTTAGCTCATGAGTGTATCGTAGAACGTCTTCGTAACTAAGTGGCTTCATAGATCCAGTGCTAAACAGTCTCCGAGAGATTTCGAGACGCAGTGCCCAGCTGCGGGAGCTATGATACTGATATGATGCGCTAGTAAAATGGGTTGACGGTTTCTCGGGTGGAAGCGCTTCAGTTGTTTCGTCAAAGTCCTCGTCGTTGAGATTAGCAGGTGTAGCAATATCGGACTCGGTGTTGTGAAGGAGTGTAGGAAGCCCAAACTCGAATGAGTTCTGGAGGTCTAATTCGCGAAGCGAGGTCCAGATCCGCCTCTTGATTTCTCTTGTATAAGGACTCTCCGTGGATATCTCGCAATGTAGCTTGTCCATAATGGCGGTCTGGATCAAAGAACTAGTTTCCTTCCAGAATTCTTTCTTTTTAAGACTGGTCATCCGTTTGGCAAGATATACTAAGCAGGCGATTTGATAGTACAGAATATCACGATATTTAGAGCTTTGTCGACGCACCCACTCCTCATATGCAAATATCCACTGGACTGCCATAGTCTGGTACCTAGGTGGAATTGGCGAGATACTACTGGGGAGTAATGATGTACTAGAAGAAATCGATATAATTGACAAGACAAGCGCTGTCATAGCCGGAGAGCGAGGGCGCTGTGGAATCCAGAATTTGGCATATTCTCTAGTGAAAGTCGGAACATGAATTATATGATGAAGCTGACCTAGATTGGTAGTGAAGAGCAAGATCAAGGCATCTGTGATATTCTTTGGTGGCAGCAGACTCTCCAGGGCGGATTCTTCCTTATTTCTAGCATTGGTTCTCCGATCCAATGGTGCAGGCTTATGCTTTTTCGTATGGGCTCCCAGAGGCTTCAACCATTCATCGGAAGTTTCTTTGATAAACAAAAATAATTGTGGAATCTATTGGAATAGGTGAGCAAGATTATGTCCGAGTTGGCCGCACAGAGAGTCGAACCTCATGAAAGAATTGTAGTAGGGTATGCTGACTATAATACCCACGTGGACACTTCTCTCTAGGATCTTTGAGATCTATATTCTTACTGTCAGCACAGGTTAGATGTCCCTCTGTTTCTATATTCAGTAAATCTGTGTTGTCAAATTCGGGTATCGCAACAGGGGTTATTGACTCTACGCAGTCGTTGTTTTTCGAACGACATGACTGTGAGAGCAGTTCCTTCAATCTAGCAACTTCAGCCTGGAGATCTTGAGCTTCTTGACCATTGTGCAGAATATTCTGTTGCGTATGCTGGCTTGCTGGAGGTGGCTGCGTTGTGTCTGTCTCAAAAGCACATGCCCATGATCTTCCTGACCGTAAACATCTTTGACAAGGCAGATTTCGGTCACACAACAACTACATTGAAGCGCATGAGCAAAGTCCCTTCAATGTAGTAACCGCACAATACAGTACCTTCTTTCGTCTGCATTCCCCGCAACTCAATTGAAGACGCTTCCTCCTTCTCTTTTCGCCAGTGGGGCCGCTCGAGTTTACGGCAGCGGATTGGTTGGGACTAGGACTGGACGCCATATTTATTAACTAAGTCTGGTAAACAGACTCGGAAGATAAGGTTACAGCACAGAGTACGACTCTCTATCGTCAAGATCTTTGTTCGTTGGCAGAAGAGCCGCCTGGTCACGTGGTGAAACTGATGGTGGATACCACCAAGTTCCTTACTAACAAATAACAAAAAGTGGAAATGCAAAACAATCGATTGGTCGGTAGAAAGGACGTTGGGTTGTTCAAAACAGCGAAATGCGGATATCCGATCATCTACGAAGTACGGTGTGCTTCCTGTCTTAAGCCCCCTTAATTGTGGATCGAATCTTCGGAGTTAACGGTGATCTATAGCTTCCATGGTTCTAGGGTACTTGCGAACAACGACTTTGATTTGTTATTTTCGTTCTACAAAAATATATGACTAGTGTGTTGATTTCCCACCTCGTTGTCAAGCTGCGTGCTTGACGCGGAGCTATCGGATATGGCCTTTGTCTCAAAAATCGAAAGAGAGTATATAGACTTGCTAAAGCCAGGTCAGTTTACGAAAGTATCTTCATTATCCTGTACTTTTTTGTTTTTAAGATACAAAAATCGTCCTGTGTCTTTTTGTTTTTAAATTTGAAAGAACAACCAAAAGTTACTTCCCGCGAAACCACAAGTACGGCAAAATGCTCCAGGTCATAATCGTAGGCTCAGGTCTAGCTGGATTGACTGCGGCACGCGTTCTCCGAGAGCATCACAATGTTACTGTTTATGAACGTGGCGATGAAAGGATTGCCACTGGCGGTCAAGGCATTATGATCGCTCCGAACGGGCACAATATCCTCCAGTCTCTAGGATACGAACCTGAACGTGTCGGTGCTGTTCCAATCCACGGGATACGCTTCTACAACAAGCAAGACAATGTCACAGAAGACGTTGCTCTAAATTTGAAAGCTCAATTCGGCGCAGAATACATGTCTCAGAAACGATCTGATTTCAGAGACGAGCTTCTGCGATTGGCAACAACCGCTTCCGATAGCCTTGGTATTGAAGGTGACCCAGCAAAAGTTGTTTTCGGCGTCTCAGTGATAGGTCTGGATCCTGAAAGTGGTACTGTCACGCTCAGTGATGGGTCAACAATGACTGCGGATGTTGTGATTAGTGAGTAACCAAGAGCAACATTATGTCTCTTTAGTTAGAAGGAAAACGCTAACTCAAACCCAGTTGCTGACGGTGTGCATTCGAAGCTTCGCAACATTGTTCTTAACAATGATCAATCCACTACGAAAAAGACAGGACTTACCTGTTACCGCATAGCAGTATCCACGGAAGATGCCAAAACAGCTCTTGGAGACATCCCTCTTCCTCACTGGTGGGAGCCCAGTACTTGCCAGAACCGTTCGTCTCTGCTGCATGCTGCGGATGGCACTTCTCGTATGGTAACCGCATATCCTATTCGTGATCAAACAATGTTCAATCTCTCCTGCATTATTAAAACAGAGGATTCTACGAAGCCTGCCACGGAGTCATGGTATGCAGCTGGAGATTCTGCTACAGTGGTCGAACTATTTGGTGACTTTCATAAGTCCCTCGTAAAGATTCTCGGGTGAGTGCTTTCTACCTCTTCCATAACATCTTACACTAACATACAAAGTGCGGCTAGCGAAGTGAAAGTTTGGGAGTTGCAAGACCTCGACCCCATCCCAACATGGACCCGAGGTCGTGCGATTTTAATTGGAGATGCTGCTCACGCCATGACACCAATGCAAGGCCAAGGAGCGAATATGTGTATTGAAGACGCCGAGAGTTTTCGACTGTTTGCACCGGGAACACGTAGCGAAGAGGTCCAAGATATCCTCAAAACAATCGGGACCATACGCAAAGCTCGAACAGCAGAGGTGTTAGCCGAAACTCGCAAGTCCCACTCAACTACTGGCATAGGACAGAGAGTACTGAAGAACTTGGAGTTCAATTGCGGGTACAAAGGCATTTTCGAAGCAGTTAAATCTTTTGAGGTTAGAGGAAAGTAAGATGAGATGTAGTTGAATTATGATTCATAGAAGCAATTCTACTAGATGTAGATACGTAAATCTGGTTCATATTTGGTTGTAAAGCAAGAGTTGTCTAGTGCAATCAGAATGCTGGGCACCATCTTCTCACAACATATGCTAACTAAATTCGTACAAGGAACATTTGGTGCTGAAAGAGTAACTATGACCGTTTTTTTGCGCACGCGATCTACTTGCTACTTTGCGTAGAAAACACCTCAACTTCTTATCTAGTGCTATAAGTAACAAAGCGATTTATGCAAATCCCAAGTCAGCCTCCGATGCTGTCTAAATGCTCAGGTAACTGTTTGGGTCCTTCTTTGGGGTAGATTCGATCCAAGGCCAGGCCGATTCTTTGTTTGGTCTCTTGGCAAGTTGGTCGAAGAGCTGGTTTCTCGTACAAACATTGGAAGATCAAGTCCTTCAGTTCATCACTATATGCCTCGTCCCGCAGAGACAAGCAATAAGTCCTACCATCAGCTTGTCTACCATCTATCTGGAAGTTGGGCAATATAGGTTCAGGATTTGCCTTTTCCAGACCAGTGGTCCGGATACCCTGGCTATTATGCGCCCCATCTTCATGTGCTTCTTTGAGTTCTGCGAGGAGGACCATGTTCAAGCCGAGCGCCCATACGTTGGTTGCCGGTCCAAATTTTCCAACAATACCGTCATCCCCAGAATTGGCGTGCTGTTTTGCTTGTGCGGTCCATTGCGGATTGTTATATGGTCACAAAAATTGCTCCTAGAGTTTGATTGTAAATGAATGAAATCCTTATTTTGAATAAGGTCAAAACATACTGGCGTAAAAAATCCCGGTGTCCCACGCCTGCTGAAATTATTTCTCCAAGACAGAACGTAATCGCTATTCAAATTCTGCTGTAGATCTGGAACTAGCTCTCCAGTAAAGCCGAAGTCGCCAAGCTGAGATAGTTAAATGCTCAGTCATTAACAATATGATAGGTACTAACTTACTTTGAGGACAGGCATAGCAGGATTCGAAAGTGTAGTCGGATCAATTTTTACGAACCCTATGTCTCAGATTAAACTTCTCAACTCATTAAGTCTAACACTTCGTCACTTACAGTTGCGAAGCTTTGCGTCCAAGTGCACATATGGATACCACACAGAATAAGCAACTGCAGGCCGCACAGCTTTTTGGGTTGCTCGATCATATGCATACTCGAAGACTTCATTTAGGACCGATATGGCATCAACCATACAATCGAAAAAATGCCACAGTGTTCGTTCTTGAAACTTCTGATCGGCCTCATTCTCTCTGGCACGAAATTAATAAGATGCTCTTCTTCAAAATCATGACTTTTTCAAGCCCACACTCAGAACTTACATTTCTAGGCGCCTCAAAATGAGATCGCTCAGATCTCCCAGTTCGCAGTATTCGGTGATGATTCTATGGATGTGACGTAGCCAGTACGAATCGTTTCTTACTCCCATTTCCCTGAGCGTCTTATCCGTAAGCTGGTTCCCTTTTGATGGCAGTTGAACTATATGGGATGAACTCTGAGCATTGAGATGCGCATGTATTCTAGCTCCAACATCCAATTCTTCGATGTGGGGTTGATGTTTCCGGTAGTCTACCATCTGTTTGACAACCACCTGACGCGGCAAGCTTATGCGGTAATAATCACTGCCGGTATATGTCCAAAGCGCAACTATTCCGTTACTAGTTCGCGAATTGTGTCAACAAATAAGGCCACTCGACCAATTAATCCCGGGAATTTGACATACCCTTCCGCTAAGATATCTACAGCCTTCCAGTACCTCTTATATCTATTTTGTGTTCGTTGCGAGAGTTCTTCGATTGGACCCTTTAAGAGAATATCTCGGCATCTTACTTCTCTCTTGCGAGCTGCATCAGCTTTTTCAGCCTCGGTCATTGGCCTAGTTTGGAAGAATGCCGTTTCGATGTTTTGGGAACTGCGGAGGACAGGAGCCATGTTTGAAGGTCAATAAGTTAGTCTATGTCCTAAGGGTATCTCCATAGCGTGAGTGGAGTATTTATTTCCGTTCAGTAGATTCACAGCTGACTATCATGAAGTGTTTTGAATTCAAACAAAGACGAAGAATCATTGTGTGCAACAGCAAGGGGTCGACTTCATGGGCATTTTCTTTAACCAGACCTAAATAACTGCAAACACAAGCAGACGTGCATTATCTATTACTTGTTTTAGTTCTCATTGCGCTGTCTAAGGATATGTTGCGTGTAGTGTTCATCATCTGCTCTTCACAAAGCACTGCGGAGCTTGGATTTTCGCTTCTAAAAAGGGGGTTTAAGCGAGAATCTAAGCTTTCAGAACTTTGAGGATAGTTACACTGGCGGTGGGCAAACAAATGGCAGTCAAAAGAATGAGGCAAAGAAAGTGAGGAACATTAAAGAAATTAATCGGCAATGCTTTCAAAATTAACCGACACGGCGCTCATACCTAACTAGACATAAGGAAATAAGGCAGCTTCACAATACATCTCACAATCCGCAAGAACATTTTCATTGAGGACACACAGAGCATGACCTTTGAGGTAATTTCAGTTCATGATCAAGTACAACTGTGGATGCTCTAATTCTATTGTGACGAACTATGCCTTCAAAAAGAGATGTTGGTCCAACTACGTGAAGGAGACCTAAAAAAGACAAACGAAACCCATGTTTGCTTCATGCCTTTGTTGAAACGCCGTCAAAATACATGTAACTATGTCACTCTTGTTTGCCTGTCGAAAATTTGCCAACGCGTCATCCGCTATTCCTTAAACGCCGATGCTCCATTTGTTCATCAAATTGTTGGCCCCGTATCTGGAGAAATGTATCCTTGTCACTGAAACCCTTTATCGCTTTTGCTCAACCCTAACGCTAGTTCTGTCCACGGTATCCTGCATCGGGTAGTTACTTCCAGCGCTTTCTGCCTCTCTTTCCAGGTCTTTCTTGCCAGCAATAATATGGCTTGGATGTCTCAAGTTGAAGAGAACCATTGTCAAGAACATGAGAGCCGCATCAAAGATGTAAAGATACATCTCCTTGCTCAGTAACACACCATCAGATCCACCCACGTATTCGGCAATTCTGAAAACACTTCGGATGAGGATGAGAATGGATGCAGCGTAGAGAACGTAGATGTACTGTTCCCAAGGGACGCTAAGGGACTGGGATCGAAGTGATGGTGCTTTGCGCATGCGGATGTGGAAGAGAACCGTTACGATCATGAAGAAAACAAAGAATACGACTTGGATTCCGAGTCCGCCGGTGATCATGTTTTGCGCTGTGTCGAGCTTCTTTTGGGTTTTGGCTTGCACCATCAAACCGCCACCTCCAGATTGTACAAGAAAGGACAGAACATCTCCGGTCACGAAAGTTGGAGTAAGCCATTTGACACGGATGACCGAGTGTTCCTCGCCATCGGTCAGTTTCACAATCCGTGCCAAAATCATATAAATCGAGGCGGCGAATAAGGTTGGTGCGAGGAGGAGCATGAGACTTTGGATCGCGTAAGCTGTAACCGACCAGTCTGGAGATTGATTTCCGTTAACAGCGCGAGCTGAGTAACCGATGGTTTCAACTAAAGAGAGATCTGTCAGCCATGAAAGGACTGGAGATGAAGGAATTACATACAGAGACCACCAATGACGAACGGAATAAAGTACCACGTTCGTCTCAGACTCATTTGGGTTGCATGAAGGATCGCTGAAATTCCAAAAACTGCCGCGAAAGCAGCCGCCGCTGCAAGAGATGGATTGTAATGATAGAGAACGTATTTCTCTCCTTGGATTGACATCTTGAAGGTGTTCAATGTGTAAGGGAGTGAGGCTTTGGAGGACGTGTAGCTGGAGATCTGGCACAAATACTCGGCAATGAAGGATTGATTGCGAAAACAAGAAGAAAACGAAGGAAAGACAGATACTTAACTGGGAGACAGAACCTTGATAGATTAGCAATGCGAGTAGCTACGAATGTTACGAAAAAGATGCGAGTTACGAGTAATATGCGAGCTTTAAATCCTTTTATACGAGTCCGAGGAAGGATGCGAGCTCGCTAAGCCTGTGATAAGTGGGAATCGAGACGAGTCAAGACACTTAATTTAGTCGATAAACTTGACCCAGCAACAAACTCCGTCGTTTTATGAGAAAATGATAGGTAATTGATATCTTTTCAGACTGTGCAAATTTTTGAAACTCTATCTCATAACTTAATATTTACCGTATCGTGAGCCAACCAACCCCGACAGTAATTGGGTGGTATATCTCTCATCACGTGCTCGTACATATCTCGGACTCGCATCTCGCACTTAGCGTACGAGCTATTTTCGTTCATCCGAGGTGCCCAAGTGGGTAACAACCGACCACCAGACTTCCCATCCCAACTCAACAAACAGCAGAGCCTCAAAAAATCGTCATACACTGAAGTGCCAGTATCAGCCTTCCCGTTGATTTGGCAACCATCCGTGAAGCTGATAAACACAACTTGGCAGTGACGCGGCCAGAATTTGCTGCTGCACATCAAAGAGTGTTAAAGAATCCAACGGCTATACCTACGCCATGGAAAAAATGAAGCCGGGAAGTCGAAAACCGCACCGGAAAACGAGGACGGGTTGCAAAACATGTAAGCAGAGGAAGATCAAGGTACTTATTGTTTTCGTTACTCAAGATCTTTGATATCACTTCATAGGTTAAGTTACCGAAGACGAACTCGCATTCGCATTCGGATGGGAGGGAACATCCACATCCTGCGTCAAGCATCATGTGACGGCGATCAAGTCGAGTCCCCCTCGAAGCTTGTCCAACCTCTTCTACATCGACTTTCGACTGTACTTTTAAATCAAGGCTGATCTTTTCATAGTGTGACGAACAGCGGCCACAATGTACAAATTGTGTCAAGCATTCTGTACCATGCGATTATCTGAGTCCCGCCGTTGGCAGTACGACCAGTCCTGGTCTGTCTCAACCACCTACGCCTTCCGCTACCACTCCTGGAGAGCTACCAAGTCATGGACCGAGTCCGTTGTCGAACCAGCTGCCCAGCGCCCACCCACCGGATCTGAATATGATCGATCTGGAACTTTTGCACAATTTCTGCACGTCGACCTGCCTCACACTCTACGAGGACGCACGTCTTAAAGACATGTGGAAGATCACTGTTCCTCAGCTAGGTTTCCAATACGACTTCGTGATGCGTGGAATTCTCGCCATATCGGCACTACACATAGCCCGTTTTGTACCGGACAAGAGTGACTATTATATGAGTCAAGCCATGATGCATTACCAAAGCGGTCTCCAAACAGCGTCCGCACTGCTTTCCAAGATCGATGAAACAAATTGCGAGGCAATCTGGATATTCTCTAACTTTCCTCTATTCTGGACCCTTGCTACAGCTCACCAAACCGATGACTTCTTATTGATTGGAAATTCAATAGGAGCAAGCTGGCTAGACCTCGTCAGAGGAGCATCTGCTATCCTGAGCCAAACTCACGAGCAACTCCACGCAGGATCTCTTGGTCCGACGTTTCGACTTGGTGCCATTAGAGCCGACCTGCGTGAGCAAGCTGCTTACGACTTCCCCCCCGACCAGGACCCCACACAGGATTTGCGTAGCCAGATGGCTTATTCGAAACTACCGCCTGAGAGCTACGACCTCTGCATGAAAGCCATCGAAGAGCTCCGCAAATCTTTTGCATTATTCTACAACAATGCAAATAGGACCTCGAATGACTTTGGCGATATCTTCATTTGGCTCTTCCGAGTCAACAACGGCTATCTGGATCTCATCCGCGACCACTGTCAAGAAGCTATAGCAATATTCGCTTATTTCTGTGTGATGCTCAAGGCCCTAGATCATAAGTGGTGGATCCAAGGAGCAGCCGTTCACCTCCTCAAGCAAATCTGGGACGCTCTCGATGAAGACCATCGATTGTGGATTCGTTGGCCCATAGAGCAAATAGGTTGGATCCCCAGTTCTACTGCTTCGAGGATGACTTCTGCAGTGAACACACCCGCGGCAGCACCTACTACTTCGACGACACCAGCTCATATGTCTCCTCCCGCGCCCGCGACTTGAAGCTCAATATCAAATACGTTTCGGATAAGATGCAAACTCTCAATCACATTTCCTAAAGCTGAGCTGAAATCGGCTGCGGGCGGGTGTCCACTCGATTAGATGCAAGGCGGTGGAAGCTTCATTCCGCGGTCTTGCTTCTCGGGTCACACCATAACGGGGACGCAGCTATGATTTGGCGTTACAGATTTAGTGTTCAGTGCTGCGAACTCGTTGGTCGAGTCTGGGATATTAAAATGTCAGTGCTGGGGATGAACACTGCAGGTACTATGGGTAGGGGCGTTGGGATGCTTAGATGACATTTGAGGGGTGTCGGTCTGCCGTTTTAGGCACACGTTTGTACTTGTACTTGAGGAGTTTACCCGGTATTTGCGGCGAGGATTTTGCGCTGATGAGATGTTTGAAATGGAGTATCGTTCTTGGAATGATGGTCTTATGGTTTACCATTCTTTTCTACCAATGGGATTTTGAAAAATCAATTCGGATTGTCGTGTCGTTGAATCCTAACTTGATCTGATCAGTGACTTGTAGTTTCCTGACAATTGATTTCTCGAATTGAATCAGAACGACCTCATCTAAGGATTATTAAGATGTGACTAGAAAATTGTCTATGTTACACTCTCCCGGTGGACAATGTGAGTGGCAGTTGAGACTCGAGGGACTTTATCATTCATGCAAACTGCCAAAATACTTTTTTTTTTCAACCCGGATTCTTAGTAAATATGACAGATAAAACAAGAGTGTTTTAACTTTAGGATTTTCCGGCTCCTCTTCCTCTATACTCTACGAGTTTGCCTCTGAGCAAGTTACTCAAAAGTAGAGAAGTGAAAATTGTTGTAATAGAATGTATTAGTACACAAGGAAGTTGGGAAGTGAGTACTGAGTGATTTTACAATGAGCAGCCCCATAAAGATATGAAGCGAAAGTCTAGACCCAGATGATATATTTAAATATTACTTCTTCTTGTTATTAGCGTAGTCATACTACTCAAACTCATTTCGACGATTTCTATACTCTACTTAAAGCCAACCCAACCAATCCACGAGATGTCTAAGTAAATCGTGAATACACCGCTATTTACCACCGACGCTGGCAGTATACAGAAAAAAGTGAAAATAATTACTGATAGATCATCACAGTTTGAACTTATTTAGAGTATAATCAAAAAAAGGAATTGAGATACAAGATGTTTGTTGTTTGATTTAAATGTCGATATCGGATTCGCATGAGAGGATGTAAGTGGCAGTGAGCTGTGAGTGATTATTTTAACCCATACATGGTAAGTAAGGCTTGGACAAAGTCTGGAATGTCTTCCTGTTTTTAAAATATCATTGACGAAATACATAATAGTCTGATAAGTAGATCGAGCAAATGGCGCCTTTCGCCTGCTATTTATTCTGCGGCTACAAGATAGAGCACCGTGGATGATGTTTCTATTGATTAGAGTAGATGTTCAGTAGACTAGGAATCTTACGTCTGAATGGTCTTCTGATATTTAGGGAGACTTGTTTGGTCATTCTCGCTGCTAGGCCTCCTACCCTACGGGGTTGGAATAAATAGTGATATTCGTTCCACCAAATATCTATACTACATGTCCATGTGACCTACAACTCCAAACGGTCTCTCAGAGGACACAGTATAGAGAGAGAGCTCGGGACGACTTGTCAACTCAGACGGGCATTCTACTTGCTGAAACAGTAGACGAAATACCCAGTATTCCGACAACTTGATCCAAGAAGCATCGTGTATCCACCACCACTTACTGCATCCACCACAAGACCGCTTTGCTTGCAGCACTCACGACAGACTCTCACCTATCAACTGATCCCATCCAACCACGCTCCCTCGCACCCTCGCAGATCCGCATGAATTCAAACCCTCCCGACACACCTCTACCGACATTGATCACCCGGCTTCTAAGAACCGTAATTCCTTACCATACTTACTCACCACTTATCACTCTTACCTGCTACCACATATACACCAAAAACCTACCACACCAGAAAACCAACCTGCCAAACACGGCAGCCCAACTTCCACACCCCACTAACCGGAGCGCTTCTCACCAGCCCCCCGCACCCCTCCAACCCCATCCTATTCGTCACCCACACCCCGCCCACATATGCACACCACCACCCCTCACATGGCCATTGGCCGTTAGAAACCCAAAGACTGTCGTGTCCTGGTTCGTGACCATCCAATGAGTTGCAACCTGAAAGTTGTTCTGGTAAGTGTATTCCTGGTCATAGCCGGTTCAAGCGAACTGTTGGTGGAGGCTGACGCGAAATCCGAATTTCCCACTGCGTTTCCACTGGGATTTCGAGCGGCCGACAAAATGTGTTGGTTTGGGAGCGTGAAAGGCGCTTTATTGGTGTGCGTGGATTTGGGAGTTGGTGGTGTGGGAGACCAGCAGCTGCGGGCTGTGTTACCGTTGTACCGAGTACAGCAGGTTGAACACTGCTGGTGTTTGTGTGTGTGGATGCTTGGATACAAGAATGATGATCTTGAGGTACAAACTGAACATCCTACTTGCCACCTCTATTCTTTCCATTTCTCCCCTCCCTCACCCGTGATCATCCCTTACTTCACCACTACCGAGAAAAAACGTGGTCCACACGCTCCAAAGCCGTTAGAAAGCCAAATAACTTGAGCTATCGAATCTTGAATCCAGACTTGTCACTTACTTGTCTTGTCACTTTCGTAGGTAACTTTCCTTGTTACTGACTTGAACCACTTACATGCTCACGAGGGCTTCAAGTGGTGCGCCAGTCTCGTGCATTGCATATGCGAGATGCGAGGGAGGAAGAAAAAGAAAAACTCTGGATTGGCGACAACGTGGAGGTGATCTAGAATCAAAACCTCAAAACCCTTGAGAGCCTTGTACTCATCGCGCTTCGAGAGACGCGTTTGTTCTGTATTTTATATTGATGTGTGAATCTCGTCGTGATTCCCTCGTTCTCGCGATGTCAACGTCCAGCCATGCGGGGCGATGCAAACAAACCTCAACGGACCAGCCCGTCATCGCAGTGCAAGTGCTCTTTAGGCTTTCGCTTGCCCCTAAACTCTCCGATACACTGATCCGTAGGGACCTTGATCTTCAAGATCCATTTTCCCACTCCGCAGAGTCCACTCCGATGCCGAAATTACCAGTTTGATATCAGAAATTCTTAGATAGGGTGAGCTTGCGAGAGATGTTTATCGCAAATGATGATCACAGATAAACAGATAAACAGATAAACGTGGAGGTTTGGACGTCGGGATTCGGGAGTGGGATTAGATATCGAATCCTCCCGGCTTTGCGAAATTGCAAGACCAGAGCTTTGGGCTTGGAGGATTGTGAAGGGGATGGGGAGAAGGGTAAAGGACCGATGTGATGCACCCTGTGGTTTTGGTGACTAGGATAGTTCGGTAGATATATACTTAACTGCAGGGTATTTGTTTCGATGTGGCTCCTAAGATTCTAGACTCAAGTGCACATGAATAATGGTGTTTCGAAAATGACCTTGGAAGAATCAAGATTTGATGTACTCAGTAGAGTTGATCTAGAAAGTGGTAAGTGAGAAGGTAACTGCAAGTAAGATACTACCTTGGGATCCAGCTTACGAGTACCTCATATTCTTATATTAAACTACATGCTTCTTGCAGCTTGCTGTGCGCATACTCGTACATGCTGTACGGATTTATTTAAGGACTTACCTCACTACCGAGGAGATTCCCTTTTTACCGCGCGTCCGCTGGATTTGATTTCTTAGAAGACACAGGTGCTGTTTTTGTCAATTTCACTCCCGAGGTTCGGCTCGCATCCCCAAAAACAATTGAGACGATCATCCATCCCGAATTTCAATTTCGTTTCAAAAACTTCAATCCTAGAACCCTCCTCCCGAGATCATACGCATTGAGCACCCAGTGCACTGATTTGCACAAATAAGGAAACCAGGAATCCGGTCGTAAGGTGCACATTTTTATGAATGACAGCACGGCCCTTGGTTTAGAACCTCGATGCCGGCATTGTTGGTCTCGATTTGTACGAAGTATCGCGAAGGTTGGTGTTGGTTCCTGCACGCATTTACTGCTCGAACACCCAGTGGTGTGGCATCAGTTTGTTTGGGACCTATGCAACCAACAAATCATCCAGAAGCAGTAACTTTCGTTGAATGACAAGTTGGTTTGGTATCTCACCAACAATGCACCCGTAAGTGGTAACTCTCGCTGCGGGAGAGCGGTTGGAAATGTTGGTGTTTCCCAAACTCGAAAAGCCTCGACATTTGGCCCCCTATTTATTATCGTGTTCGATGACACTCGTAGCTATCGACCCAGAACTCGTATGATAGGTTCTACAAACAACGTAGTCGGTATGATTTCGAGTTGTACGGAGGTTGCGTATCGCATTTGACTGAACTCTGTCACACGTTTCCTGGGGAGCGACTCGTGGCATGGCGTTTTTGGTGACAGAACTGGCTTGTGATGCTATTGGATCCGTGCTCACACCTGCGCATGTGGGTAGAGCGCAGCGCTTGAGGTGCTTACCACCGGTGAAGACTAGAATGTTAGCTTTGATACACCGGTCTTTGGTGTTGAAGTTAGTATTCTTCAAACGCACCTGGCTTTCGTGATGCCTTCAAAGCCCAGAACCTTATTCTTCACATCGCTTAGGAGCAGCAAAACGTCTTCCAGGTCTCTTCATCCTCACTCGCGGAGCACACTCTCATTCAGGCAAGCGGGAATGATTCCATGCGGCAAAGATGCAGCAATGCTGGTGCTTGCCGCCCTTTGGTGTGGGATGTGCGGTAATGTTGCTGGGGTTCGAAATGGGAAAGCCTCCAGGGTTGTGAGTGGAATGCCACAGAGGAACTTCGGGTGAAGAGGCCCTGCTAGTCATCACGGAGAAACCACCTGATGGGTTGACGGTCAGAGCAAATGTGGTTCCAACTTCCATGGGTCAGAAAGGGAAGAAAAGGGTGTGGGAGTGGAGGAGGGGGTGGGATTAGCCTCGTGCAGGTTGGAAAGAGGAGAGTGGGGTTTGATTGGGTACCGAGGGGTATTTAGATGTCAGTTGTGAGAGCGGCATTAACTTCTTGTGCGACTAAGTGAAGATTGAATAAGTGGTAGACTGTCAAGAAAAGTTTGGAAATAACTACTTTACTGATAACAAGAGAGAAATAAACAGTAGATATCTGAGCATTGTGTCAATTTAATTCAGAAATATCGTGCTGCGACTGCCACTTGATTCATCTTGCTAACACAGGTCCCCAATGTATACCTCTTGTCAAACTAGATAGACGTAATTGCAAGTCAAGCGTCGAGCAATAGAAGCCTCAATCTTGTACAGCTATGCTATGCTCATTGTCATTTCCTTCGGGAAGTCGTGATGTAAATAAGACTATGTGATTGTGATGATTGAGGCGTGTATGTGAAATACTGCTCTGAAGAACGGATGCCGCTTTCAACACCGTTTTCTAGTCTCCCAGCCTTTTTCACTATTCCCGCCCTTTTCTGCTAAGACCACCTCGCCATCCCAGATTGGGGAGTCAAGTCAAGGCTGATTCTGGCTGCCGCACGGGCTGCTACTGGACCCGCAGGGTGGTACTGGAGAAGCGAAGTATCGTCCCGACCTGATCCTGCTTCCAATTCCACCCACACTCTCTCTCTCCTCTCGAATGTTGCGTCGACCTCTCCAACATCAACCAAGTCCCGGACTCGAGAGGATCTCGTCGCTCGAGCGACGTCGACAGAGAGTTTTGTATCCTTCGAAACAATAAAACTATCCGCCGGACTCTATCGACAGCTGTAGACCATTCCGACAGTACGGACACTCCGACAGAACAACTATTTCCGAATACCAGCTTGCATCGCTCCAGTATTCGAACGCCGTATAATTCAGAAACTCGATCGCACATCGCACGATAATTCGTTTCTTCGCATTCGTGGGCATACTTGTGAGCATTCCCTAACGTCGCTTGCAGTTCCCAGACATAATCCCAACGAACGGGCTATCGGGAACGAGGCCTCTGGGGCTGGTCAAGGACTGAGCTGACAGTTGGAATAGACACCACCACGACCTCGTCGCCAACAACAGTAGTTATCACCGCCCCGTGATCATTGCATTGACGCGCAGCACGAAACAACTCCATTCTTCGCAATGGCGACTCCAGCTCAGGTTCAGCCTGCGGGCCAGAGCATCACTCGTACGACTCGTGGTATTCCAGGAGACCCGCGCAATCCTTCGAGAAAATTGACATATTTTATCAATGTTATTCAACAGCCAGAACGCGCACGCGCATGTGGCTCCGGTGCAAAGTGTACGTCGTGAGAGACACCATTATTAATGCTTTCTGCTAATCCTCTACAGCTTCCGCCGATCGAAGACCGGTTGATCCTCCACCTGTCGTGCAATTGCGTATCATGGAAGGGGAGAATGCCGAAAATGATATTACCTTTGCCTACGACGCCAACTTCTTCCTGTTTGCGACACTAGAGTCGGTCAGGCAGATCGCTCATGGTCGTGTGCACCCAGCTCCATCGCAAATTCCAGTCCTCACTGGCATGCCAGTATCCGGTATGGCCTACTTAGATCGACCACATGAAGCTGGCTACTTCATCTTTCCAGATTTATCCGTTCGCCATGAAGGTTATTATAACTTGAGTTTCAACTTGTACGAACAAACCAAAGAAGCCAAGGATATGGATGCCGAGCCTTCCAAGAGTCCTGGGCCAGCAATGCCTGAGAATGAGCTGCCTGCTCACTCCTTTCACTGGCGCTTGACCGTCAAGTCCCAACCATTCACAGTATTCAGTGCGAAGAAGTTCCCCGGTCTAGCAGAGAGCACTACGCTTAGTCGAACGGTCGCCGAGCAAGGTTGTCGAGTTCGAATTCGTCGTGATGTTCGCATGAGAAGAAGAGACAAAGCTGAAGAGGAATTCAATGGAAGTCAAGCGCATGACATGTACGCAAGACCCAATCGCCATATCGAACAGCCCCAGGAGCCATATTCACGGGAGCGATCCAACAGCCTGACTGGCGATGATGCAAGGCGTATGTCCTCCGGCTATCACGAGCAACTCGACGCCTACCGATCTCCCAGCGGTTCACCATCCCCACCACTGCAAGAATTGGCGGGTCAAGAGAAGATGTCATGGTTGAAGCCCAATAATGCATCGGGTCCTCAATTCGTGCCTCCTCCAGCACCGCACCAACCTCAACAACAACAACCCTACCAAGGCCAGCCAAGTTATCATGCTGCACCACCACCTCCTCCTCCACAACAACACCCACATCCGCCTGTCCAACATCATATTCCGGCTCAACATCAATATCGCGGTCCACCACCTCCTGCCCCGTCACCGGCTCAGCCATACGCTCAGGAAAGGCCGTATCCTTCCTCATCATACCCACCCCCTCACAGAGAACAATCGCAAACATATGATGATCCTCACAGGAGACACTCAGCTGCTTACCCACCTACCCAGCCTTCAGCCCCACCACCACCAAGCGTATTTCATCCAGCAGTCGATAGCAACCACCAACATCGGCCATCATTCCAGGGCTATAACCACCCTCCTAGTCCATCTTTACACCCCGTTCTCCCGCCTCTCAAGGCGCCTTTGATGAACCAATATTCCGAAGAATTGAGATCTCCATCGGGACCCTTACCACCGGTTAGGACAACTGCACCGTCATTCACAAGTCCAAATTACATACGTCCATCTGAACCCCCATCATACCCTCACTATCCGCGTTCGCAGCCTCCACCGCTTTCTGAACCCACAAGAGTTAAGCGGCCGCATGACACGGCATTCAGTTATCCTTCGCAAGCGCCACTTCGAGATGGTGCTCGTCCGGATAACCATGAGAAGGAAGAAGAAGAAGAAGACGACGAGGAACAACGACCACAACTTGCCTACAGACGTGCAACAGGGCTTATGGCAGTTAGACAGCAGCCAGAAGTGATAAATTCATAAGCTACTATTCAGATTTTGAATGATTATGTTTGGAGTTCATGGGTCGGGCGGCAAGCCTCATATTATTATCGGCGTTCTCGGGAAGAGATGTTAGATACCAAAACTTGGGTTTTATATCGAGACGAGACTTGAAGAAGGACATCCTTCTACACAATACGCGTTACGAACGCGAATCAATTTTCTTTTGATCAATTTTTTTCTGTCACAATTTTCCTATCGACGATTGGTCGAAGAACCATCAACGATTTCTACGCTTCAAATACACGCAACGAACGCACCCCGTTATTTTTCCTTTTAATTGCAATGTCTAGAGGTACACAACTCACCTTGGATTTAACCACACCAATTTCATTTTGTCATAGGGATAAGGAGCTTGGATGGAGGTAAAGGCTCTGTAAGCCTGTTTTGGTGGATGTGTGAAAGGATGCAGGAGGACTCAGGAGAGGGGATGGATGAGGGTGATTTGCTATTTATTGTGTAATTTTGGGATTGAGGAGGAGATGCTTAGGCAGGAGTGACATTTTGGGATGTGCGTGTGCTTTGGTGTGTTGGGAGGATTCTTGCTTCTTTCTCCAACCTGCCTGTGTTTTGGGTGTCGGTGTTTATATTGAGGGATATGTAGGGTTGGTTGTTAGTTGTTTGTAACTATGTATGGATGTAGTTAAGAAATAGAATGGAAAATTCTACTTATAAAGTCTATCCCTGAGTCCCGAGATGAGGTGTCACTAAAAAAATTCATAGTTCTGGATTATTAGATTTCTTTTTAGCAAGCCTATGAAGTTGTTCATGAAATACTACTTACTTTAACTATTTCTCTAAGGAGGATTACTTCTAAGTTTTGTTCGGAGCCTTGCGTAGGCTGGAATGGAAGCCATGTTGAGCGTTTATTGCGCTAGCTTGTCAAGGTCGACTGGTACCTAGACTACAGCCATAAAGCTGACGAATGATGTGTGTTATTAGCTACCTATTCGATGAATGGCTGCGGGGATACGGAAGCTGCTCTTGACTTTACGTCGTCGTCCACACCCTCCCTCCCTTATTGATGCTCGAGCGCAAGAACGCAACAACCGTGACAGAATATTCGATGATTGGATATTATGTTGCTTTCAGCTGGCGTGCTGGGGCTATGGACTCTCCAGCGGTTAGTTCCGCGTTCACTTGGTGTCGATGGAGCCTAGAACGTGGCTGTTTTCTACTCAGCCTTATGCACCGGTACGATATTATGATACATGCATTATACAAATCATAGGCTTGGCTCAGTTGGTGGGCGTATAAGTAGATGAAATGGCTCTTAGACCTAATTTTCTCTTGAAATCTAGCCTGATCTCATATAAGTCTGCTGTAGCCCAAGTATACATGTCTCTTCTAATTGTATATCTCTTGACGGCAGCAAGTCTGTGGAAAAGGGTTGAGGGCGACAGATTCGATGAGTGCAAGATTCGACTTGAGCGTATATTAAACGGGACGGAGAGTTATGGACCATATAACAATGAGACGATACGAAGCTCGGGGATTATATATAATGGAGTGGTAACGGGTATGAATTCTGAGTTTTCCAGGACGTCGAGAGGTCAATTCTTGACGGTCACAACTGAAGGTATGATGATGAACTCCTATCGTACAGCTTTTGGTTAACAAATAGGTTGTCGCGCCATCTGTGGAAAATCCCCAGATTGGTACTGGTCATCCGACGTGGGTTTGAGCTTGAGCATCATTTCCAACTGGGTCTTGCCGATTCTGGCTTTGCTGGCTGCGTTCCCCTTTGACTCGATTCATAAAAGCCATGGGAGGTTGTGTTTCAATAAACAGCCTGGGAGAGTCAGGGGGACGTTGCTGGCTTTGGTTAACTGGATCGGCTCTCCACAACTTGCTCTATCGGCGATTCTGTTTAGTATATATCAGAATGTGGTATGCGCTCGAGATGCTGCTGGAGAACCTAGCGAAGCGGTTTCTGCACTTGATGGGGATTTGATAGAGATGCAACCCCCAGGAAATCCGGGAGCTCAGTTGAATATGACACCGACACAGATACAAGCCCGCAAGAACGCATATTACGTTGTCTCCTGTATGAGCCAGTACAAATATCATCGCGAGATGGATCTCGAGTTCCTGAAAATCTTGATTTACGGCTTGATCACGCCTTTCCACGTCAGGTGAACAGATTCAGACCACAACGAAGATCCTCTCGAGCTCGAAAAGCAAGAAAAGGTTCAACAGTGGACTGGAGAACTCCTACACGCAATGGCATCCCAACTGCGAGTGCTACGGCGTCTAGGCGTACGCCCGGCTTTCCTCAGTATATCGCTTTTCTGTGTCGCCTACGCTATCTCGGTTTTCATGGCTTTTGGAAATATCGGGGATCGAACGACAACGCATTCCCTCGCCGTTGGTATCCTTATTAGCTGGTTGCCGATTCTGCTCCTTTTCGCTATCGTTGATCGCAATCCGATCTCCGCTGAACGAAGCAGGTGAGTCTTGGGCTCCAACGTTTAAATTGACAGGCGCATTGGACTAATCAAGACGCATCCGTTCTTTAGAATATTGTTCATCCGCTGGATATCAAATGTGGAAGCGGTAAAGAAATGGGAGAACCCACCGTTCCAGCCGCTCAGGCTCTCTTTCGAGCCTCGTCCCGAGCGTAATAACGTAGGACATCCCCACACAACCCAACCTATCTGGTGGGCCGAAGATAACATGCGATGGCCGGAAGAAGCAAATTCGACAATGTTTCCCCTGGGAGACTTCATAGGCCAGGGAAGAGAGATGGGCTTTAACGGGCTTGCAGATGCGTTCGCCTATGCCATGCGCAAAGAGCTCGCAAATATGACCGCTACTAACACCCGCGATGGACTAGAGGGCCACCGTTTGTTGCACGCAGAACATTCGAACGTTGCCAAACTTACTCAAGAACGACTCGAATCCCGACCGTTTTCTTATTATGTCTGTGCATTGGTCTCTCTGACCCTCGTCTGGTGGGAAATCGGCATGGCTCTGATGCTCTCGTGCAGTATTCCAACCGTGGGCGTGGGCTGCAGAGCGGCATCGTATCTTTTGTATGGGCTTCTCAGTACCATTCCATGGGCGATCAATGCGTGGCCGTCACGGAATCCTGGGAATCCTAATAGATGGAGGAAGGGATTCAGCATACTCATCTGTGTGGTCTCTACTCTTTGCCTGTTCTTTATCTTGTTTGCCGCTGTACGTATTGCCCTCTCATATTAGAATCCCCATCATGTTCTGTACCATTGTCGCTAATTTGAATCTTGAATCGCAGTTCAGCGGTGTCCTCAAAAACTGCTGGTGTAGGGGCGGATCAAGTCAGTATGTGGACTTCGAAAATGCGTTTTTTTACAGAGATAAGAATCACTTTAATGTTGTGACGTTTTGGAGGGTAGCTGCTAGTGTGGGCGCCATTCCTATATTACTTAGCTTCGTGGTCGCCTGGATTATGTTAATCAAGATGAAGCCTCTATGTCAGGTGTCGGTGGATAGTAACTTGTCGCGAAGTTATCCGAGGGCGGATATGATTTGGTTATCTTAATTTAAACTGTTTGTATCTGGTTACTATTAGCGGAAATTCATAGATTATGGCTTGGGATGTTCCTTATACTTTCGAATTATGCAATTGGGGAGTTGGCTTCGAGCCTCTTTTTGAACTCAATCGGAAGATGGAGGGTACGGCCACTGGCTGGAGGAAGTATAGCACTCTTTGACGATATATCTTCCCACACTTGCTGTTAAGAGCCCGTTTTCAGAAGTCGACGCACTTTTGGGGGAGACACTCAACTCATTTTTCAACCTTCTTGAATCCATGATATGTTGTAAACTATTTTTAAGGGTTACAAAATGTAGTAGTAACTTAGCTCCAAATATATGCTAGCATCATGCATCAAACCTCGAGTTCTGATCCAGGTTGAAATCTTAAGGGATCGACGGGTTATAGCTTTGACTTCCCTCAGAATTACATACTGATGGATGTAGGCTTGGAATTCCCGTTGTTACTTGGTTATCTTCCCGCTTGTGGACACCATGAGTAATGAGGGAAGAGGCGGGAGTTGTTAATTCGTTTGGCTTAGTATGAAATACATTTCCACAGCCTAAAAGCACAGAAAATTAATATCTTCCTCCCATATCTAATAACTTATTTATATATATTGGGAATATCGAGGTACAGTATCGAGGAAGTACATCACAGCATAAACACAAGCTTCGACCGCTCCCAAAAATAGCAAATTCAAATTTAAACTTTCCTCGGCTCCGCAACCGGGGATTTGACGTCCGTGCACTAGCTGACGTTTTTGTTTTGGTAAGGATGTGATTCACGCGTGTCCATTGGTTGTCCGTTGCTGTGGCGTCTTGTTTTCTGTCAGCCTCGTCTGGTCTGATCCAATTTCAATTTCAATTTCAAAATACAACACGGACTACTCGTTGGTACGGCGTACAATATGCGTATTTAAGGGGATCTTCCTTGACGCGTGGGACGATTTCCTTGTTTTGATTTTTCTTTTCAGGCGGTGAGAGTTCTAAGAGTTGTTTTATTGCGACATTTGGATTGCGGTGTGGGGATTGTTTACTTTCTTGATCGTGGGGACTCTTCGAGATGGCGGATTCCAGCGCTACGAAAAGGTCGAGGGTTGATGACGATGAGGTGACGCCTTCGTCGAAGAGATATCGGAATAGCGAGTGGCCATTGCCGTCGACGGCTACGCCCCAAAGACCGAGTAAATTCCTCGAAGGCTCCATGAATGACCGGGTTAGCAAGAAACCGCCCACGCCGTTTATTGAACAGGAGCGACCGCTTTCTATGATCACGAATCACTCAGATGCGCCTCGACAGTCTGGAATATTCAAGTTTGGCAGGTCGATCACGGCGGGGTTTAATCCTGCTAATTGGAAGATTTGGTCGAAGACGCAACCGGCTGTTAGGGACGAGAGGACGGAGCAGCAGCGGTTGTGGGATGCTCAGAAGGAGATGGCAGATAGGAAATATGAGGAGTAAGTTTTAACCTAGATATAAGATCGACGGTTCTAGTTACTAACTTGCGGGCAGGCTCAGAAGGTCCGGATATATTCCTGTTAGCACCAAAACAACCCCAAAACGAGCTAAGCATGACTCTGCAATCTATATGAGCAACGGCCCTATCACGCCTCCTCGACATTCGGTCTCTGCTGCTTCATCACCAGTTGGAGCTCAGTCAAAACATCCCTCCCACATGAAGAAGACATTCGGGTCTAAAAAGTCCTCTCTCTCAAACATGAAGAAGGCTTTCGGCGAGAGTGCTACGAGCCTGCGAGGTGGGGTCACAAAATCAGTCAAGAGGATTAGTTCAAGAAAAGACTTGACAAAGCAACAAAAGCTACAGGAGAAGTTGAGCAAGGCGGAATACAACACTGAGAAATATCGACGCCAACTCGCGGAGTTGATGGATGAGTCCGACTCTGCTGCTCCCACACCTACACCTATCACTGTGGCTCCTCCTCCAGCACCTCCACGTTTCGTCCCTATACTCTCCTCGCTACCTTCTGAACGCCTTCTCGCTGGGTACATATCCGACGATGGTGAGGAGGATGAATTGGAACAGGACACTAATATTGGCCGCGCCGTTTCTGTGTCAAGATCCAACGCACCAGTCCGAAAAACATCGATCCCGCAACTCCAGAAGGAAATCGAGGAGAAGAAACGACAACTTACTCCAATCCGCAGCAGAATCCACATAATCACCGAAGGCGGAGATGTTCCACCCATACCACGATTACCTGAAATGTACAAAGACAGCAAGGTCGCTGAACCGCAGAAAGGACTCCCGAGAGATACCGAGTCGTTCGTCTGGGACCGGGATACTTTTTGATTAATGACGCATTTTTGTGTTTACTTGAGCTGCATTGGATGACTGACGCATTGTTCTTGCTTAAGCGTAAATGAGATTTTTCTGAATTATGAGAACATGGATTTATGTATGGATTGACGACGCCACTTTGTTTTACGATTTTTCTTTGTTTGGCATGCGTGCATGGAACAGCGATAATTTGCATAATTCTCTTTTGGGGGGAAGATTATTGGAGAGTGTAGATATTTGGGGACGGATCTTATCAATCTTTGAACTTTGTCTGCGGTTCCATCTAGAAGCGTGATGTTTGGTGGCCGAATATTCGCACCCAGGTAAGTGGATTTCGACAATTGTTCGTTCCCTTCTTAATAGATTTAGGTAATCGCCTTTCCCTACCTTATCAAGCGACGTCAATTTCCAAGTCCGTCTCTTTCATTCTCTTGATTCTCTTTGTTCCGTACACAAGGTCATTGCTGCAATGGCCTTGAGGATATGAATGCGGCTTGCTACCTGGTCGGTTGTTTCCTCCTTTGTTGGGTGATGAGATATTTTTGTTCAAGGTATCACCCCATCAAGCTTTTGAGAACGCTATCCACCAAATCTACGTGTCCATACTGGGGTCACTTAATTTCTCCTAGGGGTTCCAAGATGGCATTAAATTTGGCCGGCCCACCCCGCCACTATACGAATCCGGAAAGAAACCGAGTACGACTCAAAAGTTACAACACTTTTCACCCCGAAGACCGTGCTTTCATCAAAGGCCTCCCAGAGCACCAGGATGTACCAGCAGGATATCGTACAACACCATGGCCACGCACCCCACCTATCGCTGTCGCTGGAAATGACATATTTCCTGGCTATAGCTCTGCGGGAGTGCTTGATACGCTGAGAAGACCTCACAGGACAGCAGAACGCCGGGATTGGTTGGCTAGCACCATTGAGGAGTTGGCTACGAGAACTGCTGCAGGTGCAGTTGGGCAGTGGAGATGCATTTCAATTCTGGGTAGCGGGTATGTTCATCGTTGTGCATCTGAGCCTTATGTTCGCTAAATGCGTCGATTTGAATAGGATCTCAGGCAAAGTAGGACTTTGGAGATATGACGGCGGCGACGACAATGATATAGCCGTTCCCAGGGAAGTTGCTGTCAAGCAAATCCAAACCCTGAGAATTGGCGGAATGGATTACACCGAAGAAGCGGGCTACCACCAAATGTTTTCAAACACAAATTCTTGTCACATAGTGCATTTCCATGCCTCCGACATAATCACCCCGCAAGATGTTCAGACGATGACGGCTAACCCCAATTCAAAGGAGTACGTCCTTCCTGCAGTTGCAAATACTTGGCTACAACTGCGAAGGAGGATTATTATGGAATACTGTGAATTGGGCAGTTTATACGACTTGCTTGAGAGAAGAGACATAGAGTATGTTTTTGGTTGCCCTTCTTTGAAGTGGTGGCTCCAGCTAACGTTCGAATGCAGGAGTGAGCCATTTCATGAAGAAACCCTTTGGAAGTTTTTTGAATGCTTAGTCGATGGCATATCGGTCCTTTCTGAGGGCGTAAACTATGTTTGGGATCAAGCTACGGATCAAGCCCAAGCCCAAGAACTAGGACCAGCGGGCCCATGGGTACAGCACGTTCATTTTGACATGAAACCCCACAACAGTATGTTGCTGTGGACCTCTGTCCTAACCTCTGCTGAAGGAGATATTTAGTTATGTTGGGAGAACGGGATGCGCAACATCCGGACACCCCAATTCTGAAGGTTGGTCTAAGATGTTGAATATTTGAGATGAGGCTCACATTGAATAGCTTGCCGACTTCGGACTTACCGAAGGTATATACCCGAACTATTTAAATCGGGATACGGCTCAGAATACAAGAAATTGGAGGATATACCGGGAAATTCTTCGGACGCGTGGGACTTGTGGATTCTACACACCCGTAAATTTTCCCATTACCTGTTCATGTGTATATCTTTATAACTTGTACAGGAACAATTCACCGATGCATGGGACTACCGTCAGTATTTTTCCTTTGCTCCCCCACTTGAGCTCTACTCCCTAGTGGCCGAGGGCCTTACGTGATCTTTAGACACAGCTCTCTGTTCCGGAGCAAACAAGAAACACGAATGCTAATTTACTGGATAGAGGACTGGGCAATCTCTGGCATAGCGGGTATCTACGGCACTGCAACTAACGTCTGGTAAGCGTATCTTATCCTCCGTCTGCCATGGCGATTAATAAGTATGTAGGGCCATCGGATTCCTTATGTACTCTATGATCCACCTCGCTACCGGGTGGAGACCACCTTTAGACGCCTTCCTGCCCACCTTCATGATCAACGGTGGTCCAGCTCGCGGGATCACCTACGGAGAATCCATAACCACAGACTCTCCTATCTCGGTTCAGCTCAGAGATCTCATTTTTGAATGTCTATACATGGATCCTGCCCACAGACCCAGTTTGAGAGATATCAAAGAAAGAGTGTGTAGAGGTCTTGATGCACATGTAACAGCGAGGAATCATGTGGGAGACCAGCCAGAAGGGTGGGATCGATTCATCGAGCGGAGGAGGAGACCTTCGTGGTCGAGAGTACGAAGGCGGCGCAGGAGGAGTTTCTTCCCGGGGTGTGGGAGACGTCGGCAGAGGACGAAAGCTGAGGATGATGCAGCCTATGTTCCCGGTGGGATATTTAGTCAGGGAGAGAGGGTGGGGGCTAGGAATAGGGATGATTTGGTGGGCTTTGATTCGGATGATAGTTAGTTGTGGGGATGCTTTGAGAGTCAGATTCACATTTTATGGGGCCCAAAGCATTCGTCTGTCTAGTTGGATGCTGTTAGGCTTGTACAGTAGTGCAAGTTCAAGGTGGCGACTCGAAATTAGGAAATATTTCGAAAGGCAATGATGTAGATACAGACCATTGAGCAATTGGAAATATTGTTAAGAAACAACGGCCTGTCACATGACCAAGGGAAGGTCGCTTAGCTAGGCCGCCCCCTTATACCGTATCAATCGGCAATTTCCACCAATGCTTAGATCCTCTTTGCTTCCTTGGGTGTATTTATTGCACCTAGATGTAACAAAGAATGAAAGCTTAGTAGTCGCGATGAATGCAGTTACTTTCTGAGTTCGATTTTTTCTTTGTTCATTGGTCTACATTAGACTCTCCTTTGTAATGTTGATACATGATGTTTTTTTCCGTATTAAAAATACAATTCCTTTCAGAAATTCTAAGATTACACATCAATGTCTTTTTTAATTTGGTTAATCTATTGCGACGATTAGAAATATATCAAGTATGGCTGCACAACTTCCACATACTGATGCCGAGATGAGGCGCACCCAGCTCTCAAATTTCAATCGTTTCCGCCCCCCAAACGCTGCTTTTGCTAATCCCCCTCCCGTCCCTCGCACTCGATTGCCACCAGGGTATCGGAACATGGGACCATGGCCACACCCGCGCCGAGGTGAAATTCATCCAAACCGCCCACCGAAATATCCATCTCCAAGACCTATGAAGCCTTTGAAGAGATATCGGAGAGACGCGGAGATGATGGCCTGGGGTGAGAGTCGAATCGAGGAACTGGAGATTCGAACTTTCAGAACCCGCCGCCGGGGTCGTTGGAGGGGAGTTAGATCGCTGGGTCGGGGGTAAGCTTTTCTCCTGGAACCTGTATGAGACTTTCTGATGGGTTTTGTGTTTAAATAGTACTGGGGGTAAAGTAGGACTGTGGCGTTACGAAGGCGTCCGTAACGACCTCGTTCAACCCAATGGAGACATCTTGCCGGCCGAACTTGTCATCAAACAAATGCAGAATTATGCTTTGAATGCGGCAAGTTATGATGAGGAAGCAGACTATCATGAGAGATTTTCTCGAAGAAACAATACGCAGCACATAGTCGAATTCCTCTTTTCTGATTCTATTAGTGCTCAACAGCGTGATGAAATGGTCAGCCTTGAGGGAGTTGCTGCTCCAACGGCGGATTATTTCTTGGGAAAGAGACGTCGAATTTTTATGGAATATTGCGAGCTTGGGGATTTGAATGGTCTGCTGGAGAGAAGACGATACGAGTATGCTTTAAACTTTCTTATGTTTTGTTACCTTTCTTTGATTCTCAGTTGCATGAGAATTGAGCTGACGTAGTTGGATAATAGCCGTGAGAAGTTTAAAGAAGAGACACTCTGGATGTTCTTCAGATGTCTTATTGATGGTATATCAATTCTGTCTAAAAGCGCGGAGTACGAATGGGATCCTTCGGCTGGTCCCCCCGTTGACCCCGAAAAACCTGAAGGGGAGCGTATGGGGGTGTCTGCGATACCATCTGAAAATAGACGACCAGACTGGCAAACATGTGTTCATTTTGATATCAAGCCCGAAAATAGTAAGAAAAGGACCTACAGTATATCATTATAATACACTAATGTAATGTTTAGTCATGCTAGGTGAGAGAGAGGCAGCAAATCATCGTCTATATCCGATTTTGAAGGTAAAGGGTTTGTTGCGGAGGTACGACTTATTACTAATGAATCTAGCTTGCGGACTTTGGACTTACCGAACGAGTAATATTCGACAACATGACTTCTGCGAGAGAACGTTGGCAGTGGCGAGAGAAATGGCGTAAATCTGGAACTCCGGGATCTTACACTCCAGTATGGCCCCTCCAATGCTCCATCTATTTCTCACCATCGCTTGTGTATAATTCTTAACATTCCACAGGAACAATTCACCAAAGCTTGGGATTACGAGGACTACGTAACATCAGGGATAGCGGGACGTTATGGAACCAAAACGAACATCTGGTAATCTCCCACTCCATCCGTAAAATCGAATCAAACATTAACCTCACACAGGGGTATCGGTTTCATTATGCTCAAACTAATCTACCTTAAACCAGTAATTGAGCCACCATTAAAACCTTTTCTACCCAGCTTTCTTATCGACGGAGCCCCTGCTAAAGGAATGACTTACGGACAACGCATGATTGCGGCCGGTTATTCCGAGACGCTTACACATCTCGTCCTTGAATGCTTGTACGAGAGGCCGCATGACAGGCCTCGCTTGAGGGTGCTCCATGAGAGAGTGTGCCGGGGATATAAGGATGCACGAAAAGCGAATAGGCCGATTCGAAGAGATGGTTTTGTAGTTGTGAGAGAAGCTACAGAAAGGTGGGACAGATTCATACCACCGCCTCGGCCGAGATGGCAGGGCGGAGTACGTAGAGCACCGAGGAGAGAGAGTGAACAGGACCAGGACTATGATCCTGAGAGTAGAGTATTTAGTCAGGGTGAAAGAGTTGGGGCTAGGAATCTTAACCCGGACCATAAGAAAAAGAAGGTGGAGAAGGATGTGACTCCGACTTGGACGTCTTCACAGCTAACAAGCACGGTAAGCGACTTGAGTACCCAGACTTGGAGTTACGTTAGCCGCACAGGCAACTCAAGCGACTCAGATAGCTCAGACGACTCAGATAGCTCAGACAACTCTGATGATTCAGATGACGGGGATGTTCCAGATACTGAAGTTCCAGTATATGATGTTGGAACATATGATTCGGTGACAGATAGCGAGGAGCATTTAAGTGAAGTGCCCGAGGTGGATAACGGAGATGATGGAGGCGACGATGGCAGAATGGAGCACCCGCACCCACATACTGAAGTTTCACCAGACGTGGGAGAGACTTATTACGGGGCGTATTTCGACGAAGGGTTCGAGGTAGTCCAAGAAGATGCAAATGACGCGGACGTAATGGAGGACTCATCAGATGTTGGAGAGGCGTATGATGGGGAGGCTGTGGCTAGAGCGCATGATTCAGATGATACAGACGAAATGGAGTACCCATCAGATCTCGAAGTGGCGTATGATGAAGAGGATGTGGCTAGGGCGGCCGATCCAGATGACGCAGACGAAATGGAGGATATAGACACTTCAGCTTCAGATTCTCCAGATTTAGATACTCCAAGCTCATCAGATGTTGAAGAGACAGAAAGAGTGGCGGACCTAGATGATGTGGAAGTTGATATGAATGATCCAGATGCTGGAGAGATGTTATGGGACATAGATGACGCACTTGTTGCGGCTGGGGTAGAAGAAGAAGATAGCTCAGATACAGAGGACGATTCGGATACGGAGGGCGATTCGGGTACGGAGGACGATTTGGATACGGAGGACGATTCGGATTCTGAAGATGAGTTAGCTCGTCCGAGATAATCTTGATCAAGCATATTGGAATTGTGCTGTTGTTTAGGGTGTTTGGGGTGTTTGAATTAAGGGGCGTATATGAGAGGGATTGCGGAACGGGGTAGTAATGTTGTAATTCTATTTTTGCTGTTCTCTTGGCTGTTTAGAATCAAAGTTATAATGTTGTAGTGTGGTCAAGACTGGAAATTGAAATGATTTTGCCATGGTATAGGAAGATGAGTGTAATAAATGTAAAGAATATCGGAGCAATTATCCGTCGAAACAGAACGCGGTCGCTTCACTTAATTGCAAAAACATGTGTCGCATTATTTTTTCAAGTCAACGAACCATCAGGAGGTCGAAAAATGGTAAAGGGAAAGAATCAATAGCCAGCAAGTCCTCGGTCTGATTCTCTTTAGCGCAAATATGTTCCAAGAAAAAGGATTCAAGATCGAAAATTTCTCCACAAAACTGTCATCTGAATCTTTCTACTTTCATTCGTCAAATTATAGATCACCAAGTCTCTTATGACGAGTCATTTATCTTCTTACTCTCGACGATCTTTACAAGCTTCGTACCCAAATGCTCGAACCCATCTATCTTACCAAGTTTGCTGATAAGGTGGGAAATGTCACGAAGGACACTGCGAATAGACATTAGCATACTGTTACAGATAGGTTAAACACAATGCCGACAACAAGAAACGATAACTTACTGATCACGGCGAGCTTGATCTCCCAAATTCATGTCAAATGCCTTTCCCAGCTGGTCTTGGTAACTCAGAAAGACCTTCGACATTACTAGCTTCACGTCTCGGCTAGGCAGGTACTTCACAACCACTTTATTCAACTTACCTGTGTTGGCAACTAAGTCAATCATGTACTTGCTAACACCTTCTGCATCGTGACTCTCCTTCTCGTTCTCTTGCAACCGCCTTGCCAATGTCTGCGCCATAATATCAACCATTTTCTGATAGATACTATCTTGGTGTTCTTGAAACGAGTGTTGTACCTTCTCAAAATCGCGGATAACACTCAAATTCGGCGTATGACGGTGGACAAACTTGATGATATACGGGATAAGCGTCGCATAAAAAGCTAACGCTCGCGATGTGACGCTTAGATGCTTCATTGTGATGACTCTAAGACCAGCTGAACGCATAGCTCCAGCACCGAGGACAAGCTGACGGCATCGCGAGTCGTATATTTGGAGGTAGGATACAAGTGACTTGGCAATGTCAGCTGTCATGGAGGGAATTCTGCACATGAGGTGGAGAAAATGTGTGATTCCTTTCAGACAGAGGATGGCGGATCCAGGAAGCAAAAAAGCTTCGTCTTTGATAATAGCAGGTCGAATCTTGTCTTTTGAAATTTTGTTCGTCTGGGTCTTTTCTAAAGTTTGAATATCTTCATTCTCATCCGGTGACAGCGGGATCCAGATTTTGCTATTCTCGCTCCACGTCGGCGGATCACAGAGGCCACAATCAAGAGTCTGATTTAGATAATGCTTGTCTCCATATGTGAAATACGTTTCTTGCCAATTGTCGGTATCTGCTGCCTGGACAAGTATTTGAATCTCTCTATCCTTATGCGATCCGATAAAGTCAGTAATGTGATCGTTTAGAACATTCTTTAGCGATGTTCCCGGTCGCCCCGAGATGGCCTCACACTTGTTGATAAAAAGACGATTGAGTGTAAAGTAGCGGAGAAAGTGAGCTAGTGGTAATTCTTTAACCTGCTCCGATCGAACTCTAAGAATTTTGATTATGGTCTCCTGGGCAATGTCCACTGTCTGGCCCAAAAGATTGGCGATATCAAGCGAACTATGCGCATCATTTTGGCTCCCCCCAATAGCGCAAGCAACATCTAGTAGTAGCTCGGACTGGACTTTTAATCTTCTTAGAAACGCTGTGACGCTAACATATATACTTGAAAACAGAGTCTCCGCATCATTTGGGCTGAGAATGCAAAGATTCTGGCTCAGAATGGACGACTTCTCTTGTATGACGTGATTGCGACTTCCACTCGTAGTCGACCGAGACATCGCTGTCTCATTGTCTCTAGGCGTATTAGGTAACCATTTTTGCACAACGTTGTATATCTCCTGCTTTACTAATTTTCGGTACGTCTTAATTGCACTCAGTGTAGAGGATGACTGATGAAGACCAAAAATTTGAGATATCAGGGTGGTCCGGAAGTCCTCAGACACTGTATGATACCCAGGGGACGTGTCAATCTTGCTATTTCTGTGTTCTTGGGATCGTTGCGAAGCAGCATCCCATCTTGAAAGCACATCTACTGTGTCTATCGATGCGGCGTGATGTCGAAGATCACAAATAAGTAGATCTTGAAACCTAGACTCGAGGAGTTTACCCGTTCGAGACCGGAGAGTCTTTAGATCAGTCAGCACATTCTTCAATTCTGCAACGCCTCGTAAGTCTTGAAATTGACTTTGTGCCATGCCTTCTTCGCCTGCAACATCGCCTGGCGCACCGGAAATCAAAAGCTCGGTGGCACGAATCTCTTTAAGTGCCTCTTCTGCCTCCTCTTGGTCCACTAAAGACTCACAATGCGCCACTTTTTCCATAATTCGCTTCATTTGCAGGACACTATCGCTCATTTGGTGCAGGTTGCGGTACATGCGTCTTTTCTGTATGAGGTGCAGGCCTTGATTAGACACATCGTTATCCAGTGAGATAAGGTAGTTTCGCAGCGTTTTGACTCTACTAACTGATTCTATCGTATCCAAGTGAAGTTCCTTTAGCGACTCGAGAGCAGTGAAAAAAGAGTTAGATGCTAAAGCAATAGAAATTTGTAGATTTGCTTCTACAGTATCCATGTAGTAGGAGAGCTTCTCTTGGAGAATCGCATTTGTAGCCAAGGGTTTTCTTTGAGGCACCGCAGCTCCATGAATTTGTCGTTCGAGAGGGGTTGACGGTACAACATCAGATCGTTCAATAACACTGTCGAATGTCCTGGGATTTTCGAGCCGAAAGTCAGGAGAGAAGTATACCTTTGGAACAGTAGAAAGTGGTGGTGGATCGTGATAGTTTTTGGATATCTCCTTCCCGATAGCGACCTTTTCTCCAGAGTCGAAATGTTTTTTTGCAGTGAAATCCAACTGTTCCCCGAAAGGAAATGAAACCTGGTATTCTTGGAAATTATTGTCCAATCTTTTACTATAGGTTACCTCAAATTCGTTCTCGCCTTTTCTTAGGCGTTGTGACTGCTCGTATAAAGCACCCACTTGCGATATGTATGGCTGGAAGCTGTCAGAGCTAACAATCTCCACATCAGTAAGTGCTACGGAAGGTATGTCTTGTGCTGTCGGCATCTTGTAAGAATTGAAGGATGGCGCTGCAGCCTGAGAATGAAATCGAGGTGGCTCTATTGGCTGCTGTATGAGAGCTGAGATCTCTGAGAGAAGCGTTAGCAGAAGTTCTGAAGTGCGTAGTAGGAGGTACTACTACCATTTCGGGCTACCTCAAACTCATGGGATGGCCTGTTGATTTTCGATGCATCGAGATGACCCATGGGATGAGCGAACGAGTTGCTCTTTGATACTCGCTTCATTTTTGAGATATTTTCGGTCGTTCGTTATCGAACAGAGGTGAGCCAAACTGCCAGGAACTTTATCTCGGGCACCCTGGGAACTAGCGTTAAAGAATGATTAGTGATGGCAGCTTCAGATATAAGTAGTATCTTTGCATTTAGACGTTTATTAGCTGGCTGCCTTGATTGTGGGTAGGCATTGCCATCTTGTTGGTATTGGAGGTTGAGCTGTGTCTTAGTCAGCAGATGTGGCTGTGAATCTCTAAGGTGCAGGGGGGATAAAAGATTTGCGTGTGGAATTCTCTTCAGGTAATAATTGGTTTCCTCCCATTTTCACACTATACATCATATGATTTATATTTGTTTATTGAACCTTTTGATATTATTGTATACGAAGTATGCGGTCGTGAAATCATTGACAGGTAGTGGACCGCAATGAGATGATTGGGTAGGAGAGACCCACAGCCATATACTCCCCTGGACAATAGTGTTGCACCACGTGATTGCGATTATCTATCATTGGATAATTATTTTGATACTTAATTACTCTTTAATCACTTTTGTTGATAATCAAATTGCAAATAATTTTCTTTCTTATCTGAAAGGAACAGTCTGCAAGAGAATGCTTTCAGCTATGCACAGCAACATAATTCTGATGTCTCAGTTTCTCAGAGGCAAACAACTCTTACAGGTGGAAGGACAATACCCGGAAGAGGGTGCCAACAGTAGATAATCAAGGACCAGGAATGAAATTGGTAAGCCATGGGTTAGTTTGAATGGCTGCAGAGCGCAAACTCAATCCTTACAACGCATAAGAAAGGAATTACAATATTTATAAATGAGAACGGCTAACTGCGCATAACCAAAATATGTTTGTCGTGTACAGAATTTTATCCAGAATCTGTTGTAATCTGCGTTTATGATCTGTACGCATTTAACATGCCGTCTTCGGACACGACCCTGCGAGCTCCTTACTTTTGACAGAGCACCCCAAGCTAACAGAGATTTCTTCAACTGGAAGCACATCATACATTGTATCTGGCAATGGAAGCCGTCGTACGAAAAAGAAAAGAAGTAGGTGCAACTACCATCTAAAGGCCCGATCAGAGAACTTGACGACAACGACCTATTAGAAGGGGAATCACAATGGAAGGCTACGAGACTTCTAGACGTGAGGTATGCTACTACCAACCCACACTATCATTGCGTTAGAGGTTGGAGACTCATTGTTTAATAGTCGCCATGTTACAGTAGCAGTTTGAAATTACCAAGGCAATGATCAGAAGATTAAAGAGGATCTCAGTGGGACAAGCAGCTTGATGATCAAAGATCGCATAGACTTCAGGGATAAGATGTACAACCTTGATGCCAAAGGCCAAATCCACGAAAAGCTTTCTAAGCAAGATTCTAAACACATTGTCCGTTTGATTAAGAAGGGGGCTCCCATAGAGCCAAACGAAGCGACAGGTCTTGTTGATGTAGGCGACCCTAAAGACTGGGAAGGCAAAACGAAGAGGCTACTCACGGTGTACTGTGGCCTGGGGGATATGAAAAGACTGATTCAGTCAAGACAAAAACTTCACAGTGATCTGTGGGGTGTGCGTGATAAATCTCATGATAAGATACCGAAGGAAGACCCAGGACTGCCATTTGACGAACTCACTCTATGGCGGTTTTTCGACTGCTTGGCTGATGGAATCGCCGTCATGTCTAACGGACATGAGTGGGTGTACAATCCAAATAGTAAAGAGCCAACTCCTAAAGTGGAACTCGCCCCAGGTACTCAGTGGGTTCCGATCGTGCATTTTGACATAAAGCCGGCAAACTGTAAGTTTACTCTTGGTGGTTCGTCGAAAGCCGCTGATAATTTCAGGTTCTTTAGCCCATGATACTGCCCATCCCCACACTCCGATACTCAAGGTATTTATCAATTACCAGATATCTTGATCATAACAGTAACTCTCAATAGATCGGATGTTTCGGACACAGCCATCAAATACCGCACAGTCTGAAGCCCCGTATCACACGATCAAAACGTGATCTGGGATGGGATTACAAGAAATTAGGCTCGGCAACTTTCCAAACACCAGTAAGCTTGACTTCTTTCATATATGAATCCTGAAAAGTGACAAGTATTTAGGAGCAAATGAATTCCGGCTGGGACAATCTTAAGTCGAACACGACCAACTTGAGAGATAGTCAAGTGGCAGGCATATACGGCTCACACACGAATGTCTGGCAGGTAGGCTTGGTCATGCACCACCTTGCATTGACGAGAACTTACTTGAATATGAACCCTTTTGAACCTGATTTCAAGATCGGTGGAGATGACGCACGGGGTAGAACTTATGGTCCTAGATTGAGAACCACAACTTATAGCGATGAGCTCAAAAGCCTAATATTTGAGTGTCTGTATGAAATTCCCACAAATCTGCCTACAACTGCGGAATTGAAACAGCGAATAGGCCAAGGAATCATCCGCCGGATCCACAGGATATCTGAAGACTTGGGAATTGCTGTCTCCCAAGACTTGGAACGAAATAAATCAGAAAAGCTCGTAGCTCAGTATGTTCAGACATAAAGCGTCATCAAACAAACGTACCGCATGCCAGAAGGAAAGATCACAGACCCCGAGCATCCTGATTTTGATGTGAATGAAATGAAGTGACCTGAGAGTTCAGGGCCACAAGAGAAAGACTGCAAAACACATCCGTCATAAAATTCCTGGAAGGCGAGGACGATTTTCAATTTGGTCTCTAGAGAACTCGCTTAAGCGATTCTCTGCAAAAGGGGGGGAAGTTGTGGTACGCGACTAGTCAAACTCTATACAGCTTCGGACTTGTCTCTTGCAGAAATGGGACGGTCCGAGGAACCCGCGTTCTACATGTGATGCTGTGTGATGCCAACACTGCATCAAAATCCCTCGGACGTCGCTGGTAGATAACCAAGCGCTATAAGTGAGAGGTAAAGAATCGATAAAGAAGAGATAAATGTTTTATTTTCCGTCTGGAAAGTTGCACTGTCGCAATGTAAGCTTATCTTCCTGCCGCGTGTGTTGTGTTTGTTGTTTGCATGAACGGGAGGTCCACTTTTTTGGCCTCGGGAAGTCCAGCTCCAAATATGCCTCGGCACAAACTAGAATTGACCTGCGACAAGGACATGCCACCAGTTAAGTGTTTGGCGGCTCCGAACTATCTGTCTTTCTAAAACCCATTCTGCTCTTTTCACAGACGCACCTTAATTCAAGCCAAAATATCCGGTCATTACTGACACTAAAGTACATCGTACAAAGAGGAGGTGAGCAGTGCCAAGTGAACTCTCGGAAGCCCCAGAGCAGAGTTGCATCTGGGCCGCCTCCCTCCCTCTTGGAGAATTCTCGTGCTGACTGAGATGAACTTCTAGCATACATCCATCATCGAATCTGCTACGCAAATTCCGACCATGGCGCCTATCACTCAAGATCCAGTCAAATGGCTGGCGGAAATGAGAGTCCCTCCGCCACCAGGGACTCCTTACTCTCTGCCAATTCCTGGAACCTCTACCGAGAATCGAACCGCAACATACAGACACTGGCGATTCGTGGATAAGCCTTTACCTACCACTATCGATCCGCAGATTCTCACAGCTCACGACTCGTTCGAAGCTTCCGTTAAGCGCAAGCCAAATGCGAGATGCTTAGGCACGAGGACTTACAATCCAACGACGAAGGAATTTGGCACCTACGAATGGCTGACGTATGCGCAAACTGCGGAACGACGAAAGAATTTTGGTGCTGGGCTCGTAGAAATACACAAGAAACTCGGCGTTACCGAGGAGAAATATGGTGTGGGCTTGTGGTGTCAGAACAGACCGGAATGGCAGGTCACAGGCAAGATAAATGCTCCTCCGCGACACCACCTTGCTAATTCATACAGATCTTGGATGTCAATCCCAGTCTCTGTTCTCTGTTTCCATTTACGATACACTAGGTCCCGAGACCACCGAATATATCATCAATCACTCAAATTTGCGCTGCGTGGTGACCAGTCTACCCCACATCCCGACTTTGCTCAAGCTCGCCCCTCGGATACCCTCTCTCAAACTTATCGTCTGCTTGGACCCACTCGATGATGGCGAGAAACCTGGCTATACGAAGCATGCTCTTCTGAGCTCTCTGGCAGCAGATGCTGGCATCTCAATCTACAGTATTGGTGATGTGGAGTCGCTTGGAGCTCTTTCAAACCTACCAATGAAGCCTCCCGGACGCGAAGATACGCTCACAATCAACTACACATCTGGAACTACTGGAAATCCGAAGGGTGTTGTGTTGACTCATGGAAATGCTGTAGCCGCGATCACAGTAGCCAGAGTCACGTCAGAAGTCCTCCCCTCAGACGTGATAATTTCATATCTCCCTTTGGCACATATCTACCAGCGGCTTTCTGAACATAATGCACTGTCGGCAAACGCCGCGATTGGGTACTTCAGAGGTGATATATTGGGTTTAGTCGATGACATGAAGATTCTCAAACCAACAGGTTTTATCTCTGTTCCTCGACTCTACAATAAATTTGGTTCTGCTATCAAAGCAGCGACTATTGAAGCTCCAGGTATGAAAGGAACGATCGGCCGACATGTCATCAATGCAAAGCTTGCTTCCATGAAATTGCCGGCAGGAAAGGCTACTAACAAACATATGCTCTACGACCGATTCTTCACGCCAAAGGTCAGGGCAGCTGTTGGTCTCGAGAGAGCTCGTGGCATGGTATCCGGAAGTGCCCCACTCGATCCCACTCTACATCAATTTCTTCGCGCTGCCTTTGGAAACGACTTCATTCAGGGTTATGGGCTTACTGAGTCGTATGCAACTGGACTTGCTCAGCACGAGACTGATTACTCTTCTGGGAACTGTGGAGGCATAGGAGCTGCCTTTGAAGCATGCCTGCAATCGGTGCCTGATATGGATTACCTCATCACGGACAGCCCCAACCCTCGTGGACAGCTTCTGCTCAGAGGCCACACCATCTTCAAGGGATACTACAAAAATGAGGCTGAAACTAAGAAAGCTATGACTGAAGATGGCTGGTTCCAGACGGGCGACATTGCTGAGATGGACAGTTTGGGTCGTTTCAAGATTGTTGATCGTGTCAAGAACGTGCTTAAGCTGGCACAAGGAGAATACATTTCTCCAGAGAGAATCGAGAACGTGTATCTGGCGAACAATAGCGTTCTAGCTCAGGGCTACGTCCACGGTGACTCCGTACAGTCCTTCCTCGTATCTATCTGGGGAGTCGACCCAGTCCATTTCTCCAAATTTGCGGGTAACGTCCTCAAGAAAAACATTGAAGCAACCGACTTGGATGCTATTAGAGCGGCCTGTGACGACCCCCGCGTAAAAAAGGCTTTACTGAAGGATCTCGATAGAATTGGGAGGAAGAATAAATTCAACAGCTGGGAGCGCGTTAAGGCGGTCCATCTTTTGATTGAGCCCTTCACTATCGAGAACGAACTTTTGACACCTACGTAAGTCTAAATGATTTCTGGGTAAGTTTTCTATGCTAATCCGCCGTTTCTAGATTAAAGTTGAAGCGCCCGCAAGCGGCGAAGAAGTTTAGAGCAGAATTGGACCGCATGTATGAAGAGGCATCGGCGGAAGAGCCTGTCAAGGCGAAGTTATAGATTGAATTGGACTCTCTAGAGGTTTGTATTTTTTTTGCGGGTAACATAGGTCGGTGTGCATTCTCCGAATCGACATTTTGAGGAGTCTATGCATTTTTTATTGTATCAATTACAACAATTGTCATATTCCAAACTTATCCTTACCTTCGTTTTGCAACTTCGTGCTACTTCAAATTAGACGGGTTTCCCCGTGCATTCAATGCTGACAGTTTACGAGTTTCGAGCATATAGACTTATTCGCACTGGGAAACATCTAGGCATGTATTGTCCCAGGGTAGCTCTATCCACCGTCTGATAGCAAGAACCAAACGGGCAGTCGTGCTGCAAAAATTACGACGAAAATGATCCTTGAGTTATCAATAATGCACAGGAGTTACACTTCGAGGCGTCAGAGTCCAACAATGGCTTCCCGATCATGCCGGGAGCCTGCGAGCACTTTCCAAAGCTTACGCTGGGTATCTAAGGTTGAGTAATAATTGACTGCAGCATTGGGTTGGTTCATGGTGTTGTGGCACAGAATCTGCTCAGGTGGCCATATTAATCCTCGGATCCGGTCTTAAATCCGGGTGCTCCTTGACCGGCCGACTAGTGCTCATTGAAGCTCCGATATAATGTGTTGGAAGTACGTTTCTGCTTTTACGTCAAAGCTGGGCGTAATCAACCTACGTTATACAAACTTTTCCTATAAGTATGTCCTCTCTGACTACTTTTCTGGACCAAAACTTTGAACATTCGTTTCAAACAATTTGCTTGGTCCTGTCCAGAGAGTATTACTTTACAACATTATCATCATGGCCAAAGCAAACAATAATGAGGGTGTTACCATAATTGGCGCTGGACTGGCAGTAAGCAACAGATTGTTTCAAAATCTTTGAGTCGTGCTGATCATGTTCTAGGGCTTAAGTTTGGCACTTTCTCTTAAGGTCCACTCACCAGCGACTGAGACGACTCTCTACGAACTCCGAGAACCAACAACGTCGACAACAGGAGCTCTCATGCTTTCACCAAACGCACTCCGTATTTTAGATACACTAGGGGTCTATTCTCGAATCAAACAGCATGGTTACGAATTCGAAATACTAACATCCCAAAAAGACGATGGCGAGACGACAGATACCTATGCAATGGGGAGTGAAAGCTTATTTGGCTACAAAGCGCTTCGAGTATACCGTCAAGTGCTCCTGGAAGAATTACGCGGAGTTTGCAAAGAGCGAGGTATCAACATAGTCTACGGTCTCAAATTCTCCCATGTCGTTCTTGAAACACCTGAAAATGTTACTTTCGCACTCACAGATGGTACAAAGAAAACCACGTCTCTACTTATTGGCACGGATGGCATCCACTCCCAAGTCCGCAAATATCTCTTCCCGGACATCACGCCAATCTATTCTGGAATTACAGCTGTCACAGCCTCCGTCTCCAGCTCCTCGCTCCGCCTCCCATGCGAAGACTTCCCTATGCCGATATCAAGATCAAGTCCTGGTGGAGTCTTTGTAATGGCGCCACAAAACCCCTCTGGCACCGACATTCTCGTCGGAACTCAAACCCGTCACCCAGAGCTCTCCAAAGAAGGATGGGGTGTTCTCCGCAAGGATCGCTCAAAACTCATGGGTATCCTCACAGCTAATAAAGCTCAATGGTCGGACTTTGTGCAAAGCGCTATGGAAGGTATTGATGAGGAGCATCTCTCCATATGGCCTTTCTACGTTGTTCCACATTTGCAAACTTGGGCGTCGAAGGACAAGAGAGTGGTCATCATGGGTGATGCTGCTCATGCTATTCCGCCTACTGCTGGGCAGGGTGCGAGTCAAGCTTTTGAAGATGTTTACTCGTTCTCTTACTTGCTTTCTAAGGTTCCGGGACCTCAGTTTGGGGAAGTTTTGCCGAAATGGCAGGAGTATCGTATGGAGAGGGTGAAGAGAATTTTGGAGTTGACGAGGAAGTTGAATAATCGACGATTACCAGCGGAGGAGCTGAACAAATTGAGCAAAGAGGATCTGTATGTTGAGGAGGGAAAAGAGGGGCAAGGTTGGTTGTTTGATCCTAAGATCGAGGAAGCTGTGGAAAAGTTGATTGCTGGTCCTACAGATATTTGAGATATTGTCAATGTGCTTCGGATTAGGTGTTAAACGGCAGCAAATTTTGTGTGGGCCAGGAATGAAAGTTTTATTTCATTATGAGCGGTAGATCTCATAGAGCTCATAATTGAAGCTTTCATTAATTCCTTTTGATGATAGTTCATCTGTACATGAATTGTTTTCCCGCCTCAAGGTCTACCGAGTCAAACATCTCTATGAAATATATGTTGTTTGGTCCTGAAAGCACTAGTCCTTTGAGCGGCCACCAACATTATAATCTCACTTATCCTCTTCATCCTCATCATGACGATGATGTCTCCAACTATCCTCCTCTTCATCATCTGACCCCTTCCCAGGCTTCGGCTTCGCAGTAACATGCGGCACCGTACTCGCCTTGCTCGGTCTGGCCGTTGGCTTCACACCCCCCGGCGGCGCCTTCGTCGTCGACTCCGCCTGCAACGCCTTCAAACTCGGTCTCACATACGCCCACCCCGTACAATTATTCCACTGTCTCCACTGCGCCTTTAGCACCTCATGCGGCACCTGGAAAAACGGCTCATAGTTCTTGATCCCGCTTCGTCCCCACCCGGAGCAGGCTCTGAAAAATGGACATGCGGTGCGAAGGGGATCGACGGGTACGAGATTGGGAGGGAGATCGCCGTAGTTCACTGGATGGCCAAGTTCGGGTTCGAGGAAGCGGACGCTGGAGACGGCGGCGGGTGGCAGAGTGAGGGTTACGGCTTCGATTGTTGGGCCGCATTTTCCGTAGCGGGAGAGGACGCCGCTGCCTGCGCTGCTGTAATAGCCGTTCAACGTGTTGAGAACAAGGTAAACGCTAGGAGAGGTGAAAGTGTTTGTTCCAATGACAACGGTGTTTGGGTGTCCTTTTTTCGTCTGGGTGGGCGTTACAGTAGTTCCATTCTGTTCACAGAAATCTCCTGCTGTGGTGGTTACTGGCCAGTAGTAAAGTGTTCCAGCATCAGGCCTGACTGTACACACGCGGTCTTTGAAATCCGGACATGGAACTTCTGGCTCCTCGCAGGGTGGGAGGCCGTCAGTTTGGATTGTGGAGATGGCAAAATAATCATCAGTTGCTGTGGAAAGGGCTGAGCTACTTGCGCTCCATGAGGACCAGAGTTTCGAGCATTGAGGTGAGCTGCGCGAATATGTACACGATGGAGGTTTGAGGGTTTGAGGCACTGACTGTGGGTACCAAGTAGAGTAGTCATAATTTGTGTAGTATGATGTTGCAAGTGTTGTGGTTGGTCTCCTCTCTGTCAGCCAACTCCAGTTCGTGGGGCATAGCGGGACATAAGTGGCGTTGGAGTAATCGACTGTTTCGATGTTGTAGTATGTTTCGACATATGTCGGCAATACTGTCTCAGTTGAGCCTGGAAGGTTTATAATCGACATATAACTTGATGTTGAGAGCGATCTGTAGCTACTCCAAGAACTCCAGCATGCTACAGCGGGATCACCTCTTTGCCGTAACTCTAGCGGTCTTGCTACCGATCCTGGTGTCGGTAGAGTTGCTGGAGCTGTGATTGTGTTTGGAATTGCAGCTATAAAATTATTAATATTGTCTCTCGGCTTGCAGCGGCGCACTTACCAACAAGCACCGGTCCAAGATTGAAACTCAAGACACAAATAAAGAAACCTTTTTCAAGAAATGAGGGCGCCATGACGAAAGACTTGACCAGAATTGAATTCAATTGAGGATACCAAGATCAACTGCTTCCACCACAAAATGTGGCAATTGATTCTCTTTATCCCATCACGATCACGAAAACACCAGGGAAAAGAAAACCCATCATGAAATGCATCCATCCAATATTCCCATGCATACTGTAATGTATCGGGCCTCGCTTCTCGCATTCACGTTTTCAAGATATCAGGCTATTTTGTTATGTCGGGTTTCAGTTGTGTCTTCCGTCCATAGGCTCCAATGCCTTTCCACCTCGTATTGCAAGCCGTTGGAACGTTCCTTTTGGGAGAAGCTGAAATGTCTTGGCGACGCGGAGTCGCTTAAATATTGATATTTCGTCTTCTCCACGGTTGGTGGTGCCTTGCATAATCGTTTAGTTGGCTGTTTTTGTGAGTTTGATGCGGGGTGATATGGTTTGTTACTTCGAGGTGTGTACTTGGAGTGGACGTTCATTTAATCTTGAACGTCTATATATTGAGTTGATCATACCTTCGTGGGTTAAATCCTCCATGGTGATTAAAGCTGAATAAGAACGGGTGGTAAATGTAGTAAATGTACAACGGGATCGAATTAGCCGGCGCGACTTGAAAAGTTCGTTGGGAATCGTGCTTACCTATCAGTGACGAAGTGCCTGTTTGGTCGGTATCTGGTAAGCTATCGCAAAATTGTAGATATGGACGAGAGCTAGTAGCGATAACAAATCCAACATGTGGTTGGAAATTTGGAAAAAAGTCGCACCAGCTGAGACGTTGGCGTGGGCCGTTGAACCTACATGGACTGTTGAGAATACATGTATATCTCCCGAATCATACACGTACAGGCCCGCGCTATCCCATATTCTATTCTATAGGCTTCAGATTATAACGTCTCGCCAAACTTTCTAGAATATCGTTGCAACATCTAGTCGTGCCGACCTTCTTTCGCCAGAGGCAAGTCTTATGTACAATCTATGGAAGACTTTGAAGACTTGAAGTATTAGGGCTGAAACTTCTGGTTCTGCATCTGTATTGTTGCTGTTAATACGTAGATTTGTAGCAACAATTGAAATCTAATCAATCAAGTTAGATTTAATCTTCTGAAGGATCTGTTGTATGACGAGAAGAATTTGCATGAAGCTTCACATTGGTGTTATGTTGATGTTCTGCTCGCAAGCTAGAAATTTCCGCTGGGTTACAAAATTTGTGCACATAGAGCTCGTCGCGCCATCTGCAAAAGGGTCAACTCCATGTCCATAAAATATAGCGAATTAACCGAGCACTGTAGAAACTTGAACCAGTGCTTTGAATGGGGTTGAGTGAAGTTAGGTATTTGGATGTGTAGACTTGATTATTTTCTTCGTTGAATAGGGATTTATTGGTTAGATACACTGTGTATTCTTAGGAAATCCCCCTTAAGGAATGAGGGGCTTTGGAGGCGACGGGACGAGGCGAGTCAGCCGATAGAATTAAGCGAACATTATATGGACTTGAGCTCTCCCATTGGCTAGAACGTCACGTGCACTTGATGTCTGAGATGTTCCCCTCTGTCTTTCATTTCCTGTTTCTGAAATTCTCCTAGATTAATTAAAAGGATTTTGTCAAGTACATAGCATAAGGCAGCTCAACTCAAGACATTTTAATCACGGATAAATTTTCTCACTAAAGTAGCACCAAGGTATGCAATCTGCAGATCAAGATATCCAGGAAGTTTTCTCATTTATTTGCAGCGAGAGAGCTGGGAGTCAATGGCTTCAAATGTAGTTATATTGACGCTGGTGACAAAATAATTGTCTTACTTTCAACGAGCTTTACTCCAACGAGAACAACAACCAACGTGCCATCCGTCCTGCGAATCCGCTTGTGCTTCTTCCATGAAAGCATAAACGTAAATAACCACCCCAGCCACCAGTTACCAGGCAACTCTTTCCAAAAGAGAAGAATACCGAAAAGCCCAACGGTACAAATGAGGTCTTTTCGATGCTTGCTTGAAGGAGTGAAACCGAGCATAAGCGCTTTGACCTCGAGTCTTCGTGGCTAAGATGTAGGCATAATACGAACAAGATCTGGAGTCCATTCCAGGGGTCTTGGATAGCCTGGCAAAACACCATGCTTGAGACAGATACGGCAATAAGGAGTGATAAGGTCATTGGTATCTTCCATCCCGCCAAATGGGCAAAGGCGTCTAAGCCACGGCGAACAATGTACCGGATTGCTCGGCAGCACAATTTCCTTATTGACACAGTCCCTACAAAACCGCCCAATTTCAATCGTCTTCTGCTCGGCTGTCTTGAAATCATTTTCGCACTGGCAAAGGTTTTCGAAATCGGCCCTTGTGGTCATGACCCTACATTGATATAAGTAATCTTTGCAACGACTAACAAATCTCTGGCTTAAAAGTATTGACCTCAGTGTGCTTTCATATTCGCGGTCTGTACCTGGAAGCCTGTTCAGTACCCGTGGGATGTAAGGCACGAAGCAGCGCTTGCAAATTTTCTTATTGCAGCTTGCGCATGGTCTTTGTTCTCTGAGGATCTCTCGAGGTACTCCACATTCGCAACACGTATATTCCTCCAAGTCTCTCCTGCTGTAAACGGCGACTTTCCCCCAGGGAAATTTCACTTGAGCGCCAATCCAGTCGAGTTTGGACAAAGGAAGATCTTCAGCCAAATTACTCAACGCGCCCCACTGCTGTCGGATCCTGTGTTCAGCACATCTTCGGAGCCACACGGAGTATTGTATCCACATAGAATCATCGGGATCTGCAGCCGTTGTGACCATGGATATGGTATCGGATTCGGTGAAACAGGAATGGGCATCTTCGAGTTCGGCGTCAGTGCTAGAATATTCTGAAAGGGTGTCGTTGATCTCTGAACTAGGGAGTTGTGACAAATAATCGTCCAATTCCATCTGACGCTCTTCTGCGATTGCTTTTGCTTCGGCTCCTGGGACGAACGGTGAACTGGAAGGAGCTTCATAGGAGGTTGCCACAAGATCTTTAAACTCGGCCAGGTACTCGTAGTCTCTAGGAACCACTCTGTAGCTGTTAAGGTATAGACATTGGAAGAGAACGCGATCCGGTAGAGATTTGACGTGATGATGATGATGATAAAAATGTCTTCTGGCTGGAAAGTAAAGTGTATCGGATAAAATTATTACATATTTGGATAATTTGAATGTTGATGAAGTGCACTCATTCTAGAAGATAGACCTCCATATCATGGGGTCTTGGCAGACGCTAGTTAACGGCTTTCTTTGGTCTTTCCTTCCTTTCACAGCGAGCTGTCTATTCCACAGTCGTAGATATCGGAGAAACTGACGAGGTCTCTGAACCGTTCTTTCCTCGCGATGTTTATGAGCAACACCAGTCATTTTGCCACATCACAACTTTGGAAGTGGGACCAATAAATAGGGTACACACTACACATTCTGCCAGTTGGGAAACTTTTATCACCACCAAACTTCTTACTTTTGTTTCTATCACAATGGTATATTCATGGTCATCTTACGTGAGATCATGGAGTTCTCTTGGGATACATACTTTCAGCCAGGCAGGCAACTCTGAAAAAAATCGAATTTGAAGACAAATTCTCCATCTTTGAGAATCCGCAAATCTGTCCCATATCCTGAATCACTTTCTCCACCATTGAATCGAAGAGGGAAAATGTTCGAGACCCTTGATCAAGTGGGGCGGCATTGAAATGCAGGACTAGAGCAACGGGTAGGGCTTAGCTCCCCCTTAACCACAACTCGCTTAAACCCAACGACGACCATGCGTCACTTCAAAGACCGTTGCTCCACACCACAACTCCCCATGGAATTTCAGACCTCACGCACACGATTTCCCTTCAAAACCCCCAAAACCGCAACAAATGAGTCGTCACAGCCCACCATGCACTCCCACACGCTTTCCAAATCCACAGATCGTACCGACGACACCAAAACCTCCACCCGCACCGATGACACGGAGCCCTCCTCCATCATGGACAACAGTCCCAGCACGAGAAATTTCCCGGAAAACAACGCGCCCACCACAACCTTCGAAGGCAAGGGAAAATCAACATCCAACGTCCAAACCTACCAAAAACCATCTCCGCCCTATAAAACCGCGCGACGGAATATCTTCCCCAAGTCTGAGGCCGCGGACCAGTTAGTCGAGAAGACCGAGGCCATAATATCGCGCGCCGAGGGAGTGATGCGACAGTCGGAGTACGCGGTTAATCATGCAGAAGAGACGGTCGTGCAGGCGCAGAGTATTGTGAAAGCTGCAGAGGGAATTCTGCGACAGGCGGAGAATACGGTGGTGGCGGCGGAGAGGAATGTTAGGATGCAGCAAATGCCTACGAAGAGGTTTGAGTGGGAGGTTGGTGCGAGGAAGGCGCATGAGGTGGATTTATTTCGTTTGGATCCTGGTGGTGAGTACTCTTGTAAACTGAATGTGATGAGGTCTCGTGACTGACGTGGATGTTTACAGTTGGTCTTTTGTATCTTCTTTTGGTGATTACCTTTCTATGTGGGTGTTGGATATGGAGTGTACTTTCGCGAAATGGATGTCAAGATGAGATCATGATACCGGCGATCTTCTCGTTTTGCTCTTTTGTGACATTTGTTGTTGGCTATTTGCTATTCTATTTTCCACAGCCAAATTCTTAGATCTGCGCGTCGCAGGATTGGTTTGAGGTTGCTCAAAGCTGTATTGTATTAGGTATCTAGAGATCTAGACAATAATTGTAATGTCTTAATTAGCAAACAATTGCTTAATGGTGCAGCTTCTATGGATCTGTCAGTGCCCTCGAATAGTCTGGAGTACGCGTCAACGGCCCGTCGACCTAAAATTCTCCTAAAGTGTTTTGAAAAAATGGTAGATATTCGATGCAGTCACGTTATGCCAGCATCCAGAACAGAAGTACGCGTCCTGGTATTGACGGTTTGATAGTGAACGCGGCTGAAGATCCCTAATAGCGCTCAAAAAGTCAACATCACCATCGTCACTTCAAAAGAGTATTGCAACATGAGAATCGAGCGTTCAATCTACAACACATTTCATTTCAAATAAAGTGTAAAATCCAAGTAAAAAAGCCCCCACCCAGTCCTCATCCCAACTTGTTTGTTTACATTCACCTTCACCCTCGCCAGCCACGTCCCCACCCATCTCGGCAAACGACAAGCGTCCAAAAAACTCCAAAACCAGATCTCATGCCCAAAAAAATGGCAAAAGAAACGATCCGACACCTCCGAGCCTTATTTCAACTCCTCACCGCAGTGCCAGATCGATCAGAAACTCATCTCTGTGCATATCCGCAGTTGAGCTCCCTAATGCCACCGCGGCGTAGAGACCTTCTTATCGTGCATATGGACGTGCTATGATTGGTTTGCTTGGAGGAAATATGCGTTATTGGACGTTATAACTGTTTAAACTGGGAGTGGGGGAGGGAGGGGGACGATAGTGAGGGAAGGGGGAGGTGGGTGAAGGTGAGGGCGTGAGGGTGGGTCTGGGGGGAGGTTGGCTGGCGGCGGTGGGAGAGGAGGGTTCCAAGAATGCGAGAGGAACCTATGTGGTTTGGTTAGAATGTATTCCAGAGTCTTTCTGAGGTGTTGATGGACGGTGGCAAGTGAGGTCATCGATCCCACAGTCATTTCATCCATATCATCAAAATCCATCGAAGTAGCATCTCAGGACGTTGTGATAGATTGTCTGTGATCAAGTCTGAAGAGTTGTATGAACAATTCAAGAAGTTTCACAGATGAAAATTCAGATTATATTTTGATGGGGTTAGCTCTTACGGAATCACGGCATTACTATTGTGGGTTCATGAATCATGTGGCCACATTTACCTGAATTGTCGGCTGTGATCCACATGAATGTATATCCTCGCACCTTCGCTTTCTTCACTTCCCCGCTATTTGGTACTGCGCCACTGAAACTCGCCAGCGCTCTGCATTTTTCCCAATTTAGATACACCAGATCGATTACAATATATCTGTTCATGACTTTTCTTCTACAGACTAGACTTCTTCCCTACATGGATCGAGGCATTTAGCGATGTAGTTCTTTGACACATGAAGTTAGAAATACGGGTTCAGGTGACCGGAATAACTCTGCCTATTCGGAACCTTTCCGAGAATGTGAATTTGATTAAGCTCTCGTGATATACTAAAATGGAATTCCAGAAATAAACTGGCGATTCATGTCCCTCAGCTATACAATTCACAGATTAATAACAAGCGAGGGTGCGACTTAAATATGGGGCCCGGGTTATCCCAGAGATCATGTAGTAGTCAAGAAATAAGAGAACTGATATGAAAAGATGTGGGTATAAAAAAAGCACATGGTGTCAATTAACTTTTCTTTTGCTCGGTTTTTCTCATTACATTAAATACATCAGGACTCGAGATATTGCTAATATGTCCTAATCTCCTACAAAAAGATCCTCCACGCAAATATGATATCGAGAGCTCGTTCAACTCGAACTATAATAAATACAACAACTCCCCAGAAAAATAGCCAACGCAAGGTACCCCCAATTCAATACTCCTCATCTACGGGATCCAAGTCATAGATATCCATGTCATACTCATCCTCGGATCCAAGAACATCCACTTCCATAGAATCATCCTCAACTTCAGTCTCGGGCCCTTCTTCGTGATCAAGTGTGCATGAGCTGACTTCGGAAACACTGTCCTCACGCTCCTCCATGTCCTCGCGGTCAGTTTCTTCTTGCGTATCAGACTCTCCGGCCTCATCATCGCCATAATTGTCAGCAGTATCGTTATTATCGTCGCTGCTATTGTTGTCGCTGTTGCTGTCGCTCTCGCTGCCACTTTCGCTGCCGGTGCTTTCTCCATCGGTACTTTTATCTTCCCTACCAGGATCATTCGTACTTGGTATCTGCGGTGAATGAGTACTGAAGAACATATTCATCAATGACGGGTTCATCTTTCTAGCTTCCGGGTGAGTCGTTTTCTCCCGCAAGGTCTCCGCTTGTTGAATATCGTCCCGCAAAGTCTTCTCCTTCAATACTTCATCTTGTGCAATCTCCTCTCTTGCCATCTCATTCCGTGAAATATTCTCTTGGGTAACCCCCTTTTTTCCCCACCCTGCTTGAATAATTCTTCATCCCGACGCCTAAGCAACTCACTAATCTCCTCATCCGTGGCCCAACGAACCGGAATAGCGTTCCCCGTAGATCTTCGATTTTGTTCCTGTTCAGGAAGCAATTCCTCTCTAAATCTGTGATTGAATGCACCAACTTTAAAGCGGTCCTCTCGAGAGCCAGCCTGAATATCAATATCGTGGCTGGGGAATACTGGTTCTGCTATTTGCTCCTGTCGTGCATGTGAATTGTCTCCAGGCCACAACGATCCTGAGTTTCTCGAAGCCTCACCTTCATAGGGCGTGCCTAGATGATAACAATCGCTTGAGCTATATAACAAGAATCTTGGAGGATATACTGGAAAATGTGGTTGACCCTGTCGTGCATGTGAATTTTCTGCAACCCATGACGGATCTGTGGTTCTCAAAGCTTCGCCTTCATATGATGTGTCCCGATCATTGACGCGTGAACTCAATGACGGGGAACTTGGAGAATACGGTTGCTCCTCTTGTGCTTGTGAATTATCTCCATACCACGACGGATTCGTATTTCCCGAAGCTTCACCTTCATGAGGTGTAGCTCGATCATCGACGCGTGGACTGAATGCGGGGCTTTTTGGGGAATATTCCGGAGAACATGGACGTTCTCGTGAATTTTGAGGAGGTGCCGATTCTGTCATGAGAGAATTGGGTAACATCTGATGACCTCCAAAATAATGCTCGGGAAAGTGATTATGATGATCGTCAGTGAGAAAACGGGGCCCATGCCATCCGCTTGAGGTTTCAGTACGTTGAGACTGGCTCAAAAACTGAAAGTCCCGAGGAGCAGGTGGTCGGACTTCGAGTTCTTGACGGTATTCAGGGCTGACCCAATGTTCAGAACCATGAACTTGAGGCGGATGGAATGGATTATGAGCAACACCGAATTCTCTGTTCTGCAGTGTATATCGCTCTGCACTTTCAGAGATCGGCATTGAGGCCTGAAAGAAACAAGAAGAATCGGGGTAGTGTGGTGCAGCCGAATAATTGACCATGTTTGGTTGATAAGACAGTTGCCGTTGGTGCATTTGGACAAAAGATGGCGGGGCGAAGTTGAAAAAATCGAAGAGCCCGGTGGAAGGAGCTGCAGGAGCATTCAGCTGCAACATAATCCTGTTCAGATTTCGTGATTCGTGCATTGTCGGTCCATCTAGCGCAGAAGTTGAATCCCCCCAGATTTCCTCCTCATAGCTTGAATCTGGTCCAGACGCCTCATAGACACGTGGTTGCATCCCCTGCCGATCTACCATCGAAATACCAGGAACAAACGGGATAGGTTTATGAGATGTCGCCGTATTTTTCACTGCTGCTAGAATCTTAGAGTTGAGTGCTGCTGCAACAGGGCTACCGCTGGACTCAAATTCAGCTTTTGACTTCGACAATATCCATTGCACTTCGGGACGTGTGACTGAAACTCTTGTACTTTTGTAGTCTGGTACATTCATGAAATGATTGACACCTGGCTGAGGAGTTCCAGACAACGCTTTATTTCGAAGATTATTTTCCATCGACTCATCGAAGTCTGGAAAGGGTTCGTTGCCAAGGTGACCAGTAATGACAGCGGGCTGAGTAGGCGTATTGACTGGTGGTTGGTGTTCAGGCTCGCAGGCACGAAAAGACGGAGTGACGACTTTGTCGTTCTCCGTGGGAGTATGGATTTCTGCTCTAGTCATAACTTCGAGCTTTTCCTTATCTGCTTGCGCGATCTCTTTCTCAACTTCCATTTCTTCAGAAATCCGAATAAGCTCCGAATCAGAAAGTGGTGATGATCCTCGATCGTATGGCGATGTCGCCTCCGTTGCTTGGGAATCTGGTTGGGCAGAGCTAGTAGCTCCATCCCCAAAATTTGCCTCCATTGTATGCTTCTTTTTGGTGATATGTAGTTGCGGAAGATCGAAGTCGGAAACATCTCTCAAACGTTTTGGTACCCGGGATGACTGACAGTTGGCATCGTGACGGTTGCGTTGGTCTTGGACTTGGGATGCCGTCAATTGTTCCATCACCTCCGAAAAGCCTGGAAGTTGCTTGGTACCAGCTGAGTTTTGAATGTTCGATGTGGTGTTGACATCATCTGATCTGACTGGAGAATTGGGCTTGTCAAGAGCATTGCGTTGCCAATGACGGAAAGCTTCTCTTCCACTCTTGAAATTAGAAGGAGATGACATTTTGGAAATTGAATTGTGCTGTTTATGGTATCGGATTAATGTGCGCCAAAGGTATCCAAGGCTGATAGAAGTCTGATGCAAAATTACAGGTCGGAGGATCTGAGGTCCTTAATTTATAGACGTGATAGCGTATGACGGGTGGAGTCATAAAACTTTCTCGTCTATTTACTTGCTCATTCACTTTCAGTTCATTGCCCGAGAGCAGATTGAACAGGTCGCGAAAGATATATTTCGATATACAAGTGAAGCCGAACAGCACCACGCCCCCAAAACAAAACAGGTACAGCGACTACGAAATAAAAGGGTTCTAACCGATAACCTTACCGACCAGGTTAGACCGAGAATTTTGCCGGCGAATGAGCCGCATTGTGAGTTTTCAAATGGCTATTATCGTGTTAGTATTCGCTTGGCAAAGGTTCAGTAGATAGGTAGGAAAGCGAAATCGGGGCTCGGATACTGAGCCCTTTATAACCCTTTTTGAATATAATTCACTTCCATCTGTCATGAAGCAATATACTCGATATAGCGCTATGATATCGTAAATCCGCAGGGAAAATATCAGGGCGACAGCTCGAGCTTCCGCCCGAGAAGCTTTGGAAAACCTGATTATGATGAATTGAGCACAATCCAACAGTCTGATCGGCAAGATCAAAGCCAGAGATAACAGTTCCGATTACAAAATCTTCCTGAATATTGGAGCCAAGGCCGAGCATCCCCAGTCAATCATGATCTGATGATTTAGCGTGTGTCATGCATAGGTGAATAATTTTTGAATTTAGATAAAACAACGGATATAATTCCGCGGTGTTGCTCTCAGGGCGATGGAATGAGCGCGCGGCTTATTCACTTGTGAATAGATCAGGGTCGACAGTCGATTTGGGAAGACAACAAGGGTCGTGTTTAAAAACGGCGTATTTAATATTACCTCACCCACCACGCGTAATCAATGATACGGTAACCTCTGTAAATAGAGGAAAACAACTGCGTAACATCCACTATAATCGGATTCCCAACGATCACCTACACGCAGAATTATCTCAATGTGTTACAAAATCCTATCCGCAACACTCAATAGCATATTGCTTTGAAACCACATGCCATAATTCTTACTCTCCCATGGTTTATCGGGGTTGATAAGTTGAAACTCGAAATTCTTCAGAAGCTAATAGAAGTGTTAAATTTTACTACCACCGAGGATTTAAAGTAGATAACTTACCTCAAAGAATATCTTGTCCAACTCCATCAAAGCAATATTCTTACCCAGACAACCATACTTCCCAGTCCCAAACACCAGTCCCATCGTACTCTCCATTTTAAGCAAGTATTCTCCTGAATTTTCGAGCCACCTTTCAGGTCGAAATCGGTTAGCATCATAACCGTATATTGTTTTGCTATGTTGCATTCCCCAGATGTCATTTCCAATTTCCGTGCCGCCGGGTAAGAATATACCGTTAAAAGTATCACCGCCTGGAGGGACAACTTTCGGAACCGGTAGTGAACCACCTGGCCACATTCTAATTCCTTCTTTGATCACAGCCTGAAGGTAGGGAAGTTCCCTGGCTATCGAAGATGGAATGATATTGCCGGTAGTAAGGGTCGAGTCGATTTCTAAGCGCAACTTGTTGTACACTCGAGGATTGGAAACGATGTATAGTAATGTTGCTCGGATAGTTGCGGCAGTAGTGTCACTTCCAGCAATGCTAAGGAATGATTAGCTGAGGGGAAAAAGCCATGACATACAGACTCACATTTGTAGTGAAGTCTCAGAAACAAGTTCCGACTTGGTAAGACCGTGTCGAATGAAAGATCCCAACATATCTCTCTTTTGAATCTTATTGCCATATCGTTCATTGACAACGTTCTTGATGTTTCTAGATGAAATTGGTAAGCGGTTATGTTTTCAACCGTCGATGGAAGAGATCAATATACCTTAGGAGCTTGCCGGGGCCCATTTCATCCTTATCGGAAGGCATGACCATCTGAGATATAATGGGAATGTTTAGGAAGTAGGAAAGCCATGGAAGTGTTGAAATCATATTTGCCGCTGGAATGACTGACTCGATCGATTTACACCACTCACCAATATCATCGTCAGCTTCGATGAACCCCCAAGGTTCTCCGAACGCAATGTCTGTAATAGTGTCCATGGTAAAAAATGTAACAGCCTGAGCGAAATCAAGTGGTTTGATCGTGGAACTCGTGATGTACTTTTGTCTGATCAAGTCGACAAAGGCAGTGACATGTTTATCAATCATAGTCTCGAGCCCATCGATTTCTTTCCCAGAATACTAAATGCGTTAGAAACAATCTTGAAAGTAAGGAAAAGGCATTACCCCAATAGCGACCTGGGCCCTTCGCTTCGTGTGCTCCTTTTCATCAACCATTGAAAATACCTGGTGACTATGTGCTTCAACTCTCTGCCCGCCATACCACGGCGACCTAACATAACCAGATCTCACAGCGTTCACTGTCATGGAATGAGAAAAGAATAAACGTGTAGATTGTAGTCCATTACTTACTTTGATGAATGAGATCTGGATTGGTTGTAAAAAGCATGTTCGGTCCAACACGAACCAGCTCACCTGTATCAAGTTAGCCTCCTCTATGTCAAATCATTCGATCGCTGCCCACCATATTCCTCCATCGTGCTGGAAACTTTCTTGTGTATTTCCCCAGAAGCCATGTTCTTTGCCATCCACAAATTAGTTATTGAAGCCCAGAACGGGCCTCTGAATTTCGCTAAACGTTGATACGAAATCCATTGCTTCCAAAACTGATAGATGATTACGAAAAAAACAATTATGAGATATTTATTATCCCAGAATTGAGCATAAAATGAATCCATCGTATGACCGGCAGAAGATGTAGGCAAAAGAATGGGAAGGAGTATAGATAGAAGTATATAAATGAAGCAAGACCATTATTTCACCAGCACAGCCAAGTCTTAATAGCGCTTACTCTTGAACTTAGGTGGTACCCTCGAATAAGATACCGGATCGAGTAGCAATCCCGGTTGTCCAGGATGTGGCAACGATGACATGGCAAGTGTAACGCTATGACCTAAGCAATGCTTCCCAAGGTTCTTCCTATCGTATATCGGTGCACTTGCAATTCCGATAGAGATGTGGAGTGATGCACTCAATTCTTAACCATCATATGTTTGCTGACAAAAAAATTGACAGAATGATATTGTGAACCTGGGAGTGTCAGAAGTGCTTATGTGTAACATTTACTCCGTTTGCTATTTCGTTTGCTTCCTGCCTGGGAATTAAGGATTTGCAACCGCCATGGAGTTGTTAATTTTCTTTCCTCTCTAACTCTAGCTTTAGCATCTTTCTCAACAGGTAGCCGAATTTCACAAAACATCTCTACGGGCAAGGTCGATTCCCTGCGATCGCGACTGATCCGTACGTACCTCATCTACTACCACATAATCGTATCTGTAGCACAACAACGACGATCACTTATCTTCAAGCTGTCGATTTACTGTAGTTACACAGCTTGACATGGCCGACTCTCAGGCAATAGGTACGGTGTCGAGTACAACAACTGCACATGAGCAAATAACTAATACTAGTGGAGCAGATCTAGAGAAAGAAACAGCGCAAGCTCAAACCGAAGACCAAATCCTCGTACAAACATGCGCCGCAATGGTCAACAACCCTCATGAATCAGCCTCTCAAATAAGTGGCTTTACAGCTAGTCCGATAACACCACCTCTAGGCACGGGAGTCCCTGGCCAGAATAAGTGTATCGTCGATTACAATCACCAGCCGTACTCGATGACTTGGTCGGGTTCGCCGCACGAGTACCCTGATCTTGAGAGATTCCCCCACCTTGAAAATGTCGAGGTTTCCTTGATAAACCAAAATCCCACAATAGCTGCAATCTGGAGAGACTCGGAGTTACTGGACTATGGCACCCACGCATCTGTTCGAATCGCCGAAAGCGACTTATTTCCTATCCTCAAATTCGCCCACCACGACAAGCTGTCTATACATCTGATCGCACATGAATTCGATGTGCTTGCTGCTTTGAAGAAGAAAGGGCTGTCCGTTGTAGACTTCGATCCGCAGCCCATCATGGATAGCGGAACATTTTGCGGCTACCGAATGGAAAAGCTCTTCAGAGTTGAACTTGATGAGTTTCGTTCAAGAATTGACGATATCAAGTATGAGCTTGATCGGTTCCATTCTGCAAGCTTCTCGCACGGGGACTTTAGTCCTAGCAATGTCATGAAAGACAAAAATGGTCATATTGTTTTGACTGACGCGAGCTGTTGGGAAGTGCGGTGCCTTCATTTTTCCCGCGCTGGCGCTGTTTAAACAGTGTTTACAGCATTGAGTCTGATATAGACTCTTTTGATAGATTCGCAAAACTGTAGGCTGGATTCTCCGTCTAGATCCTCGTTCAGGTCATTGCAAAGCCCCTTCCGCTGTGAAGACATACATTGAAAGAAATTAAAAGATTGATTTGACACCTTCAACGGTCAATATCCGAACTTTTCATGGATGTAAGCACAAGATGCATCAGATGTCGTTAGAGAGAGTGGAGCTCCATCGCCTCGGTGTTCTCCACTTTTATGCTGTCAGCAACAGACATCGAAATGTTGCCGCCAAGGGTTGGAAATGTGTCATCGATGAGCCAGACTTGAGATCGATACGTACAAGCCCAGACAAGACGCATATATCTCGTGGACTTGGACTTGATCTTCTTCGTCCTCCACAGATTCTTGCCTACGCATAATCTATTCTTACTCGATGCCCAAGAAACGAAATCCAAATCTATACACGAATCTATACGCGAAATCTCAACCTCCAACAGCGGGGTCTTCAAAGAGTAAGCAGCAATGGCAGATGACCCCACCGCATCTCTCGGTCGGTATAGAAAGAAGTTTAGCTGATTAATTTTCTCTTCTTCCCAGATAACGACACCCAGCCAAACTCCGTAAACGATCTTATCCATTCCCTCCGAAGAACCGCAGTCACCCCCTCCAACTACGCTCAACTTCCCCAAACCGTCACATCCCAAACACTTCCCCCGCAGACACGAAGTCTCCTCTCCTTACCAGAAACACCAGCGCCGCGCCCAAGATATCGAAGCAATGGCACAATCCAAGGCTCTCCTTTCCGCGCAGCACGAAGGGTTGTTGGTCCCACGCCACGCAGCTGGCTCGAAGGATCGCAGAATGTTGCTCCGCCCGATTTGAAGAATCGGCCTGAGCGCTTATATCCTACCGAATTGAATCACCTACCGGGTCTACCAGCAGATTACGATGGTGATAAGAAAAGCAGGAGACTGCAGGATGTTTGTCTCAGGACGATGGCAAGCAATTGGGAGTACATTCAGGGATACGAAAGGAATAACCTCGCAGATATACCAACATCTTTGCGGGTGCTTTTGCTCAGCAACATCGCCCTTTACGGTCCCGAACAAGGCGTGGGCTACGAAGGATTGAAGAACTTGTTGATCTTCCCAACTGCCGACGGCGCAGACGCGGATAGGGCTTCCACCCCGGTTGATCTGAACGAAGGATTTCTGCGTCTCGACCTCTCCGGTTCCATTGGGCGGTCCGTGTGCTTCAAACACCTTTGCGAATTCCTGGAGAAGCCTGTCTCCCTTCCCGCTGAAGAAGACGCTGACGATCTGACCTGGGAGGAAACGATCGCGCGGCCGCTCAACGCCACGATCCCGCATCTCACACATCTCTCCCTGTCTCATCCCCCATCGACCATATCCTGGCCCAGACTGCTCAATGTGGCGAAACATATCCCTACGCTAACGCATCTATCACTTGCATATTGGCCTGTCCCGGCTTTGACGCCGAACAGTAGGACGGCTGTTGTCGCTTCGAAATATGCTAGGGATATCCAGTATGGTGGAACCAACTACTATTCCCATAGCCTCGACGATGATTACCGCGAGGCTGTCACTGTATTGAGGAGACTTGCCGATAGACTGTACAGTCTTGAGTTCTTGGATCTTAGTGGCTGTCATAGTTGGCTTCGTGCTCTCTCGTGGCAGGGAGGTGAAGAAAAAGGCCCTGGTATTGATTGGTCTCATACCTGGCCGAAACTCACTACTCTACGCCTGTATTCTGGCATTATGATCAATCTTGACAGTAGCTACTCCAACGTCCTTACTTTTAGTACGGCGTGGAAGCAAGCAAGAATCGTGGAAGAGGAACTGCACTGGTGGACTCACAAAGACGCCGTCAGACGTAGATTCTCATATGTGGATGTTGAGAAAGACGACCCTACGGTGTATCAGGATTTCTGGAAGGGAATGGATGATGAGGAGAGTAAGAAGAAGAGAGGGGTTATGGTTGAGCTGTCAGGAAGAAGGAGGAGAGAAGCTCCAGCTCATATCTTCGGGGCAGTTGAGGAAGGGAGATCGTTCGCTTGGGAGGATTGATGGGAATTCGAACTTCAAGACTTGATAACGTTACAGGATAGCGCTAGCGAAGGAATGAATATTGATATGGAAAAAGCATTACAAATTCGAGAGTAAGTGAAAAAAAACAAAACATGATCACATCGAACATAAATTATCAGGTAAACCACTATCCCTTCCCCAAGTGAATTGCCCAATGCAACATCAATATATCCTGCTGTGGTGTCTCTGAAGCCATTAATACTCCTCTCCTCTGATATAGCATAAAGCTTCATTTACACCTTTCCATGTAATTTCAGAGCCTCCTCCTATAGACGAAACTATAGAGGAAAGTTGAAGTTTCTCTGAAGCCTTCAAGTGCAGTAGAAAGTACTACAACGATAAGTCTTTTGATTTCTCCATTTGATATTCAATCAGACCCATTTTGCTAGATCCATCACGATCAGATTTACCTGCGTAGATTGTCCAATGTCTAAAACCACACTTCATGAGGCCTCGAAATAGAACAGAGAAACACAGCAAAGGAAACATAAAATGAATGAATATGATCTACAAGATTTTCCTAGGTTAAAATATACAGTCCATGCACCAAAACTAAACTCCATCACCATCCCAAAAAACACCGTCAAAGCTCCCTCACAATTCCGAAGCCACCAAAACCAAAAACAAACAAACAATACTAAACAGTAACGTTTCCTCCCCCAATCCGTTCCCGCTCTCCACGCTTAAAGATACGTATCATCCTAACTATAGCTCCTCTTTCCCCGGGAACCCACTCCGGGCACAGCTCAGCCTCCTCACAGTACTATTTTAGTCGCGTACCCTTACCGAGTTAGGGCTGCAAAAGGGGGCACTATGGCAGTAACAGGGCGAAAGTTACTACAATTAAGCTTAACACTATTAGCCACTTCACAAAGATAACGATGGCCAAAGATAGCGATCGATCAATACGACCTTTGAGGGTCCATCACGAGGATGAGAAACGCCCATTCATGAGATCGTGATTCTTCACATCACAAACAGACGGAAGACGTTATCCGTCTGGAAAACAAATTTCCCCTTCTAATCTGTCACATCCACCGGGAATAGGTTTCAAGATCTTGATATCCTGATATCATAGACAAACGAAAATCTTCGTACGGTGTTGCCGAAGGCTTGTTCTCGTTTATGGTTGTTGGAGCCATACCATGGTTCTGTCGGGATGGTTCAGTAAAGAAACAAGACTGCAGAAAGTAGGTCACTGTAACAACAACAGCGTCGAGCCTAAACCTCGCGCTCCGGAAGATCTCGGTACTGAATTAGAGACCTTGACCTTGAAGTGTGGAGAAGCAGGGACTCGTTTAGCGTGTGTCGATAGCGTCTTGTCACTGGGCAAATACCGAAGCTAACCATACCGTATCCAGCTCAGCTAATTTAGCTGTATCCAGTAGCTGAGAAGTCTGACTTCAAAGCAGTAATGCAGCAGAAACCACTTGGCTATGTTTTCTGGACTCCAAATTGATTTGAAGTGGAGACTAGTATGAGGCAGGCGACGCTCAACTCTGACTGCGCCAAACAACCGAGAGATGAAAATAACGAATAAGAATACCCAACCATCAACGGAGGATGCTCCGTCAGCCTTGTAGGACCTTAGACATAGCCAGCAAAGCCCAACAACCAAGATCTGCAGTTCCACATTGTCTATGCAAGTCATACTGCCACTTCCTAGGGTACGGAATGGTGTAGATAGCCCAAGGCAAATGAAACAACCTCAAACCATGTGCGTGTACCCAACACAAATTCGAACACTTCACTCTGCTTCTCCTCCGCAGGGCAAAGCACTCGCCTCCTGAATCTCAAGACGAGAAAGGGAAAGTGGGCAGCGAACACTGTTCACCTGACATGGTCGTGCCGTCTATCCAGCAATAAACGGGAAGCCACTTCATAGATTTGGGCCAGACAGAAGAAAACCAAGAGAGAATCATGTCGGGTGAACAAGACGATGAGGGATATTGCTGGCAAGACCCTCATCATTACTAACATGCTTGGGTGACTGGTGAATAGGGTTATCCGCGTTGCTGCGCCTTGGGGATTCCCGACGGGACGAGCATTTATGAGACAGATAGTCCAGCAATCCGGGTTTTGCTTCGCGGTTTCTGAAAGACCGAGAAAGTTAAGGCGTAGACGGGCGTCGATAGAGGAAAACTGGTGTGAAATGAGCGAGAACCAAGACGTGGTGTAATGGTTACGCCACAGATAACCGCGTGATATGTTATGACTTACCAGCCCCGAGAGTACAACGGCACACAAAACAAACGAGAATAGGATTGTGGGCTTTTAGAGAGAAGATCTGTATCTCGCCATCGTGCTTGAGCTGCCTTTGGCCAGCGGGTGTCTTATATTGTCCCTTGAACCATCCATGACCACCTCCCGAGACAGTGGATTGCAAATTCGTTGGATGTTGCCAGCTGCCAAATTCGGTGGGTAGGTGAGCTATTGATGTTGTACCTTTGTACACAGAAACGATCAAGGGTTCGTAGATTTGCAGTGAGGTGTTCATCTGCCTCGCTTGATGGCTTAGCATGGCGCTCACCTGCTTGTAAGAGGTACGAAGTGACCTTGATTTCGGCTACCAACAATCAGAAATATGCGAGACAAGACACTCACCGCCAACTCAGCAAGACGGGCCAATACCGAGATAACTTGGCATAGCGTCGATCCCAGCGGGAATGGCTCGAGCGTGCATCCATTGTCTTGGCTTCGAGCTTGTACTAACATCATCAAAACAAGTACCTATGTACATTTTGTAAACTCGTACGCGGTGACAACTGCAAAGACTTACCTGGCCAGGTAATTTGCGATGAAGCGAGTCAGTGACCCGCTTAAACGTCAATGGGGATTTATCAACAAGGAAATACCATATCTGTGATAGCAAGAATCTTTTCTATCCTAGCAGTAATGGCACTGATGATGAAATATTAGACCAATAGATCGTCTCCTATTAAACACAACACCAACGGCTTCTAGGGTCAAAATTGGACAAAGGAGCTCAGACCACATCCCGCCGTTGATTGCCTTGAACTGAACAGCTGTTAAATGACATGTTAGCATTGTTTCAATGGAACGATGGATGGTGGAGAAAAAAGCAGTGGCTAATTGAAAGGTATCCTGCTACGATCAACCATTGGAGGGACGATCATAATGGAAGCATGTCAGCCCTTGGCGTGCTGTCCCGATTGTCTGCATCGAGCGCGGCGCATATGCTAAAACCACTCTCTCCCATCCTTCGATAATTAGTAAAAGTTCATGATGAAAACAGGTTCCGTAGTTTTCGAGATAACAAATGAGCATTTGCAGCATATGACCGACGTCAGTGGAGCGGAAGGCACCTCCGTCTTTATAGAGAGAAACAAAGCCCATATGCATGAACCTTGATGCAATCGTGAGCTTCCGGAAACGCACGCATTGCATCTCTTCTTTTTGGCGATGTATCAGGAGGGCAATTGGCTCTGCCCGATGGCGTGTAACGGCTGGTGGGTCCCTGCACATAGGGTTGAGGCAGACGGATAGAGGTGAGTGAGTTGTCATATGGCACAAGATCTTTGGCCAGTACAACATCGCAGCCGAAAGGTTGATCAATGTTGTGCGACGACCAAGGATGCTCGAATGAGGTATCGTGGGCTTGTAGAAGGAATTGGGGACTTGAAGGGAACTTAGGGGACCTTTACCAGCAGAGCTGTCTTGGGGACTGCCGCGTTTGGGGCCAGATCGCCAGTGGCCACTCTGTATCGAGATTCTGCATAATGAAAGCGTAATGATGAGGGTTGGAAAGTGGAGAAGTGTCGAGAATAATTGACGCGATATCGAATCGTAAGAGAATTGCTTTTGGATGGCCGGCTAAAGAGCATGAAATCAATCCCCACGCATCGTAGTGAAGTGAGGAGAAGGAGAAGAGAGGAGGTGCGGCCACCACGGAAACTGACATGCATGTCAAATTTGCAACGGCCCGTGGGTTTTCCGAAGTTCTGCATCCAGGGCATCGAATTCGTGTGGACCTCGAACTTGACCGCGTCGTCCACACCTACACGGCGCAAGGAGCTTCCTCCGCGAAAGAAGCAAACATAAGGACGGATTCAACTCGAATGCGAATCTACAGATCGGATTCTATACGAGTATGCAATTGGCATTCCCAAGACCCGCAAGCAATTCCTTCCCGTCGGTGAAGCTCAGCAGCCGGCAGGAGGTGGTTTGCTTCTTGACATCGCAAAAGCGGCATTAGCTAGAGTCTGAGATGGACGCGTTGATATATTGTTGTTGACTTCCGGTCAACTCCCACTTTGTCAGAGGTCTTGCGTGCCGTATCCATGTTAGAAGAGTGTCCAAGGACTAGTCTCCAGTGGGCGATTGCATGATGACTTTGATGTTTCTAATTTACCAGTCTTTCTTCTAACGTTGCTTCTTCCAGACTGGAGCTCACTTCAGCACCCCGAAAGCCATAATGAAAAAGAAATCATTTAAGACTTTCGAATCCACTTGCACGTGGATTGCGGGATGATGCACGGAAGAGGGGAATGCTCGGATTTGTGCAGACGATATCAAGTTGCATACCAACTATTGACTGGGGCTGGTTGTTCAGGTAAAGACAAAGTCATTGCAGATTGCAACCGTCGAATCATGTGGGTGAGGAAAATGGAAAGCGTCTGAGAACTGGTAACGATGCCATCGCAGACTTGCCATTTGAAAGTAGGTCTAATTGGCCTTATAAGATGGGGTCGTCTTTTCATCTATTGTAAGATGAAAGGTGCTTGTTATTGGGTCCTTGGCGGTCGATGGACATACTCTTGTGGGGTTATTGGCGTACGGTGCGGCTATTCGAACCGAAGGACAATTGACGATGTTCGCAGAGAATCCCATCTAGGATTTGCTCATTTAGCCACGGTGCAGCAAGCAGTTTGCTTCACTTGTCGACCGCATAAATGGGCAAACCCAGATGCCCAGCTCTCTTTAGAAAGATTGGTAGATTCGATTCATCTTGTTTTCTG